TGTCTCTCTGTCTCTCTGTCTCTCTGTCTCTCTGTCTCTCTGTCTCTCTGTCTCTCTGTCTCTCTTTCCTTTTTCTCTTTACTAACAACTAAATATTCAGGCGACAGTAGAGTACAATCCTTCAACTATAACGAAGGATTTCCGCTTGAGCCTTTCCAGACCACAGGTTGGAATATCAGGCTCAACGTCATGTACTTTAACGGGGACAGCTTCAGGGTCTGTCCCTCCTCGCCGAACAGCACGGTGTACGGGGTGTATGTGCAGGGTATGAACCTCGCCCCAGATGGCCACCTCGGTTGCGTCGCGTTCGAGGCTCGGGTCTTCCCTGAAACCCCAGCAGCCCAGGCAGAGGCCCGCAAGTATAGCCAGTAAGAAGGAGGCTGTGGCAGACGACCTGAGGGCCTACCGGCCTGACGGCTAAGGGTCACTTGACGGTGTGGTTGATGGAGTTGACAACCAGGTTGGGGTGTGCTTAGGTAAATAACATGCAAGTCAGGGGGGTTGGGCTTGGTTAGTGACTTTATTATAATCAGATAGGGCAAGGGATTTCGATGGCCAGGAGCTGAGCACTTAAAAGCATTTTAGCATTCGAATGGTACGGATACCTGACCTTGACATAATTACCAGGCAGTTGGTTCAATATGTGTTGCTCAAGTTCCCGTCGTTTTACCGAATTCTTCCCAAAACAGACGTGATGAACTCGCGCTGTAGCGCAGTGCAAGTAATATTATTACATTATTGAGAAAGTCTAACAAAGGAGACTCGTCAATTGCCGCAGCAGATTGAGCCTCAATTAGCCACTAAGTACAAACCGTGTAACAGAGAGCTCAAGGAACAGGGAAATGCATGAAGAAGCTACTGGAATGGACCCCCATATGAGCCTCGTTCTTTCCTCATTGGCCCCCGGTCTTGGTGTGCATGCAGGTGCATGCAGCCGGAGCGCACCCGGAGCGCACCCGGAGTGGAGCCCGGTGGTCCGCACCGCTCTGTCCCATTCCTCGGGCCGAGATCTTCCCGTGCGGGACCTGTCTCAGGAGAAGGCCAGTGCCGGCACCGCCCCCCCCATGATGTCGCTGGCCTTAATCCATTGCCAATGTTCATGCATGACTCGTGCCAAGCACCTTAGCGCAAGCCTAGCCCTTGGTCTGAGCCCGACAACGTGCTTTAATGAACCCCGCGACCCCGCGATCGGTTTCCGGCCGGTGACCACGACACACCGCCAGCGTTTTCAGCCAGCCCCAAGGGAGGTCTCAATTGAAATGGGTGGTTGATGTTTTTGAGTGCTGATCGGCGTGCTGATCGGGGTTCTGATCTGGCAAAGGATGACTCGAGTGTGCGTCCAATGCAGTGGAGGTGACCCCGGCCACAGCGTCTCAGTGTCAGTTGTCTCATCACCCGGAGAATTAGGGCCTCCGGGATCAGCGGCACGGGCGGAAGGCGCCCACAGATCGGTCGGTCTTCATGGTTGGCGAAGGGGGAAGACTTAATTATATAAATCCAACCTCGACAGTCGGAGAGCTGCACATCAATTCCAACGTCAACAACAACATCAACACAAACTCCCCAAAAGCCACAGCCATGAAGTTCACCACCCTTACCCTCCTTGCCGGAGTGGCCGCTTCCGTGTCTGCCGCAGCCCTGACGCCCAAGGCCGCGGCCTTGGAGAAGTTCAACCTCGAGGTATCGTCCTGGGACTCACGACTGAACGGGAAATCCATTACGGCGAGCAACAACAAGCTCAAGGTGTCGCTGTCGGATAGCACGGAGGATGAAGGGTGCAACGGGCCAGCTACCCTGTTTGTCCAGTACCAGGCGCTGTTTTTGTACAACGGCGATTACGAGTCCTTTCAGCAGGTTGCGGTCGACCGCTCCGAAGATGGTATGTTTTGTCTTCATTGTTGAGGGAGTCTTTTGAGATAGGTACTTGTTACAAGTATTACAAGTATATAAAAAGAAAAAGAAGAGCCGGACCGGGGAATCTAATCGTTGACAACCACCTAGGCCAGGACCAGCTGCAGTACTTCACCAACCTCCACGGCAAGCCTCAGCCCTTCCAGATCAAGCCCTGGTCCGTCGACGAGTACAGCCGGAACCTCTTGTTTGGCGACGTCTTGTTAGGCCTCACCTCTTTCTGGGCATGCCCGGACTCCAACAATGAGGACACGCTCTCGATCTACCTCGACTCGGGCTTCGGGGAACCGGCTGGCCAGCACGACTGTGTCATTTTGCAGCTCAAGACCGTCCCTCAGGGCGCGCCGCAGGCCTGCGAGTATAGCGAGTTTAACAACCACCCCTAGGCCAAAGAGGACGACCTGACGACCTGACGAAGAAAACACCCTATTTAGAGTCGTGGTTGACGGGGTTGAGTGAGGGGGGTGTGTTAGGTGGAGCGCCAATTTACGGAGGCTTAGGCTTGGATGGTTAGGAATTAGGCTAGTGGGACACGGGATCACAATAATCGGGAGTTGCATAGGTAATTAGTTAGATGGCTCGTGACGACATAATTAAATGCCCAACCCCAGCGGCCATCTGTACTCATTGCCTCGGATCAACTGGCGCTGTCATCTATCTGTGTGATGTGGTTGATAGGTACCTTAGGTAGCGAGTTGGCGGACTGGTCAAGGTTGGTAAGCGAATTTATTGGTGGGACAAGGCATTTTGACGCTCAGGGGCTGGGCACTTAATTATACATGCATTTGAGTAGGGGCCTCAGGTTAGTATCATTAGTTGACTCCATGCGACTCAAGTTCCTAAGGTAGGCAGGTACTGTTCTACCTAGTTCTTCCCACAACGGGTGTCAGGAACTAATTGGCGCAATAACGGAACGCAGATAGACGTTTTGTTAGGTATGTTATTCAGAAAGGTTAAGGAAGAGGGAAATACATGACGCAGCTACACAGGTACCTACTGGAATGGACCTCCACATGACCTCCTGCCATCCTACTTCTCGCCCGTCTCCCCCCGCTCTTGGAATGCATGCAGGAACCTGCAGCTGGAGCGCGCCTCGGAATGTACCCGGAGCGGCCGGAGTGGAGCCCGGTCGGCGCCGCCCTGCCCCACTTACTCGGGCCGAGATCTTCCCAAACGGGAACTTGTCTCGGGAGAGTGCCCGGGCAGCCTCGGCAGTACCCCCATGAGGCCACCGGCCCTACTCCATTCCTAATGCTCATGGTCCTGAGCCTTGGCACAAGCATGGTCCTCGGCCTGCGCGCTTGACAACGGGATTCAGTTAACACCACGATCAGCCTCTGGCCGGCGACCACGACACACCGCCGCCAGTGTTACCAGCCAGCCTCGGGGTAGGTCTCAGTTGAAATCGGTAATCAGTTGACAGTTTTGAGTGCTGATCGGGCAAAAGATGACGTGAGTGGAGGTCCAGTGCAGTGGAGATACCCCAGCCCTCAGTGTCTCAGTTGTCTCAGTTGTCTCAGTTGTCTCATCACCTAGAAAATTCCAACATCACCAACAACAACGCCAAGTCACCAACACAAAGTCCCGAAAACCCACCACAGCCATGCAGTTGACCGCCCTCACCCTGCTCGCCAGCGCCGTGGCTTCCGTGTCTGCCGCAGCCCTAAACGCCAAGGCCACAGACCCGGAGACGTTCAAACTCGTCGTGCGCGATTCAGCCTTTTCTCAGTTCATTGGCAGGGTCGTTACCGCGAGCAACAGCAAGCTACAGGTGTCCCTAGACGACAACACGGCGAATGCAGAATGCGAAGGTGCCCCGCCAGCCGATGGGGTGGCTACCCTGGTTGTCCGGTACCAGTCGCTGTTGCTGTATGGTGGCGAGAACGGCTCCTCTCAGCAGGTTGGCGCCCGCCGCTCCGAATCTGGTATGTTTCGTCTTCGTGGCCTAAGGGGATCTTTTTTGACAACCATCTAGATCCTCGAACCAAATCCTAACGACCAGCTCACCTTCCCAAAAACACCCCTCAGGGTAAAGAGACGAGAAAAGGCTGTGACTATGCAGCCGGCCACCCTTACCCTCCTCGCTGGCATTGTGGCTTCCGTCATGGCCCTGACCCCCCGGGAAAATATTGGCAATACGTTCAGCCTCAGTGCCTGGACTAATCACCCCCAACTATACAATATGAACATCGATGCGAGGGAGAGCAGGTTATGGCTGACACATTCCATGGATGATGAGTCTGGGCAGTGTACGGGGGGGACGTCAGATAGTTCAGCTACGTTTTTTATCTACGACAGTGACCTGTTCCTATACGGCGGTGGGTCTTCCTTCTATCATTCCCATCAACAGTCTGCTATATATACTGGTATGTTTTCTATCTTCATCTCTTTCTGCATTTTTCCTTTCCCTTTGCTGGTATATAAAAAGCAAACAATAAATCGGGATTTCCTAATCAACATCTAGATTATCCAGACCAGGGTAACCTGAGGTACTTCAACAATCTTAGTAATATGCCTGGGGGGACCTCCGAGACCAAAGGCTGGGCTATCAGCGATGGCGACTCGTTTTTGACCTTCAATGAATCCAGCTTTCTGGTCTGCCCAGAGTCTAACGGCCTGTATACCCTGGAAGTTCACTTTGGCCACCTCGATGATGAAAGCAACAAAGCTTGCGTCTCGATGAACCTCTGGGCGACCCCCGAACACGAGCCATCGGCTTGCCAGTACAGCCAGAAATAGGTCGAGGAAAGCTGGTCTGAAGACCTGACGGGGAAGGCTCCATGTCGAGGTGTGGTTGACGGGGTTGGGACAAGACAGGTCACAATGGGGGTGAAGGTCGGTTCGGTGGAAAGTTGGTAATTAGAGGGTTAGGGTTGGACAGCCAGAAAGGAGTCATAAAAGAGCATTTGGAGTCTCCCAAGTTTCTGCTTTTCGGTTCTTCCAACAATGAGCTTGCGTCACTCTAACGGTACGCGTCCCGTTGTAATCAACCCTTTTGGTAGACTGGGGCCCCGCAATCCACGGCTGACGACTGCCATATCTTGTCCGCTCTTTCCCCGCTCTCTTTAACCCCGCCAACTTTTCTTCCTGACAGGAAAAATCCCAACAAATCTTTTGAAAAGTTCTCGACACGCCGGGACAGCTGACGCGGACTTGGCACGCACCAGCGCGCCAAGCAATGCTTAATTCCGACACCTTCCTATTTCAGTCCCCGAATGGCCCCCAAATGTCCCCTCAAGAGCTCGGCTTGGATTTATCAGAGCAAAGAACACGCGTGAAGGACCCGATGTCACAATGCCTTTCTCGCTGCGGGGGCCGAGTGACGAGCCGACGCTGAGTCTTTCCGGTTTTGGGATATTCCTTCCGTAATCCAGCCCTATTGGAGAGTCCGGTCGCGCTGCGATAGCCGTGGAATGCAGTGCCGCGTACGTGCTTCGCATTTTCGCATGTTTGTCACTGGTCAATGACGAATTGGCTCTTTTTCCTCCCCTAGCTTGGGGACTGGCAAGTGATGCAGCATGTGATGACAATTGGCAACCTCCATTATCTATCTCCTTCCGGGCCCCTCTCCCACATCAATGCCATCCTCAATTTCCATCTTCAGTCTCGAATTAGCAGAGAATCGGCACGAGGCCAGCCATGGCCTGTCTCAACGACGACGCGTTCGGCCCCGCCGTGCGCGGGTGCCGCGGCGACTTTGACTTCACGCTGCACTTTGAGCAGGTTTTTTTCACGCTGCTACCGGCGAGTCTTTTTGTGGTAGTCTCGCTCGCGCGAATGGTGCATTTGTGGCGGAAGCGGGTCATGGTTGGGGGAGTGTGGCTACGGTGCGGGAAGATGGTAATTATGCTACCGGCTCTGTTACTCACTTGTGAAGGCTATCCATTTTGCTGACGGGTATCTAGATCGCGATATCAACCTACGCCGCGCTGCAGCTCGTCCTTCTCGTCCTCGCCACCACATCCCCTTCAGAATGGTTTACCCTCTCCACTGCAGCATCCTCCCTCGCCCTCGTCGCAGCCCTACTTACTCTCCCGCTCTCCTATCTCGAACACGCCCGCGCTCCCCGTCCATCAATGCTGCTGCACGCCTACCTCACCGTGACGCTCCTCCTCGATATTGCCCAGGCGCGCACTGTCTGGCTGGCCGGCTTTTCCCCAACTGAAATGGCCTACGCGCGGGCATTTACCGCGGCCGTGGTCGTCAAAGCAGTCATCCTCTTATTGGAAGGCCAATCCAAAACCCGCTGGATCCGCTGGATCGACCAGCCCGGCACATGTGCATGCATCAACGACACAGACACCAAACAAGAGACCGCAGACCATCACAGCCCTGAAGAGACCAGCGGTCTGTACGGTCTCGGCGCCTACCTCTGGCTCAACGGTCTCCTAGGCCGGGGCTACCGCCGGGTACTGGGCATGGACGACCTATTCCCCCTCGACGCCAACCTGCGCGCTGAAGCGCTTTATGCCCGGCTCGGTCACCATTTCGAAAACGTCGAGGCCTTCCGCGGTAAGAGGCACGGTTTGGCCCGGGTCCTAGCCCGCGCACTGGCTGTTCCATTACTAGTGTTACCTGTGGGACCGAGGATTGCGTACGGCGCGTTTCAGTTTTGTCAGCCCTTTTTAATCCAGACGCTGTTGCGGTACTTGCAGGGAGGTGGAGAGGGACAGGATGGGGAAATGGACCGGAATATTGGGTACGGTCTGATTGGGGCGACCGCGCTAGTGTATCTGGGCATTGCCGCATCGTCGGCGCTGTACTGGTACTTCCAGGAGCGCGCGCTTTACATGTCACGGGGCCTGCTGGCCACAGCCGTCTTCCGGAAAACGGTAACCTCCCGGCTGCGGGGGTCATCTGATTCCGCGGCCTTGACGCTCATGAGCGCGGACATTGAACGCATCATTGTCGGTGGCATGAACCTGCACGAGTTGTGGTCCAACTCCATCCAGGTTGGTCTGGCTTGCTGGCTGCTACAACGTCAAATCGGAGCGGCCTTTGTAGCCCCGCTAATCGTTGTGGTTGTGAGTACCGCCGGACTGACCATGCTCGCGCGGTATACGGGTCCCCGACAGAAAGTATGGATGGCGCGTATTCAGGAACGCGTGGGGCACACGGCGGGTGTAATCGCGCAAATTCGACATCTCAAAATGGCTGGGTTGGCGGAGACGGTAGAGAAAGCGGTATAGGCGATGCGCCTGGCTGAGTTGCATGCTGGGTCAAGCTACCGGGTGATTCAGGTGGCTGCGGCCGTCGTGGGGTACACGCCACTGTTGATGGGACCTGTGTTTGCGTTTGCGTTTGCCTCGCGCACGTTGGATGTTACGACGATTTTCACGGCGCTGTCGTTTATTACCCTGCTGGCTGCCCCGTTGAGTTTGCTGTTCCAGACTATACCCGTGCTAGTGTCGGCGTTTACGTGTCTGGAGCGGATCCAGGCCTATCTCGAGGCCGAGGCCAGGGTGGATTGTCGGGTGTTTGAGCCGACTGAGAAGGAGAAGGACAGTGAGGATGAGAAATCCGCGGAGAAAAAACAAAAGCAAGACCGCGTCCGCATCACCAACGCAACCTTCGCCTGGGACCCAACCAAACCCACCCTGCACGACATCTCCCTAACCATCCCCGCAGGCCAGCTTACCCTCGTCATTGGCCCCGTCGCATCTGGAAAATCCACCCTCTGCAAAGCCCTCCTCGGCGAGCTCCCTCTACTCTCGGGCCAAATCACTCTGTACTCTCCCCCAGACCGCCCCATCGGCTACGCTCCGCAAACACCCACGCTTTCCAACACCACCATCCGTTCCACCATCCTCGGCCCGTCTGCCCTTTTACCATACAACGACGCCCGTTACAACGCCGTGCTGGACGCCACCCTCCTCCGCCCAGACCTCGCTCTCCTCCCTGCTGGCGACGAAACGAACATCGGTAGCCATGGCATCGCTCTCAGCGGGGGGCAGAAGGCACGTGTGGCCATGGCACGCGCGCTGTATCTGGACGCGGATTTCTGCGTGTTTGATGATGTGCTGAGCGGGTTGGATGCGGATACCGCCGAGGGGGTGTTTATGAATGTTTTTGGGGGCAGAGATGAACGGGATGGGAAAGGAGAAGCGAAGGGTCTGTTGCGGCAGAGAGGAGCAACGGCGGTGTTGTGTACACATGCGGTGCGATTTCTGCCGTGGGCCGATTGGGTTGTGGTACTCGGGGCGGATGGGAGGGTGGTGGAGGAAGGAAAGTTTGAGGAGTTGAAGGGGCGCGAAGGGGGTTATGTGGCCGGCTTGGGAGTGGAAACTCCTGGAGTCGGGACTCCAAAGACACCCCGTGAAGCCCCTGAAATCGCAGCCCCTGAAGTAAACAAACCCCTGAATCTACACACAGCAACAACACAGCCAAAACTCACCGCAGCTGAACCAACACCCACGACATCCAGCCCAACCGACACAGCATCCCCCGAGATTACCGCCCGGATGACCGGCGACTGGGCCGTTTACCGACACTACTTCACCCGCATCCCTCTCTCCATCCGCCTCGTCTTCCTCCTCTTCGGCATCACCTGGGGCGGCTTCGCCAACCTCGGCACACTCTGGCTGACCCTCTGGTCCGCCGACGTCGCCTCCTCCTCCCCGACCCACACCAACGCCTACTACACCGGGCTGTACGCGCTCTTCCAAATCCTCACGCTGGCCTCCCTCGCCATCCAGGCCTACGTCTGTTTCACCCATATGATCACCTTCTCCGGCGCCCGTATCCACGCCGAAGCCTTACGCACCGTGCTGCGGGCGCCGCTGGCGTTCTTTTCCAAGACGGATACCGGCGTGGTGGTGAATCTGTTTTCTCAGGATCTGACGCTGGTGGATGGGCAGCTTCCGCAGGCGGTGTGTAATGTGGTGTTGACCGTGTTTGAGGTGCTCGGCATGGCCGCGGTGATTGCCACGGCATCGCCGTATGTTGCGGTCACGTATCCCGTGTTGGGAGTTGTGTTGTGGGTGTTGCAGCGGTTTTATTTGAGGACGTCGAGGCAGATGCGGTTGTTGGATTTGGAGGCGAAGAGTCCGTTATAGTACGTCCCCTATTTCCTTTTCCTTCCCTCAATTTAAACGAAGTCAACACTAACTCTAATGGTATTCACAGCACCCACTTCATCGACACCCTCCACAGCCTCGCGACAGTCCGCGCTCACAACTGGACCCACCCCTCTCTGACACTGAACAAATCCCTCCTCGACACCTCCCAACGCCCGGCCTACCTCCTTGCCATGATCCAACGCTGGCTCGCCTTCACCTTGCAACTTGTCGTAGCAGTGCTCGCCATCGCCGTTGTAGCCCTGGCCACGCAAATCCATGTCAACACCGCCGGCGGTAACGCGGCTGGCTTCACGGGTGCCAGTCTGGTCACACTCATGTCTTTTGGCGAAAGTCTGACGACGATTATTCGGTTTTATACGCTATTGGAAACTTCCATCGGAGCGGTTAGTAGGTTGAAGGCGTTTAGTGAGACGGTTGCGCCGGAAGATCAGGAGGGTGAGACGGGCGTGCCGGGGGTGGAGTGGCCGAGAGGAAAGATTGAGATTAAGGGGGTGTCGGCAAGTTATGGAGGACATAAATATGGAGGTGCAAGTGGGAATGAGAGCGGAAGTGAAGAAGATGGAGAGAAACAGCTGGTACTGCGGGACTTGAACTTGACGATTGCCCCCGGGGAGAAAGTGGCTATCTGCGGGCGGAGCGGGAGGTACGTTCCCTTACCAACTTTTCAGACTGAAGCGATGCTAACACAGGAAATAGCGGCAAATCCTCCCTGCTCCTCCTCCTCTTGCATCTCCTTGACCCCTTACCTTCATCCCCTTCTAACCCCAACCCCAACCCTAACCCTGAGAACCCTAATCTCAACACCTCAACCACCATCACCACTGCTCGGCCCAAAGACGAAGACGAGAACACCCCCACCTTCAACATCGACTCCCTCCCCCTATCCTCCCTCTCCCGTTCCGCCCTCCGCCATTCCCTCTTCGCCCTCCCTCAGGACCCAGTCTTCCTACCCCCGGGCACATCCGTGCGAGACAACCTCGATCCCGACAGCGAAGCGACAGCGGCCGAATGCCGCGGAGCGTTGGAGGCTGTTTCGCTTTGGGTGTATTTCGCGGGTTTGCTATCCCAAGGGGAAGAAGACGAAGACGTCCTCAAGACCCGCCTCACACCAGACGAGATGCTCTCCCAAGGCCAAAAGCAGCTCTTCAGTCTCGCGCGCATGGTCGTGCGTCGACGTGTACGAGCGCGCAGACGAGCGGCCGAGTTTGGCGGAAACACCACCACCACCACCAATGAAAAAGAGAAAGGACCGGTCCCCACAGACACAGGCATCCTCCTCTTAGATGAAGTCAGTTCCAGCGTCGACCAAGACACAGACGAGCAGATGCAAGCTGTCATCAGGGCCGAGTTCCGGAATTACACCATTGTGATGGTCAGTCATCGGCTGGGGATGGTGATGGCGTCGTTTGATCGGGTGGTGGTTATGGAGGGCGGGCGGATTGTGGAGGTCGGCGGGCCGCGGGAGTTGGTGGAGAGGGAAGGGGGGAGGTTTAGGGAGTTGTGGATGGTTGGGCAGAGTTCTTAAATGTAGTGAAGCAATGAGAGGGAGTAAGGAAGTAACAAGGGGGGATGGGGAGGATTTCATGTCATGTATTGACCCGTAATTCGTAGGATCGTTGATCGTAATTTACATAATTTACACGCATCACCGGTTGCGGTTTGCGGAAAACCGTCGCACCATCACCTCCCGGATTCCATACTTCTTCAACGCCGCCGCGATTCCTCCAGCCCGCATCACCTCGTCAAATACCCCCGGTGGCGGAATGTCCACGTACACCAGCACCAGGCTCTTCAACACATGTGAGAGCACCCGGTTGACACCCATCAACCACGACCACGACCTGTCCCTGTCCTCCTGCTTATGATGCCCCGCCCACTCCTTGTCCCCATACGAGGGCATAACCACAATGCCAAACTCGCTGTGATCAAACACCGGGCCTCGTGCGTAGATGATCCAGTCCACACCAAACTTGACCCCGTGCCGCGGCACCCAGCCGAGAGAGCGGAAGTGGTGGTACACTGCGTAGTGTACCAGGAACGGGTCGTCAGGTCGGAGGTGCGCTGAGGCGAGCGGCTGTGGAGGGAAGTAGGAGTGTGCGCGGAAGAGCGAGAGGAGGTGCTCTGTTGGGATGGGTGTGTCGGTTATTGGGTCGACGACCCGCAAGGCGCCGAGGGAGAAGGTGAGGAAGAAGGCTTCCTCGGGGGATAGTTGGAAGTGTTCCTTGTTTTCGATCTCGGTGGATGATCCTGTGGTGAGCAGTCCGGTGGCTGGGGCTGTCTCAGGCGTCGGAACGTCACCGTTGGCCTTGGGCACGTCGGCGTTGGGGCCGCTCGAGATCGGCGACTCGTAGTGCAGGAACGTCGCGGACTCAACTGTGGGCGAAAAGCGCACGCTCTTCCGGCGCTTCGACTGAGGAACCCCAGAGTCCGATTCAGGAGTCGAAGTTCCCACGGTAGGGACCTCGGAAACGGGCGGGATAAGCGCCGCCGGGGGCTTGACGACTTCATTGTCCCCATTTACCACACTGCTTTTGTCGAGACTCTCCTCTACCAGGGCTTCAAGGGAATCCTCCTTTGTGGGTTCATTCACCGGTCCGTTAATCTCAGGCAACGTCTCGGAGAGGGGATCAACCAGATGCACCTCCTGAACCGTCGGTTGGATGGGAGCGGCCGCTGGCTCAAAGATGCCAAGCCCACTAGGGCGCGTAGGGAGATCCATGTGCGAGTTTGGCAGAAGCAGGAGTTCCAGCGGGCCAACTGGTGCGCTGTAGACTGGAGCATGCTCTTCTGGAACTTTGCGTGCATCGTCCAGCCGGCTGAAGGACTCCTCCACAGAGTTAGGAAGGGCAAGCAGCTCCGCCGGACCAACTGGTGCTCTAAATAATACCGTCGGTTCTTTTTGGGGGGGTGCCAATGGTTGAGATGCTACACCGTGCAGAGGGGTCAAAGAGTTGGGGAGCGCAAGCAGCTCAGCCGGCCCAACAGGAGACTTGGGCTCCGAGGGGCTGTCTGCTGAGACCACCTCCGGGGACTCAGCGACCAGTTCAGGTACCGTTTCCGTTGACGGCTCTGTCGGAAGCGCCTCTGCTTCTGCAACAGCCGGTTCCGCCACCTCGGCAACCACCGACTTCGTAACCTCAACAGAATCCTCGAGGTCATCTAGCTTTTTAGCTCCAGCCGCTACATGGGCGGCAGCTTCTGCGAACCTCTGTTTCTCGATCGCCTCCAGCTCGGCCTTGGCCCTCTCCCACTTGGCCAGCCGACGCTCTTCCCGCCGCAGCTCCGTGCGGGCCTCACTGACAGTCTTGCCTTCCGGCGAACCCCGCCTCGCGAGCTCCCTCTTCAGCCAGTTCGGCTCGCTCCGACTCAGGCTGCCCTTGCCGTAGAACCCTTGTTCCCAGAGCGCCCGGATCGACGGTTCATCTCTGATGTGTACCGAGCGCGTCTCGGGGTCCCAGTACCCTGTGTGTACGACCGACGGCTCGTTGGGCGGGGGGCGCAAGACCTGGCTCAGCCAAGCGTAGGCCAGATAGAGCAACGACAAGGGGTTGTTCGGATAGAATGTGGGGAGTGGAAAGGTGCGGATGGGAGCGGGAAGGGTGTAAATCTGGTTCAGGTTTTGTCTCGGCGGTCGCGGCCCCGGTGGTTTGGCACTTAGCGTACCGCTCGACACATCCGGCCCGTTGGACTTCGCGCCATCATTTGCGTGAATGATGGGAATCGCTGCAGTTTCAGCCATTATCACGGGTCATGTCGACTAGGTGGGGTGTTAGCTTCCAGCGATCGCAAGACAAACACAAAACAAATAGCGCCAGGTTATCAATTGCTCAGATACCGTTGTAGTCTATAAATAGATGGCTTTCATGGAGCGTCCACTGAAGGATATTGCTCTAAGCACAGGTAAAGTGTCATCACCGCAATTGAAGCCAAATACGCCCTCAACCCCGCCTGAGGGGGATATGTCGGGCATTTGGTGTGCGAAGTAGCATCAAACTAGGTCGGAAGAACAGCCCTCAACTGTTGTAAGCTGGCTCACATCCTCGCTTGAGGTGTGTTAAACACCAATGGCTTGAACAAGTCCGCCGCAATGGTGTGAAAAGAAACAAGAGCAGCTTACCAAACAGCGGCGATCACACCCAGGGAAGGGCGACAAAGCGATTGAAACGGCTTGGTCTTAGAGATAAAGACCCTTGACGTTTAAACGAATTGGTGTCTCACCGGAAAGCCGTGGTCACATCGGGAAGTGTTGTGGTTGTACCCTCGGCATCGTCCCTCTGGTGCTTGAAGCTTGGAATTGAAATGGAAGCTTGGTTTCCCGCTGCTCAAAAAAAAAAATCAAGCTGCAGAAAATTCCGGCGGCGGGCGGCCTCATCCTTGAGGCAGCGACGGAGCTTGCAGTGGAGCCCCCAGCTGTCGACCGACCCGCCAATGGCCGTCACACAACCAGGCAGTGGGGCCGTCTGTTCGTGCGGCACGCCCCGCATACCCGGCTTGGGCGGACCAAACCTCGATTTGTGCATGCAATTGTGCCGTTTAGAACATTTTATCAAGCACAGCATGCAGCATTTTAAGGTTAACAACCCCAGCAAACCAACTGCTTGGCTATCGTTATCCCAGGCCTCAGCTCAACAGTCTGAGAATGTTGCAACAACGACAAAAAGGGATAGACACACATCCCAGCTCGCCTTTCACAGCGCAGTAATGAGCAATAAGCACCCCTACTACACAATGAATCCAATGCCGGCCTCCCCGGCCGCCTACTTGCGGTTGTCAGCTCGCCCCACAAGGGATTTGCGGTCAATCGCAGGTCGTTTCTTCCCGCTGTCGCCGGGCTTTCCGTCGCGTCCGAATTGAATTTATAGCTTAATCCGTGTCCGGCCCACGATCTAACTGACCCATGACCACCCCAACCCACCACCACCTTCTCCTCTCGTCCGCACCGCGATGACTGCTGCCGGCAATGACCCAATGTCAATAGTGGTCCAAGGCGCGGCCTTGGTGAGCTTCATCTGGAGCTGCACGGTGTTTGTCGTCCAGTCGATCGGCATCTATCAGATGTAATTGGGCCACCCCCTTTTTTCTGTTTTGGCTTGACACCAAACCAGCAAGCAGTGACTAACCGTCCGTTTGCGTCTGCTTCTTCTATCCAGTCTACGCAGTCACTCCGCACCGGGACCGCCTCCAGTGTCGACGACGTCTGTCCCCGACAATGAGATCCCACACATTACCATCATCCGTCCCGTGAAGGGTATCGAAGTCGGGCTCTACGAATGCCTCGCCTCGACCTTCCAGCTCGCCTACCCGAAATCGAAGTTCACCATCCACCTCTGCGTGTCGACGGCCGACGACCCAGCGTATCTAGTCCTCCAGCAGCTCCGCGCCGACTTCCCCGACATCGACGCCCGGATATTCGTCGAGGACGATGACCCGCTGCTCCATGGCGCCGATGGGCATGTCAACAACCTGGGGCCAAACCCCAAGATCCGCAACATGAGCCGGGCCTACCGCGAGGCAAAGGGGGATCTCATCTGGATTGTGGACTGCAACATCTGGGTCGGGTCCGGGTCAGCCGCAAGGATGGTCGACAAGCTCTGCGGGTTCCGTCCCAACGGCGAACGCGCAACCCCTTACAAACTCGTGCACCAGCTTCCTCTCGTCCTCGACATCGAGAATTCTTCGAGTGCTTCCTCCACAGAAGAGGAACACGGCCTCCTCCCCAAGCCCGGAACCAACCTCCCACGATCACGCCATAACGACCCCCCCAGGAGCAGATCTCTCTTCGACCACGGCGGCCGCCTCGAAGAAATGTTCATGGCCACCAGCCACGCCAAATTCTACTGCGCCATCAACACCGTAAGCATAGCCCCCTGCACCATCGGCAAAAGCAACATGTTCCGCAAGTCCCACCTCGACCGCTTCACCGACCCAGCCGCCAACCCGCTCCTCTCCGCCTCCGACTCTACCCGCGGCCGCGGCCTCGACTTTTTTTCATCTTACATCTGCGAAGACCACCTCCTCGGCGACCTCATTTGGCGCTCCCAACTATCACCCGCGACCGGCGACGGCGCCTTCAACCAACACGGCCTCGTCTTCGGCGAACCTGTCATCCAACCCATCGCGGGTATGTCCGTATCGTCCTACGTCGCCCGCCGCGTGCGCTGGCTACGCGTGCGGAAATGGACCGTGCTAGCCGCAACCCTCGTCGAACCGGGCATCGAACCCTTCCTGTGCAGTCTGCACGTCGCCTTTGCGCTGACCTCTCTGCCCTGGGCACGCGACCGATTATTCGGCAGCCCCGACGCGTTGTTGTCCTCCGCCCCGCCCACCTGGGGTTCTATGGCGGGAATCTGGCTATTCACAGTCACGGCGTGGATGTTGCTAGACTGGTGGTTCAGTACCCGGCTTGGGCGTCTCGCCAGCGTTGAGGTGGATGCCAACACCCCTGGGTTTGCGATGGGGTCCGGTCGGCAGGGTGGCGTGCCGAGGAGACCATTCTTGCAGTTTCTAGGTGCTTGGCTGGGTCGCGAAGCGCTGGCTCTGCCGATTTGGACGTGGGCTGTGTTACTGGGCACGACGGTGGATTGGCGAGGAAAGAAGTTTCAGGTGCGGATGGATATGAGTGTGGTGGAGTGTGAAGATGGGAATAAGGGGAAGAGGAAGCGGACGTCGGCGGCGTTGTCGGTGCCGTCTTCGGATACGAGTCGGCCGAGTTCGAGGAATAAGGATCGGATAGATTGATGGATGGGAGCATGGAGGAAATAGATGAAGGATAGAATAATACCCCCGTTATGTTTAATAATATTTATTCGCATTGTATAGACCAGCTGGTCCATCACTCAGGTGATGTGGACTAAGGATCCATTTTGCAATTTCTAGCTGTGGAATTTCTTGATAGACGCCTTCCTTGAAAATCATCCCGTTAACACCCCTTCCATGATCTCCCTTCCTGGTCCACGGCAACCCCCTATTTAGCATCCCACTTCTTAGCCTCCACCCCCTCCGGCGGGACCGTCTCGACCGTCCGCCCCTTCACATCGTTCCAATCCGTGCTCAACGCCGTCCCGTTGCTCTCGACAAAGCTCTTCATCATCGCCCGCTGCTGCTCCGGCGTGGCGCCCTTATACAGCTGCTTGAAGAAGCCGTTGACGTCGTTCTTCTCGTCGTCTGCGTCGTCCCCTTCTCCCGTGCCGTCCCCGCTCGCGAGTTTGTCCCAGTTCTTCGGGCCGGAACGGCTGCTCGTTGGGTAGGCGGGGCCGGTGGAGGTGGCTTTGGTGGTTGTGGAGGGCTGGGTGGTGGTGGTGGATGGGGCGGTAGTAGATGTGGTTTGCGTCGTGAATGTCGCGGCGTCGGAAGCGGCGGAACCGATGTCCTCCTTGCCCCAGGATCCCCATTTGACGCCTGGTGTGGCCTTTTGAAGGACGAGCTCAATCTTGTGCGGCGTGGCAGACCACCGGCTCTTGGCGGGGTCGATTTGGCCGCCGAGTGTGAGGGTCGAGGTAGCTTCGCGGTCACCGGGCTGGACATATGGAGCCGCTGCGCGAGGAAGTGAGGAGATTTGTACCTGTTTCTGGTTAGCATACGCAACATCACAGACGCGCTTCATGGAGCAACTTACCTGAGTATCGGAGAACTTCACATTGAGGTCCGGCTTCTTGGCGTCCTTGACGAACAATGTGACCGTCACATTCTGGTTGCTCTGGTAGAAGTCAACCCTGAGCTTGAGCTTCTCGTCAGGGACGCTACCCGGGGCCGGACCGGCAGGTTTGCTCGGCTCGGCCACATCCTCGTCGCTATCGACCTCGGTTTCTGGTTCCGGTTTCTTCGCAACCTCCTTTTGTGGTCGCGACGGGGTCTTGGTGACAGACACCTTCTTTCCCTCATGGTCCTCAGGTAAATTCTTCAATGCCATCAGCGCCTGGCTCCTCCACGTGTACGCCCGCTTCCAGTCGTCCTCAAATCCGGTCTTGGCCGTCGTCGGTCCACCAGAACCGCCTCCACCCATCCCAGCGAGCATACTCTGCTTAAAATCCGCGTCGCCCTGGCCTGGTTGTCCCGCACGGTCAGCTACACCGTCCTCGTAGGTCACGGTGTAGGCGCCATTACCATCGATTTGTTTCTCTACCCCATCGTCCTCACGGGCCGGGCGGCCCTCGGCGAGGAGCATGCTCCACTTAGCGCAGCAGTCGGAGTCGGCGTAGCGGCCGAGCTTAAAGTAGATCACGGCGCGGCGGTACTGCGCTTGGATCATCTGTTTCCGCGATGTGCCGGAGCCGCGCTCAGCAGCCACGTGGTAAGCCTCGCTGACATCGCGCAATGCAGCATCGTAGTTCTTGAGTTGTGTGTGGGCTTGTCCACGGGCAAGCAGCCAGGCGGGAGATGACGATGAGGCGAGGGCCTTGTCGAGAAGCGGAATGGCTGCTTCGTACTGTTTGTTTTGGACCGCTTCCAGGCCCTGGTGGGCGAGCGTTGTTGCGGACATGGTGGTCAAAATTGTGAGTTGGAATCAGTGGGAAGAGGCAACTTCTGCTGTTAATTGAAAGATATTACGGGAACAACCAAAGTACACAGCCGCAAGCTGGAAATCGGTGGCTCTGAATTGGGAGGGGTTCACGGATTAAATAGGCGATAAAAATCCGATTGGGTTAAGGTTCGGATTCAAGATTGTCGTTCTTTCAGAACATACCTATCTTTCTAAAAGCCGAGAAAAAAGGGAGTTACCCGGTCCAACGGGGAAGACGAAGGTAGAAATGCATAGAACCTAACCGCCGCGCAAACAAGCTCCTAAAAGAAACGGCGGGGTAGTTAGCTGATTCTGCCTTGAATCTGCAGGGTGCATGAGGCTCCCCAGCCGGAAAACAGTCACCGCCTTCTAAATATGGATAGAGACCATTCCGCATGACGTTAGACCCATGAAATTGAGTACAACTTCAAATGAGTTGCAGACCGCGTCGCAAGCCTTGGGTGCAGACTCCAAACTGTACTGCATCATCTATCCAACGCTCAACTCCGCAACGGCACCACATCTCTCACACGTCACCGCCGGAAGCCCGGCACCATTGACCGATACCCGATTTTGCGCCTCCCCACCACCACAATGTCGCATCTCGGCCCTGGCAAGGCCGTGAGCAGCAAGGAGCAGACTGGCCTGCGCTACCCGTCCAATGGCAAGACCATCTACCACCGTCCGCTGAACCGCACCAAGACCGCCGAACTCAGCCAGTCGAGCTTCGCCTACCTCTTTTCCGAAATGGTAACCTACGCGCAACGGCGGGTTACCGGCATCCAAGAGCTAGAGAAGCGGTACGCTACCAATCCCACTTTCTTCCCTCATTCATCAAGCTCGTCCGTCCCAGCTCGCTAACCGACCCCACCCCACTCCCCAGCCTGAACCTCCAAGGCCACCCCATAGGCCTCAAACTCCTCGACCTCCTCCTCACGCGAGAACCGCCCCGCTCCCAAACCCGCCCCCTCACCATCATCGCCCTCCTGCACTTCATCAAAATCAATCTCTGGACCCACCTCTTCGGCCGCCAAGCCGACCGCCTCGAGAAGAGCTCCAACCCAGACACCCCCGACGAGTACATGATCATTGACAACGAACCGCTCGTCAACGCCTACATCAGCGTGCCGCGCGAGATGAGCCAGCTCAACTGCGCCGCGTTTGTGGCGGGCATGATTGAGGGGGTATGTGACGGGGCGATGTTCCCCGCGCGGGTCACGGCGCATAGTGTGGGTGGGAAAGAGGAGGGTGAGATGTGGCCGGGGAAAACGGTGTTTTTGGTTAAGTTTCAGCCGGAGGTTTTGGAGAGGGAGGCGTTGATTGGGAAGGGGTGAGCAGCCAAGTGAGAGTTAATCTTGTAAGCGTTGGGACTCTGGGAGAGTTGAGTTGAGCATTGGTCGGCGTTTGGGCTTGAGCGTTTTGTCACTTTTGACGGAGAGTTTTCGATATCGTGTTTATGAAAGGTTCAAATTGAGGAATTCTCAAAAGCACTGGGTATTCCGCGTTTGCCGTATACCGATAACGCCGCTAATGGCTATCCCCCATAACCCATTTGATGAGTCTTACCCCCAAGCCTAATAACGCCCAAAAATGCAACGCCTCCCATTCCGGCTCGAGCCTTTCAATATCCCCCCATCAACGCGGCAAGCCCTGATACTGGCTCCCAGTACCAGCACCACCACCCCTCCTTCTACCTCCAGGCAAGCGCTTCGGCACGGAACCAGCGGTCGGTCCACGCGCCAACAGCTCCGAAAGGCCCAGGTCCTTCCAGGCCGGCTCGCGAGCCTTCTGCGTGGCCTTCTGCACTCCATAAGCGGCATGCTGGTCCGGCACCACGTCGTCTTCCTCCTCCGGGTTGATGGGCTGCAGATCGGGGGGCACATAGATGTCGTCGTGGGGCAGCTTGTCCTTGCAGAACTCCTCGAAGAGGTCCGCATGCATGGACTTGTGCATGTGCACGTGGGTGAAGCAGCCGTCTTTGTTCTATTTGCGAGTTAGTCTCCGCGGTGACCCAAAAAGAATTAAGTGGCGATTGTAGGAAAGTGAAGGTAAAGACAAACCATGTTGGCCGAAATCGGGGCGCGAGCACTGCGTGCAGGGTGAATGGGAATCTTGAAGAACCACTCCTTAGGTTCAGTTATGGTACTGGCGCTGGAGCTCAATGGGATGCGTGACTGTGGAGGCGTGAGAGTCCACGTCGAGTCAGTGGAAGCGCTTCGCGCCCGATTGTTAACGTTAACAGGAACGTTAACGTTAAAGTTATTGTTATTCGCACGTTGCATCTTGGCACGTTGGTGGGGTTGTTTGTGGCGTTGATGGCTGGTGTGAGCGTTACACGTGATTTGGAGGGGCAAATGCACGTGCCTTGGGAAAGGGAAATTGAGAATTTGTGGCGCAGATTAGGAGTCGCCATGACCCTAACCCTGGCCATGTGTGAGCTCGGCAACCGCTCAACATGGAAGGTTCAAGTTTTTCGACTCCCCAAATCGAAACAATGACTTCATTCTTATGGCATTGTCTCAAATGAGTCAGTCAGATAAAATTACAAAGGAAACATGTTATTGAGTCGAGACGAACAGTTTATTCATGTCATGCGAAAAATTCACCAGATTCTCATGATAACAAATTAATTATCCAAAATCATCACCAGATAAACTTCGAAAAATAATGTTAAACCCAAAAAATGTTGAGATGCCTTTCAACACTCTCCCCAAGACCAAAGAACTCATCATTTTTGCAGGACAGTTTGCACCCAAGAAGCAAGACGGCCTCGTCAGCTGTACAACGTTGTGTCACACGCCTCAAGATAATGCTGTCAAAGTGTTTCCAAAGATAACCCCAAGACCAGGGACGGCAGTGCTAAGCCATCCGGCATCCCCAACAGCAGCCTAATGGTTGACAGATAGAACAACTTGATTTTATAAAGGGGGTATTGAGTTGCCAAAAGCTGCATGGCCCATGTTTTTAATGTAGTTGGAACCCGCCGAATGTCTCTCTCGATGCTTCACGTCTCTCGGGAGAACTCGACGCTCACTCAAAGCTTCGTTCCTTCGCCGCAGCTTCAAACATCCCTCTCCCCTCACTTTCCACTCACCAAGAAACCCCACGATCGCAAGTCCAACATCTTCTCTCACCTAGTGTACGACCCTCACCCTCCGAAAATGGCCATCCTGATCGACAAACCGGTGGGTGGGCCGAGCAGGCTCGGGCCACCTCGTCACCGTCAGCGGCCGTGCGTGATCGTCCTTCGACCTTGGAACTGGGAGCGACATACACTACACTAGTTAGTGCAAACTAACGTTAGCGCGCTCCCGACCTTTTCGGGTCACGCCCGCGTTTTGTTGGAAGTCAAACAGCAAAGGGCAATTAGTTACGTGTAGTGACAGCAGGACCGGAAACCCATCTGTATCTGGGAGAGCGACATAAATCGAGCTTCTGATCATGTAGTTAGTTCTAGAATGTTGCAACTTCTCGGTGGTGTAACGGGGATATCCGAAAAGCTGCGACGGGCTGCAAGACGCCGTCCAATCAGCCTAGGGATTTTTGAGGATTCCCAACTCTCCATCTGAAAGGCAAGCAAACACTGGGGTTCCGACACCGACCGTCAGCTCCTGACAGCCCGGCCGCGAACAGTCGTCCCAATGCAGCGGAGTACACTAGTGAGCTGAGCCTAGAAATGCATCAAACCTTGACTTTTCTGCACCGGTTTTACATTCCGGTTTGTGCAGCTACCGAAACGCCTCCAGTTATTTACGCGTATTCTGCGCCCCCAACGAAGGCTGCAGGCAGAGCCTGGAACACGCGGCTGGCCGTTGTGGCGAAGACTCAGTTATCGGTCGGCTATTTGGTGGTGCATCGAGTTGGCTTGGCTGAGAAGCTGAAAGGCAAACGGCCCGGCGAGGCCTTGCGAATTCCTCTTCCCCGCCATTGCCATGGGGGCCTGGGCCTTGGAAAAAACACCCCCGCAGTGCGGCGAGGTTGTGAAACAACGGAGGAAATAGACAAAATTCGTCCGCGGGGGATGCGGCGTAATTCTGCGCTTCCGTTGGAGACGGATCCGTAAATGTCCCTGTTGACTATCAAAGCGAAGAAAAGGCTTTCTTTCGAGAACGAGAAAACGCGGGAGAACGACCCCAACATGAAACATTTAAAGAGGGTTTAATCTGGCGGCAATTGTCGAGGGGCAATAGAATTCTATGCTAACCCTGACGGGAGCCCACTCGCTTGTAACCGTTCATTTTACTCTTGGCACGTTGGACGGGAATGACAGGGTTATGCGCGCTAGCAAAAACGGATCGTTTGCCAGAATCAAGGGGATCGGCGGCCTCGATGTCTTTTTTTCCACAGGGGGTTTTTGCCGTGAACTCCAAGCCGCGTTTCTGTTTGTCGGTAGGGAATGTGTCTGCGGACTTGCGCATTGCAGCTTGTCGAGTTTTGTTGGTGGTTCTTTTCTGTCTTCAGCACTTGGAACCGAAGCGAGCTCGACCGCGCTACTCTCCCTTGGCGGGCGCATTCCACTCGTCACTTGTGTGCGGACCTGCATCCCATTAGGTACAAAAAACCAACCGCACGGCGCAAAGAGCGAGCGCTAACGTGGCTTTGGAACGGAGCCACACGTCGAAACCTTCCTTGGAACGGAAAACTGTGCGCAAGAGTGAGACCAACGACTGGGAACCGACTGGATGGTACGGACTGTTCCATCCATGCCCGTGGAAGGTGACATCCGATAACAAAGACACCCCGAGCGAAACGTCCTCAGCCAAATCGGCCGTGGCCAGGAAACGGCCTGCAATGGATTTGGCCAGCGCGCCGTCTTGTGTGATTGTCAACCTGAAAAGAGGCCACCGGGCACGGGACCACTTGGCTTGGCTGGGGGAGTTGGCGCGGGAAAATAGCATGATCGGGAAGAAACGATGGGCATTGACGGCTCCCTGGGTGGCCCATTCCGCCGAGATTTGCATCATCGACAGCACGTCGCGGTTTGTTGGGCTCAATTGGCCAATTCGTCAGTTCGATCTTGTCATCGCGCGGCCCTTGGGAATGGGCTTGATCGCGCGTTGAATGACACAGACCGCAGCAACGATCTTCCTTGAGCGACCTGCTGGCGCGCAAAAAGGAGACGGGCCGGGCCAAGCCAATCAAGCTTGTCCTCTGTAACCAAGAAAAGTAAGTGGGACCTGCACAAACCCGCAGGGTTGCAGCTTCCCAGGGGCGAGCATGGGGTGACGGTGGGACCACAAGCAACGGGGATTGGCTGGGGCCGCTGGTCTCCGTAACCTTGATCTCCCAGGTACGTACCAGGGTCGGTTGGGGACCCCATCTTCCATTTCCCATTTCTTTTGCTCGATGCCCAGGCCTAACACAGGCTGTCTTCTCCCCTTCGAGGACCAGTTCGCCTCATTCACCGCTTCCTCGAACGAGGGGAACAACTCCAGAAGGCGCCGATCGAAACGAACCCCATCGTTGACGTTGTTCTTTGCGGTGTGCGCCGGGTGCCGAGTTTCAGTCACTCTCTTTTCGCCGTTCCTTCGTTCCTTCCACGCCGAGTCCACTTGTCTCCTGCTGGGAAGGGGTCCCGGGCCCGTGTTGTTCTTTTTTTTTCATCCCTTTTGTCCACCTTTGTGTGGGCGACTTCTGCTTTTTGCTGTTGGATTGGAGTTGTACACGGGCACGTCTTGCCGCCATTGTTTGGTGAGTTTTCCTGGCTTGCTGCTGCCCGGTTGCCACTCATGTCATTGTTACCTCCTTCCTCTGGAGAGCTGTGTGCCTCAAGTGGTGTCACTCCGCATCCGTCTCATCTCGGGCTTCTGCATGCCTTGGTAACTAACACTATGGCAGGTTAGGTAGCGGCGTGACCTTTTAAGGAAACATAAATTCGAACACCCGACCTGCATTGCCATCAAGCACAACCTGGCAACCTGTCGATACCCGGCACTTGTTGACCGATATAATTACCCACCGATCTGACGACGACCCCTAGTACCCACTACTCAACCCTAGCACCATGGCGTCTGGTGCTGTTGACAGCCAGGCCGACAGGCCAGGCTTGAAGCTTGAAACCACTACCACGACTCTTAAGACCAAGTTGTCGCAGGAAACCCTCACTCAGCCGTTCCCGACCCTGGAAGAGAAGGAAACCCGCGAGTCACGACCCTCAGATCTCTCCACCCCCGCGACAGCGCGCCTCAACCCATTCGACACCGACATCGAGGCAAGGCCCGTCATGACGCACGATTCGAGCCGGAAGTCGGCTGAGTGCACGAAAGGAGGGACTGACTGCCACGTCTGGCCCGGCCAGGACCATTGGAAGCGCAAGGCGAAGGCGGCGCGGAAGAACAAGCACAACTGCACATGTTTGGCGGGTCTTAGCAGGCGCAACCGTATTGCGGTCAAGATCCTGATTATCGTTCTCATCGTCGGCGTCGCTGTGGCGGTCGGTTTTGGCGTCAGCAAACCACTCGGCGCGGGGATCTGGCGCAGCGAGACTCAGAACTGAGCTCCGGAGAGGACCGTACCCGTCACCGTTTCACTCCTGGGTTGTCTCGTCTACCATAGCACCCAACCCCCACCCAACCATCTCTTTTGTTATGCCAGGGAGTCATCCTTCAGCGCATCAGCTTCATCCACCTACCATTCTCCCATTGGCACCGCCTCAGGTCATCTCGCCGCGTTCCTAGGCCTTTTTACAAGTCCAGCATAATAATCCACCGGGGAATATTACCGTCCAGGATACCCAGCACCGGCCAATCCCCTTTTATTCGCATAGAGCATGCTGGCCCTTTTGATTTTTCCCACCAGCATGCACTTTCCGGCGTTCATCATTTCACCTTCCGCGTCTGCTTCATTTTCTACGGGTTGCAGAGAGCATTTGCATGGAGTTCAGGGATAATTTCACGGTCACGACGCACAAACGGGGCACACACACCTTGGTTTTTCTCGCTTCGAACCGCCGAACATATGTTGGGTGGCACAAACATTCGGATGCATAGATAGATAATAATCACATGCCAAGGATGGGCGGCCACAACGGGGTATTGTTGTGAGAGCATAGTACTACGTAGCAGAGGAGGGCTTTTTTGTTTGATTTTTTATGTTTTGCCTCTTTCCTTTTGTGAGGGTTCGGGGAATGGTGTTACTTTACTACATGTTGCGCAATGGCGCAGGGAAAGGGACCGAAGTGGTGGTGGCGTATTGCTGCTGACTGCTGGGCACTTGCGATAGTGTGTTGGACGACGAATGTAAAGTTTGTTTAGGCTGCTCTCTTGCGTTCTAGAATATGTGTGATTTGTGACCATGTGTCCATTCCTGTGAAGGTGTTTGTCACCAGGTTCGTCGTTACAGCCGACATGTGCCACGGGTTAGGGGTGGTTAGTGAGACATGGTTGGGGTTGTTGGGTAGCGGGTAGAAGGTTATCCGAAAGCCCGCCGGGAGGACGGAGGGGGTTGGGAGATGGATGGTGAAAGTGGTATTCGGCCGTATTTAACCGGGAAAGGTATTTGTTTGGGCAGCTCATGTTGCGATTCGGACAACATGGCGTCACATTTGTGTCGGGGGACTCTTGAAGGGGAGTGTCACATTGTGGATATCGGTTCATCGGTCATGAGATTCTCGACGTTACTCGGGGTTCAATTAGCTAAGTCTTTGGGAAACTAACCACTAGCTAATTATTACATTCCGTTTTGGGACACAATACCCCTCATGCGTGATGGCAGATCCGTTTCCTCGGGGTTGTTAACGGTGAATGGGATTCCTCCTCCGGATCATGTCCGCTGGAGAATTCCACCACAATTCAGCAACTTGATGAGTTGGTAGAAAAGAATCGCTCGACGGTATTACCTCCTTGGAGAGGTCCCCCTTCTTAAAGCTTAGATTCTAATTTCATTTCATCTCTCTTTCAACTCGGCAGTCTCCACCATCCTAAATATCGACAAAATATCGTCAGTATTTATTTTGTCTACACGCCGGGTAAGAAGCGAGGTAACGAACTCAAAGGCTGACCCTAACCCCATTTCCTTGGCGCTCTTTTTCCCTGCTTCCTCCTCATCGTCGCTTTCCCCGCCCATTCTTCTTAGCCTTGTTCGCCCGTCTCTCGTCGCTGTGAGTTTCATTCAACTGATCTGCCAGAAAGGCTGATGGTGTCATGGCCGGACTGTCGCGGGGTTGAGGTAATGTCGGCGAGCAAGGAGGGGTTGAAGTAGGGGTATTGATGTCGTGCGAAGCGGTACTGTCTGGTAAGAAGGTGGATTGAGGTTCGGGAAGAGTGGTAGGGTCAAGATTGGTAGAAGTGTCAGCGTCAAGACCGACAGAAGGGGTGATAATAGCGCCATCATTGGCTGAAGCTGGAGGGGGTTTAAGAGACTTCAACTCAATTGGAGTCGACGACGTGGTGTTACTATCAACTCCAAAAATGGCCGTGGGGCGGGAAAAAGTAGTGCGAGAACCGCCCCTGTGCGTCTCCATGGTATCAGTGTCGCTAACAATATCACCATTCCGGGCCCCCTCTTCCTGGTTCCGCTCTCGCCCCTGACCCCTCTGCCTCTGCCGCTGCTCCTCCAACTCCCGCTTCTGTTCTATTTCCCGTTCTCGCTCCCTCCTCAGGTGCCTCTCAACCTTTATCCGGCTCCGTTCGATTGCTTCCTCTCTTTTGATCTCTATACGTGTGCGCGGGCGCTGTTGTCGTGGTGATGATCGGCTGATTTCTTCCCTTCCTGAGTTTGGACGTGGCCGTGAGGGGCGTGGCGAAGCGGGGGGAGACAGGGTGGAGCGGGAAGGAGAGGAAGAAGAGCCGGCGGAAGGACGGAGGATCCAGATCAGGAGGGAGGCGAAGGTAATGATGGAGGGGATTACGATGGCAAGGGTGAGGAGGGTTGATGGGTTGTCAGACATGGTTTGAGGAGTGGGGTGAGTTAGGGTAAGTAGAGGCAAGTAACTTGAGGTTGAGAACTTGGGGTTGAGGAAATTGAGTTGGAAATTTGCGGTTATTTTGTGGGTGAAGGATTGAGATGGGTTCACACGGAAAGGATGAATTATATGTTCTGCTTACAACAGAGTTGTTCGAGGTTTGTATCTTGGACTCACCGTACTTTTCACGGATGTTTACATCGAATTGTTTGCTAATTGTAGCTTTTGGAGGAATCAAGAAGGAACAACAAATACTAATTGATTACCTAGTGAGTTTGTAGAGACATGAACTCAATCATCTAAGTTTGCCCATTCAGGCAAAACCTCTGGGCCAAGTCGAGCAACCACACCAAAATGTACCTCCGCCGAGCTCGGACGACGTCATTGTTAGTGAGTGTATTCAGACGTAGGTTCCTTGTTACTCCATTTCTTGATCAACTCCAGGTGAGTTGCTGACAACCATCAAGTGCCTTGCCAAGCCATTTCGTCCGCCGAGCTTCGGTCGAACGTCTGGTCTATAAGTTTGGGCATCCGCCACCTTTCACCGTCTTACTCTCTTCAATCCGCCATCAACTTACAAACACCACAAATAATCTGACCATGGTCAAGATTGCTATCGCCGGCGGCGCCGGAAGTATGGTTCCATCACCCACTGACTCACCCATCCTTTGATCCCTTGCTCACACACACCCAGACGTTGGACAGGAAATCATCGACGTGCTTGCCGCGACAAACAAACATGACATCTTGGTCCTGTCTCGCAAGGTCCGCCCCGTCCCTCACCCTCCATGTTTACTACCCAACTGACTGCTCGCGATTACTAGGACGCAACCCCCAACGACCTACCCCCCACCGTAACCTGGGTCAAGACAGATTATACCAACCTCGACAGACTCACGCAGACGCTGCGCGGGGTGGACACGGTGCTTTCGTTCATCACAGCACATATGGACCCGGGGAGTGTGGCGCAGAAGAGTCTGATTGATGCGGCGGTTCGGGCGGGAGTGAGACGCTTCGCGCCGAGTGAGTGGGCGTCGTTAGTTTTCTCTCTTTCTCACTCTTTTAGTTCTGATCTGTTTCGGGGGTTTGGGGTTTGAGGTTCGGTGTCAGCTGGGAGAGTGACTAATTACGAGACAACAGGTCAAGCTTCGAGCACATGCCCTGGAACGACGGCAAGGCCGTGATCCGGGAGTACCTAGCTGAGTTGAACAAGGAGAAGAAGGTAATAGCCCTTCCTAGAATCAACCACCAACCCTCCTTCGTTCGTCACCAAACACTAACAAACTCCCCAGATCCTAGAATACACCCTCTTCCAACCAGGGCTCTTCACCAACTACCTCACCCACCCGTACCGGTCCACCAAACACATCCAGCCAATCGAGACCCCGTTCGATTTAGCCCGGCGCCGGGCGCTGGTCGTCCAAGGCCGTTACGAGGAGGCGCGTATCACGCTGACGACTGTGGCTGATCTGGCGCAGGTGGTGGTGCGCGCTGTGGAGTATGAGGGGCCGTGGCCGGTGGTTGGGGGGATTCGGGGGGATGATATGACGCTGCGGAAGGTGGTGGAGATGGGTGAGAGGGTGAGGGGTGAGTGTTTTCTTTTTTTGTCTTTCTTTTTTTTCTTATTTATTCTATTTCGTCTTGTTCTCGTGCTGTGTGTTTGGGAATGCTTTGCTTGGACCCGGTAGCTGATTAAATCGGTTTAGGAGGCAAATTCACCGTCGAAAAACTCAACGCCGACGACCTCAAGGCCGGAGTGGTCAAGTCGAGTTGGATGCCACAGCCTACCCACCCGTCGTTTACGCCGGAGGAAATTGCTGCTTTGGCGCAGCGCATGACAGCGGGCATTGTGCTGGGAATATCATCCAACACGCTGAGTGTGTCGGATGAGTGGAATCAGCTGCTGCCGGATTATGAGTTTACCAAGGCGGAAAAGTTTCTGAGGGAGCAGTGGCGTGGGAAAGAGTTAAGGTAGTGTGTGTAGCGTAATTACTGTAATTACCTTTTCGAACAGGAGATTCAGTCTCGGATAATCCTATGATTGGCTCAGTGCTATTTCAACGAATTGTATCGTAAATATCATTCGTCCGCCGAAGCTCGGGCGAACTCGACCCAAATCTCCCTCGAGTTCCACGGTCAATACTCTCAACCTTCTCTTTCTAGACTCTTGTAATTATCTCGTTCTTTAAATTTCTAAAATGACAAGAGCCTCTATCCCAGAACAAGATACCGCCGCACCGCAATCCGACTCGGAAAGACCACGAAAGAGAGTGCGCAAAGGGACCCGGAGCTGTTGGGAGTGCAAGCGACGCAAGGTCCGGTGCGGATTTGCATCCGCCAGCGATACCATCTGCAGCCCGTGCCGTCGTCGGAAAACGGGGTGTGTCAGCCAGGAGTTTCCGGATATCCTGCAACCTGAACCCATCCAAGATGAGTCGTCTGTCCGAGATGGACATATACAGGAGAGATTAGACCGCATGGAGGCTTTGATACAGTCGCTTGTTGAGCGGGCCACAGGAGACGACAGGGTGTTTGGATCTTTGCTTCGTTTCGATACGCTCGCAAAAAGGAATGTTGTTGCTGCTCCCAGAATAACCCGGCCAATTACACCAGCCACGCCCTTGACTCGGATGTTGGATACACAATCCAAGTACGACGGCTTGACCCAAAAGCTGACGGCCGCTTGGCCAAGTCAACACACACTTGACCGCTTGTTCAACTCCCACTCGAAATCCTCGGCATCTCTCGCGCTACAAGCATCCAGTCTGCCGTTTTCCAGCGCCTTATCACTTCAAGACATCCTCAAACCACCTCCGCCAGCATCCCATCCCGTCCTCGTGGCCCGCAAATTACTACTCCTCGGAATCTGTCTGCAGGGCTTCGACGTCTGTGGGACACACGTTTCCGATATTGTGCTAGATTACCACACGATTGTATCCCGCGCAATTGACGCAGCCAGCCTAGTCACCACCAACGACGAACTTACTGGCACCCGAGAGGGTATCGAATGCATCATGATGGAAAGCCTTTGCCACGACGCAGCGGGCAATCTCCGACGTGCTTGGATAGCTATTCGCCGGGCAGTATCTATGGCCCAGGCCCTTGGTCTACACCGCCCTTCGTTACCAACTCCCTCCATTCCCAGCGCGGTCAACACCGAGCAGCTCTGGCTCCGACTAGTCCAAACCGACCGTTTCACCTCCCTCTTGCTCGGACTGCCCCCAGGACCTGCCACCGACAATGACGTGTTTGCGGCGCCGGCTGTGTTGGAGTCTTGCTCGCCGTTGGAGAAGATGCGTCGGCTGGATTGTTTGGCTGCGGGGAAGATTCTGGCGCGGGGTGGTTCGTTGGAGAGCATAGGGGATTGTGCGACGACGAGGCAGATTGACGGGCTGTTGCAGCAGGCCGCGGCGTGTATGCCACCGTCGTGGTGGGTTGTGCCTACGACGATGGTTGAGCAGAAAGAGCCGCAGTCGGTTATTGCGAGAGGGATGGTTTTGATGGATCAGTTTGTGCATTTTCACTTGGTTGCTCGGCTTCATTTGCCGTATCTTTTTCCGCATCACAGCCACACCCACACCGGAAGCTCCCTAGCTACCAATCCCAAACATCACACTACTTCCAGCAAACACACCGCCCTAACCGCCACCCGCTCCATGCTCACCCGCTACCTCGCCTTTCGCAACCTCCCTTCCAGCCTCTCCCCTGGTCCCCTCTCTGGGTCATCTCCTTCGTCCTCTTCATGCCCCCAGCAAAAAGGCACGCATTACTGCCACGGCATGGACCTCTTTGCCTTCCTGGCCGCATGCGCCCTCTGTATCGAGCACATCCAGGCGTGGTGTCATCTACGACGGACCCAGGCTCAGTCACAGTCACAGTCACAGTCCCACTCTCTGGGTATTATGTATGACCCGGACCTGGACCTGGGGTGTGGCTCCCAGGAAGGACTGGAACGTCTCGAGGGTTTGGTACATTCACGACAGGAAGATTGCGGGATGGTGGAGGCTGTGCTGGGGTTTCTTGGGCGGGGGTCAGGATCTGGGTCTGGGTCTGCGTCTGGGTTTGGGCTGAGTGCATCTTTGGGCGAATTCGCTTCTGCTTCCGCTAGACCAAGCGAACTAGACGGGCAGGGAGGAACGGGTGAGCCGAGTAAACCGAGTGAAGCAGAAGCAGATGTATCGGAACCAGGGGAACCAGGGCCGGGAACAGGAAACGTGGATATGCTCATGACACTACAACGACTGCTCACAGCAGAAGAGGATGCGAGGAATGGGGGAGAGTATACAGTTGGCTGGTGCTCGGATGGTGCTGGGTGTTTGGCATGGGGGGCGGATGAGAGCCAAGACAGGGTGTTGGTCGAGGTTCCACATTTCGGGATTGTTGGCGTGGAAAAGGCGCATGTGGATGTGGATGGAGGGGTTGTAGGGATGGGTATCGGGGATGGGAGCGGGAGTGAGGAAGGGTTGGGGTGGGATAGGTGGATGGTTCCGGGAGATGAGGAGGCGTGGGAGGGAGATTTTATAGTAAGGGAAGAGCGGTTGGGTAACTAACTACCTAAGGTAGAGGTAGGTACCTGAATTATCTAAGGTAGGTTACTCTGCAAACCCGTCACTAACTCGCTCCCCACCAAACCGACAAAACCCCGTCTACCACACCTCCAACCAGAGCCCCTTCCCCATCACGCCTTCACGTCGCCCTACTCCGCCGACTCCTGTTCCTGGCTGTACCTACAGGGCACTGGAGCGAGTGCGTCGACGGGGTAGATAGTGATGTCGACGCATTCTTCGTTGTCGTCATTGCCCAAGGATACGCCCACCTTCCATGTGCCATCGGGTTGGCTGCAGGCCGCCCAGGAGTTGCCCTGAAACAGTAGGGGCTCTGTTGTGCTCTCGGTCCAGCCCCCGACCTGCCAGTCGGTGTTGGTTACAGGTTCGCTGAAGTACTTCAGGTTATCTTGGCCTAATTAGGTAGGTAATTATCAGTAATTAAATTCCGGGTTTTTCTTCCACTTTTTTCACCCTTTTCACTTTTTTATATAGGTAGGTAATTACTAGGAAAAGGAACGAAAAAGAACGAGAAAACTTACGGTCTGCGGAGGTATTGACCACAAGCAGCTGTCGATCAAAACCCTCGCCATACAGGCGCACCTCGTCTCCATCGTGAGTAAAGACAGCCGGCAGATTTGGCGGCGCCCGCCCGTAACATTGCGCGTCGCGCTGGTCGGGCGGTACCAACAGCCAGAGGCCGGACTTGCTCGCGGTCACTAATTGCCCGTTGAATGGTAGGTTGGGATGCAGCGCAAGGAGGGAGAATATGCCGCTAGTGTCCCTGGGGGCCAGGGCTGCGGCGGACACGGAAGCCGCTAGGCTCGTGAGGAGGGTGAATGTAGTGGTGAGCTGCATGGTCGTACTTTTGTTTCTTCCTTTTGAGCGGAAGGGAGGAGGATTTGGGAAGTTTTAATGGGTGATGAATGAATAATGGGTGATGAAGACTTGGTTGTTGGAGAATGTGTGTTGATGCTGTTGATGCTGAGGTCGAGGAGCAGGTCTCGGGGGGGGGGGGGGGCAGAGTGTGCTCATTTATAGTGTTCAATATTTCCTGGCTCCCGCCTCCCGGGACCAGCAGCCCCGTCCCAAGCTGTCCGCCAGCTGATCGGTCCGAGGTCTGTGACGGTCACACCTACGTGGCTATCCCGACGGTCGATCTAGCCACTGGGATCGGCGCTCAAAAACCCTTATTGCAACAGAGACCTGTCTGGGGCGGGCTGAGAGTTGGGGTATGTGGTCACCACTCAATAGCTGAGTCTCTGAGTTAGGCAAGAATTCACATCCACGTAGCTGTAAAACCCAAGACATTCACAGGCACGACCACAGTGTCACGCAGGGCGCCCTGCACCTCGCGCCTTGTCCCCCCAACCACGTCTTCCATCGCGAGACACGGCCCCACAAGCCGAGACCTGCCGCAACCTGGAGTCCTGGACGGTAACCTCTCCAATCGCCGAGTGTACAGTTTGGGGGATAATATCGAGGAGTCGGCATGACTAACAAGGCCTAGTGTAATGGCCCAGCGGGCCTTGTGGACCTGAGCGTGATGGGCTGCTGGCTCCGGAGGCTTGATTCTCTGGGCGATGAGACAACGAAGGCACTGGTCTTTCACCCGGTCGGCACTCAAAAACCTTTGTTTCAACTGAGACATTTCCAGGGCTCAGCTGAAAATTGGCAGTATGTAATTTACACGTAGGCGGTCGCCGGTGGTGGCTGACTCTCGGGGTCAAGAATGCAATCAACTCAAAGCTCGAGATTCTCTGGCGTCACAGGCAAATCCAGACATTCACAGAAACGAGTCTTTCATAAGTCACGACGTGGCCTGTCTGGACTCAGCTGGCCCAAGAATAGACGGCCGGGGCAGTAGTAATTATCATTAACGCAAGCTGGTCTCGTACAAAGTTCAAAGACATCGGTCGGACTGAAAGCGCGGTCGCCGGTTAATTAGCAGCTGAGTCCCGGAAAGATGAATGATTAAACGTTGGAGATTCTGACAAGATCACTACCCTGTTGAGCATAACAACACAGACAACATTTCCAACCCCAACCCACCTTCCCCATCATGCAACGCGGCCATTGTACTGTGTCACTAACGCCATAAATGCCCTGCTCGCACTGGGCCCGGTGTTCTCCCAATCTCCGCCAAAATAAATGCGAGCGCAATTCAAGGTGACCGGGGGTATCTCCAAGTACCGAGGTACTCCAACTGCATTCCGCTCTCAAATTTCACCCAAATCCACTGCAAATAATCGCATTGTTGAGTAGATTGACCCGGATTAGCCTGGCAGTGTTCCCACAACTAGGGAGGCCTGATCCAACCTTGACCCCATCATCGCCAACTCGCTCTCCACCAAACCGACAAAGCCCCGTCAATCACACCTCCAAGTAGATCCCCTTCTCCATCACGCCGTCAAGCCGTCCTCGTCCGTCAACCTCGGTACGCATATACTCGTCCAGCCGGCTCCGGCTTCCTGCGATTTAGAGTAACGTCACCCCCCGGAGCTGAACAACCTGCCGATCGTTGTCAAGTCTCTGACGGTCATAGTGTAATTACCTACGTGCCTGTCTCGTCGGTCTACCCACGAGTTAGTGCATCCGTCCGGCCCACTTACACACTGCTCATTGCCCCGGGTTCCAGCCGGCCCGGAGGCTTAATTCTTCGGGTCATGGCACAACCGAGGCACCGGGCCTCATGGGTACCGGGTCTTTTTCCCCGATCACGGCGATCAGCAGTCAAAAGCCTTATTTGAACTGAGGCCTGTTTGGGGCAAACGGAAAACTGGTAGTTATGTGGTCACCACTTAGTGGCCGGGTCTCGGGGATACGAAAGAAATCCATGTAGTTATCCGCAAAACCCGGATATTCACAAACACGACCTCAGGTCATTATGTCAATCAAACTAAATTAATTCAATTATCAATTCAATCACAGTTCAGCATACTCAAATAACTCAAGTTTCGCGGTGAAAATTGACTTGATTGGGTCTACACTTGGCTACGTCCCTAAGCTAAGGTAGTGTACCAAGGCGTAATGTGCCGAGTGGGCTGTGAGGCACTCGTGTCAGAGGTTTCCCGGATACGTGGATTCGCTTTCTTTCTTAACTCCGAGTCTCGGTCACTGACTGGCGACCGCATCCGTATCCCTGCCAGCTTTCGGCTTGCCCCTAGACGGACATGGCTCAGTTAAAATAGAATTATGACGTTCTTGACTGCCGATAGGATAAAGGATCAGGTAACCACCAATCTAGTGTCTCAGTTGTCTAAGTCTTGTCACAGGGCTTGTCTTTCGACGTAGAACATGTGGTGAAAACGAGTCGCTTTCGTTTGGGAAACGGTCGCCGGTCAGTGGCTGAGTCTCGCTCGGGGTTAACAACAAAACTGAGATGGATACCAGTTAAAAACTTGATATTCGGTGACGTCACAGACAAACACGGACATTTTATAATTATGGCCTATCTGAGCTCAACTGGCCTGACGGTAGACGGCCCAGGTAATTGTAACTATCATTAACGCAAGCTAGTCTCGTAAAAAGTTCAAAGGTATCGGGCGGGTTGCTTAGACGAGGCATGTATTGTCAATTACTTGGGGCATGTCTGCTGGTCAAGTAAGACCTTTAGCTGGTCTCACCGGAAAGCGAGCAAAACTGAAAGTGATGTATAATATGCGGCCGTACCGTAGGTGGAAAGCCGTCTCATATCCATAGCTGACTTGTTCATTACTGTTACTGTTCGCTTAGAAGACTTGGTGAAGGCAACATCGACCTACCCCAATGTCCTGACGCCCTTCTAGTCTTCATTTAATTCAGCCTTTGTCACAGTTCCATGTGGGTTCATGGCCCGTGCTCGGGTTAGGGTTGTTTGGCTTATCTAAACACCTATCGCTTAAAACCATGCGCTCCCGCGCATGATTTCCTTTGTTTCTTAGATAGAACAACGGTTGAATGCATCATGATTTTGCTTCACCAACCTCTGCACCGTTGCACTAAGCCTATTCAATAGGGTGAGTGAATGACTGCGTCAGCCTTCTTCGAAGCCTCCGGCGCTCACAATGACGGAACAAAACCTCCTGGTATTCGCTGCGGCTGAGATTCGCCTCACGGAATTAATACAAAAGAGGAAACAAGAACGAAGCGGTTCGCTCACTTTTAACTTAGTCTTGGCGGTGGCTGTATCCAATAATATATCGATCGGGCTGAGCTGCGCCTCGACTTGGACATCTTTGATAGTATGTCTTTTTAGACGAAGAAAATGATAAATACTGAAATAATCTCACAATCAAGGTGAATAAGTTCTTGGATATCTCCTCCACTTCCCAAGCTCACATCACACCCAAATGCAAAAGTTGAGTTGACCCCTGAATCACAACACCAAGATCTTATCACCACCACCATCCCAACACCAACAAATACAGTAAGACCAAACTATGTCATCCACATCGCTCTCTACCCCCTCCGCAGCCACCCTCCCCCGCAACCGCCGTCCAACGCCCGCGCACCCCCTCCCCCCAATCTCCTTCCCCTCCTCCCTAATCAGCGACCTCTACTCCCCGGCCCTCTGCCACGAATCCCTCCGCATCCTCGCCCGCAAACTAGCCACTCTCGACCAACGCGCCCTCTCCATCGTCCAAGCCATCTGCCTGTCCATCCAATCCGGCCGTCTCAACGCCGGCGACACGGCCTCGCAAGCGGAGGCCCGTCGGAATTTAGACGATATCCAGGCGTTGAGTGTACAGTTTGGGGATATTACCGAGGGGAGGAGGGCTTTTGGCGAGGGGTATTTGAGGGATAGGCATATGATTTATTTTTGGGCGAAGGCGTTGAGTTTTGGGAGTCAGGCGTATCGGGCCAGTCCGGAGGATCCGTTGTCCAAGGCGTTTGAGGCGGTGATGGGCGGGTTGGTGAGGGAGTTGGCGATGGTGGAGGATTGTTTGGTGGCGGCTGCTGGGGAGGGTGTGCTGGAGGATGAGGTGATGTATACGGTTGGGGAGAGGTGGTCGAGGGCGGAGGGCATGGCGGGAGTGTTTGGACAGTCTTTTGTTGAGTGGTCAGTATTTCTGTCATGAGCTGGGAAAGGGGTCGAAAAGGGGTATTGATTGACTGTTGAAATCTAGGGCCGTGGTAGTACAGAAACTGCGCGAGGCACAGCCCAAACCGACGAAACCCACAGTCAACATCTGGGTATGTTCTTTTTTTCTTCCTTACCCCCCTTTTTCTTTCCTTGTTTGTCTCTTTTGACACGCTACAACCAGATGAACATCAGCCTCCTCTGGACCACCTTCGCCGTAACCGCCGTCTCCAACGTCGTCTTCTTCGCCCTCGGCTGCATCTACTCTCCCCACAAACCCGGAACTCCCGAGGACGCTGACTTCTGGTTCCTCCTCCAGAGCTGTGTCTCGCAGTTCTTTGGTCTCGCCTGGCTGGCCATCCCGCTGTGGCACAACCCGCATGTCCCGCGTCGCAGTTGGATTGCCATGGTGGGTGTCGCGGCTGTGTGCACGGTTGTGGCTGCGCCTTTGTATTTGTATGTGCCGACGGAGTGGTCGACGTTTGTGGCGTCTACTGGGGGGGCTATTCAGGCATTTTTGTCGTTGCAGTTGGCCATAGCGGTGTAGGTTGGATGATGAGTGTGATTAATTACTGTTTGAATGGCAAACCATCTCAAAACAAGTCAAAACAACCCTTTTTGTGATTTGTCTGTTGGATATTTGAAACGCTGCTCGGGCCGGGAAGTACGATGGGCTTTGTTGCGGCCCGGACAACAAAGCCTTTCGCTTGACCATGCACCTCATGAGTTTCACTTGAGACACAGGCCAACACCGAATCAGTTGATAATTCCATCTTGGCCCCGGAAGCCGTACAAAACTGACAAAACCCCATAATAAGATAAGACTGAAATGATCAGCGATCATCTCAACACCAGAACAGCATCTCGAGGCCGTCATTCTCAACTCGACTGTAATTTACTCATTCACAATGACTACGGCGGACCTAGACGCACCACACACACCGCTCCTCCTCCCCATCTTCGTCATGTGTGTCATGTTCGGACTCATCGTGGGCATCATAGTACTCACCCAGTTGATCGCCGTGTGTCTGACGGGGTTCCGAAGGACGCCCATGACGAAGCCGCCACGGCTACCCCAGTCAAGGGCAAATGACAATTCGGTGAGAGATAGGGAGGGGGGAAACAATCTCTCATAGCTAGAAGTTGTCTCGGGATCGCCAGGAACAAGCCAGCGGAAGTCACAACAGAAAAGTGGAACGTTGCAGCGGGAGTCCATGAAGCAGTTTCGCCGGTCGTTGACTATTACCCAGCCACACCTGAATCAGCCCGTGCAAGACTGCACATTATTTCTATTACCAACAGCCCCGGGTATAAAACAACCCTCGCCCATTAACCGTCCAGTCAGCGATAGAATCTCGAACTGGATCAAAACCGTGAACCTGGCCAACACGGGCACAGCCCCAGAGCTAAAGCCGGAACCTACACCAAAACTGGAACAGACGGCGGTGCTTGTCGACTCTCCCATCCAACCCTTAAGCGGTCGCTATCCAGACCAGTCGACAGAAACACCACCCTCCGTGACACACCAATCGTCTGTCACGCTTCACGGAGCATCGACTGCCCAGATGGACACCAAAGACGAACGATACTGGGAAGATGAGACCGTAAATGACGAGTGCGGACCAGAACCACAGCGTCAAGAGTTGAAATCTCGACAAAACCAACATCAACATGAGCATCAGAACCCCTGCCCAGTCCAACATGACAATCATCACCCGTTATCCCATATCGCTCATCCATCAGATGGTGTTGCTACCACAGCCCAATATCAACAACCTATCCCAACTACAGCCCTCCAACGATCTCTAACCCACAATATAATCCCAACCCCTGATTCACAAGCACATAGCCCAATCTCTCATGCTGCACTATTCCCTCCTGTTGTGATCAACCCTGTCATCCAAGCAACTATTGATAGAGCTCTCCCTGCCGGCCTTCACTCCACCTTTTCCCCAATCCCTGAGATATGCCCCGACCCCCACACAATCGCATTTTACGCCCCTGAGGAAGATATCATTGACAGTTACAGAACTACGCTGCGGGGATCCGCTGCTGCCCAGACGAGGGGGGGTCTGTGTCAGTGTGGGGCGAGGGTGTGTGCTGAGTGAAGGAGTAGCGTTAGATAGCTTATTTGTACTTTGTGAGGAGAGGATATGGGAGGTGGTTCTGAGGGTCGAGGGGTTGGGAGGTTGAGGAGTCAGAAGGCGGGGTTGAGAAGGTTTTGGCCCTGGCCTTGAGTATGACCTAGGGTAGAAACACCGTGCAGATGCTAGAGGTTTCGGTAATCTTCGATTAATGTAGGCATTAATAATGACGTCGAGGCCAACCTCTTTCGACCCATCTCCCCCTTCGTCGTCTTCGAATTCTATCGAACCGTCCAGTCCAGCTGTGTTGAGCGCAGCGGAACACCTGCCCGTCCTACGATACCCGAACGAAATAATACACAACAGAAGCGAAAGACTAAACTATATAACCCAAACAAAACCAAATCACCAATTTAATGCCTCCAAACCCCCCTCTCTCACCACCCCCTCCTCACATACCCTCCCCAAAGTCTCTTCAAAGCAAACCTCCGCTCTTACCGGCGTCGTCGCCGCCCACGAAACACCCCTCTTCACCTTCCCCAACACCCTTTCATCCTCCTCCGACCCAACCAACGTAGACTCCTCCGAGAACAACAACGGCGTTCTCTCACCCACCACCCCTCGTTCAGACCGCGGACTGTCGGGAAGCTGATCACCGCTTGATTTCCGCCTGTGTCGGCGTTGTTCCCCCGGTCGTCGTCGGACGTTGGCAGGTCGGTAGGGAGGGGTAGAAGAGGAGCGCTGGTCGCCGAGGAAGACGAGGAAGAGGAGGAGGAGACAGGTGACGACGAAGAAGGCGACTATGAGTTGTTGTTGTTTGAGGATTGGGAGGTCGCTACGTTGGAGGGATTGTAGTGAAGATATTATTAAGGTCGTGTGTGTTGGAATGTGTGTTGGAGCCATGGTGGTGTGATTGTTGTGCTGAGTGTGATGTGTTGGTTGCTTGAGATCTGTGAGTTAATATTGGGATTGAGTTTGAAGTGAAGAGTTTTTGGGTTGTACTAACTTGTTTCTTTGGTGTTGTACAACCATGGAAGTGATCCCGCACGAAATTGCTTAACAGCTAAATAATTCTCACTGGCTGCTCCTAATAATTGAAACGATCTGCGAATAATGTCAGAGGACAGATTCCAAACCAACATCCATTCCCGTGCCGTTGGCAAAGGCGAACTCTAACAATTGTAAGCAACCAAAGAAAAAAAAAAGCACAGCCGCACCTGGTGTTCTGCCTCGTCGGCTTCGCCCAGCACACCGAGCCTGCACACGAAAAGAGAGGCGCAATGACTAAATACGCCTGCCAAGCCCCCGGTCAGACTACGCTGGGTGGCGCGCAATCGTATGCAAGAGCATTCATTGCTTAGCTAGTCGCGGGGTCGTCGATATAAATTCGTGGGATCGTCGTTGCTGGACTTGGGTTATTAGAACAAAAACTAGAAATGGCTGGTGCTGTTCTTGTTGCGCAATTCTGGGCCAGAAATTGTAGGGTTCCTATCTACGCGGGGAAATGGGGACTTCGTCATTTTGAGGCAAATCTGAGCGAGCGCGGACGGGAACCTCATGGACGCCCGTCGTGCAGATGGATATGCATCTCGGAGTTGCCCTGTGGGGATTGTTCCGAGCGCAGAAATGCTGCGAGCTAGAATTTCAAACAAGGAACGAGTAATTAACTAACAGGAGGAGCTCTAACTGCATGTACGAAATACATGTGCATACATACATACATAGTTACATGGAATTACACGACAGCTGGGTCAAGAGCACCAAACACTGCAGCTGTAACTACACATTCTACCCCAAAAAAGAACGCATTGCGTGTAAATCAGGTTGCCACATCGAAATACCTCTGTATTAGTGCCTATCTACGTATCTACCTGATATTCCGATGTTTGAGGCTCGCCCACACTTCCTACATCTACTCTGGGAGGCACACTAATTACGCAGACACAGGGTTAGGGTTGATTACCTCTTTGCTGAGGTACTTGATTCTCACCACCAACCAATGGCCAACAAACACCGCCGCTGTCAATCCCCTCTCTCACCAAACGCCCCAAAGCCGAGCCGAGACCAGGATGCCTAAAATTACGGCGTCAACTCTTTGGAAATAAAATGTACTTTCCGCAGCGGGACGGACATGGCCTTAAATATATACGAGAGTTCCCAGCGGCAACCCTCCGTGTCGCGGCTGGGAAAGTCCAACTCGGGCCCGGTATAGGTTAGAAGCGCGGCGTAGTGCTCGGCCTCCTCCAACGTTGGGGTTGGCACCGGTTTTAGTATTCTTCGGATGTGTTCCTCACGTCGTTCCTCCCAACTCGTTTCCTTATCGCCTTCTTTACGGGACGGCATGTCAAACCACCGAACAATAACGGTCTGGAGTTGTGGGAAAGTCCGGCCGAAGAGACACGTAATTCTCACCATTTTTGACTCCGGCTCGAGTGACGATTCCCGCAAGTCAAAGAGAATATGTTTGACCCCGCACCGGGTATGGAAGTGCAAGTGTTCGATGATATCGTACGCATGTTTTGAGCTGTCGATATACAGGACTGTATTGTCCAAGTCGACCCATTGACGCTCAGCCGACGGCTCCGACGGCTCGTACCGCTTCGAAGGGCGGCCAATTTGGATCTTGGAAGATCGCTGGATCAACTGCCAGGCCTTCCGACAGGCTAGGCCCACGAGGTATGGAGCGTGGCCAATAAAACCCATCTTGAACTTCGATGCGGCGGTGTCGACGGAATCGTCGGATTTAGAGGGAGTGATGCGTGATATGCCCCAGACGGCTGGGACAGACAATGCGTCTTCCCAGATATAGAAGCGGAGCTCAGTGGGAAGTCTAGAAAAGGGGTGGAATGTGGATGGCGCCATCTTCGATGACAAATTCTGTGGCACCTGGTGGATGTTGTGATTGTGTGATTTGTTGGTGGGTGTGGTGGAATTGGTAAAGATTTTGGAATGGGTGGAGGGGCCGGAGGGTGTTTATATAGACCATTCCCGGATCAATCGTGGCCACTGAACAATCGCCCTGCTCCGTTGGTGTTTGTGAGGCCGTTCGGAGGCGTCCAGCACAACTAAATTGAGGCCGGGATACACGTGAATGCTATAGAAAATCTGTTTGCCCCGTTCAAATCGCGCTTATATTAATTAGGTACCTAGGTAAGGTACCTGCATTCAAGCTTACACCCTGAATTCAAACTCCAGGTGAAGTGCTTAACTAAGTCTGTCCAAACATGAGGATTCAACACGACAATTTAACATAGCTGCGTGTAAAATGTTAGGGATTTGTGATAATAGGTCTTGGATCTTTCCTAGACAACGAGGTTTGATTACACACCGCTGTGCAATCGCCCCTAACACAAACTATCCGTACCTACACAGTCGGGCTTTGAGAGTTCAAGCTCGACTGCAAATGATCCTACCGGAAGAATCGGCCCAGCACCTCTAGGATCCCAGTGATTCCGCTTGGCACAAAACACCCATTCAAGAGTTTTGGTACCGTTTTGGGTAGTAACGACTGTATTCACAACGCTGGGTGAAGAGAAGTCTCGCGCCTTGTATATATTGGACCGGTTGTAGCTTGGGTTATAAGTGCCACTTGATGCGTTCGTGCGGGGTGATGATCCCCGACGATGAGCATGTGGGGCAACCATGCACAAGCCACAATGACTTACCTGGTACTCTCAGGTATCGGTGCCTAAAGTTAGACTTAGAGCTAGACATCAACCACGCTCGAATTCCTAGTTCAGCCCTGTTGACGACCGCGCCGAGATGGCGTCGCAGCCTCTCGATCCCGGAAATTCCGGTCGTAATGATCCCGCTCTTCTCCGCCTTCCGTCGACCGTCCGACACCGCATATACTTGTTCCTTGGCGTGGCGCGCTGGGACGGCTGTCCGCTCCTGTTTGACCTCGACGGCCCCGTCTCACCGAGCGACCAGGTCACATTCTATGGCCTGTTGCTTTCTTGCCGGGCCGTCTACACCGAGGTATCAGCATTACTATTTTCCTCCAACAGATTCGTCATCCACTACAGGAACAAGAGGTCGCTGCAGCCGCTGCGGAATCTCACGCCCCCGTCGCTTGCGGCCCTGACTAGCCTCAAGGTAGTGCTCAACCAAGCCTCCTGCCACCATCGAAGGGAAGCAGAGGCGTCCGGCGCATGCTGCACCCGCGTCTCCGGCTGCTTTACACGTAAACCGAAGGGCGCTGGGGGGCACTGTTTGATTCGAAGGCCCCACAAGAATCTCCACGACACTCCACTTCAGAGCTCCGACCCGTCGGCGAGATTGATGCTTGAGGAATGGCGTGCAACAGCTGTCTACTTGTCTTCCAACACCAAACTCGACGCCCTTGAGCTCTCATTGGTCTGTGATGTTGACCAGAAAGAAGTCGAGGCAGCGGAACACGTCGTTGCACCACTCCTACTCTTCCCGAAGCTCAAGGACTGCCATGTTCGCCTTTGCATCAGCCCAAATAGCCACCTGCGCCAGCTCGCGCGGAATGCATCACGGCAAGCCAGCAGCAATCCGGCTTTGGAGCCCGCATCACCAACGTCGGGCTCTAGCCGCCTTCTTATTACTCTTCCACGGGAGGTACGCATTCGTATCCTCGAATACACTGACCTTGTAGCTCCGTTGAAAGAGGTCATGTGGAACAGGCTGGGACTAGGCTATCACTATTTCTCTTCAGGATGCTCCGCATGGGAGGGGGTTCCTTGTCTTCCTCCTTACCACCATGGATGCCAATACAGGGATTGTCACGGTCAAGGAATTATCAAAGACGGGATTGTGCGGTCGGACCAACTTCGATCTATCGGCTGTTTCTGCGGCGTCCGGCACGCCGCCTTCTCATCCACCTGCAAGTGCTGGGCACCACCCACGCCTTTGTTTCTCATATGTTGGGACCTTTGCGAGGATGCAAGATTCGTTTTCTTTTCCGCGAACCGATTTGTCGTTAGCGACTCTCTGGTATCGGCCAACCCCTGGTTAGCTTACGATGTTTCGTTCACCCCCGATCCCAAATGGCTGCTAGAGAACCGCAGCAACTACTCCTGGATGGAGTGGTACAGACAGGCGCAACCTCCGCGAGCATACCCAGCCCACCGTTTTGCCGCGACCAAGTTCTTGAGGGAGGTGGTCCCCGCCGACTACTTGGGCTATCTCCGTTTCCTCGAACTGGTCTTCCCTCCATACAATCACGAGTGCTGGCCACATGATGGTCATCCCGCTCTGCAGGACTGGATTGATACTGTCGATTGGGTCAAGGATAAGATCAACGCGCCCGCCATCACACTCCGCCTTGTCATGGCCGGTTCGAGGATGTGGCACCCCGCATGTCCTGACGACCGTGGAGGACTAACTCGGGTGCAAGGAATTGCAGTGCTGACCGGATACAACCGCATCCTGAAACCACTAGCTGTTCTCCGCGAGCACGGCCTCACTCGGTTCTACGCGGATTTTGCATGGCCTTGGAAATGGACCAATAGGGTGTATGAGAGACTCAGGGCCGCGGATGACCCCAACACCATACTGTCTTGGTTAGAGGGACAGGAAACGCTGTTGAACGACCGCGCTGAGCGCCTCATATTGGGGGAGGACCAGCATGATAGGCTCCGTTCCAATGAAGCCAAACCGGGACCAAGCCCTTGGAAGATGCACTCCGGGCGTGAATACTAGCATCGTTCCTCAGCCTTGAGAAACGATGGTCCGTCATCAAGTTATCGAACCTGACATGCCTCGCGACGTGCAGTTGACCACCGTCAAGAGGACTTTGGGGCAGCACAACAGACAACTAATTAATTAGGCTAGGAGTAACGTCCTACCTATTCCGCTTTCCATTCTATAGAAGAGATAACAGAAGGCCATAGTCTCTGAACCAGGCCGCATAATGCCAATTTTTATGAACTTGTGAAGTGTGCCGTGTTAGAGCTATTCAGGAAACACCTAAAAACCCCCAATGTATCCGATGGATCAAGATAATTACGCAACTATGTTGTCCAAGTCAACCCAGCAAGGTGCTTAAAGGGTGTATTTAGTTATCAACATGCCGGTCCCCAAATTAACCCCAGCCGCAGCGATGCACAGCTGCGCTAATCATCTCTGAACCCACTTGAACGTAACCGACCAGCCATTTCTCCCTCCCTTCACCTCCACCACAATCTCCTCTTCGAGCCGTATAGTTTGACCGGAAGCCTCAATAACCCACCCCGAAATGTTCTTCAAAACCAGGATGACCTCGTCCATGTACTGGTAGCCGGCAACCGCCGCGATCATCCACGCCACACCGGCATAATAAAACTGCCCGCTGACATGGAACTGCTGCACCTGTCTCTTCCCATGTGTTAATGTACGTTGTCTTGCTGAAGAGAGTTGCCGTGGTGAATTGGGAACTCACGTTCATTTTAGATGGTGTTGGTCTTATATCAAGAGAGAAATCAGAGCAGAGAATAATCGAAGTGTGTAATTATTGTACAGTGGGCTCCGACTCCGAGAACTGTGACAAAACCAACACCGCCTTTTTGCCCATAAAGCTTCCTTATCTGCTCAAAAGGGTCCAAAACTGGTGGCTCTGAGGACAAAAACCTGGCGCAAAGTCATCGTAAGACGCTTCTAACTCCGGCTCAATTTGGATGCACCCATAACGACGACTCTGTTTCCGAAAAGTGCTGGAGCGGTGTCAAGTCAGATGGTTGTAGACCGCCTCAGTTACCGCTCTGCATGATTTAGCGCCTTCGTCTGACTACACAAATGAGGATCGGTGTTGGTAAATACACAGTTTGTCGCCAGCGCGTGTCGACGCTGCGAGACCATGGCTGTGAGGTCTGGTCAGTGGCCTGGTCGCACGATGCGGCCCGGCTCGCGTCTGGCTCGGACGACGGCACAGTCAAGATGTGGGATCCAGCAACCGGCCATCCCACTCCTGGGGCTCCGGAATCGCCTCTCATGACGTCGATGACGTCTGAAACGCCGCGCAATGCACCAAACATCTGGAAAAGACGGAATCTTCCACATGGTGTCAGAAACCCCCAAATCTATGTAGGCGGCCAGGGGGGTTTATTAGCTCACGGAGAGACCTTTATGCGGCCCTACACAGCTGGTGGGTAGGTTCAAATGCAGCTGGGCTCACAGGAAAGATCTTAAGCTGGCTGATGAATTTTGACCGTCTGCAAGAGTACCTACACAGCCTAGCCAAAAAACTAGAGCTGGAAACGGAGGAGGGTTGGACGTCCGTCGAAGGCCTACAGGTTTTCCTTTGTACTAGGTACCTTAGTTAGGACTCGTCCCTTTTTTCCTTGATTGTTGACTTGAATATTTCACCCGGCCCTCGATGTACGGTTTTTCTACCTAGTTAAGTGTAGAAGGACTGGCACGCCCTAGGGCATATCGGAGTGGGAATAATAAAGATAATGAAAGACGTTCCAGAAAGCCTACACTTGGTTCAAACCACGTTCATATGACCTAACAAGGTCTGCCACCGCCCAGCGCCCTTCTGCTTGCTCTTCCGCGAGCTTTATGACATTCTTAAACCCAGCCTCTCCCTTGCGTGGTTTTGCGCCTGCATTGAGCAAGATCTGTACTAGATCGAGCCGGCCGTGCTCCGCTGCACCTTCAAGGGCTGTCCGTCCGTCCTGGATGGCCGGATCGGCATTCACATCGGCCCCGAAGTCCTTGATGAGCATGATGGCGAGGTTGGTGTGGCCTTGAATCGCCGCAGCTTGGAGAGCAGTAACGCCGCCGCAAGTTCCCCCTTTGGCGTTAACGTCTGCTCCCTGTTCCAGTAGAAACTTCACCAGGTCCATGTTGACAACAGTTCTGTTACAGGCGGCCTGCAGGGCCGTTCTTTGGTATGCGAATCCAGCTGGTGCATTAATCTCCGCCCCCCTTCTGCAGAGCTCCTTGACGAGGTCAAGGTCGCCTTGAGCCGCCGCTGCTTGAATCGCCGTCTGACTATAGCGCCCAATGCCTCTGACATTGACTTGAACGCCTGCGTCCAGTACTAAACGGACGAGTCCGTCGTCCTGGGGATGCTTGATGAGCTCGGTGAGCAGTGAATCGCATTCGCGGTATGGGTCGTTGTGTCCAGCGTGCAGGATCTCAGTTCCCGCCTCCAGCAGATAGTGGAAGATTTCCGAGCGGCACGCCAACCGGCAGCGTGCGCATGCTTCCAAGACCGTCGCTCCCCTATTAGTTGGCTCGTTGATCGGGACGCCCGACTCAACCAAGGCCTTGGGAATTTCCAGCCTTCCGAGGGCCGCGGCTCTGTTCGCGGCCCGACCCATCAAGTAATCGTTCTTGTCAGCGCCTGACAATATCAGGAGTTTCACTGCCTGCAAATTTCCCCCCGATACAGCCATTTCAATGGGACTCTCTCGGTTGAAAGTTCCCAGGCTATCCACATCTGCTCCAGCCTGTAGTAGGAACCTGAGAGTATTCATGTTGTGTGCTAGGAGAGCAGCCGGCAGCCCAAATTTACCGAGAAGATCCAGCCTCACCCCATGGTCAGTGAGGATCCGGAGCATATACAAGGATGTAGACGCCGCCTGGATCACGTCGCCAGAGACCTTGGCTCCACGTCCCAGGAGACTTCCGACAGCGCGGCTTGATCCATCCCACACAGCCCAATACAGTGGAGACATCCCACCGGCATTCGACATGAGCTCTTCGACGTTGGGGTCAACTCCAGAAGCGAGCAGGGCGTCGACGGCTGCCTCGTGCCTGGGGTAGCAGCATGCACTCACCAGAGCCTTTTCCAGAAATTCTTGTCGCACTGCTTCGGGGACGTGTATCCGGTCTTGCAAGTAGGCCTGCAGAGGACGGACTCCCCGTCGTGCAGCAGAGAGAATTTCCCACAGAGAAACCGACATTTGCTGGTTTTCAGCACTCCGTTCCGACAGCAGCTGACACATGTCCGAGCCCTGAACAAGAAAAGCGTAATCGAGCGCACTGTGGCGGATGTTATCATTGTATTCGTCATTTACCCACGCGTTGTCACGTCGGCCCCGGCGCCGAGGAGCAGCGATGCACACGCCAACTCCCCGTGCTTAACGGCAAGTGCAAGAGCCGTGTTGCCGTTCAGGTCGGGTCGGTCAACTTGGGCGCCGGCATCCAGCAATCGTTTCACCAGATCGGTTTCTCCTAGAGAGACAGCGGCATGCAATGGTGTTGTCGAGTTGTACGTCCCCCACGCTACGTCAACGAGCTCCCCTGGGTTCGGGTTTGTTCCCGCACAAAGAAGACGTTCCGCAACTTTCACCTTCTCGGCTTGGATGGCAGCTCGGAGTAAATCAGTGCCTTTGCGCCCCGCAATCCTCTTCTGGTTGATGCCCGCTTCAAGAAGGATTTCCAAGGCCGACTCATCGCCGTTCTCTACAGCGGTGTTGAGCAACTTGATCGCGACGGCATCAACGGTGATGGTGTCGACGCAGAAAAGCGCATGTACGGTGCGCTGAGGAATGTGACGCGTCACATAGTTCAAGAAGTGCTTCATGCCCTCGGCTGCCACGAGGTTGTTGGAAATCAAGCCAAACACTAATTCAGCCATCTGGGACCCGTAGGAGTGTGCCGAAGGATGCAGAAGCTGCCACAGAAACTGCTTTACTGCGTCGGCAGTCAAACTTGGGACTGCCTGCTCCAATATTGAAGCTAGGTGGTGGGCAGCAGCCAGTCCCTTCAATGGCGGAGATTGATGCAACGCAAGCGTCAATGTTGAGAGGGAAGCCTCGCTTGACCCTAGTCCCATGGCGACACGGAGGTGGTGCGGTATGAAGAAGGCTGGGGATTGGTCGATATGCAGTTGGGCCTGGACGGCTCCTCGAAATCGCAGCCAAGGAATGTTGACCATCATCTGAGCTCGCGGTCCACCTGGAATGAAATCCGTGTCGAAGCTAGGTATGGCGCAACGAGACTGATCATGAGCCATATCGTGCCGGTCAACAACGTCGTCAACATGAACATGTCCATCAAGCAGTTCATCTTGGAACGTGAAATTCAGTCCGAGCCCAGGGGACGGGGTCCTCAAATCCATGCCGTCAAGAGCGATGGCGAATGCTGCATCCACGATAGTGGGGGTGTATGGGTAGTGTGACAGTCGCTCCAATTGCCGACTGTCACGACATGTTGATGGGTCAACTCCGGCGGCGGCGTGAGGGGCAATGAGGGATGGTGGAACGTCCTCGGGTTCCGGCCCCTCCCCGGTTCTTGGAGCCGGTGAAGCCGCTGTTTTGCTCGGGGTACAGTGGGTCGCTGGGGGCCTTTGCCTATACCTCTGGAACCCCCATCCTTTGAATCCCCTCTTAAAGGCTTGCTTGCTGTGCCCATATCAGAGCCTCCGGCGGAGACGGGTGTCATAGCGACCGACTGACCTGGCAACAAAGCCGTTCTTGCTCTGCATGAATTCCATAACCTCCTCCAAGGTCTTCTCTTCGCGCACGTACAACTGGTCCAACAAACTTCGGTGCTTGTTCCAGTCTAGATGTTTGTATTTGGACCGTCGCCTCTTGCCTTCCAGCCTTGGAGTGCCAGCTGTTTGACTCGGGCCTTGGGTCTCCGCTGCGCAGACTTCGACGGGGCCAACAAACGGCTGCCGGACGCGTTGTAACTATCCATGATGAATAGCTATGTATCCGAATGGAAAGACCAGTCGATGGGGTTGGTACTCTCATGCTTGACGCACGATGATGGAGGTTGAATGAACAAACTCGGGGACAAACCACCCGGGCGCCAAGCGCAAAGAGGCGGTAATTAAGATAAGGTATGCGGGGAAACAAGGCAGCCAGTGTCGACTGGTCTGCGTGAACTTACTTTTCGGCCTGGACGGTTGAGGCAAGGCTCTGAAACCAAAAGTTCACCAAAAGTTCACAAAAGTTCAGTTTTCTGCAGCATGCATGCAGACCACTTAAATGAGGCACTGCCCGCCGCCTCTCCGCCATGGTCGCGTTCCCGACAGGGGTTAGGGTCAATAAGGAGCAGGTAATGGCTGCACAGGACGAAGTTCACGAAAGTTCAATAGCGTCACTCGGCTCATGCAAGTATGAAGTGACAAGAGTGACAACCGCCCAACAAGATGAAATTCCCTCTGATCTTTCCTGAGCCCAGCCCGAACGTCAATCAAAGCTAGGTGAGGTAGTTTCACCTTTGCTCATCATATGACCAACATTGAAGCCATACCGCCCTCATCTATATCCTACCTAGCGGCATACATCCTACTGCACCCATTTTTCTACTGACGTAGGGTCAACTTGCCTGCCAACCCTGCTACCAGCCGGCTACCCGCTCGCAGACTTCCCTACCGCTGGTATGTCTACTACTTGCCGTCTCATCACCATCGTTCTCTGTCAGGAGCAAGGTGCCTCCCATGTGACAAATGCCGAGAACCTCAAGGAGGCGGGCATAAGGAGTTGTGTTTGTATAGATAGCTAACGTGGAGCTTATTGGCCAGTTAAAAGATGTCTCAAGCGCAGGGGAAGGCCACCAATTCGGCTCACGAGGGTCATTGGCAACAGGTGCCGCGCTGCTGGGGTGCCGAAACGCGTGGCGGAGGTGTCCCCGCGGAGCAACGGAATGGCCCGCCGCAGAAGTCTGCATTGACACCGATGGAACGTTGGTTGAATGAAGGGCGGAAAGAAGGACCATGGAATAACGTGAACGCCGTTAAGATGACTGCGGGAGCTGTGCACAGCAATGACACTGGGCCAATTGGTAGCACGGGAAATCTGGCAACTGTAGCGACATCCGACCAGAGCTGAGCTCGTCAGATGTCGATCCAGCGCCTTGGAACTCCTTGAGTTTGACTTGGGGCCCCCTGACAGAAATACATTTCTCACAATCTGTTACCCCATGATTGTCGCTGTGACCAGCTTACATCTGTTCATTTCGTATTCAACGGTCTCATTTCAATGTCTGGTGTTGTGCGACTGCTGGGCCATCGGTCAGGCGCTGTCTACCTCGGAAGTCCCAAATCGCTGCCAGAGTCGGATGGATGCGACTGGAGGTCTGAAACTTGAAGAATTGTGTTACGGAATACCTGAACCTCCGCGCCTTGCCGAACGCCCGCCGAGAAGCGGGTAATTATTTCCCAGGCTCAAATCCCCTTCCCCATGGGGTTGCTCTAAGTACCTTCCCTAAGCTAGGTAGTACCTGAGCTTACTTCGCCCGCATCTTTCGAAGCCATGGGTCCCTCAGTAAGTCCGAAGCGGAAGGCCTATCCTCAGGCCGCCATTGAAGCATTCTACCGATAAATGCCGAGAACTCTCGCGTCTCCTCTCCCTCGATCGTGTCTTCTTGACCGGAGAACGGGATGCAGGTACGTCAGGCAAGAGGGAGTGAGAGAAGAGACAAATACAGGAACAGAGACAGAAGAAAGTAGAGAGTTCCCGGACCTTTCCCAGATGTTGAGAGGAGTCGAGGCGTATGGAGAGACGTGCAAAAAGCGCAGTTTACAAAACTCGTTAGATACTTCATGAAGTCTACAACTCAACAGCATCGTGAGAAAGCGCAAGAAATTGCCCCAACAACAACACTTCCAACACTACCAACAGTCTCACGGCCTAGTCTCACCCTCCTCCCCAGTTCACTACTCTTCCTTCTTCCCACCCTTCCCCGCCAAAGCCTCAACAACAGCCACCAACGCGACCCTATCCGCCCCCCTCACCCTCTCCACCAACCCCTCTCCCGTAACCACCACTGACCCTCTCCCACCGCCCAACCCCTCCACGTTCACCCCGCCAGGCTTCCCCCCTTCAAAAAACACAAAAGTCGGCATGGCCGATACCCCATACCGAATCGCAATATCATGCACATGGTCCACATTCACCTTCGCAAACGCCAGCTGGCCCTCAGCAGAATGCTTGTCTGCTAGGTCAGAGAAGACGGGCGCGATGGCTCGGCAGGGGGGACACCAGTCGGCATAGAAATCGACGACAACGTGTTTGGTGGTAGAGAGGAGGGCGTCGAATTCGGTGGCGTTGGCGGGTTTGTAGACTTTGCCCGAGGTTTCGGGGATGGGGTTGCGGCTGGTGAGGAATTGTTGGAGGATCTGGGGGGGTGGGTTAATCACCATAAAGGGCATTGAGATGGGAGTTTTGGCATGATGGGTAACGGTGGTAGATGCATGTGGGGAAGCAAAGGTATACGTACCCTAACTAAGACGAGGATCGCTACAATCGTCCAGGGATAGGTTGATACGGTGTTGATGATTGTGTTTAGAAGACCCGCGAAGTCGCGCTCACGGAGCTGGCGCGTGATTTGGGATATGAGGGCGTCCATATTAGGGGTTGGAATGAGCGTCAAGTTAAACCTTGAGCTTTATTGTCGATTCCAGCGATGAAACCGGGCAAATTGCGGGGTGTTACTCGAGAAGGTAATAGTTTGTGAGTCTTGTAGAATTGATTCTTGTGTCCGGTTTCTCATTAGCGGTCGTTGTCTCGTGTCGTGTCAAGAAAGTGGGTCCCTGGAAATCCCCCGAGAACACCAGCCTTGTCACAACTCCTCGGCCAAACATTGACCAAATTCGAGAATTTACCCCCAGATGGACAGACACTCCATGAGGGTACAGAATTTACAGTGCATTCAAATGATTTTGGTTGCAATATCTCTTTCTATCCTTTGGAGGGTAGCTTTCGCTGGGTTTCTCAACCAAGCACGTGACGTTGTCTCTGGCGCGAGAACACGTGCAGACATGCTTGGCCCCACTGTCAAATTACGCCGCGTCAATTAGTGACATTGAATCTCACTAATGCACACACGAATAATTACTATACATTCGTATTAATTCCACATATCGCTGTCCCCTCGGGCTTGAGTATCTCGCCAGCTGAAAACCGATATAACGATAAAAATTACAAAACACACAGGAATGTATAGAGAAGTCGCAAAGAAAATAAACCGCCAAATCCCTAGCTAGTCCAAATCCCAAAAGCGGCTCTTCAGGCTCTGCCGCGTTAGACGGCGTTCCCTTCGGCGCTGCTCCTCCTTCTGCTTTCTCCGCTTCCGAAGCTCACTTTGCACCCGCCACGTTGTTGCGGGATGTGCCCCTTCCATCGGAAACCAGAATACAGAGCTGTCCGTCACCCCTACCAACAAGCGATACGCACCATACAGACTTAACTCGGCAGCTCGGACGGTAACGTAGCCCACTCCAGACAAGAGGAGCCGTCCACGACGCAAGGCCCTGCGGATCGACTCTCTGCCATCCCGGGATGGGGGCGTTGTTTCGTGCCCATACATTTGGTCCTGGTCGGGAGTGAGAGGCAGGGCATGCGAGCTGCCGTTGCCGTAAATGGTGCGGTGACTGCGGTCACTGCCGTTTTTGGGTGGTGCCGTTCGCTTGGCATCGGTGGAGTTGTCCCGGTCAGGCGTACCGTTCTTCTTCTTGTCTTTTGGGACGGATCGGGCGGTTGACTGCTGGTGGGCTGGAAAGGACGAGACCTCCCGATAGCTCGGAGGCGCCGGGTGGCCCGGGTCTGAAGAGGCCTGAACAGGCACGAGCCGTAGCAGGCGTTGATTTAGTTCGTGCGCGGGGTCCAGGTGTAAGCCACACTGGCATTGGCAACGGTGCCCGTTTATGGGATTAGAAATGGAATAAGGGGGCGGGGGCATGGCAGTAGATGCCGAGCGGGAAGTCCGGTTTGATGATACGTTGAACATGGTCTTTAGCCGCCTGAGGCGCTGATGGTTCTCGTCTTATACTGAACGTTGGCGATTTGGTTCGTGACACCTGCGACTCACTGGATGGTCCTCCTCCTAGTAGTGCCCTCCACCTGGTGGTTGTGACCAAGGGGAAAGAGAGGGGGTTCGGGCTACTATATATCCCGCACCTACCCCGAATGACATCAGTTTCACTCATTCTTGAAGGTAATTATGGCCTTCCAGTCATTTCCCAATGCTTTTACCTTATCTATGTGCACAGGCCGCCCAGATCCGTCTGTGTGTCTCTCCTACTTTCCATCGATTGTCTAGCACCGAAATCGTGAATAGCCTCCATCGCCTGGACGCCACGCCCCGCTGTGAATTCACGAACTGAGCGCAAAGTTGGACCCATAAACCCTCCGACGTTTGCACCATTCCTCGACTCTATGGCCCGCATGACGTAAGGGAACAGACTAGCCTCGGCCCTTACTCGGAGCCCCCTTTGCCAAGTAAGTGAGTTCTGACTGATGGCTGGAACTCCTTTACAGTTTAGTTAATGGGTGTAACGCTCAATTAAAATTGATCAATATCTGTAAATCCAGAACATTACTGCTACAAAAATTACACTAGTGAGGGATATGAGCGCATATATTTTCAGCTCATGGTTACGCTGCTCCTTCTTCTTCGACTGTAGCCGCCGGGAATGCTTCCCATTCCGATCATGCCACTCGTCTAACATGGTCATGGCCCAATAGATAGGACAGCAATGTTAGGGTTCGCTGACTGTATATGACAGGTAATTACTTGGGGGCATGAAATTAAATTCGCTACTGACCGAGCCTTTCGTCCTCTGGGAGGGGGATGGTGCGCGAAGACCACGCCGCTTCTTGTCTGCACCAGGACTGGTGCAACGGCCAGCCCGACCCGAGCCGGAGGGCAAGGTGCCCGACGACGATCCCCCATTTCCCGCATTGTGCGCGTTGCTGTCCGTCCGGTTGGACAGGACAAGGGAGGGAGAACTGTCGTCATCGTTGTCGGCGGCGGCAGCGGTGGCGGAGTTCAGACCGGCCGGGGGTATCGGTTGGAGCGGGCGGGGGGGACTCGTCGCCGTCCCGAGGGCTGGTACCGCTCAGGGAGACCGGCGAGAACGGGAACTCCTGCAACTCACTTGATTTTCCAGATGGAACACGTCAGCAAATCATCCAATCCATGCTTATCGGAAAGGCTACTTACGTCGAAGACTGCATCTCGAAAAAAAAGGAAAAGAAAAACAAGAGACGGGACGGGAGAACGAGCGAGACAAAACCGAAAACGAATGGGGTGGGATGCTATTGGGAGCCAGAGAAAAGAAAAAAGCGAATGTCTTGTTATTTCTTATCAAAAAAAGAGTGTTGGTTATGTTCATCTAAAAACGACAGAAAAGAAGCTGGCCTACCTGATTAGTTCATGATCCCATCGTGAGGGGATACAGCATGTTATTTATAATAATTCAACAAGTGGATTCCGCAACGCTGCACGTCATACCTGCATCGTATCTGACTGGAACTGAACCCTAGTAACCTTACTTATTTAATGCAACTACAGTTTACCTTTCTGCCCTCAAACTATCCTCCTTCTCTTCCAAGCACAACACGCCCGTCCCAGCAGTTGATAACTTCCACAAACCAAATCACCAACCACCCATAAAGGAAGGAGCCTATCAGCACACTCGCTCGGTATCATGGCCACATTAGCCGATGCACAAGAAGATCAGGGCACCATGGTCCCTTTGCTCGCTCCCTACGATGGGCCTTCGGCGTCACCACCCCAGACGTGTCCCCAGGCTTCTTTTCCAGCACCGCCGCCTCCGTACTCTGTCTCTAGTTTTGGAAATCGGCATTGCTGTCACTGTTGGTGTGCCTTTCGAGACACACGTCTTAGCGATCCTGAATATCCACCCCGCCAATCCTGCCAGCAAGAAAGCCCTCCCGGGTATCGGGAGACAATAACGGAGATGGGCAGCTTGGCTCCCCAGCCCCTTCTCATCCCGAGAACATCCGGGTCCCTCGCCAACGAGAAGCAGAACCAGAGCGCGCCTGTGCATAATAAGTCCGACGTAACCCGGACGCAGGGAACTGGGGACCTCAATCACGACGACAGCAAGAGCCCCCGCCTCCCGACCACCAATGCGAATTCACATGATAAACCTACTCACCAGGTATCCGCGGCTATAACGGCCGTCCTCTCCACCTTCCGTCGTGGACGGGTTCTTTTGTCCACAGCAGGCACTGCTACCGCCAAAGCCGCTACGACCACCGCAAAACGCACCTGTCGTGCATTTCACATCGTCGCAAATGCGTACGAATCTTGGTTTACGGAGAAAAAGTCACCCGAAGATATAAGAATTGCTGAAATCGAAGTGCGGCGGGGGAAGGTGAGAGAGACATACAATGATAAAAGGCTACAAATCGTGCAGCGAAGTTGCGAGCGGGAGGAGGAAATCTGGCGGAAGTATCATGTGCACCGGGAAAGCATAGATGAGGAACAAAGACTACTTTGTCGTGGCTTGGACAAAGTAGAGGAGGAGAGAGATAGACTGTACGAGATATTGGAAAGACTCGACAGAAAGTTTTGGAGAGATGACGACCGTTTTATTGAGGAGATTTACCATGGGCCGCGAAAGATTGGACAAGTGTAATTAGTAAGTCATTTCTTTTTTTGAGAAAAGGTAGTTGGAATGTCAAAATAAGTAAGGAAGCACGAGATTGTGCTCTGGTCTTAGTTGTTGTTCTTTTCTCTCCCCAACGAACACAAAGTGAGACAAATCTTAGACGTTGAGCGAAGGCCAGTTAAAAAACCCAGGGTAAGGTGGTGGACTACCTTACCCGTAGGTCCCTAAAAAACACATTAAGACCTCGCGAGCAATTTGAAGATTCTCTTGCAGACCTTGGGGTTCAATCTATGGCATCTGTGGCAGCATACATCCCAATCATCCGAAGACATAAAAACCCGTGACCCGAAGAAGTGAGAGAATATTTGGAGCTGATCGTGATTCTAACAATGAGTGACTCAGTTACACTAAGCTTCATTGGAACTATTGTTCATTCAATCACCTTACGAGTCCCTAGGCCAACCTCCCGCACACCGTCCGCCATTTGCGGCAACCACCTACCAAGCGCTCCCGTATGAACTCTCTTCCGGAATGCAGACTCAGACTCTCACTGGCTTTCAGTTAACTACCATAAACACATCTTCACCTCGTAATTCATCACCAGCCACCCCACCACCACCCACAATCGAAAATTCTCCGTTTGCTCCAATGGCAACCACATTACCTCCAGTCATGATTACTCCCACCACCATAGAATCCACCCAACCCTTCGAGACCCTTCCCATAGTGGACAGCACCACAGTCCCAGTCATCGTCGGCACCCCTTCATTCACCACCCTCACTCTCCAGATTGAACAGTCTTCCAGCTCTAGCGGCGCCCACACAACCATCACTCCCACAACCCGCCACCCACAAGGTGGAACACACCACTCCCCACCTCCCAACACTAGCACCAGCACCAGCACTCCCGGCCCTCCAACCACCACCAACGAAACCAGCCCCTTTCAGGATGGAAAAGAGAGCAACAACCTTCAAACCGCTGGAAACATCGCCAAAGTAGCCGTTCCTTCTGTAATCGGTGGGCTGTTGCTGTTCGGCGCTTTATTTGCCGCCGTGTGGTGGGTATTTGCGGTCCGTGTATCGAGGGAAAGAACAAAGAAAGAGGCCAAGAGGAGGGCAAAAGGGAAGGAGCGGGCTGTAATATGAGTTGGGATGAGCTGGAGATGAGGGTGATGGTTGCAGTTGGCGGTGGGTTTGTGGGTGGGTCTCGATCAGGGTGATTTGAGTGAGGAAGGGGCTTGGGAAGAACGTGCCTTCCTTGTTGGGGCAGGCTTTGCCGGTCTGATGGTGAGGGCTCAAAGGTTCTTTCCGTTGGTCGGATCTTAGGTGGTACTTTGGGGAAAGGGTGGGAGTCATATACTTAATTAATAAAAAATGGAAGGACTAATATGGCGCTGTTTCTGAGCTTACCCTGTAAACAAGAAGGGGCGGCGAGGTGTTGTTTAATTGCGGATAGTGTCAGGAGCCAAAGGCGGGTAAACACCTGCAAAATGGTGTTTCCTATCATAATAATGATGATCAGTTCTCGCTTTTGGTCCGATTCAACAACTATCTGTCTCTTATAAATACTCCGAGTACCCCCATCCCCAACACCAATATCCAAAGCCCCATCACTTCTCACCCCCCCTTGAACTCTCACTGCTCACCGACAGCATAATCCAAAACGCCGCCTTGGTCCCCAACCTAGGGTTTCGACTCTCGGTACTGTCGCTCGTCCTGTTCCACATCAAATCAACCAGCAGATTCTCCGCAACCCCAAACCCATTCCGAATCAGCCGTTAAAACACCCATCACTAAGGTTCTCACCTGGGTTCAACCCTCAATGTTCATCAACACCGTCAAACACGGCGACCGAAAAGCCCATTCAAGTTGCCCTCGGACGGGCGGGCGGCCCGCTGTGGCCCATCCGATTCGTCGTCCTACCGTCCACCAGTACCCCCAGTAGTGGCGGGAGCGGTCGGGGGAGGTTTCACCACCTTGCCAACCTCCTTTGACCTGTGGAACAATGTCGCTAGATGACACCGATATGTTCAACTCTCAACCCACCAAGATAGCTGGGAATACATCCTTTTCTCGCTCTCCAGAGTAGAACTGTGGCTTATGGCTTGCGAGAAACGGATGATCTCATGAAGTGTAAGTCGGACACTCGCGGAAGCGGGAGCGCTTGGTCTACTCCCCTTGGCAGTTGAGAACACAGCCACTGATTCATCTTCTGCTTTCAGACCTCCTAGCTCAGGCTTTGAGCCGGTATTACCGGCGGCGACGTCGAGAGGATCAGGTCCGCGGTGATGCTAAGGCGGGCGATGGGTGTGGATATAGCGCTGGGTAGCAAGGGGACGGACCCGGATCCAAACGACGTGTTTGTGAACGCTCAAAAAATCCGCCGCGCTCAAATCGCGGCTGGGCGGATTGAGAAAGATATGGTTGAAGATAGCGATAGCGAGCCTAACGAATCGCAAGGTTCATGCATTATTTGCGCAACACCAGATAGCTAATACATGGTGTTATGTTGATGGTGTTGTCCGAGTTGTGTGGATCAAAAAGTTGACCAGTGGTAGGGGGGGCTACACGGCGGGGAGTCGGGGTAGTCCGAATCTGTGTCAGGGGTCGGCGGTTGGAGATGAGGTTGCCAGGAGGGCAGGATTTGCCTGCACTTGCGCAGATGAGTAGAACGCTAGTTAATAGCTAAATTACAGCCACCCGGGTTCAACCGACCGTTAAATTCCCTAGAGTTGATGGCAGCTTTTGCAGGCTTGACCGGTGAACACTGCACGAGCAAAGAAAGGGGTAACAGAAAAGAGGACCGGAGTGAACAAGAAAAATCAGGTAAGGAGACATGAGGGAAGGCAAGAAGGCATAATAATTAAACTAAAAACACAGAGTGATCTGGTTAGCCGTTGTGGGAAAGCCAAAATTGTGACAGGTCGACCTTCAAACCATCCAGTCTCGTAACTCCAAATAACATGCGTCAGAACAATCAGTGAAGCTAAATGTTAGTAATTACCAAAGTTAGGAGGTGCAGCAGTACGTGGGTAGGACAGGTGCAGTTACTAACCAAACAAGACGATTCGAGTGTTTTTATGGCACGGAACAAGATATTATAGCAAGAATAGCACTCTACCTTAGCTCGCTTTGGAATCGTGAAGGCCGGCGATGTAACCAGGGGAGGTGTCTAGACACACATACCGAGGGAGAGAGAGAAGAGATAAACACAAACGCCTTGATTCCTATTCGAGTTTATCCTGTCCTATCCTAACCCCGGCCCTGAACCCCGCAAGGGACAGTCCAAGGTGATATAATATTTAACCACTGCCCATTATTCTACGCTTGTTACTGCTCCACGTCCGTAGCAGCCGCTTTCCCATTCTCAGTAGCGCTCTCTTCCGTCAGAGCACTACTCCCCGTTTTTGGTTCGCCTTCTTTACTCTCCTCCTTGCTCTCTTTCTTACCCCCACCAGTTTCCTTGCCCTCCTCCCGATTCCCGGCCTCATCGTCATCCTCCTCCTCCTCCTCCTCCTCATCATCATCAACATCAACCAACTGCTTCGCCTTCCACGCCTTCTTCGCAGCAGCCGCCAACACAGCATAATCCCCACTCGTCTCACACATACTCCTAAACACACCACCACGGTCGCCCGCAGTAGCACCCGCACCAGTAGTAGCAACACCCTTCCCTTTCCCCTCGCCCTGCTTCCGCTTCCGCATCAACTCCCACGGATGCCCATACTCTACAATCTCCCCCTTATCCAACACCAACACCTTGTCATAATCCACAATCGTCTGCAGACGGTGAGCAATGGTGATGATCGTGCTGGTCAGTTCGCGGATGGTTTCCTGGATGGCTGAGTCCGTGGCATAGTCGATGGAGGCGGTCGCCTCGTCCATGACAAGCACGGTCGGGTTCTTGAGCAGGGCGCGGGCAAGGCAGAGGAGCTGACGCTGGCCCTGGGAGAGGTTGTTGCCGGATTCGGTGACGGGGGAGGAGAGGTCGAGGAAGATGTTTTTGTTGTTGGCGGCTGTGGTAGGCGTGGTGGGCGTGTTGATGCTATCTGTTGCGGTAGTGGCTTCGGGGAGGGCCATGGTTGGTGTAGCCGGAGCAGTGACGGAGGTGAGTTCACCCGCTTGGATCAGGTGCACGCGGCGGAGCGCAGTGAAGATCTCCTCATCCGTATACAGGTCAAAGGGGTCGAGGTTAGTCCGGATGGTGCCCATGAACAGGGTGGGTTCCTGTGGCACAATCGTGATGGCCTCGCGCAGGTCACGGAGGCCGATCAAGCCCACGTCGACACCGTCAATGAGAATCTTGCCCTCGTCCGCCTCCAACGCGCGGAAGATGGCCAAGGTGAGCGAACTCTTGCCAGCACCGGTACGGCCCACAATGCCAATCTTCTCGCGGGCCTCGATGCGGAAGCTCAGGTTCCGCAGAACCGGGTCGAGCTCCTCGCGGTACCGTGTGCTGTAGTTGATGAACTCAACCGCGCCCTGGGCGGGCCAGTTCTCAGGCGGTCGATTGTCCTCGACCACCGCTACAGCCTCCTGCTCCACGTCTAGATATTCCTTAATCCGCTCGACCGAGTTCATGTTCTGCTCGTTCAGCGCATACAAACGGACAAGCCACAGTATGTTATCAGCAAATCCAATCGCATAGCTCAACGAGATACCCGCCGAGCCCGGGTCGATCTTGCCGAGCCCGATGATGACAAACACCCCGGCAAAGAAAGCGACAACATCTCCCAGGCAGTCGGTCCGGAATGCGAGCCATCTGTTAGCGGCCCACATGTAGATGAACGGCCGGAGCTGCGTGTTGATGCGCCCTAGGTTGTCGCGGATGAACCGGCGCTCGTCCCCGTACGCGCGGATCGTCGTGACGCCGCTGAGCGTCTCACCAAACTGCTGGAACAGCGGGCTACGCTCGACTGACTCCAGCCGCTTCAGGTCGCGCGACGCGTGGAGATAGAAACTGCCCAGGAAATAATACGCCAGCGCGATGAAGACGCCCGCGACCAGGAACATGGGCGTGATATAGGCGATCAAAATGACAGTAACAATGATGGCCAGGGCACAGGACATGACGCCGATGGCAATGGGCGCGACTTCCTGGTCGACATTCTCCAGGTCCTTGCTGAATCGGTTCATCATCTGGCCCAGCGGCGTGACGTCGAAGAACTTGAACTTGGCGCCCGTGACCGACCGCATCAGGCCGTCGTGCAGCTTCCACGAGGCGCTGATAGAGCCCTTGAAGAGCCACAGATCCCGGAATAGAGCAGCCAGCGCGCCCGCAATACCAATCGCCGCCAGTACGATTAGGTAGTATGTGACGTTCACCTCCGGCACCGGTGTGCCCGAGTCGGCCGTCGCCGTCATCCAAGTAGTGCTGTTGCCCTTCACATAGTTCGCGATAGACGCAAAGTAGGTCGGCGACAGCGTCTGGACCGAGTAACTGTTGGAGTTCATGTTGAACCCGATCTTGGCCTTCTCCTCGGTGTCGTACTGGTTGGACCACTCCCGGATCCAGAAGCTGGACGCCACGCCGGAGAACTGTTGCGTAGCAAAGACAGAGGCCGCGGCGATCCAAAACATCCACCCGCCCATGGATCCCAGGTACAGCTTCAGGACGGGCCACTTGACCGCCCCGGTAGATCTGGTCTCCTCCATGGCGTCGACCTTCTTGGTCTCCTTTTTCTTCGCAGGGTCGTCTTTCGCCTTGTGCTGGTCACCAGAACCGCCATCTGCATCATTGATCAGCGTAGCACCGCTCTCCTCGCCGACGCTAGAAGGGACCCTTGACGGCACGCGAGAGATGTGAGCGGAACCCGGCGCGGACTTTTGCACAGCGACATCCTCAGGAAGCGCGCCCGCACCAATCAGTTCCTGCGGCGTGCCTTGGTGGGTGACACGGCCGTTGGCCATCGTGACAACGTAGTCGGCATGCGGCACACAGAGCGGGATGTTGTGGGAGACGAGAATGCAGCTGCGGTTACGCATCAACGGGCCCATGATGCAGTTGTTGAAGATCCACTGCGCCGTATGGGAATCGACAGCGCTCAAGCAGTCATCCAAGAGCAGGTGTTTCGAGTTAGAATACACCGCTCTCGCCAGGGAGATACGTTGCTTTTGACCACCAGAAAGGGTGATGCCTTTCTCGCCCACCAGCGTCTCGTCGCCGTTGTCCAGAATTTCGAGATCACGTTCCAGAGCGCAGGCTACGATGACATCGCGGTATCGCTGCTCGTCATATGGTGCCGAAAACAAAATGTTGTCCTTGATGTTGGCGTTGACAAGCCAGGCTTGCTGAGCGACATAGGCGCAGGTCTCGGCAAGCCCGGTCTCTGGGTCGGGCCGAACATCCTCACGGCTGCGTCCTCCGGGAAGGAAGACGCGGCCCTTCATGATAGTCATCTCGCCGAGAAGTGCCATGAGCAACGAGGTCTTCCCAGAGCCAGTTGGGCCAGTGATGACGTTGAGCTTGCCGATCTTGAAGTCGAGGTCGAGGTCTAGCAGGCGGAAGGCCATGGAGCCATCCTCAGCAACCGCCGTCCGGCTGCCCCAGATAAAGGTCGCGTTCTTGAACCCGATGACCCGGTTGCCATTCTCGTCCACGTTGTCAACACCCAGCTGCGCAAACTTCTCGGTCTCCTCCTCAGACAAGAACTCTTCGATACGATCGATAGACACGGCTGATTCTTGAACGTGGGCAATCATGTCGCCGAGCTGATCCAGCGGGTAGCGTAGGAGCATGAACAGGGAGATCGCGGTGAAAGCGACCGACGGGTAGAGCGGCTTCTGCTCAACGACGGTGTAGACGAGGAACGAGAAGAACGTGATTAAAATCGGCACCGTGTTCCAGACGGCCACGGCGGCCGCCCAAATCATGAAACGGAAACGGAGAGCCTTCAATTCCGCCCGGCGCTTCTCGTCCACAATCTGGGAGAACCGATGCTCCCAGGCAAAATACTTGATGATTCGGATGTTCTGCAGAATCTCGTTGGTGGTGTGAATACGTTTATCAGTGGCAGCCATGATCCGCTTTTGGCTCGAGTTGAAGCCCTTGCCGAAGGCAATGTTGACTGGCAGCAACAACGCCATGATGATGAGACCGGGGATGGCGCTGTATCCCATGACCTGGTAGAGCAGGATGATGGCCACGAGGAGCTGCGTAGGCGCCGCCGCGACGAGGAAATGCAGATAAGAAGTAATCTCAGACACTTTGAAACTGTCAACTGACATCAAGTTGATGATGGTGCCCAAGTTGGCTTGCTCATCGGCATCGGGCGTCTTGCCCTTGCTAGCAGCTGCGTTTGCGGCATCGTTCGAAGCCGTGTTGTCCTTGCTGAGCCCCAACAGCCTCTTGACCCGGGAAAAGATTCCCTTCTTCTTCTTGTCATCATCCTTCTTAGCGCCGAGGTCGTTGTCGTTGCCTGCGGCTGCCTTTCTGCGAAGCGCCTTGGCGTAGATCTCGCCGACCAGGATGGCCCGCAGGTTGATGCAGATCTTGCGACCGATCCAGAGTGCTTGGCCGTCTGCAACGGAGCGAAGTACATCGGAGAGGGGAAGGAGGATGACGTAGAGCCACAACACGTTCCGGGGAGCGATCGAGGGGTCCTCTACGTATTCCAAGATGGCGCGGAGGAGCAGCGTCGGTGCGAAGGTGAGCGCTCCACCGAGGACAGCCCAGGCCGCCTGTACGACCAAGGCACCCTTGAAGAACTTGAGGAGGTGGACGGCCAGCGATGTCGTCTTCTTCAAGAGCCGGTAGTTGGACAAAACGGCAGCGGCCTTGTCCTTAGGCAGCAAGTTCCAGACCCTCTTGATATCCAACGGCTCCTTCCAACCCTCGTAAACGATGCTGTCAACCCAGGAGAACGTGTACCGTGAAAAGAGCGACGCCAGGTTCTCCCGGCCCGGCGCAATGCCGTCCTCCCACTCCAGCAGAATGGTCTTGTTTCCCTTGCGAGTGCAGATGGCCATCACGAACAGCAGTGTGCTAAGGGCGAACTCGGCAATGGCAAGGGTCTGGGTGAGCTGGGAGCTCGCGCGGATCAGGACAGAGCGAAAGATCACCGATGTGAACAGCCATTGGAAAGTGTAGATGATCGTCGTGTGGTTCCAGAGATGCGGCACACGCCATTGTGTATTCCCCAAAGTGAGGCGAAGGGATGTCAACAACAGGGCATAAACCCAGGTGACCAAGCCGGCCACGGCCGCGATGCTTCCCCATTTCTTGCCATATGCCCCCGTGGCCAATGCGATAGCGTTGATGGCCACTAGACCAATGACAGACAACTCCTCGATCCAGATTGAAAGCGTCTGCCCGGGTGGGATATCCGCCTGGACAATGGAGCCCCTCGTCGTGGTCTTCGCCAGCGCGAGCCGGCCGCCCTCGATCACCAGGTCTTCCTCCTCATCACTCTCGCCAATGGGTTGTTCATCCCTCGGTAATTCGGTATGGCTCGTCGGCGATAACGTCGTCGGGCCGGCCCCAAGGGGTTCGTACCCGAGAGTGCCCTTTAGCTTTGCAGCGCGGATGAGGTTGTGGGCGAGGAGGTGCACAAACGAGAGCGTTACGATAGCCAATGGCAGGAGGACTTTGAGGTAGCTGTGTGCGTCAGGGTTTGCCGATTAGCTTAACGGTTTTGAAGAGTTGCGTCACGAGACATCGGCAAAAGCACATGTTCACTCCCCCATTGCCAAACCAATGCTCGCAAAAGAGGAGAAAGAAAGCTCGGAAATTGATTTTTGAAGGGCTTTTTGCTACTTACTCTCGCTGAAAACAGCGGGTGAAGTCATCGGTCTGCCATATCGGCCAGGAGCACGATGCAAAGCCTGGCTCGCCCGCGTCGTCAAGCCGCATGGCGGATGTTTGCGACTCGCAGGCCTCAGCTACTGTTCTTGAGCAATGTGTACCACAAACAAGCTGCTCAAAAAGTAGAGGCGTGGCGCGATAACCACTTTCTAGGGAAGAGGTCGAGGGCGTCGTGGGTTCCCAAGAAAAAATAATATGAAAAAAGGGAAGGGAAAAGAACGAAGCAGAGAAACAGAAACAGAGTCAACGGTGCCTGTCAATCCGAAGCAAGGCGTCTTGGTCCCAGCGGCTTTTAGCAATTCGGAAACCCTGCCTGCATGCGCTAGCTCTGCACCCCCGCCGAAGTGGGCTCGCCGGCCGGGGTGGTCGTTGTCTCCAGAATTCCTTGCAGGCCCCGCGGGAGACCGCGCTTATCGTCTGGATGGCCTGTGAAGTCGCGGCCAAGCCTAAAGAAGGCCAGAGGGTCGGTAAGCAAAGGTGGGGTGTGTTGAAAGATGCCCCGCTGGAGCTTCCCCCAGGCACCCCGTTTCCGGAAGTCGCGACATGGACGCCCAGGAAGCAGTGCTCGGCCCGAGCGCAAAGCGTTACCTGATCTTCAAAGTTCACAAAAGCTCTGAGTCCCAGCTCCTTTGAAGGTTGAAGTTATTGTTGCCTTCTGAGATGACGAATCGATCCAGGCCGCAACTTTAAGCTTTTGCCTAGGTTTATGAGATGCACCTCAACCATGCACCCAAGAGTTGCCTATCCTCCGCGTGGCATTGGCCGTTGGAGGATCGTCGTTTTGCAGCACCGAGAAAAGGCGGGATCGGGTTGGTCAATGATGTCAGGCGAGGCTTCTATGCTGTCGTATCCAACCTGAAGCAAAACAAGACCCATGGGAAAATAAGGAGCAGGAGGCCCAAGGCCTTTCAAAAATGGAGTGGTTAAATGAAAATAAACAGTTGGGAAATGATCTTGTTAGGAAATGGAAACTTGCATCCTGTGCCACGGATGATTCCAAAAGCCTGGGCCAAAAAGAAGCGCCAACCGCAGCAGTGACAAGTCTTATTCACTGCCGTGTAAGTCGAGCTGGGCGGCATCAGACGAACAACCGTCTCTGTACGTGAAACAGTTTTCCACTGACAAACAAGAACTCAATACGGCGATACGACAATATGAGTAAGTCGAAACCAACCACACCAACAATGCTCTCACCGCTGGCTCAATGTCGCCATCACGCCACCATCCATGCTGACATTCGTGAAAAAGAATCCAACAGCACCTTTCTTCTAACAAACCACAGGTGTGTAATTTCCGACCAATTATGGTTACATTCACGCCTTGCCATCGAAAGCTTCACGTCGCTCCGCAAGACAAACTGAAACATGAACTTTCGATTTCCCACACTTGATTACTTACCGTGAACTGCCATCGAGAGGGCGACCAATGCGAGACTGAAGGTCTTTCTTCCCAATCCTAGAATTGCAAGACGATTCTCAAGTCCGCGAATTCGGCAGCCCTACCCCTCCCATCCCAAGAAAGATTCAAGGACCTTCCTAATCCATTGCACTATAAAGTACACTATCCCTCCTCATGGTGGGTACGGTTCTTGACCCAAAACAGAAAAGACCAAACAGAATTGAAAGGGTGTTGTCAAATGAGTCACCCCGACAACTAAAAAATGAGTCTTGTTCTTCTCCATCGTAACTATGTAGGATTCAATCACCTGCAGACATGCCAAATGCTCTAAAGGAAGGGAGGGTCAAATTGCATCAAGTCAACCAACTTGGAACCGTCCCCAGCGCGCCGGAGGGGTGTGAACCTGCGCACTGTGGTTCTTCCGCGTCATTCACAAGACGCCTTCTCTTGACTATCTACCATACATCGACGGAATCAGATCATCATCAATCACATCTGAAAGACGATAGGCGAGAAGAAGACATGATCGGGTGCAAGTGTCTCGGACAAGAGGGAATACAGTTGCCACTGGTTGAGTTCCAAGTGATACAAATACACGCCCATTCAGCTGGCCCTGCGATTTCCGGCATTCGTGATTTGGAAGGGCTGGTAAATTGCCATCCACACCACTTACATAAGGCGACCACAAAGTGACGCCAGGTGCATGACAAGAGATTTCGTTTAGACGCCCTTGCCGCCTCAGACAGGGCAACGGCGCGCTGCGCCTTACGACAACCGTGCTGAACGATTTCCTCAATGGCAAACGTGGTGAAAGGGAGGCAAACAAAAAGATGAAGGAGGCACAGATACAGAAATGGCAAGTCCCAAGGAGTAAAACCGAGCGCCGGAGCCCTATAATTTTCCCTTCGAACCCAAAGACCTGTCTGTCCGAATCTACTTGTACTGCCCGCTCAGATGCTAAATACCAACCAGCCCGATTTTCACAGACCTTCCTTTCTTTATGATCTTTGGCTTCATTGCTAGTACACAGGGCAGCCAGCGCTTTGGCTCCCCAAATAATTACAGACTAAATGGACACATCGACAGCTTCCAGCCCTCTAAAGCGGCCCGGCAAGCTGTATAAGGGATGCGGCGAGCCGCATTAAAACGTGCATTTGGCATTTGATTGCACTCAAATGCACTTAACCCATAATCATCCCCTTCATGCCCGCCAAGTCGCCCTCCTTGGCAGCGATCTCGAAGTAACCGTAAATGATGCTAAGCAAGTGTTAGTGCGTGCGCTTTGGGGGACCATGTTTTAAAGGCAGCAACTTACGTGACGGCGAGGAGAGTACCGGTACCGGAGCCAAGCGCGCCCATGAGATCGCTGGCAACAGAAAGAGCACCAATGCAGGCACCACCAAAGGCGGCAGCGGTCGGGATAATGCGCTTCAGCTCCTTGTACATGCTCTGCTCACGGTGGCCGGCCATGACGAGGCCCTGGTCCTTCAGCTGCTTGGCAACATCGCGGGGGCTCGAGCCGGAAACCTCAATCCAGGTCTTGGAGAAGACGGCGCAGGCGGTGAGCATGTAGGCGATGTAGACGGCGGTGTGGATGGGATCCAACAGGGCGTCCTTGAAGTTGAGAGGGGGAGACATGTAGTAAACGAGACCGGAGATGGCCGAGAGCTGCGAGGAGCCCTCCTTAGCCTCCCAGACACCGAAGAGGCGGACGAGGAGGTTCTCCGAGAAACGCGAGTAGAGCATCTGGCTGATTAGGAAGATGTTGGACGACAGAGCGGACTGCAGCATGATGGGCATGTTGGAGGTGTAGAAGAGGCGGATGGGGTACGAGCCGCGGGCACCACGCTGGCGCGAGGACTTGACGGGGATCTCGACGCGGAAGCCCTGGAGGTAGATAACGGCGGCGAAGACGAGGAGGGTAGCGAGCAGGTTCATGATGTTGGGCAGGTTCTGGCGGTAGAAAGCCTCCTGGAGAGCACGCTGCTTGTTGGGCCAGGTCATGAGGAGGTGGAAGAGCGCGATGACAGCACCCTCGTACTCGGGGCCACGGCCAGTGTTAATCGAGGTCGGGGAGAACGCCTTCCACATGATGGACTCGCAGATGTTGGTCGCGATGAACAGCGAGATACCGCTGCCAAGGCCATAGCCCTTCTGGAGGAGCTCATCGAGGAGAATGACGATCATACCGGCAACGACTAGCTGCAGGATCAGGAGGAAGACGATACCAGCACCCAACTCGCTCGGGGGGCCATAGAGACCGGTGAACACGTAGACGGTGGCGGTGCCGACGGAGAGGATGAGGGCAAACAGCTTCTGGGCGGTCTGGTACAGCTCGCGGTCGGACTTGAGGTCGAGGTTGACGTCGATCATGTGGGTACCAGCCAGGAGCTGGAAGACCATGCCGGAGGAGATAATGGGAGTGATACCGAGTTCCATCAAGGTACCACGGTTACTCGCCATCATCATGCGCAACCAGTATAGCGGATCGGAGGTGTCGGACGAGACAATGCCATAAAGAGGCATCTGGCTCATGACCAGGAAGATCAAGAGTGTCAGGCCCGTCCACATCAACTTTTGGTTGAAGGGGATCTTCGTCTCGGGCTGCTGAACCTCGGGGAGGAACGGCACGAAGGGCTTGACCAGGTCGAGGAACCGAACTGCGAAACAAGCCAAAGAGTCAGCACCACGGTCGCGAATGTCAATTCGAAAAAGTTGCAAGTCCGTCGTGGCTCAAGCTGCGCGAGGCTGCGCGCCTGATGCGCGAGCTTGTAGCTCCAAGACGCGCCCAGAAAAGAATCTCCATTCAACTTACGGGAACTCATGGTGGGCAATTGGAAAGAAAATCAACTATTAAATCATCCAGAAGAAGAAGAAAAAGAGGCGGAGTGAGCGACAACGACTCTGGGCGAGCGAGTTGTTGTCGACGCAATGTGGTTCGAAAGGGGGAAGGGGAAGGAATCAGCTGGAGAAACGGCTCCTTAAGATCTGGCTTCAGTTATTCTGTGATGTGTCCAATTTCAAATGGGTCCACACGTGACAGCTACACCCAATCCTGGGGAAGGCGGCCTGCTCCGTGCGCGACAGCACAGCTGGGTGCGTGCCAAGGCGCTCCAAAAGTCTCTCCAACAAAGTGCAGTTCCCCTGTGGGGCTCACTCAACCCTTTCCCCAAAAATTCGAGGAACAATCTAGAACGTTGAGATGCGGCTGCAATCGAGGGTCGAGCGACGCCGATGGGCCTTTTCCGTCTTGCGTCCCTGGTCCGCGCAGTACTGCGTCCAAGTAAATTCACTGTCAGAAGGATGAAGCCCCTTATTTGTATCTACGGCTCGACTGGGACCGGGAAATCCGATGTATGTCTCCTTTGCTTCTTTTCTTTGGCCTGCTTTCTTGTCTGGTATGGGAGGATAACAGGGACTAGCTCGCTGTCGAGTTGGCGAAGCGATATGACGGTGAAATAATAAACGCGGATGCGATGCAAATGTACGACGGCCTCCCGATTATTACCAACAAGATTTCGATCCAAGAACAAAGGGGCATCACGCACCACCTCCTGGGTAGCATCGAGCTCAGAGAAAATCCGTGGGCCGCATCCCACTTCAAAAACGAAGCAACCAAGATTATCTGGGATATTCGCAGTCGCGGGAAGCTACCAATACTCGTCGGCGGTACGTCCTACTATCTCGACGGGTTGATTTTTGATGGGAAGCTCGTCAAGGAGCAAGCGGAACGGGACGGGCGTAAAGTCGACCGCGACGACCTCATTGCGCAACATCCCATTCTCTCAGATACTTCGCAGGCGATGTGGGAGAAGCTGCGCGAAGTAGATCCCGTGATGGCCGAGAAATGGCACCCCAATGATACGCGCAAGATCCGAACCTCGCTTGAGATCTACTACGGAACCGGGCGCCGCGCGTCGGACATTTATGCCGAACAGCGCAGGGAAAAGGAGTCCAAGTGGGCGGTGCAATCTCACGGGCCAAATCAGAACTTTGACGAAATACTCATGTTTTGGCTGTACGCGCGCAAAGAAGTTCTTCACGAGCGGCTAGATAGCCGCGTCGACAAGATGGTGAATAACGGTCTACTTGACGAGGTGTCCCAGGTGTACGATCACCTCCAAAGACGACTCGCCGCCGGTGAAACAGTCGACCGGTCGAAAGGAATCTGGCAGTCTATCGGATTCCGGCAATTCGAGGCCTACCTCGCAGCGGTCAAGGAAACGCCAGATAGCCCGCAGTTGGAAGGTCTCAAACAGGCCGGTATCGAGGGTACCAAGACTGCAACACGGCAGTACGCCAAGGAGCAATTGCGGTGGATGGCGCTACAAACCGTCTCCTCGCTCCAAGAGGAAAACATGATGGACAGGCTTTATCTGCTCGACAGCACCAACCTCCAACTGTGGAAATCCGAGGTGCTCGAGAAGGGGGTCACACTAGTGCGCAAGTTTCTTGCAGACGAACCACTCCCGCCACCAGCAGAAACGTCTGAAACGGCGAGGGAGGTCCTGGCGGAAACGATGGCGCGGAATAAACGCCAAGACACCCCCTGCCGCAAAACCTGTGAGGTATGTAAGAAGACGCTGTTAACAGAAGAGCTGTGGACAGCGCATATTACAAGCAAGAAGCACCGCAAGGTGGTACAGGCTGTGAAGAGACGTCAGCTTATCCCGGCGCACGCGAGACCCCCGAGGGCCTTGATGGTCGTCGAGTCAAGCGAACCCGATCCCGCACTAGAAGAACGAGACAAGGAACCGGTAATAGAACGCGCTTGAACCCAATGGTGCTCTAATGCGCTAAAATCTCAAACCGTATTCGTACTTTTATTTTTGTTCCCAAAGCCCCTCCTTTATACGACATTTCATCCCCCTGAACATGGTATCAACACCCCCCAAAACAAACACGACCAATATGTAACATTTCATACCATCTATGCCTGAAGTTGACTCTTCACCCAATTCTCCAGCCCCCCCTTGGCGATTATCTCCTGCACGTTTGGCGGCAACTCGCCCACCTTCTGACTCCACGTCTCGCCGCCCTCGCCCTCCGTCACAACCACCTTGCTGCGCTTCACATCCCACACAAACTTCCACCCTGTCCTCCTCGTTAGCGCCTTGCCTTCTTCGCCACCAGCAGCCCCACCAAACGTCTCCCGCAGCCTCTTAACCAGCCGTGGCACCTCAACGCCCATCAAAGCGTTGTTGATACTGTTGCGGCTGAAGATGTTGCCAAAGCTGCCGGCGACCACAAGCGGGATCTTCTTGGCGAGGATGGCCGTGGCGGCCTGTTCGCGGGAGCTGCCGCAGCCAAAGTTGAAGCCGGCCACGAGGATGTCGCCGGCGCGGGCGACGGAGCCGAAAGACTTGTCGTAGTTCTCCATGCACACCTCGGCCATCTTCTCGACCGAAACGTTGTCTTGGTAGGTATACTTGCCTGGGTAGATGCCGTCGGTGTTGATGTTGTCGGCGTCGCAGAAGACGATCTCGCCTTCGACCTTCTCCGGGAAGCCTGGCAGGATCTCGGTGAGGGCGTCTTCTTCCGCAGCAGCAGTAGTACCCTCGGTGTTCTCGGGACTCGCACCACCGAGATCCTTCTCAGCCGTAGCAATCATGCCTTCGGCCTGGGCGATGATTTTGTCGAGGGCTTCCTCGATGCTGATCGCCTTGTCCTGGACGTGATCACCGTTACCTTCGCCAATGATTACCTTCTCGACGCCTTCCGGTTTCTGGTACCAGCCCGGCCCGGCAATCTTACCCTGCAGCGCGCTGGCCGCGACGACCTCAGGGCTGGCGAGGTACGCCTTCGCCTCGGTGGATCCCATGCGGCCCTTGAAGTTGCGGTTGCTGGCGCTGATGCCGACCTCGCCTGGCTCGAGAAGACCGGTGCCCTATAATTCATTAGTAAAGGGCCCGATACGTTCTAAGTAGGGCTCAAGTACGTGCCAAACCGATACAAGGGCCACAACCTGACGGTAAAGGCACAGCCCCCGCCTGGAGCAGGACCTGCCAGTCTCCGGCCTCCTCAGCCGCCTGTTGTTCCAAGATCGAAGCAGCTGCAATGTAGAACTTGACACCGTCAGCCGCCTTCGGGATCACACCGTCCTTCGCGGCATCTTTGAAGACCTTGGCAGCAGCAGCGATGTCCGACGCGCGCGAGTTGGTGCACGAGACAAGGTAGGCCTTGTTAATCTTGATGTCTTGCGCCTCGAGCTTGTTCAGGGGTGTAGCGATCTTGACGGAGTTGGGTCCGGCAACGAAGGGCGCAAGCGTAGACAGGTTGAGGTACAGGGACTTGGCGTAGGTCGCACCGGGATCCGCCGTAATCGGATTGCTGATAAGTTCATCGATCTTTGCGTGTGTGAACCTCCCCTTCGCGCCGAGGTCAGGGTTGAGCACCGCCGAAGCCGTGGCCTTGGCTCGGAGCCAGGACAGCAGCATCTCGTCGATCGGGAAGAGACCGCTGAGGGCGCCCCATTCGGTCGTCATGTTGGCGATGGCTAGACGGTCGTCGATGGGGATACTGTGCATGGTCTGTTCCGAGCCGGTGAACTCAATAGCGTGGTTCAGGACGTCGTCGTTGTTGAACAGGCCGCAAAGCGCAACAATCACGTCCTTGCCAGTGACTCCTGGGGGGAGGATACCCGTGAAGGTCACTTTGGCAATTGGGGGGATTTGCCACCATGTCTTCCCAGTGCTCTGTTCGGCACGTTAGCCGTACCGATCCCAAAGCGATCTCCGTGAAAGGCGAGGAAGGGAGCTTCGACATACCCAAACTGCTGCCGCATCGGTGCGCACAATTGGCGTGCCGAGGCAGCCAATACCATTATACATGTTGGCATGGGAATCAGAAGCAACCGTGACGGTTCCCGGCCAGGCATATCCCTCCTCAACCATAATCTGGTGACCAATGCCCCGCCCCGCTGGGTAAAAATCCACGCCCTGTTGCCGCGCAAACTCCTCGATTTGACGGTACTTCTTGAGGTTTGACTCGCTCTTATTCTGTACGTCGTGGTCGAGCGTCATGACGACCTGGCGGTTGTCATGGATCTTGGTCGCCCCAATCGACATGAACTTCATGGCTATCGGCCAGCTGTTGTCATGCGACATGACATGGTGAGGTCGCAATGTTACATAGTCGCCCGCCTTCACCTTCTTCCCAGACGGAAGCCCGACAGAGTACCGCTGAACGATCTTCTCTGTCCGGGTTTGTGGGTTCTCGACAACGGTGTTTAGTGAAGAGAGGAACGGCGCTGCGGCCCCGACGCTTTCCCGTTGTGTGGAAAAGCCATCTTGGTATAGGCGAGGGGTCGTGCTGTATGATGCGATGCGTACCCCTGGAGGGGCAGTTCTCGGAATTCTTGGGGTAAGCAGGGCCACGCGACAACCCCTGCGGGCAGCTATCGCGAGGCTTCGTCTCTGTTATGGTTAACAACTAGGATACTACGGCCCCAAGTTATGAAGCTACATACCACAGGCGTAATCATCGTGTTTTTGGGCCCAATTGTAACGTCCTTCAACTCGAACCCGGTCCAAAGTCACAAGAGAGTCACACTGGAACCCCTGCGGGATCGGAGCACAGAATTGCAAATGCAGCCGCGGCGAATGGCGGCAGTAAATTTTGGTGGGGTCAACTGTCCCTGACCGCTTTTGGGCCAAAGAGCACGTGCCCGGTAATATTGGTGTCGTTTTGTGTCATGTTTGTAATTAAAGGAGGTACGGAGTACGGAGGTAAAATATCCGTACGGTACGGCCCGGACAACCATGGATCCCAGTCAAACCGCCCCGCGTGCGGCATCTTGTGGGATCATTTTGGACGGCCGGGACTTATCAATCCCGACAGTCGCCAGAATTGTGTTCTCCAAAGCATTTGAGAGCTAGTATGAGGCAGCCTCGCAACCTAACCCTTGGCATCCAGATCTTGAAATATCTCCGAAACCCCACGTTACTTCGTACCATATCTTACATAGTAAATCACGAGTAGGTGCCCCGTTCTGCCAATCGTCGTCCTCTGGTCGCCAGTGAGGTGGTCCCTCGGCAACCAGGCGAGCACAATATCCGGGGGGGACCTCATCCGCACTTTAAGCTTCCAGATCATCTTGTCGGATCTCGAACTGATTGATTGAGAGTGCGAGAAAATCGACAGGACATTGTGACATTGTCACCGTGTCGTCTTACTGTCTTAAGAATTGGGTCCCAGTGGGCAACCCCGGAGCCTTTTCGGCCAATCAACTCCCGGGTCGTACGATTCGGTCGGCAGCCAAGTGTGCCCGATGCCCCGAGAAAGAAGGCACCAGTCAGAGCATTACGTAGACGTCCGCTCGGCACACTGTTGGCACAGGGGCATGTTGCTGAGAAGTCCTCTCATGGTGTCACCGCCCAGCCCACGACACATCCATCAGCCTTTCTTCGAACTGTTTCTGCGAATTTCACTCGTTGTAATTTTGCTCGATTGAGAGTGGATCTTTAAGAAGTACGGAGCGCCCATCTGATAAACAGTAGCGCGGTTTTCGCAAGACCCGTCCAGTTAAATATTTTTGATACCCCATCAAAAATTATCCGTCGAAGTCTGGGAGTCTCGGTTTCGCTCTCGCCCCCTCCTAACAGCCGCTGCAACCAAATAAATTTTAAGGCTGAACCAGACGACCAACCGCCTCAACGGGCCTGACCCCTTGCCGGATTCCTCGGAACCTTTCCTGCATGGCCTTATGTGCACGAGAAGACGGGGAACAGACACGCCCATCCCACTCCCGCTCTGGAAAACTCGAGATCCCCCCACTCACCAAATCCCCCCCGCTCCCTCGGCCGAGACGTCAGCCGCTCGCCCTGCGCCTCGCCTGTCCCAGCGCGCCACTCACTGTCGGTATCTGCCCGGCCACACCCCGATACTCGTGATCACAACATGATGGTGTCTCGGGACACATCGCCCCAGACTTCTAGCTCAGAGCTTCATGACGCTCCAGAACTTAGCCAACCCTCCTCGGGTTTAAGTCAAGCTCCGGGTTCCACATTCTCTCCGGCCCCCGGATTCTCGTCCGACTCCAGCAGCCACCTGGGTTCCGGTCCTAGTTCCGCCTTTAGTCCGACCCAGGCCTTCGAACAGAGTTCACATTCTCTGTCCGGCCATGGCCCCGCGCCGGACCATTTACGCAAACCAGTACGCATCCTCGCGTGCGTCCTGTGCCAGAATCGCAAGATCAAGTGCGACAGGAGATTCCCATGCTCCAACTGCACCAAGGTACGTCCTCAATATGGGATAAAATTCCGTACCAGATGTTGCTAACTCGGCCTGAAGTCCGGCACAAAATGTGTCCCCAGCACCCCAGCGCCGGCCCGCAAGAGGCGCCGGCCCAACCAAGACCTTCAGGAGAGACTTGCGCGCTGCGAGGAGATGATCAGAATGTCAATTGCGGAGAAGGAGGCCGATAAACAGCGAGTTGGCCAACCCCCCTCAGGCGAGGAACAACATTGGTTACCCACGGGGAAGTTGTTCAACGAAGATGGGAACGTCCGCTTCATCGACAGCCCGGTATTAGGGGTTATCTACGACCAAGTTCGTCACTTCCGAATTCTCATCCGCCATTATGCATACTTCTGATGTGCTAACCCCCCCACAGCTCCGAACCATGAGGCAGATGGTCGCTGATGACTCCTATTCCGAGACCAGCCCGGGGAGCATGACCCCCGACGATAATTCGGACATGTTGCTCGGTGGAGACGTTCCTACGACGAATGTGGCCGACCTACGGCCAGCTCCCGCTCACGCAGCCGCCTTATGGCAGATTTACCTCGATAGGGTAAACCCGTTAACCAAGATCATCCATGTCCCATCTGTACAGCCCTTTATCGATGAGGTAACCGCGGGCCGGGCCCACAACCTCGCGAAAAACGTGGAGGCGCTTCTATTCTCCATTTATTTGATGGCCGTTGTGTCGATGACACCAGATGAATGCAAAGAAGGCTTGGGAGTAGCGAGAGAGGAAGCACTTCAAAGGTTTTCTACGGGTGTGCGGTTAATCCTGCTCCGCATAGGCTTTCTCCGGGTCCAGGATATGACCACCTTACGAGCTCTTGTTATTTACCTTGTGCGCACGATTCCCCGCTTAATACATCGGTGACCAGCTGCTGACGGCGGATACAGATATCCCTCCAAGGCCGATATGACCAACATGCCGTATGGGTCTTGAATGCCATCGCGGTCCGCATCGCCCAGAAAATGGGCCTCCACCGAGACGGCGAGGCTCTTGGGGTCTCGCCTTTTGAGTGCGAGATGCGCAGACGCCTGTGGTGGCAGATTATCATGGTCGATATAAAATACGCCATGTTTTCTGGCCTCAGCCACGGCTTGTTGACCACGAACTGGACCACCAAGTCGCCATCCAACATCAACGACGAAGACATATACCCTTCCATGAAAACGCCGGTCCGAGACCGCGAAGGGCCGACCGAGATGATTTTCTGTTTAATCACATACAAGCTCGCCAAGTTCATGACCGACACACCCGGTTTTGAGGTTATGGTACTGATCCCTGAAGACGACTCCACGCCTGGCGCCAATTCGACGATCACGGAAGAACAGCAGGAGAAATACCGCCAAGGGATCGCCCGTCTTCGTGAAGAAATGATCGAAGTCTTCGACAAGTACTGCGACCCTAATGCGGGCCCAACCCACCAAATCGCCCTCAACATGAAGACACATCTTGTCGCGAAGCTCGAAGAACTGATGATACCCCTGAAGAACCAAGAAGAATGGGGTGGCGAAGTCAAATCGAACGAAGACAACATGTTCAAAATCGCCATCAGCCAACTCGAACACAACGCCGTCAACTACACCTCCACAATGGGCAAGGGATTCGCCTGGTTTTCGCTCCTCCACTTCCAGGTTGACATGTTCATGTACGTCGCCGGTCAGCTGTGCACTCGATCCAGCGGCACACTAGTCGAGCGCGCGTGGGCTCAGGTCGCGGTGGTCTACACGTTTCATCCCGAACTCTTCGACCTAACTAACAAGAACTTCATGGCAATCGCTATTTATATCATCCGTGCCTGGGAGACTCGCCAGCGGCTGATCCTCGAAAACACTGGTCAATCCCCCGAAATTCCATTCTACGTCGAGAAACTGCGCGCCTGCATCGCTGATGCCAGCGATGTGACCAAGCCAGAGCCGGAAGAGCTAATGGCGCCCAACACCTATTCGCTCGGGTTTAATAGCGAAGGTTCTCTACCCCTACCTCTACATCCGGGTGACTCGCTCGCGCAATTCTTGGAGTACCCCCTTGGTGGTGGTGGTGTTGCTGGTACGCCGGGGACAACGGAGTGGGATATACTCTCGGCGCAGGGCGGGCAAGGGCCGTCTGTACCGCTGGCGTCGCTCTTTGGGGCTCAGGGGATGTTTCCGGAGTGGTGAAACTTTGGGAAGGCGAGTACAGAAACAGGAACTCGAGGAGGATAGTTGAGCATATGCATGAATATCTGGCATTGGAAGTGGAATAAGCAGAAAAGAGCGGCGCTTTGGGTTATTCTGGACTTATGAAGGATCAAGGCTGGAGTGGGCATTTATTCTGCGCTGGGAAACCGTTGGTTTGCGTTGCATATTGGTTAAAGCTTGAAATTACTTCAAAGAGCCGCCGATGACGAGGTTGCGTGGCATCGTGTATCATTAACATTTCATACAGGTTAGGAACGGGATGGCCGACCGGGGTCACGGGTTTTATTTCCGAATATCATGAGAGGAGGGCCGGGGGACATCTAGACGGATTTGTCTGTTCACTTGGGGTTTGTTTTGGTTACCACCCCATAATCAAGCTAAAGTACCGATATAGGTATTCAATCTTCACTCATCTTGCGCTTTGCGTGGTGGCAGGGGGAAATAAAACTGCGAGTCAAGTATGACTGGCCGCGTCTTGAATGTTGAACAATTCCGATTGTCTAGCTCTCCCGCCTTGACTCAACACAGACCTTAAAACGCCTCATGAAGTAAGACAGTCTGATGGGGTCGTAAACGGGGTAATGGGTAGAGCCTCTTTCCATCACGCCTGCTGAAACCAACCCCTCTCGTCTTACAACACACTCGGGAACAAATGAGGTTGATCTTGATCATTTGCAATGTGCACCCGCCCCCGCCCCCGCTTGCTAAATACTTTCTTGCGCGATTATCACGTCTGGAGGATCTAATCCCCACAATCTGGAAACTGAAGACCCAAGTCCATGCCTTGTCCAGCAGCGGAATCAAACTACATCCGATTTTCAACCCCCCGAGGATTCCCAGTCGGTATCACGGTCTCCAACCACAATCTCCAACCACAGTCTACTGTCTACAACTGTGAAATATGCATATTCCACAGTTAGGTAGTGCGGCTATCTATTTATTAGATCCTACTTGCAGGAACACCATCAGAACCGCGGCGTACCTAGGGCGGTGTTGAAGACACAGTTAGTTATTAACACTTATCAGCTATTACCGACTGGCGATGGCAAGAATGCAGTGCAGCCAGCAGAGGAGAAACTCGAGGAAGAAGAAAAAGAAGGGGACTCACGCAGCCGTCACCCCCAGCGCGTCCAGAGGACGCGACGTCATAGCCACACTCGTCAAGAGTAAACAGGTGAGGACAAAAGCCGTGATGACGCCCAACTTGTACGAGGCGTTTCCCAAGGCCTGGAGAATCCAAATGGGCACCACCAGCATCAAAACGCCGATGAAAATGGTTACGGCGGACACGAAATGGTCCATGACCTTGTCGCTGTAGAAAGTCATGGTTGGGTGTAAGGCGTTGTCTGGCAGCTGGTCGGCTGCTTTGCTAAGACTGCCAGTGCCAGTGCCGGCTTGAGCTTCCACGTCCCCCGTGATCCTACGCGTCCTGCGCCGGCCACCACCGCCACCGCCGGGCGATGACGACAGCGTCTTGCTCCGGTCGTCACGCCAGAAGGGGAGCGTGCGCAAGAACAGAAACCTGTCCATGCCCCGACGTAGCGGCGTCTTGTCTCGCGGGCCGAGGGGGATGAGGTCGTCTGGGTAGTCCAGGTAGGTCTTTTCATTCTGGTGGATCGCCTCGTTGTCATGGCTCAGATGCCAGTTCTTGAGGCTCGTGATATCCCAGGAAGGCGCAGCGGGATATCTTAAGAGTGCGGTTTGTTGGAGGATGAATTTGTCTGGGCGCGCAAAGGGCTAGGGTGAGTGACCCTACCTTCACTTAATTCAACGCTGAGCGGGGGCTGCTGGCTGCACTTACTGTATCGATACAGGGACGTCGAGATCTTGTCCAGGAGCTCAACTCTCTCCGAGATGGCATCTTTCCTAAATGTACCATTATCTAGCTCCTTGCCCGGCTGGCGGCTCTCCTCTTCGATCTGGGCGAGCTTCTCTTCCAGGCTCGAGATTTCATCTTGCATGCGCAGGGCTACCCGTACGTTGAGACTCCGGAACCGACGAGCGACGAAAAAGTCGGGCTCGGAAGCGAGTAGGTTGGAGTAAGCCTGATAGCCCACATACTTCCAAGGCTTTTCTTGAATCAAATCATTCAAATCAGCTGCCGTTGGTGCCGTCGGTGCCGGATTGAGTGTTGTTGACTTTGTTGCAGCCGGCGCTGCTGCTGCAGTCGTAGTCGGCGGGAGCAGCGAGGGGACAGCATTGCTAGAGTGAGTAGAGCCTGGGTCTTGATTCCCTTGATTCCCTGCTGAGGCTGCAGATGCACCAGCGGCTACGTCTAACCAATCTGGCTCGCCATCCGTCGCAACCAGTGTAGAAAAGTTGACCGGGCTATCCATCGTTGCCGGTGTAGAGCGTAACGTCAACACTGAGATCGAGAACGTAGGTAATTGAACAAGATGAAACAGAGGGTTCTGCAGGTACATGTACGGTACCTTGGGTATCAAAGCCTAGTGAGGCGAAGCAACCGTTTACAAGACGATCCCTGTTTGTTGTTAGCTCAAAACCTCACTTAGATGTTATCTAGCCAATGAAACATTGAGAAACACGCCGTTACCCCCGCCCTACCGGGTCCACCCAAAGTCCTAAACTAACAACCCACTAGGGATAGTATTGTACTTGCACCCTACCTACGATGTAACTGTAGGACACTAAAGGCTAAGCGCTGCGGCAAGCCTGGCGAGGGTGCTCGACGCCATTGGATTATTACCTCGCTCCCTCGTTCGATACTCACATCCTGACTGAAATGTTTCAGCTTTACCGTTTTAAGCGCCGGTGGCGCCCCCCCTTCAGATCCATCGGTGCGAAGGCTCGATATATTCATGATTGGGAAGTAAACCGTATTACCGTAAGGCTTGCATTCGCCATCCTCGATTACCTACTCGTCCTCTCCCCTCCCTTGTCTCCCTTCGTAATCCGCACCACAACGCCAAAGTGACCAACAGCTTCGAGTTTGAACATGGACATTAACCCCGCTCGCGTCTTGGTGTCAGATGAGCTGGCGGATTTAGCCAACAGACTCAACCAGCTCTCCATCCAGAGGCCGGGGCACATGCACCATGATTATGCACACTTCATTCGCCTTCCTGATACTAGCAACGAGCTAAGGATTCTCGACTATGCTGGCCACGGAGGGAAATCCAACCGAACGAGAAACGCTGCTCCGCGGCCGGATCCCAGCACCCAGTCTCAGTCCCAGAAGAGCAACACAAATGGCCAGAACCAACCTCAGCGGGGCGGCGATCAGAATCCCGGCGGCGGTAATGACGGCAATGACGGCAATGGTGAGGATTCCGACGGAGAGGACAAACGGCGACGCGGTCCTGGCACCCAAGTAGGCGAGCACTCGCTGCACTCCCGTCCGCAGCTGAAGAGCTTCCTGGACAGAGTACTGCAACCGGCAGACCCAGAAATTTCCCGCGATATCCGTTGGCTGAGAATCGACTCAGCGAACGATCTCACGGTCCTGTGCCATCTGGTCTCCCTCAAAAGGCTGCAATATCCCTTCAGGGCGGTTCTCGGCCGTGCCGTCCGCAACCAGGAAGAGGGCATGCGGCGCAAGCAGGTGATGCTGCGCTATTACAACAACAACAACACCACGGCGGGAAAGCCGGCGGAAAAGCCGGTCGAATATGCAGACTCATTTATCGCATTGCTAAGCGACGTCGAAGCCCGGGAGGGCAACCTGGCCAGGTTCCTCGACAAACACAAGCAGTCGAGGCGGCCCCCCAGTAAAGTGGGAGCCCAAGCGGCCGCTGACTTCCAGAAAGACATCCAGAAAAGGTTCGACAGCCTCTGCTCGATGGAGAACGACGAATTCTTTTGGTGGGCCGAACGAGCCATCATGAGAGTCCTGAGCCAGTTTGACATTCATACTGGCAACCGCCAGGAGCACCAGGATCCTCGCTTGACGCCCGGCACCGAGAACCGCCTCATCGGTATCGTCGAGTCCATATACACACAGGCCTGGGCGCAGTGTTCCACGCTCCACGCCGGGTCCCAACCCCCGCTCGAGGAAGTCTTCAAGCATGTGCGGTCCTTCATCCGCCAGTCCCTCACCGAAGACGACAGGACGAAACAGTCCACCGATTTGGCCGTCGTGGTGCAGTGTTTCGTCGGCAAGGTCGCATTGGACGTCGCGACATGCATCTTCCACGCTTTAAAGACCCTAAAGACAGGGGGGGCAACGGTTACCGAGTCCGCCTCCCCAAAGAACCTCAAGATCCCCCATATCCTCCGGCACTCGCGCGCCGGCGGCCAGCTGAAAGACACCTACAAAATCTGGCACGTCTCCCAGCTCAGCAGCGACCCCACCTTCCAGTCTGCTTCCCTCATCGAGGCAGACCCAGGCCCGCTGGTCGCCTACCAGGATTTGGAGGACTTGGGGAAGGAGAAGGAAGAAAAGGCCTCCCAGCGGCTGGCCATAATCGACCTCGACGCCCTCACCCGTGCCTGCGCCGCCGTGCACAAAACCCTCCAACACACCGACCTACCCCTGGCCCTCTTCTTCAGTGCTGCGTTTCCTGAGCTCGGCAAACCGCGGCTGCTCGTGTTCAAGGGCCCGTGGCTGACTGAAGTTATCAGTATCCCACCGCAGGAGATGAAGCATATGGGCTGGGAGGGGCTGAGGCCGTTGGGAGATGGCGGGGCTCGGCAGGGCTACTACGCGCGCTTTTCTGCTCACCGGTTGGAGGGCGGCATTCCGATTTTTATGAGTATGGAGGAGGATGTACTGGGGGCGTTTACACCTGCCGGCAAGTTTCTCTCGTGGGAAGAGGTTGTGAAGGATGGAGGGGATGTTGATGAGTGAGGGTCTGAGGGATCTTCGGGGGGGATTTACCTTGTATGCACAAGTTCTGTGCTTGATCTGTACTGTGTTAGCGAGTTTCCAAACAATTTTGATTAGTTCTTATTTCGTTTAAACTTCAAGGTTTAAAACCCATCGCTCCATATGCGAATTATGTATTTCGGAAAGCGACTCAAACCGCCTCTCATTAGTATTTCCACTTCTCATGGGTTGCTCCCGACATTGATGTTCATTTTAGACACAAGGGGTCTTTAAAGCAACGTCACAGCTGTGTTGATGGTGTCGTCTTGTGAACGATGCCGTTTTGTTGTGGCGACCCCACCATGTCATTATCGTACGGTACCAGCGTTGAAGTGACCCTTCATAAATTACGTGTATTCCGGTGTATTACTCATCCCACATCCCACATCCCACCTCGAGGCTCGGACCACGAACCTCCATCATAAAATCACGATTTCACCCACAAAACCACCATATCACCGATAGTTTCACGATGGCGCCACTGAAATCGAAAACTGAGATACCAAACCCGCGCCGTATTCTAGCGGTGTCCCTCACCAACAGTGCGCAGCACCTGAGCAATGTCATCAAAGGTACCATACGCGACCCCACCTCTCACCTCACGATGCTTTGTGAGCATCGATTCATGATCATCGCACCAAATCCCCAGCATACCGCCCTCATCAACTCTCTTTACCCCCTAAATTCCACACCCCCCGTATCAGCTAAACTACTAACCACAAACAGATATAACCGGCACCCACCCCACGCCTTCAACCCCCTCTCCCGACGACGACACCAACAACACGCCCAGCACCACCACAACCACAACCACCCCCAAAGACCCCCCACCCCCTCAACCCACCCTAGCAGGAACAACCCACACCCTCCCCCTCACAACGCCCTACTACACCGCTTCCATACCCATCTGGCTCGATCTGATCGCCACACCAGCCGAATGGTCCGCTTCTTTCCTCTCGCCTGAGGCGCGCGAGGTGTTGGGTGTGTTGGGGGGGGTTGTTGTTGTTTTTGCGTTGCCTTCTTCTCCTTCTGCTCTTACTGGTCTTTCTGCTGGGCGGGATACGGTGGGTGGTGAGGGTGGTGGTGGTGACGATGGGGATGATGGAAGGGAAGCAGCGCGGGAGTTGGTGAGGCATGTGGGCAAGGTTGTAAGGGAAGGCTTGGGAGGATGGGAGTGGGTTGGGGTTGGGTTGGTGGTTGGTGTTGGGGCAATTGCTGGTGGAGGGGAAGCTGGGGAAGATGGGACTGGAGAAGAGTTGGATGAGTGGGAGGATTTGTGTGCTGAGTCGGGGTTGGAGTTTGTTCATTTGCCCAAGGCGGGTGTGGCGAGTGGGAAGGGGAAAGGGGCTGCGGAAGAAGAGGGGAAGAAGAGGAATGAGTTTGGGGAGAGGGTCGGGGTTGCGAGGGTGTTGGAGGCGTTGGAGGCCAATGATTGGGCTGGTGGGGGGATGGATGAGTTTAAGGAGGGTGATGAAGAGGGTGAGGAGGGGAAGAGAGAGTTGGGTGATGGGGAGGTGGAGGATGATGATGAGTTTGACCCGGAGAAACTGGATTTCGGCTTTGATCGGGGGGATTTTGCCGGGCTGAAAAAAGCGATCTGGTCTGGCGGTGGGGATGGTGAGGATGATGACGAGGAGGAAGTAGGTGAAAAGGAGGTCCAGAAGTTAGAGCAGATGATGATGAAACTGCAGGCTGTGAGGGACGCGAGTGCCGGCTTGCCGGAGGACCAGCGGAGGAGGATGGCTGCCCGGGCAGTGGGGGAAGTCATGAAGGAGTTGTGAGAATACGCGTCATGGTACTGCCTCAGGCGGACCTCCATGACGGTGGATTCTGGAGGTGTTGTATTGGCTTATCAACGAGAAAAGCCTTGTTTTATACCAGTGGCCCAACGTTGTCAGAAAATCTCACAATTTTGAGTCATGGATGTTCGTCATAGCTGGGGTGAGCTCAAGACGAGTGTCTCGCAGCCATCACGCGGCATGGAGTTCAAGGAGACAGTAACGCTTTCAGCTTAAGTTGTAAGCAGAAGATCAATATAGAGGATTTATTTTTGTTCAGAAGAGGCACTTAATTTCGTAACAACGGGCACTCTCTGTAGCTCTGACTTCCACCGCCTTTATAATTAAATCTTTAGAAAAGCATAGTTATATATTACCTACCCCCTGCATTCCCCTTGGACAGTAACCCACCAAACACAGACTTGAACAAACACCACGGACCGATTTCCGATTTTGGCACTCTCAAACATCACACAAACCACAGCAACCAGGGTCACCCTCAGCACTTGTCCGCAACTCCCCCTTCTCCCACCCCTCCCCGAAGAAAAGACGGGAATCCCTGACAGGTTTTCTGTTTACTGTGTAGTGCATGTGCCGCACGTGTCCAACACGCTCACACACACCCACATACCCACACAGCAGTTGCGACGAGACGAAGGATTGCTGTGCCGCAGCCTCGTTCGGACTCTTGGGATTTAGCCGAACGCTTCGGACTGGGCAAAAGGAGGAGAGGGAAAAACGGTTTCTTAAAATACAAGCCCCCCCTCCCCCAAAACTAGCTAGGCTCCGCGCATGAACAGTTGTGGGTTTCTGAAGAGGTGATCTTCAACTGGAGGTTTTGGTGTCAGTGCTCGTTAAGCCAGTTTACTAGTGTATTCAGGGACGAGCGGCGTGGAATGGATGAAGGGGGATTGACGATTTGCCGGGACGGACGGCATATCGGCGATCAGGCGCAGTCAATGTCCAATGGAGAGATGGGATCGAGAGGGCTTGGATGGTTTGTTTTGCTGGTCGGGCAAGATCAGACGGAACCTTGCCCGGTTACACAATGCTTGTTACGGTAGGAAGTCGGGAGGCATAACTTTCGAGGTGGGGATGGTTGTTACAGAAGACCGATAGAAGAACAGGGGATGGTCGACCGAAGAGTTAGTTGGGAGAGGAACAGCCGATGGTTCATCTCGAATGTCAAGATCTCCCGAGGAGGGGTTGTCGCGTGGGAGAAGACGTGAGGATGTCTGTCGCAGGGATGCCTATTTCGGATTTTTGGGACCGGCTCGTTGTAACGTCTCGGCTTGGACTTCTTCCAGGTGAGAAAGACCGCATGAGATGACGTGGCTGCGCGAGTCGGAGTTCAACCCGTCTCGGCGATGCGCTTCAGATGGACCAGGGATGCTAACGAGGATTCGACGAAAGCATTTGCTAGTTAAAACTCCCTGCTCTGAATGCAAAGGGAAACGTTTAGTGTACTATGTAGTTCGGGTGCGCTATTTTGGACATTTGGAGCCACGGCCGGTGGGAATCGAAGTTTGAGTTGCTGGCCGGAATGTTGCTGACGCTGAAAGTTATTTATGGCTTCGGGTTAACGAACTGGGCGGTTGCAGAAACGCCATTCTCGCGGTTGTTCGACAAGGGTCAGCATTCTGCCTCTCAGGGCTGATAAAAACGCCACCTCGGCGCCTCTTCCGGCCTTGAGGTGAAGGATTGGTTCTGGTGACCACCTCATGTATGTCCTATGTCGAAGCAGTCGCGCCCGTCAGTGCCGTCACCCATCGCGTCTGGATGTTGATTCTCTACTTCGTACCCCGCGCCAGTTGCGACAGACCGCGCCGTGGCCTGCGACTCTGCATGAATACTTGGTACCTGCAGTCTTGCAGACCCGTAGCCAATCATGCCGGTCCGAATTCCGAGCGGCTCGCGATCCGTTGCATGAACTTGCCCGACCACGGCCTCTCACGATTCAGTGGCTTTCAGGCGAGCACCGATGGATGGAACCCTGCCTTCAAGACCGCATTCCCGACGAGTTAGCCCTTTTCAGTTGGGGGTACTGACTCACGAGTCCTCCGTACCCCTACTATGTTCCAACTAAAATTCTGGGAAAGCGTGACGAGCCAAACCACCGAATTTTTCACTTGATCCGACCAAGAATGCGGCGGCCGGTCGGTGTGATGGTTGCTTGTTGAGTGGGGCGCGTGAGTGTTCACGAGGCAAGCACAGGCTGACTCCCTGAGAAGGAAAGAAGAAGGGGAAAAAACATGTGTGCTGCTGCCAGGGCTGCCCAAGAAAAAGGGGAAACTGGGGGCCAGGCACTGTCCAAACTGAATCCTGGTCCGGAAGTGATGGACCAATTGTCGCGGCTAATCCCAGGTCGTTCCTGCATGGCCAGGTCCGGACCCGCAGGCTCCTTCAGGGGTAAGTGGGTCCTTGAGTTGAAGATGGTGGGGTTGTGGAACAGTGCTGCCGACACAGTGGACCTGAGGAAGGGGCAACCCAAAGGGGACACTCGGGATCTACAATCAGTTTCAACCGAACCGGATGGGTGGTTTTTGGATCACCAGCACCGAAGCGGTTGGTGATCAGGCGCCGTCATCGGATTTTGTCATTTTTGAGGGGTTGTTTATTATTTGCCACTTCCTCTTGTTTCTTCGTTAGGTTGTCCGTTATGTGAAAAGGGAACTTGAGGGCGATGGACAATGGAAGCGAGGCCCCCAACCTGCCGCCCGCGACGGGGATGTTTGAAAGTTGTTCTGCAAAGGACCAACCCAACCTGCACGACGGCGGAACAGCTGGTTGATGGCCGCCTTGGACACTTTTTTCGGCCTGTGTTGCCCAAAGCCTGGAATGGCCGGTGCATCTGCAGCTCCCCCCTTCAGCGCCACGGCCGCAAGCCTCCCCGACGACTCCGACAGCCAACAGACGAAGTAGACTCACTACATTAGGTCACGCACGTCACAGAGTCGCACCGAAGTCGTGTTCGCCATAAAATGGCAAATGCATGCGTCTTGCCGCTGGAAAAGACATACGCGTCGTGCTGCAGAGGTGGGGATGCGCTGTAAAGGCGAGTCGCCGGCTTCAGTGGTCCCCGACCGAACACCCTCGTCGGCTCCGGGGGAAAGGGTTGCGGAGGCCGGTCGGGCAAGCGGTTGTGCGGCGCGCCGGCGAGGGGCAGAACAAACCTTCGCACACGAAGCACAGTGAGCCTTGGGCGCAACCCGTTTTTTTACGCGGCTGCGGCCAATTCGGGCTAGGTAGGCTGTTGTCGTTGGGTTGATTGGCACTGTCTGGATACATTCGGTCAGTGCTCGCCCCCAGTGTCCCCTGCAGGTTCGCACCGATCAGCAGGACACCACATGGCGGAGAGACGTCCGTTTGGAAGTGTGGGTGAAACTTGGTGGGACTGCTGCCGCAGAAGCTCTTGGAGGTGGAAAAACTGGGATGCAAATGAAAGCCGGGAAACTACAAGAACATCACAACATCATTGATTAATACCGGGGCGACCCTGTAACCTCGTTCTATGATCCTGCGTATTCATGGTCAACTTACCTACGCAATACAGTATATGCAGGAGATGGCGTTTTCTTCCCGTGTCCTCGATGCTGGAGACAAGCAAGAAGCCAGGGGAATGCGTTTGGTGTCTTGGCCCCGCCAATTTGTGGCACCAGTGGGCAAGGGGAAGCGGGTTTTGGCCCACATTGAAGTCGCAGCGAGTGTGGGAAAAGTGTGGGAAACTGCACAACCCGACCTCCAAGATCCGGCATCCAAACTGCACATCTTCGGGGGGCTGTGCAAGTCGCACTTCCCCGACAACAGAATCAAACATCTCGGACAAGGTACAGAATGTTTGGCGAAGTTTTCGGTTGGTGACGGCACGTGTAGGTCGAGAGAAAAATACGACTGCGGGCCGAGTAAACTTCCGTCTCAAAATAACCACCTAACTACACAGTACGTGTAAATGCTCGCGCTTGGATTTGGCCAAACTCTGTTTTCCGCCACCATGGCCAAGTCCCGTCGTCGCAGATCGGACGGCGAGTTGGGAGGAACGGGTGGGAATTCCCGCAGCGCACGGGCGGAGGGACAACTCCATACCTATCCACACGCGGGACACCACATCCCAACTCGCCATTCATACAGTATGGCCGCCCTTCGGAAGGACACGGGTGATCCCCCGTTCTAAGCCTGGGAGACGCTCTCGAGGTTGCGCCGTGAGTTCCACACGTTTGAATCAAGCGCTTCACCAGACTTTCGGCAGCGGCGTTGTTCAACCCTAGTCAGGTCCCGAGTGACACAGGCCGGGTTTCCGGGAAACTCTTGCCCAAGTCAGCGTCCCTGGCCGGTGCCACCCCGGGTCCTCGGTGTTCTCGCTTCTCTCTTTTCGCAGCGTCTCAACGGCCACAAGCCGGTGGGGGGAAGTGTTGGTCTACGAAAAGACGAGACAACCGCCGCGTTCTGTGATCCCGCGTGCCCGCCAAATGTTTTCCGTAAGGCTGCCAGGAACAACAACATCAAGCTCGCATGCCCCTGCGGTCAGCGCTGCAGGTACCAAGTAAGCTGCAGCACAGAGCTGCTGTGATTGGTCAACACACCCCAAAAACTCAAGGCGGCCCCCTTTGGGCACCGTGGATGACACTGTGCGGCTGCAGCGCGCTTCCTGCGATTCGCTGCTTCGCCCGTTGGATTTCTCCTGGCTCTCCTGCCAAAAAAGCGCTTCACGGGGCCCACCGGCCCGCCCAGTGTGGGAGCGCCCACACGGATCTGATGCTCTTCGCTCGTTTTGCTTTTCCCTCTTCAACCCCCCATGTCCCCGTTCCAGTTTTTCCCCTTTCGACTCTCTTTTTTGCCCATCCTCGATCGCCTCACGTTGGGTCCTCTTCGACCGACCGATCTTTTTCCCTTCCCCCCTCCCCACTTTCTACCTTCGCTTTTCTCACCACAGTCACTCCCTTGGAAATACTCAATTGAGTCCGTTAATCAGAAACCGTTCATTCCTTCCGGCTTCTGTTTGACGTTGTTTATTCTTGTTTTTGCCTCGAGCATCATTCCTTCAATCCTTGACACAGCACCGACTGTAAACCCCCTTTTCCACGGCACAAGCCGAACCTCCTGTGCGATTATCCGCCCAGGACGACACTCCTTTGAACCAGACGATTTCCCATACTTTGATTTTATATTTCCCTTTCCCGTCCATACCCGCAATATACCCACCGGCGTAGTCGAGACGAGTTTTGATCGGTGGCATCCACCCATTAAGACACAAAGCAACGCGGCACCCTTCCGAAGCCGGCGTTTACGGTCCGGACTATTCTTGACGCCAAACGAGCCCCGATCATCAAGACGACCCACGCCAGAACGAACAATTACACGGAGCCCGAAATGGCCACCGATGTGGTTAAGCACGAGCTTCAAGAGGTGAAGGAGGAGTTTGTAGAGGATGTGAAGCAAGAGGAAGGATTCGCCCCATCGACCGCGTCTCTCTCTGTATCGCCGTCGCCCAGCAAGTCGCCGTTGCCCACGCCCACCTCCTCCACCTCACCGAATAAGATGATGAAATCCCCTGCCAATGGATCAAAGGGGCAGGCCTCGGGGTCAAGGCGGCCGGCTCGCAAGAGCACTCTCACGCAGCAGCAGAAGAACCAGAAGCGGCAACGCGCTACACAGGACCAGTTGACGACACTCGAGCTCGAATTCAACAAGAACCCGACGCCCACAGCCAACGTGCGCGACAGGATAGCGGAAGAGATCAACATGACGGAGCGGTCCGTGCAGATTTGGTTCCAGAACAGGTGAGTCCCATGCATTGCAATATCGTGTGAGGAGGCAAAACCTGTTGCTAACCTGGTCGTAGACGCGCTAAGATCAAGATGTTGGCTAAGAAAAGCCTCGAGAGCGGAGAGGATATGGACTCGATCCCCGAGTCGATGCGCCAGTATCTTGCAATGCAGGCCATGGAATCGGGCAAAAGCATCCCGGGATTTTTTGGGCGCCCTGGCATGATGCCTTATGGGCAACAGGGGCTGATGGGTGGTGAGCAGTCAGGGCCTGGGAAAGTTTGTAAGTGCCGCAGCGAGGAGCATCCAGCTATCAACAATATGCGCTAACTGGCTACAGTGATCCACCATCTTAACTGTCGCTCGCTCACCATCGGTAGGTGGATGCGGGTCGGACAGAACGCCATGGACTTGATCATCTTCTATTCCCCGGACAAGTGCACGATGACCTACTACATCAACAATGACCAGGCTGGATACAAGATCGAGTACCCGTTCTCCCACATCAAGACAATCTACCTCAATCAAGAGCAAGGTGACCAACACGCCGGCATCACGATTGAGCTCCTCCAGCCGCCGATGTTCTACATGGACTCGTCGACGACCGCGACCTTCATTCAAGTCCACGACTTTACCGAAGACCATCAAGCGTCGCGGGTCCTGACCCACCACCTGGGTGGCAACCCCAAGGTTCTGAGTGGCCAACTTGCTAAACTGATTAGCCTGGATACCTTCATGCGCCGCCACGATGCTACTGCCCCTCTCTTTGACCAGCTTCACCCGCTGTCTATGTCGGCCCCGGTTTCACCCGCTCGCCCGTCGTCGCAACCGAACTTCGCGCAGCCTCACGTGGGTATGTTCCAAGAATCACAGTGGGGCATTCAAGCCCAACAGACCATGATGATGCGTGGGCCAGGCCACAAGAGGCAGCGTAGTCGCAGTGTCCCCGGCCCGATCGACTTCCAGACGATGCAGTTTCTTCAGCATCCCCCAAGCTTCCACATCACCCAGCCAGAGCACCAACCAGCACCGACGCACAACCCCAACATCTTCAGCCCCATTCCCCAGCAGCCCAATATGCTCGGCCCTGTTGGACCAAACCTACGTATTGATACGCGGGCCGGATTTGGTTCTGTGGACATGCGGGCGTACCCCCTTTCCGCCACGACAGCGCCGTCGCCCTCGGAGTATTCGAGCCCGAATTTCTTTGCAACCCAAGGACCTGACAATGGTGGGATCCCAGCCCCAACGTTCACGCCCTACAGCAGCACCTTTTCGCCTTTGGTCAACCCCGCCAACCTTGGCGTGCCACCCTCGATCTCGCCGCTGTCATTCAACCATTCTGACCCGGCAATCGCTGGGGAGTCGCCGCCCATGTCGATGCCGGCCATTTGCGAGGGATCCGCGATCGCAGACGAGCCTGCAAACCTGAACGAAATGTACCCGGCTGGCAAGCCGTCCATGACACTCCCGCTTCACCCTCACTCTCCCTTTGTCGAGCCGAACCAAGCCGACGTGGAGCTCAACCAGTTCATGGATCTCAAGCGTTTTGATACGGAACAGGCCTCTCTCTCTCCTGAGAGCGTCCAGGCGCAGTAGCCTCCAAGAAAGTCCAGCTGCTTTCGTTGGCTCTTCGTCTTGGTTTCAAGCAGTCTCATCTCGCATCCTTTCGACACTTCGCATGGTTAATCTTACCACATGCACTATACCCGTCGAAAGGGGGATTTCATTTTTCTGCAGTATTCGGGGCGTTTTGCGGATCGCTGTATATACCAGGGCGCTTGTTTGGCTGCTGTCGTTTCCCTTTCTCGTTCCATTTCTGTCTCCCTTTTCCCAGGCAAATGGATCTGCGGACACGGCCGACCCCACTCCAAATCCTCGTCTTTGATCTTTTGTTTTTGGACTTCTTATCCTGTCGTACTTATCGCCTACGAACTATCACCACGATATCCCACCATGCCCGCTCTCATCTGGGTAGGCCACGGCCGGATTCTCTTCGACAAATCTCGAGTTTTGGCATTTTGCTTCGCCTCGTTGCTTTTTTTGTTTGGCAGGCGAACTCTTTCTTTTGCCCACTGCTGTCCCCTGAGCATTGACCTACACAATGCTTCCGGGGAAAAATATGTTGTTTAATACCTATTCCCTAGTCATTTGTGGTTTGGTAGCAACCAAAATCCAGACCGGGTTAGGGTTGGAAGGCGGGAATCTCTGGAATGAGGAGGTTCAGAGACGCGAGGGATGCCGAAAGAAAGAGGCCCAGGAGGCTTTCTCTTTACTTTTTTTGGTAATGCGTTTCTAATTATCTGTTGTATTTTGGAGATGGAATTTAGGAGCATCATTTGCACTGCGCAAACTATTAGGGATAGGTTGGTTTGGTGGAAATCTGGAGTTTGATATCTGGCTTGAAGTCGTTTCAGGGAGCAATGAGCAAGAATATTGAACGCTGAATAATCAGTCTTGATGTGCGGGCGTGAGCGTGAGGTGAGGTGTATGGGGAGATGTGTATGTCTGTTGTTTTGCACCCAACTAAGCGAGTGCTGTAACGGTGTAAGAAGTGGGTTGCTGTATGAGATGTCTTCAGCCTTGCTAACCAGTCCTGAGGGTTTGAAAGTATCACTTGGGATAGACCCATCAATCCTTCGGTGTCTCGAGCGTGATCGTGATGACCTAGTTGTAACACGAGAACTTAGCTTCGGGCCGTCGTTGTTATATACGAGGAGTTTTAAATAATTGTTTTAAACCGTGTTCATATACACCTTCACCTATCTATCTGCGTGTCTTCCTGTTGTTTAGCTTTCCTTTGGATCATATTTATCCCTTTTAGTCTGTCTATTTTTTTTCTAATTATCTAACAGTTGAATACATGCCATGTAGTCCAACTAGTTGGAGGAGTGAGCCCCTTCCTCCTCACTGAGGTGATCCCAACTCACTTCTCTCTTCTGGAACGATCTCGCTACTCCTGTGTGATTAGGTGGGCCAGATCTAAATCGGTTAACCCCAGCACGCCGTGGTATCAGTGGCCGGCAGAGGAGGGTCATCAGGAACTATGGTGGTGGAGAATTTGTTCGAGTATTACTTGGCGTCAAGTGTCGTGGGTTGTATGAGATGTGCCGCGCGCTTACCATGGCTCGATAGGTAGGTAGCCACAGGTGACACGTCCTTGGCTTTACTTTTTGGGGGTTGGCTCGGCGGTGGGCTGGAATGGGAGGTGGTTGGGTGTGCAAGCGCTTTTTCTACAGGAATGACGGAGGTACATTATTAATTAATTGAGGCGTGATAGATGGCAGGTGATGGAGTGTGCTGATCGATATGGTTTCTCAAGTTTTGGTCATGGTACGGTTAGCGTTGTTTTTTGTTATCTGAGGTCTATGTGTTGTGATTTTACATTCGATGCAACTGTTTTCCTTCTTGACTAGGTAGAAAGGAACCTGATGGAGAACAGTGGGAGATTTGCTCTTCTTCGGTCTCGACCGGAAGATACAGGATGCTAAGCATATTGCGAGTTCGACTTTCCGGGTTAAGCTTCTCTGTAGCTCTGCCTAGTAATCTACGGTTTGCGGTGAAGCTCTCGTTTAAACACTTGGCACGCAGATCGCTGCACCACTAGGCATGTTTACTCGGGAATCCTCTCGGTAGGATACAGATCTATACAACCTCGTTTAGCCTAATTTGAGTTTTCGCCTTGACAACCCTGCTACTCGTCTGTTTACCAACCTGCTTGCGTCAAGCGCATGTCTTGTCCCTTTCCTATTGCTCCACGACCCGTCTCAGCTCCAGCCTCCAGGCATTCTCGACCGGTGTACGTCAGATTTCTTTATCCAACCGTCCAACGCAGCTCGGGGCTTAACTTCTTGCCCGTTGTTCGAGGACGGTCCACCGCGGCTGGATCTTGGCATGCAGTACCATCCCGTTTCCCGCTTCTCCTTCTGGCCCGACAAACCCCAATTGGAGCGGCTCTGCGTATGTCAACGGGAAGCCCTGTTAATGAACTCCCGTGTGCACAGCCGGCGTCCCATCCGCTGATGTCGTCCCGGATGCACGACCCGGCCCGCTGCTACCGTTCGATCCGGCCGGGGCTGATCATCAGTTAAGCAACTGCGGGGAAACAAGGAATAGAGCCTCCCCTCATTCGAGCGCGTAAGAAAGTACGAGGTCGTGCGGAGAAACAAGGGGATATAGCCTCATTCGACCGGGTAAGGGAAGTTCCAACTTTGTGCGGGGGAAGCGATCTACGGTTGTACCCCATTGATCCAACGTTACCGAAATAATTATATAAAGAAGTCAACATTGGCATCGCCCAATGGCTCGGATAGGTGTCTACCTAGTCACACCTGGTTACATGTATGTGCTTCTGTCATCATGCGGCTTCAAATTCTGAACTTGGCAGCGCCACTGCTCTTTCTGCCCGGGGCACTCTCTCACGGCGAGCCCAGTAAACCTGGCGGCCCCGGAAACCCCGGAGGACCCGGAAAGCCCGGTGAGCCCGGCAAACCCAGCGATGGACTAACCGTCAAAACCACCACGGGAACTTACACAGGCCTTGTCAACGACACCACCCCCGACGTGGGCCAATGGCTCGGAATCCAGTACGGCGTAGCCCCCGTGGGCGAACGACGCTTCCTGCCCGCGGAGAAGGCGCCCGACCTCGGCGAGACGGACGCGAAGGACTACAAACCGATCTGTATCCAGCAGAGTGGGAACAAGACGGACGTCTTTTGGGGGCTCATCAAGGAATTCCAGAATGCTGATGAGCAGAGCGAGGACTGCTTGTACCTCAATGTGTGGGCGCCGAAGAAGCCTAAGAAGGAAAAGTTGCCTGTTATTGTGTGGGTTTGTGGTGGTGGGTTTAGGGAGGGGGGTGGGCATGCGCCGTATCAGGTTCCGGATCAGTGGATTCAGCGGACGCAGACGCATTTGGTGGTGACGTTCAAGTATGTTCCGGACGGCTGCCTGAGAAAGGGGACCTTTTTGCTAAATTATTTGTTACTAGCTACCGCCTCAACGTCTTTGGCTTCCCAGGTTCGCCGGCCGCAGACCAGAACGCCGGTTTCACCGACATCAGACTTGTGTACGGATCCAGCCGCCAATCTTACTGAGAGTGACTTAGCTAATGCTGCGAAACAGCAACGAGTGGGTGCGGGACAACATCGCGGGCTTTGGGTGAGTTTCTCAGACAGTTCATTCGCTGCCAGGCAGGGCCAGAATACTAATACATCCCCCCGCAGAGGTGATCCCGACCGCGTCGTCCTCTACGGCCAGTCAGCAGGTGGCAACGCCGTCGCCTCGTACGGCTACGCGTACCCCGAAGACCCCATCGTTACCGGCCTCATCGCCTCGTCGGGCAGTGTCGGCGCGACCAACTCGGCCAACAACTCTGCCTTCCACGACCTGGCACAGGTGGTGGGCTGTGCGAACCTGACCTCGACCGAAGAGCTCGCGTGCATGCAGAAGGTCGACGCGCTGGAACTGCAGAAGTATGTCGAGGGCATCAAGACTCAGGCGTTCAAGGGCTCGTTCCGGCCTATTGCTGATGGCGTGACTGCTTTTCCGAATAATACGGAGCGGTTGGAGAAGGGGTTGATTGCTAAGATTGTGAGTCTTGTCATGGTTATGGGGTCCCGTCTTGATGTGATTGGACTGACTAACTTGTGACGGAAGCCCATGATCACCGGTTACAACTTCAACGAAGGGGCGGCCTTCCTACCGTTTGACCCTGATGCTACCGCGCCGCCCGCAGGGGGGGGTATTCCAGGGGGCAATGGGTTGGGATGTGGTGTTGTGACCGAGGCAAAGTGAGTTCAGCTTGTCCCGTGCTACGTTCTGTTTCCCTGCTGGCCGGCTTGATGAGATGTGAACCCCTATGCTTACTCTTTAATAGTGCCCGCGCTTCCCACGGTTTGAGGACCTACCAGTATCTCGTTGCGGGCAACTTCTCCAACATCACGCCTCGGTACTGGCTCGGCGGCATGCATAGCTGTACGTACTTCCTGCACCTTTCCTCCTCTCGAGACATCGCCGCCCCGTATCAATGCAAGATGTCAGAAGAAGGGTAATTAGAGGACATCAATAACTAACCAACCCCTTAGCCGAGATCCCCCTCGTGTTCGGCACACACTTCGAGTTCCGCGGTAACTCGACCGAGTTCGAGTGGCAGACCAGCTACGCAATGGAAGGTGAGCAACCCCCCTCCTCACACCCATCGTGAAAACTTGTAAACCAACAAGTAACTAACACCGAAACGATAACAGCCTACTGGGTCTCCTTCGCAGCCAACTCATCCGCCGCGCCAGTCGACCACCTCGGTCAGCCGTGGCCCGAATATTCCACGGCCGACGACGGCCAGGTTGTCGTGTTTGGTAATGCGACTGTCCCCGGCGGAGCGTCGTATGCTGAGCTGGCTTCTGTCGCGAATCAGTACTCGGGGTGTTAGGTGACTGTGATTTGTCATATGCATGGACTCCTCTTGAGAGCGGCTAGCTTGCTGCATTGGGACTGGGGATGATATCTGGGTGGTGCCTTGGAGGTTGGGGTTTTCAGGGGGGTGCTTGTTTTGATCGCAAGTACCTAGAGGTATTAGATTGTAACGAACAAAAGACCCAAGATCAAAATTCAATTCTCCAAGTTGATATCGGTACTGCCTTTCGGAAATATGGCATCTTTATTGATCTTACCTTTGATGCTTGTAACGTCGAACTAATTCACATTGCCGGATGGAAGTTCAATGAATATGGGGGCCATAGGCCGATCGCCCTTTTACCAACCGCCGGGAAGATTATGGAGATGCTAGCGGCCTGGAGAGTTACAGAGGTGGCGTCGCTGCTGTCCCACGGCTGTCCGTTAAGGCTATGCTAGTACACATTAAGAAATGACAGCTGTTCATAGGAAGCCAGCGCTGAATATAAATGGGACAACACCTACGTAGGATGAGTTGGTATGCGTAGGGTCACTAGATCCCGACGCTGGAACGTCGCCGCTGTCCCACGGAGGCTCAATATGCGAACTAATAGCCTGCCTGTCTTTTCCCGCTGCTTGTTGCCTATGCCATCGTAGACTCCTTGTCAAATGATAACCCATTGCGATAGGCGGATGCCAGCTCACGGACGTATGGTGGGTTACACACCTAGGGACTGGAGTCACTGGACAACTAGACCGGACCGAGACCGGGCCGAGATGGATTAAACACGAGATTCAAGCCGCGAGCAGGTTTGTGTTCCTGCACAGTGCAGGCGTTCTGTTCAGGCACCAACATGTTTTGTGTCTTTCTTTGTCTCTTTGTATCAGCTGGTTTCCTGCAAACTATATTACTGCGACCCCAACCCCGCAGCTGCTCTAATTATTTCCACAATCTAGCATCCAAAAATCAGTTCTTACCTTCGAACTGAACATGGATGCCGCTGTCAGCCTGAAGCCTGTCGAGAACTTGGACCTAACGGCCCTCGGGCGGTTCGGCTAATGCGGCTTGATCCTGTTTTGGTATGCTGGCAGGTGACGATGTGGAAGAACTTGCCCAATATCTCGCCCTGCGTGAGAGAGAAATGGGACACAGGTAGGTACCCGACCTTACCTAGGTACCCGGCGCCATGGCCCCTGCTAACAATCTCGCCAGATCCGACGGCAGACGACGAGGATTCGAGTGAGGAGGAATTGGCCAAGTGGAAGAACCTGAACTCGTTTATCGCTCGATTTATGACAAACCAAACCGTTATCTGGCTCCACCTTCCTGTCTGGCAGCTCAGGAAGGCGCTGGAGTGGCCACTCGATGATTCCAAGGACATCACGGAATGCCAGCTGTGGGTGGCGAGCGAATGGCTGATCCATTGCGCAGGCCCTATTTTCAAAGAGATGAGCTCGAACCCGCCGGACCTCGACCCATCCGACGCTGGATCGTTCAGGACAGGCCCCCTCTGTGATGCCGAGCCTCTGAGCGTCGAGAGGTGGCAATTTTGGAGGAAGCGGCTCTCCGACGTGGCTACCGATGTTAGCGCTGGTGTCGCTGGACACGCAAACGAGGCCTTGAGGAGCATGGACGCTGCGGAGGCAGATGTTTGAGGGTAGATATCCTTAATCTTGACTGCGAAGTTCTCCTCGAGAAGCTCGTCCCGTATTTGCCGACACCGTATCTCTCCGGGTTGGAACTCCTACAGCCGGTTCCACTACAATAAGTGGCAAGTGATGTCAATAAGACTCTGTAAAAGCAAACCGAAAGAACGCAACTTGGCCAGAGGCATGTCCTAAGATAAGTGTTTGACTACGAACAGCTACACATGTTGCCCGATAGTCGGCGGGAAGCTAAAAGAACACTCTTCCCATCTATTGCGACCTAATCATGGCCGACTAAGAGAAATCCGCTGGCAGGTTTCTAAGCTTCAGAGCTGCTTGAAGCTTCGGAGTTTAGGGTGATGCTCACCAATCACCCAGACATAATGACAAGCATGAACAACCCGGCATTTACCTGGAAACGTCAAGGTCGATGTACATATGTTGTAGCATTGATGAAAGACTCCAACCCAATGCTCCCAACTTTCTTCGTAGTCGAGAGCATAATTACCACAATAAAAAACCCACAAAAAGAACCGTTCTGGACCGACGACTCTACTTCAACAGCATATTTTGTCCAACACTACTATGTACGCTAATAATCCCGTCCATAATCTATACGCATCCCATGTCACACGTGCCGCCGGCAGTTCTTCATTTCATATCTTTTTCTGAGACTGCGGCGTCGTGCCACTCGACCGGGGCTCGCTTGGGTTTTAGGTTTTAAGTTTATGCCTTGGGCGGGATGGACTTGGCTCGGCTTGGCTCAGCTTGGCCATGCGAGTCGGTGGCGTGGATTTTTGGGGCTCTGTGGTTGGTGAAGGGAACAATTGGGTGAGCTGGGGAAAGGGGCACATGGGGGAGGGATCAAGATTGTGAGCAAAATGGGGGTGGCTCGCTATGGCCAAAAAAAGCGGCACACCAAGTCCCGGGATAACTTACTTTGCTTGAAAAGTGAAAAAAGACGAAAAAGAATAAACCAAAAAAAGGGAAAGAAGACAAAAAAGAATAAATCCAGCAAGTGAAAAAAGACAAAAAAGAGTATATCAATCAAAATTTATTAAGATTTGATCCAATGTTAATGGATTAGACTTGAGCTACCTGTTTTAGTGTGTCGCTTTTTTTGGCCATAGCGAGGGTGGGATTGAAGGTTTGGTTTCGGGGCTGAGAAAAAATTGGCGGTTTGGCACAATGGGTGAATGTGGCAGCCTGGGATGCAATGCAGTTTGGGGGGCTGAAGAAGGTTGATCTTGCCGCGCCCTGCGTACTACTACACGTAGTGTAGGAGTGCATAGTTTCTTAGCGGTTGTATTGGAGGAGGAGGAATGCTGACAGGCGCTGGTGTTTGTTTGAGATGGGGATGGTTAGTTAAAAGGGAGATGGGACGAGCCGCCACGGGAAAGGGACATGTGCGGCGCAGGGATTTGGTTGAATCGAGAACCAGTTAGCGACTCGATACGTGTAACTATTATAGCTCCTGCGCGGTCCAATATTGCGGGTTGGAGCATGTTATTCTTGCTGGTGTATCTTGGGCTGAAAAGGGTGTTTGCTCTCAAACGGGAAAGTATCCCGGTTTGGCCACGCAGCGGTTCGATCTCCCGTGTTGTTCGTCCCACCTTGCCACAACTTTGCCGAAAAGATGCGTATTCTCGAGTTATTGTCAGGTCCATGCATACCGACAGGTAACTCCGCCGTTTCGACGCCGCGGCCGTCGCCCCGGGTCGCGTGTGGCGGCGCCAAAGTTATGTTACCCCGCGCGCTCCTTTTCTTACTCTATTCTTATGGGTACGCTTCCTTTCGAGAAGCGTTTCAATGCATCACGGAGCTTGTCCGCAATGCCAACTTTTGGGGGTGTTTCGGAGCAAGATCCAGCGAACAAACAGCGCAAAAGTCCCCACTTACCCGTTTCGGGCGTGAGCAGGGTGGCTCCTTCCAGTCTTGTTGTGGTTTGAGTGGGTCCCAAGTTCCGAGCCGGGCTCGGTTTTTTTTTTTCAACTTTCTTGGCTCTCGTGGGTTTTGCCCAGGCCGGGTTCACCCAGGCATGGCAGTGGGCATGATGCCGTCATGGCTGCTCCGACGATACGAGCAGCGTGCGTATTCGAGAAGGGGGAAGCTGGGCAGGTCGTTTCACTTTGGCCGCCTGCCTCTCTTGCTTGCGTGTCGCCATCCACACCCCATGTTTCTTTTTCGACATTTGCTTCGACGATCCCTGAACGCCCACTGGCACGCCCCGCGAGCACTGCAAGCACCGCCAAAAAGATTCGCGGCGTCCCCGTCCCACAGCCACAAAATAGTTTGAGGTCGCGCTAGTGTGGCCAGGGTGTGATAGGCTTCGGAGCAGACCCACGCTAGACTTCAGCCGTTGCGAGTCGGCTCCAAAGTCGACACCAGTTGTGCATACGCAGTGTGTGCCGTCCGCAGCAGGATAGTGCGTCGTGTGGTCGTCGGTCTGGGGGAGTCGATCCATTCATAGTATGTCTGTTACCCACCCATTTTGAGCGATCATCCGCCCACCTACCCTTGCATTGCTGGGGACTTAGACCGCTGGAGTTTGAACGTGTCTATTTTTCCTTTTCCCTTCTCTCGCGATTCGTTTCTGTTGATTCATTCGTTACGTCGTTATTATTCCTTCACTCGGTCCCGAAATGTTATGTCGCCGGCAACATTGACGATTTTGCGTAATTTCTTGTTCAACTCGGAGGACTTGGTCCGGTGGTGGGCGCTGTGCGTGTTCGGTTCTTGATTTGGCGGTATGGCGGGCACGGGCAAATCGCCAACGACAGCGGAAGCGCTGCGGGAACAGCTGGACAACATCGAATTGCAAGAAGCAGAAGCCGGCCCGAGTTCGAGTTCTCCCAGCACCACTAGCCCGACGACGACGCAAGGGACGAGCTCTCAACAACATGTCGAATCCCCAACATTGCGCTCTCGACCGGTCCTGGAACCGCTCTCGCCCCGTGCCAGCGGACCCCGCTCCTTCAGCTTCGACGAGAGCAGACAGTCCCGCGCGCGACTACCGCACTCGCCGCTACACATCAAGATCCCCGACCTGTACACCATCCAGTCACACGTTGTCTCGCCACCACCACAACCAGCACCACCACCACCAGCACGAGATGCGCCCAGCTCGGCACGATATAGCGGTGTGGTATCATTTCCGGTAGCCACGCGCCTGCGCACGGTGGAAGAACCGAGGGTTTCGTTGACCCGCCCACGACAGACATTTGACGAGCAGCGAGACAATACCAAGGTCCCTGGGGACGGCGACGAAAAGGGTATACCGCCAACAGCGGAGAACCTCAACCGGGGAGCTCACCATGGGCACCTGAAAGGGTTACGCAAGAGGGGGAACTCGTCGGTCTTGACAGCGCGATGGGCGCAAGCCCAGCAAAAAGCCGAGGAAGCATACAAACGCTACATCATTGAGGGCCTGCTCCGACAGAAACCGCTCCCACCCAGCGCCGACGGGCGACACATCCCGCTTCAACCAGGCTTGGCGCGACAGAAGCCGCTCAAGGACGAGCGGATGGGCCACGCGTACCAGACGAATTTCATCCGGTCGAGTCGATACACGGTGTGGAATTTCCTGCCGAAGCAGTTGTTTTTCCAGTTCACGAAGCTGGCCAATTTCTATTTCTTGGTTATTGGTATTTTGCAGATGATACCCGGGCTCAGCACGACGGGCACGTACACGACGATTGGCCCGCTTATTGCGTTTGTGGCGCTTAGCATGGCGAAGGAAGGATATGATGATTATAGGCGGTATCGGATGGATAAGATGGAAAACCGGAGTTTGGTGACGGTTTTGGATCCCGAGGGGACGGTTAAAGATACGACGAGGAAGCGGGATCGGGTTGCTCGTGCGGTTTTTAAGAGGGGGGAGAAGGCGGACGTGAAGATTGACTCGGGCGATCACGAGCTGGAATTGGCCGAGGAAGGGGGTGTTGCGACAGCGGTGGAAGGGGAGTGGGCCAAGATTGAGTGGCAGGCGCTGAGGGTTGGGGATATCATCCGGTTGGAGCGAGACGAGAACGTACCGGCCGACATCGTCCTGCTCCACGCCACAGGCCCTAACGGCGTCGCCTTCATCGAGACTATGGCGCTGGACGGGGAAACGAACCTGAAGAGCAAACAAGCCTGCCCGCTACTGGCCAAACACTGTTCCTCGATCAGCGGCATCGGAGCCTGCGAGGGCGAGGTGGTATCGGAGGACCCCAACATCGACCTGTACAGCTACGAGGGCCGGGCTACAGTCCGCGGTGAGACGATGCCCCTGACGCTGAACGAGGTGGTCTACCGCGGCTCGACGTTGCGCAACACGAGCCACGCGATCGGGCTCGTCATCAACAGCGGCGAGGAGTGCAAGATCCGCATGAACGCCAACAAGAACGTGCGGGCCAAGGCGCCCGAGATCCAGCACGCGGTCAACCGCATCGTGGTCGGGCTCGTGTTTTTTGTGATCATTCTGAGTGTTGGATGCACGGTCGGGTACATCCTCTGGCGGCGCGAGTACGAGTCGCGGGCGTGGTATCTGAGCCGGTCAAACGTGCCGCTGAAGGAGATTTTCATCGCGTTTGTGATTGCGTACAATACGTTGATTCCGCTGTCGTTGTATGTCAGCCATGAGATCATTAAGCTGGGGCAGCTGTTCCTGCTTAGTGATATCGAGATGTACGACCCGGTCACGGACACGCCGATGGTGGCCAACACGACGACGATTTTGGAGAACCTCGGCCAGGTCAGCTATGTGTTTTCTGACAAGACAGGCACGCTTACCGAGAACCTGATGAAGTTCCGCAAAATGAGCGTGGCGGGGACAGCGTGGTTGCACGATATGGACTTGCGGCTGGACGAGGACGAGGAGAACACGAAGAAGGACGGGAGCCCGGGCCGGGAGACGACCACCACTCCGACGGAGACGGAACGGGTAGGTCGCCCACGGCTGTTGCGGCCCCAGCCGTCGACGCTATCCTCGAGGACGGAAGTCGGACGAGAAGAGAGCCGTTCTTTCGATGGCCGTCGGTCGGAGAGTCTGCGGCCTACTCCCCGAGCGAGCACGACATCGAGGTGGAAATCACCGGTCCACACCACGCAGCCGCGACAGCCGGAGCTTAACACAGAGGAACTGCTGAGGTACATCACTAACAAACCGCATTCGGCATTTTCCCGCAAGGCTCGGCAGTTCATTATGTGTCTGGCGCTTTGTCATACGTGTCTTCCGGAAAGAGGCGAAGACGGCAAGATCAGCTTTCAGGCGGCGTCTCCGGATGAGCTCGCGTTGGTCGAGGCGGCTAAGGATCTGGGCTACCTGCTCGTGGACCGTTCCGCGCAGTCGATGACCCTCGAGGTGCCGAATCCCAATAGCCACAACAGCCCCCACACCCCCAGTGGTACCGCGACGACAACAACCGAGAAATATGAAATCCTCGATGTAATCGAGTTCAGCAGCAAGCGCAAGCGCATGTCCATCATCCTGCGCTTGCCCGACGGCCGGTTGTGCATCTACACTAAGGGCGCCGACAGCGTGATCCTACCTCGGCTGCGGCAGAAGCAGCTGGCCATGCAGACGGCGTCGGCGGTGGAGCGACGGGCGAGCGTGCGCCGTAGTGTGGAGCAGGAGAAGGTGCTCACAATGCGCCGGCAGAGCATGCAGGGTAGACAGAGCATGCAGAGCGTGCGCAGTCCAAGGCGCGAGAGTATGAATCTCATGCGTGACAGTATGAATCTGCGGCGAACGACGCTGGATCGCAGGGATAGCTGGCGACGGTCGGTCGGGATTACGGATGAGGCCCAGGTGGGCGGCGCGCGGTCGTTGGAGCTGGCGCGGCTGTCACTGGCTGACCCGTACCCGAACCCGTATGACGGAATGGGGATGGCCATCGACGAATCGCTGGCACTCAACGAAGGCGGCGTGTTCGAGCGCTGCTTCCAGCATGTGGACGACTTCGCTACGGAAGGCCTCCGTACGCTCATCTTTGGGTACCGGTATGTCGATGAGGAGGAATACCGCAAGTGGAAGGAGGTGTACCTGCAGGCGACGACCAGCCTGTCGCAGCGCCAGGCCCGCATCGAGGCCGCTGCTGAGCTGATTGAGCAGGACTACGACCTGGCTGGGGCGACCGCCATCGAGGACAAGCTGCAGCAGGGGGTGCCCGAGACGATTGACAAGCTGCGGCGTGCTAATATCAAGGTGTGGATGCTGACGGGGGATAAGCGCGAGACGGCCATCAACATTGCGCATTCAGCGGGGATCTGCAAGCCCTTCTCCGAGGTGTACATCCTCGATGTTGCGGACAAAAACCAGACCAGCCTGCACGACCGCCTAGCCATGACACTCACCGACGTCTGCCGCGGCATGGTCCCGCACTCGGTCGCTGTCATCGACGGCCACACCCTCTCCGTCGTCGAGGCCGACCCGGCCCTCCGCATCCTCTTCTTCGACCTCGTCGCCCGCGTCGACTCTGTCATCTGCTGCCGCGCCTCGCCCTCCCAAAAAGCTCACCTCGTCCAATGCATCCGCCACCAAGCCCCCTCTGCCGTGACCCTCGCCATCGGCGACGGGGCCAACGACATCGCCATGATCCAAGCCTCCCACGTCGGCATCGGTATCTCCGGCCGTGAAGGACTCCAAGCGGCCCGCATCGCCGACTACTCCATCGCACAGTTTCGTTTCCTCCAGCGCTTACTCCTCGTTCATGGCCGGTGGAATTACGTCCGCAGCGGAAAATACATCCTCGGCACTTTCTGGAAGGAAGTCATATTCTACCTCCTCCAGGCCCAGTACCAGCGGTACAACGGCTACACCGGCACCTCCCTCTTCGAATCCACCTCCCTCACCGTCTTCAACACCATCTTCACTTCGCTCCCCGTCATCATCCCAGGTATCTTCGAACGCGACCTGTCCGCAGCCACCTTACTCGCCTTCCCCGAACTATACACCTTCGGCCAACGCAACCGTGCCTTCCACCTCGCCCAATACCTCGGCTGGATGCTACTCGCCGTCATCGAATCCATCCTAATCTACTACGCCGTCTACTACCTCTACGCCTTCCACTCCCACTCCCCGGTCCCCACCGACCTCTTCCCCGTCGGCACACTAGCCTTCTCCTGCGCGGTGGTCTTCATCAACCTCAAATTGTTTTTCCTCGAAGTCCATGACCGAACGCTAGTCATCTTGGGGGGGTTGGCGGTGTCGACGGCTGGTTGGTGGCTGTGGAATATTTTGCTTAGTGCGCTGTTCAAAACGAGTGTGGCGCCCTATGTGGTAAGGGAGGCGTTTTTGCACGGGTTTGGGAGGCAAGGGTTGTGGTGGTTGGTGCATTTTGTGGTGTTGTCGGGGTTGGTCGTTTTGGAGTTGGGGGTTACGGCTGTGAGGAGGGCGGTCTGGCCTACGGATAGGGATTTGATGCAGGAGATGGAGGCGGTGGGACATATTCCACAAGGGTGCGATCTGGAGGGGGGAGTTGACGGTGGTATTCATGCGCAAGATTTTGATGGGATGGTGGATGGGAAGAAAAGTATGGATGGTGCAGCGGGGAAGGCCAAGATGAAAGCGGACGCTGCGTCGCTTGATACGGTCACGTCTGCTTCGGCTTCGGCCACGGCTTCCGCCCCCACGGCTACCTCTGTACCTGGCCCTACCCCAGCACAGGAGGAAACGGGGACCGCATCGGTCATAGCAACGCCCACAACCCCCGGCTGGCAGCGCTGGGAAGGTTATAGTTACAGCCGGCCTAGTCCGGGCGGGTTCTCGCCTTATGCACATGGTGCTGTCGGCTCACCTGGTGGTAGCACTGCTGCTGCTAGTGTTAGTGGCGGAGGGGGTTCTGTTAGTGGTGTTGGTGCTGGGAGGTTAACGGGGGAGTATGTCCGCCCGCAGTTTACCCCGCCAGCAGAGGAGCGGGAGGATCCGATGGAGAGTGCGGGGGAGGTGTTGAACGGGGGAAATCAGAAGAGGTGAGAGGGATTGGGATTTGGTTGGGATGACACTCGTTATGATTGATGGGGTATATGGCTGTTTTTCTTTTCTTGGATGACCGAGCATATGGAACCGTGGAGATGGAGATACGATACCCCGGTATCCTGCATTGGAGCATATACAGAAGCATGGGCGCGGGAGTTGGGGGGCATTTATTTGGTTGGGTTGGGATTGCTTTGCTTGTATTAGATCTTGGCTTTTGGGGCTGTTCCTCGGTTTGGCAGCGTACATACAGTACATAAGACACATGCTGTGTACACATACATATCGGTATCGACATGACGCTCTTTTGGTTACTTGGTTGGGAGAAAGGGGGATTTGGATATACCCTGGCTAGGAAAGAGTGGATAGATGAATCTGAAGTTCTTGAAAGTCAAGGTCTTTCCATTTCCCCGATTGTGTCTGTTGATGAACCTCCGTGCTCCCTTTATGAAGAAGAATAACAAGCTAGAAAGAAATGCGAAAACGACCTAATGCTTATCACCCAGTTTCTCCCATAGCAGGGGTTAAGATGGTGTACTTGGCATTGGCCCTAACGGCGTGACGGGAATGGAACGCACATGAAATTATGGGGGGCGACGGGTTGGGTGGAAAAATGGCCGGAATATGGATTGTTGTCATGGGGTAAGGAAAGTTCTTCCCAGATAACCGGACTAGGGCGAATCAGCGTCAATAGTCACCTCGATGGGTTCGTTCACGTCATGCTCTCTTCAATTCTACGGGAATTCTAGAGTTCGGATACCATTATCGTTTAGTCGTCAGAAATCTTTACGCACACAAATATCTATCATTACCACTTCATCAGATATCCTGGTGACCTCTAGGCGGCAACCGGCGCAGTCTCAGGGACAGCCTCTACCTGAGGCGTCTTCTCAGCCACCACTTCCGGCTCAACCACCTTCTGTTCCCCCTCAACCGGCTTCTTTTCCTCCTCTCCAGCCCCCTTTTCGTCTTTCACCTCCTTCTCTGCCTTGTCTTGCACCCCCGCCACACCAACCTCGCTCGCCCCTGCAAGATAATCCTCCGACTCACCAATCTGACTACCCCCCTTGACCCACCGTTCCCGCCTGGCCTCCCTCTTCTCCTCACACAACGCCTGCAGCGCCGGCCAGTACACCTCATGGTCATACTCAAACTCGAGTTTCCCCGTGCTAAACTCCGACCACATCTGCTCCACAGGAACATACTTCGCCATATCCTCATTAAACTTGAGTTTCTCCCTCGTATTCGGATCAATAAACGGCGTGATCAACCTGAAAAACCCCGTCACAATCCACGGCATATTAATAATCAGCGCTTTCCCCAACCGCTCCGGGTAGTGATGCTGCAGGATATTCAGCACCTCGCGCGCCATGCTCAGATTGGGCGCCGTGTTGGAGCGGGACTTGGACGACTGGAAGTTGATCAGCAGCGCGAGGGTTTCCTGGCCGGCAGGCATGAGGTCGATCACGCGCTCGAGCATGAATACAAGGTGTTGGACTTGCCGCGGGGAAGCCTCGGTGTTTTGGCGTCCGGGGCTGAGGTAGTGGCACACGCGGGCTTCCTTGTCGAAGCCGAGGATGATTTGCTTGCCCGTTTCGTTTTCGGGGGAGATTTGCTCCGGGGTGAGGGCGTTGACGCCGTAGGTGTGGCGCCAGGCGAGGGTTTCGAGGAGGCGTTTGGAGGCGCTGGGTTCGTCCCATTTGGTGGCGCGCAGGTAGCGGAGGAGGCAGTCGCGGGTGAGCCAGAGCTTGTCGACTTCGGTGACGGGGGTGGTGGTGGGTTTGCCGTCTTGAGCTATGGGAATCTCGGTCCAGGATTTGGCTTGGGTGAGGAGCGAGTCGTATTTTTGTTGTTGTTGTTCTGTGAGGACGGGACGGGGCTTGGGTTTGCTTTCTGGCGTGGGGGCCAGGAGGGGGAACTTGAGAGGCCCTGCTGCTTCTGTCGACATGGTTGGAATGAAGGGGACTTTTTTGGTGAGAATATCCGGAACGGCTACAATAGATCAGCGACGGGGCATCGAATTGGGGGTAGAAACTTGAAGAAGGACGATATAGGTTTGAGAGTGAAGGAAGTGGGATGGAAGATTAACGTTAGGACCCCTGGAAGATTAAGTGCGAACTACACACCGCTCAATGGTTTCGTTGCTCAAAAGAGGTAAACGAAGTGAAAACAGGGGGAAATCGGGGGATTGACTGCAGTTTTCTGAAGAGTGATCACCTACCTCGGTTTCTGGCGACAAAGTTCAACCTTACACAAAATAGAGTGAACCTAGGTTTGATGAGGAGAGTTCGTGTTCATCCAGATATCTCTGTATCTCGAATATTGTTGAGCACGGACGAACCCCTGTCAAAATATTGGGGTCCCTTAGGTCCGTTCTCGGCCCCTGCTTGACGGGCCCGCCAGGACCCCTGTCCACTCGCCAGCCGCATCTTCTTTGAAAAGCCCCGCCCTGTGACATATCGGGCCTCGAAACCAGCCTGTGATCCAGGGACAAGCAGCAAGTTGAGTTGGTCAGCAGCAGTTCCCATGCCACGGATGCTAGGCGTGCCAAGCACAACATATCGGAAGTTCTCAGAAGTCAGACTCAACCGCTGGCCGGTGTCCATGACACACGGCTAGCGTTCAGCTAGCCCCACAGCACCGGGAGGTCTCAGTTGAAATAAGGTTTGTTTTTTTGAGTGCTGATGGGACAAAAGATGAAGCGATTCTCCCAAGTGCAATGTCTCAGGCGTCACATTTCTCAGATCGAATTACGGCCTCAGGGCTCAGCGGCCCAGAGGGATTTGCATACTTGCCCTAAGTGGCAATGAAGAGAGTGCGGGCGAGCCTTGCTGGTATGCCAGCGGCTCGGGCCGTCGGGCTAGCTCTTGCGCATCGTTATTCCAGCTCCCGTCCCCGGGAAGCTCTACGCCGATCGGCTGGGCAGGAATCTTTGTACAAAAGAAGACCCTTAGCACCCTGAGACGTGGTCACCAACCTCAATACCCTCCCCAGGAAAAAACAACGACCATGCAGCTCACGACCGCTTTCACCCTCCTCGCCGATTCACAACAAGCCCATCAGCGCGAGCAAGGACAAGCTGTGAGTTTCGCTGCCCGAGAAAAGCCAGGATGCGGACTGCCGTGGGGCAACGCTACAGAGCGGGGCCGCCATACTGTTCCTCAACGAAAAGCAGCTGTTCCTATACAACGGTAGTGAGGCTGACTCAAACCAGCGGTTTGGCCTCGACCGCTCGGGTGTTGGTGTGTCTTCTCCCGTTTTTACCTTTTCTCAACGGAAAATGAAAACGAGGTTTTACTAACAAACACCTAGGCCGGGGTAACCTGACCTACTCCCCCCTCGCCTCATCGACCTGGGAGATCCAGGGCTGGTTTATCGATGAGTTCACTGGGGAACTGAACTTTGACGATTCTCACTCCTTGCTGGCCTGCCCAGGGCCCGACGGCTCGTATTTGGTATACCTACAGTCCAACTTCGGCCAACCGGCTGGCCATTCTGACTGTATCCCGTTTGAAGCGCGGACTGTCGAACGGTCGCCGCCCGGTGTGGTGCCCTGTACATACAGCAGCGCTAACTAGGCTAGGGAGGACGATTTGGCGGGGAAGGGCCTCTACTTCGAGGCCTGGCTGGCTGATGCCGATGGGGTTCAGACAACTGGGTGAAGCTCGGTTCATGGTTCATTGAGAGCGAGTTGACAGAAGGGTCAAGGTTAGATAAATAACTAGGGTTCGATTCCGAGAGGCATGGGATTACGGAAAAGCCAGCGCAAACTATCCGTACGCCCGAAGCTCTACTCTAATCTTTGGTAACGAACCCGTGTGTTGGACGCAGTGCACGCTAGCGGAGGCATACGCGATCTCGGTATTTGAGGTGCAGCACCAACATGGTGAATATACAGAATCACACAGGGGTTAATATCATAGAAAATATGGAGGCAAAACACCGTGTGTTGATTGAATTGCCTAAGTTGCGAAGGCCGCCTGATGTGGTTTGATCCTTGGTATCCACCCGTGACGACCCGGCCGCTTCTTGAAGACCCACCAAGACCCCTGTCTACGCGCTAACCGCATCAAGGGCCCAACATTCGCGTAAAGTGCTTTGGCGCGTCTCAACCGCGTTCCACGGACAGCACCTAAATCCGTAAAATACAACAACCCCTCTATCACCAACCAACATTTTGGTTCCAATTCCCCCGACAACGCCACCCCAAACGAGTCCCACAACCCCGGAAAGAAAAAAATAAAACACCATGGCCGACACCGCCGAGCTCAACGAGCGCTTCGGCACCGGCAGCGGCAAGCCCCTCGAGCCCGACGTCGTCCACCTCCTGCAATCCCTCATGCGCACCCACAATCTCTCCGCCCAGGACCTCTTCTTCAAATGGGAATCCTACGGCATGAAGATGGGTCTGGACGATTTCCAGGTCTCGATCGAGACGCTCACGGCCTTTTCGCGCAGCCTGCTGGACGAGCTGGAAAGGTCGAATCGGGCGCAGGGGGCTGCTGCACAGGGGAGTAGGGCGGATAAAAGGGTGGGGGCTACGCCGCGGGGGGTGAGGGGGGGTGCGACTACAGGTGGTGGTGGCGGTGGTGATGTGTTTGGGATGTTGGATGGGTTGACGACGCCTGGCGCGGGGAGGACGAAAGCGGGTGCTGCAGGGGGGTCAGCGTCGACGAGGAAAACGCCTGCGGTAACGCGGGCCAAGGCGGGCCAGGTTGCGAGTAGCTCACCGTTGAAGGTGGAGGAGCAATTGAATGCGATGGGTGCGGTACCGTACGTTTTTCCCTTTCTGTTTGGGGGAGGCCGAGTACCGAAGAGTTTCTGGCTAATTGGTTCGTGTACAGACCATCATCATTTGCCGAACGCCCCAACGCCGGCGAGGTGCTGGGGACACTCAACGAACAACTCGACGCTGCCGAGCCGCCCATTGCGCCGTTCCCCGAACCCCGCGTCAAGCTGACAGCGACGTCAGACCAAAAGAAGCTCGGCTACAAAGACCTGGCCATGAAGCTGAACGAGGCATCCGAGATTCTCGATGACCGGATAGAGGACTTTGTGGAATTGGTCATGCAGCACCACGGCCTGGAGGATTCTGCCCTCGGAAACCCAGCCAGTCAAAGTACATCCGAGATCGTGGCCATCGGGCGGATCGCGTCCGACTCGGCCGAGGGCAAGCTCAACGCGGCCTCGCTCGTGCTCGAAACCTCGCGGCGCATGGGCAATGGCCGGCGCGTGCACCTCAACCTGAACAAACTTAAAAGTTACCACTTTTTCCCGGGCCAAATCGTCGCCCTCAAGGGCACAAACACCTCCGGCCGCGAATTCACCGTCCACGAAGTTCTCGACATCCCGCTCCTCAACATAGCCGCCTCCTCCCCCGACCTCCTCGCAGCCCACACCGCCCGACTACGCGGATCCGGGCCCGACGCCATGGACACAGATTCCGACACCCCTCTCCCCCTAACCGTCCTCTTCGCCTCCGGCCCCTACACCGCCGACGACAACCTCGACTTCGAGCCCCTCCACACCCTCTGCCGCGACGCAGCCGACAACTTCACCGATGTCCTCGTCCTCACCGGCCCCTTCATCGACCTCGAACACCCGCTCATCGCCACCGGCGACTTCGACCTGCCCCCCGCAGCCCTGGCCGCAGGCGTCGACCCAGACCAAGCTAACCTTTCCACCTTGTTCAAATATCTCATCTCCCCCGCCCTCAACCGTCTCGTTGCTGCCAACCCGTCCGTTTCGGTTCTTCTTGTTCCGTCGCTTCGCGATGCGCTGGATAAACATGTCGCTTGGCCGCAGGACGCTTTCATCCGCCGCGAGTCGGGGTTGCATAAAGCGGTGCGGATTGTGGGTAACCCGATGACGCTGAGTATCAATGAGATGGTGCTGGGGGTCAGTAGTCAGGATATATTATTCGAACTGCGGCAGGAGGAATTGGTAGGCGCTCGGCCTGGGACCACACCGACAGTAGACCCATTTTCGAGGGTGAGCCAGTACCTAGTGGAACAGCGGCATTTTTTCCCGTTGTTTCCTTCGGCCGACCGGAAGAGGTTGCCCAAGACGGGGGCTACGGAGGGGCCTGGCGGGGGGTTGCCGCCGGGCGCGGCGCTGGATGTGAGTTATTTGAAGTTGGGGGAGATGGTTAGTTTTCGGCCGGATGTGTTGGTTTTGCCGAGTGCGTTGCCGCCGTTTGTTAACGTGAGTTCTTCTCTTTTCCCCCCTTTTCCCTCTCCATTTCCCTCGGTGATATTCCGTAAGACCCGCGAGAGAGAGACACAAAGAGAGAGACACAAAGAGAGAGACACAAAGAGAGAGAGACTAACAAATCAGGTCGTGAGCTCGGTTGTCGTCATCAACCCCGGCTTCCTGTCGAAGCGGAAAGCTGCCGGCACGTTTGCCAAGATGACGCTGTACCCGCCGTCGCAGGCCAGTCTGGCGGCGGGTGCGGGAGGACCGGTGCCGCATAAGATTTATGAGCGGGCGAGGGTTGAGATTACGAGGATTTGAAGCGTCTTCCTGAGCTGTTACTTATAACTTGACATGGAGTGTACTGTACCAGGAACAGTGTACCACAGATGGTACATGTCAAAAGTGGGAGCGTATTTGACGCGTCGTATTTACAAATTATCTGTAATTGGTCTTGAACCGCGATGTACAGCCCACTAGTAGCAGTGTAGAGTGTACATACAGCAGTGATGCTACCTGGCTTCCACCCTCCGTCGCTTATCACTCTCGTACCGATCCCTCTCCTGTTCGCGCGAAGGCGAGCGTTTCCGGCGGTCACCACGGTCACCACGGTCCCGTTCATACCGTGGCGAGCGAGACCGTGACCTCGACCGTCGCCTATCTCGACTATCATCACGCCGTCGGTACGAGTCCCTGTCCTCCCGTCTCTCGTCTCGCCGGTCATCCCTGTACCTATCCCGACTACGCTCGCGATACCTCTCCCGATCACGATCACGATCACGATCCTCCCTTGGCCGCTCCCTCCTCGCACCCAGCGGAATCGCATTCGCCCCCTTAGCCCCCTCACCATCACCCCTACTATCCCAACCACCACCACCCCTCCTATCATCCGGCTGGAACCTCTCATCCCCATCCCTCCCAAAACCCCTCCTATCCCTATCCCCCCCGGGCCCGGAAAACCTCCCCCACTGTCCCGTATCCTCACTCTTCAAATCGCGATACTTAGTCGCCCCCTTCTTCCCGACCTTCGTCATATCCCGCATCTGCAACGCCTTAGGCAACAACTCCCGATCGACCTGATCTTCAAACCTAGCCCCGGCCAAATCACGACCCGCCAACCCAGCCGCCTCACTCTCGGCCTGGTAAAACGCGCCCTTGTGGAAGTATTTCTGCATGTACGCCATTTTCCCGCGGGATTCCTTCTCCTCGCGCTGCGCGGCGACGTGGGCATCGTCTTCGGCGCGGCGTTCTTCTTCGGTGAGGTTGCGGCGGCGTTCGAGTTCGACGAGGTCTCGCTCGCGGGCCTCGATGGCGTCGCGCTCGCGGCGGAGACGTTTCAGTTCGCGGAGTTTCCAGGCGGCGTATTCGGCGGCGGGGTCGAGGTCATCGGTGTCGTCGACTGTGTGTTTTTTGTTGGGTTGTGACGAGTCAGAGTTGTTGCCGGCGTCGTCGTTGTCGGACTCCCAGTGTTTTTTGCTGGCTGCGCGGGCGGCGAGGTCTTTTTTGATTTGTTCTTCTACGAGGGCGTCGGCGGCGCGTAGGCGGGCTGCTTCTTGCTCCTCCTCTTCTTTTTGTTGTTGTTCCTCGGTGTTGGTTTCTGTAGGATTTGTCGCTGCGCTGGGAGTAGCCGATGCCCCGTTGGCAGCAGCCTGCCGCTGCGACTTAGGAATAAACTTCGGCCGCATCATCAACCGTCGCGGCGCCTCCTCCTCCTCCTCCTCCTCACTACTCTCCTCATCCTCCTCCGACCCACTCTCCTCTTCACTCCCACTCCCCTCCTCATCCTCCTCCTCCTCCGTCACAAACCCCTCCTCCTTCGCCCGATGTTCCGCAGCTTCCCTCGCCGCCCTAGCAGCTGCTTTCCGTCGCGCCTCTTCATCCCCCTGTGCATCGCGCGACGACCCCACAACCCCTTTCAAATCAATCTTGGCGCCGTCGCCTCTACTGATGATGCGCCCGGCGCCGGTGGGTGCTGATGCGGCGCTGGCGAAGCGGGGGGGGGGTGCGGTGCGTTTGGGGGGTGCTGCTTTTTTGTTGTTGTCATCTTCGGAGCCGCTGCTGGCGTCGGAGTCGGAGGAGTCGGAGGAATGGGGGCCGGCGGCGGCTTTGCCGGCGCGGTGGCGCGCTGGCTTGACCGGGTTGGCGGTCATGCGCGTTGGGGGGGGCATTTTGGGGATGGGTTGTGGGCTGTGTGAGGTGTTGAGGTTTTGAGGTGGAAGGCAAGAGGTTGAGTTGAGTTGGGAAATTTCATGGATTGGAGGTTTGGGGTGAGCACGGGCCAGCGGGTACTTGTGCCGGGGATAGGAAGTGTACGACCGGGAAATGGATAATAATGTCAACAGGAAGGGAATACCTTTAAGTTATATTTACCTCTAAATGCCTCTCTACTGCTTTACTTTAGTGGTGCCCAAATTTCATGGTAGTCTCGACAACCTGTTGTAGTTTACGTTCCAATCAAGTTGTAGGCATCTCGACTTTGCATGTGTATTGGATACCGTACGGAACAGGTATATCCAAAAAAACAAATAATTACCTGATACACCCAAATTGCAAACCACCAAACTATTTATCAACCCTCAAACTCCCAAACGCCCGATCCAATTCTTCCCCCTCATCCGGCACGGCCATCTCACTCACTCCTCCCGGCCCATGCCCGCCTTGCCCTATCCCACTCCCCGGAAACCCAGCCACAGGTTGCTGCAACAACATTTCCCCCTGTCTCTGACCTCCAAAGTCTCCTCCTCCAAACCCCCCTCCAAACTCGCCCCCAAACACCAACCCCCCCAGTCCCGACCCCATCTCCACTCCACCTACCCCTTCTTCCGCAGAACCAGAACCACCTCCCAACCCAACAGACCCAGACCCAGCCCCCCCAGCGCGTTCCGGCTCCAACAGCCTAGCCTCACTATCCAACCACCCAGGCGCAACCCTCCTCTTCTCAGCCAACTCCCGCGCCCGTATCCGCTCCGTCAGTGCGTCCAGATCAGCCTCGGCTTGGGCGCGCAACTGCGCAACGTGGGCGTGTAACGCGCGGCAGGAGGCGAGGATTTCGTCTGGGTGGGCGGCGTGGCCGGAGGGGGAGATGACGTATTTTGGTTTGTGGGTTTGTTCTCTTTGTACGGGCTGGGTTGGGTCGTTCGGGTTAGGCTCGTCGGTTGTTGATGCGGTGATGCCAGCTGCTGAAGGGGGGAGGGTGGACGGCATGGGTTTGTAGCGGTAGGGGAGGGTTGTGGCGGTTGGGAGGTTGACGAAGGGGGAGACGGTTAGGGGGAGTTGTTGGAGGAGGGGGTGGGTGCCTGGAAGTTTAAGTATGTGGTCCGTTTTGGGGAGAGGGGGGTCTTACGGTTGTCGTGCATTGTGGCGGATGTTGGAAGGTAGAAATTGGTCGGGTTGTGTTAGGTCAGGGTGCACTTGGGCGGCTTCTAGTGTGAGGTGCTTGATGCGACTACGGCAGTTGTTGGAGTTGTGAAGATGGCTGTGGGGAATTGGAGCTTGGAGTTGGTTGAGCAAGCCGCTAAAGAACGCCGCGGGACAACCTGGAGCACCCGATAAGATAAGAGCTTGACCCCACCCAAACTTTCAAGCTCCCCTCTGCATACATAGTATTCCATTCCAACTTGCACGCAATTGAACCTGAAACAAACAAACACCAACAAAATGAGTCTCCAAACAGTGCGGTCGCCCTTCGTCCTGGGGGACTACACCCCCCTCTCCGAACACCAAGAACAGACCCCCGACAGCTTCTACGATGGCAAGCCAGTGCTGCACTACCACGCGACAGGCGTCAAAGCCTGGATCCCCAAATCGCAGCGGGGCAAACTGCCCTTCTTCCCGGCCGACCTCTCCTCTGCGCCAACGGCCCCCGAGAACGCGGCGTTGAGCGGGCAGACGGAGGAGAGTGTCGAGCAGGCGGTGGATTTATTCGTCAATTCCCAGTGCGCATCTTCGTTCACCCTTTCTGCGTTTCCCCTCTTGGGGAAAGAGAAAAGCAAAGCTAACCGATCCAGAAACCTCTCCATCTTCTGTCCCAGCGCCGAATCCGGCGTGTCCATCCCCTACCAACAAATCTCCATCCACGCCATCAAAACCCTCCGCGCCGCCTCCGAGACTTACCCCTCTGTCTACCTCCAACTCGAACTCGCCGCAGGCGGATCCAGCGACGACGACTTCGACACCGTCGAGCTAACCCTCATCCCCCAATCCCAGCCAACAACCACCCCTGCCCCCGAAGCCGATAGCGCGACACCCAACAAATCCCAAGCAACCCTCCTCTTCGACGCCATATCCGAGTGTTCCAACCTCAACCCCGACCCGGTCCAAGACGGCGATGACGACTTCGACGCAGACGAGGACGGAGCACAGATTATTTTTGAGGGTGATCAAGAAGCGATTGAAGGGTTTAGCGGGGTGTTTGCGGGCGCGGCAGATGGCGGATTGCCGCCTGCTATGCCGGGGAGTGGGGGGTGGATTACGGCGGAGAATGTGCATGAGTATTTTGATGAGGAGGGGAATTGGATTGGGGAGGGTGCGGGTGGTGACGAGCAGGAGGAACTTGGGGAGGGGGCTGGGGTTGTGCATGCGCGTGAGGAGGGAGAGGCTGAGGGTGATGGAATTAATGGAGCTGGAGAAGAGGGGGAGACGAAACGGGCGAGGAGGGAGTGAGGATGTGTGTTGGAATGGTAATTGTGTAGAAAATGTGGGAATAGAATGGATATCTGTTGTTGTATTTTGGGTGCAGTAATTACATCTAGCGATATGGCTAACCCTAACCCTCCTTCACATGTCGCGTGCTCGCTAGGCTCATTTCCGACGGCTTGGGTCAGCAAAATGGGCCGATGCAGCGTGCTCAATGCTGAAACCAACAATTTTCCCAGGCAACGGCTAAAAATGCTTGAATGAGTATCATGATGTTTTGACGGCCGGGTTTTGAGATTAACCATATTTGGATGACGACTTGGATATGACTTTTATTTTTCTTAGTGGTTTACGCGTGGTTAAAGCCGAATCTTTTCATTTTAACTGGGCGGTGTTGAACTTGGGCTATGATAAGAAATTGAAGGAAGCGCGACTCAAATTCAGGATCACAACACGGCACAACCCACGATCATTCATTTTGTTCGTTCCCGGGCCCCGTTTCCGGCCGCGGGTCCGTCAGATCCGGCCTCGGTATGTTTCCTTACCGGTATTTTACCAACTCCGTCTTCTAACCAACCAACTCAGCTCAACCCATCTGTGTGCCTTGCCGCAACTCGCGAGGCAAAGCAGACACAGACAATGACCTCCTGGAACCGCGTCGGTCTCGGCCCCCAACACAACTGGCGACGCAACCCCCGCCGCCCCCCACGCCTCTTCGGTATGCGCCTCCGTCCGCGAACCCTCCTCATCCTCACCCTCACTACGTTTCTGCTCCTAATCCTCCTCCCCTACGACAACACCATCCGCCTCGCCTTCCGCTGGAACGCCCTGCAACTCCGCGCCGCATTGTTCGATAGTTCCACGCCTGATGAGCGCTGGGTGTATGCTTCTCCGCCGGCATATCCGGTAGATGTAGCCGAGGATGTGGTGGTGATTGTGAAGACCGGGTTTGGTACGCGGGAGAGGGTGCCGGCGTGGTTGGATGCGTTGGGGAGGGGGAATGAGTTTAGGGATTTTTTGGTTATTGCGGATTCGGAGGGGATGATTGATTATGATAAGGGGAAGGGGGAGGAGAAAGGGTTGAAGGTGCATGATGCGGTGGGGTATTCGGTGCAGTTGCATTTGAGGGGGTGGGAGGGACATCCGAGGGTGGTGAAGTATCGGGAGTTGACGGAGGCGATTTATCGGGGGGATGAGAAGGTGGCGTTGGAGTTGTGTAGGAGGTTTGGGTGGGAGTTGGATTCTATGAAGGTGTGTTTACTTACTATCTCTACGTGTCTTTTGTTCTTCTTCCCTTCTTCCCCCTTTTTTTTGGTCTCGAAACGGTACGACTGACCGACACACAGTTCATATCCGGCCTGGAAATGGCCTTCCAAAAGTACCCCCACAAGCATTGGTACCTCCTCGTCGACGACGACACCTTCATCATCCAACCCTCTCTCAAACCCCTCCTCGCCCACCTCAACCCCAGCCAACCCCACTACCTCGGCAACGCCGTCGGCGACTTCAAAGCCCGCTTCGCCCACGGCGGCTCCGCCGTAATCCTCTCGCACGCCGCCATGCGCGCCCTCATCACCAACCAACGCGCCCTCGCCTCCGTCTACCTCGACTCCCTCGACGAAACCTGGGGCGACCGCCTGCTCGCCAAAGCCCTTCTTAAATTGGGAATCCACCTCGACGAGTCCTACAGCCACCTGTTCAACGGTGAGCCGCCGACGCTGACCAAGATCCGCGCTGATCGACTGTGCTCGCCGCTGGTGTCGTTTCACAAGCTGCCGTCGCCGGCGGCTATGCGCGAGGTGGGGGAGTACTTTCGGAATGTCAGCAAGCCGGTGATTTGGAATGATTTGTGGGACGTGTATGGTCAGACGCCGCCGTGGAAGCAGAGCAGCCCGGAGACGATGCGGAGGGACTGGGACCATGTTGGCGAGCCGGATGAGTCGACGTTGGTTATTTCTGGTGTGCAGAGTGCGGAGGCGTGTGAGAGGCAGATGAAGCGAAGGGCGAAGAGCTCGTTGGCGTGGTCGTGGGATGCGGAGAGTCGGGTTTGTCATGTTAGCCATTGGATGATCTTGGGGGGGCCGAAGAAGGGGGTTGTGTCGGGGGTCAATGTCCCGAGAGCGAGGCGGTTGGAGACGTATTGCCTCCAGTATTAGGGGAACGAGTCTCAGAGCCTTCATACGATATTCATGTTAGACACTACAAGAGAAAAGAGCTGGGCCGAGTACATACTGGGAGTAGAGAGAGAGTACGAAGTAATGTTAATTACACAACTGTTACACCACATGTATTGAATACACCATGTGCCGTTGTTACATTCTGCAACGTCTCGAAATGCGAGCCAGCCCCACAACCCGCATTCAAGTGGGTCTTTCACCGTCCAGGACTTGGCATACCCCTGTCAGGATCCAATCTGGGGTCCCGTCTTCAACTTTCCCATTTCCATCATCTTTTTTCTCCCCGTCCTCCATCAAAAGCCAATGCGACAACCCCCGCGACCGCCAACATGCGCATCCCTCTCAGGATCTCGGTAGTCCTGTGGGCAATTATCCTGGTGGTCCTCCTCGGGTATTCGATTTCGCGACTGTTGTTCTTCAAATCTATCTTCTTCGCCCACGCCGGCATCCGCCTGACGCAGCCGCAGGTGGCCACCGCTGCCGTCGAGAGCAAAGAGGCCGGCGCCAGCCAGCGCGTTCAGCATATTCCCAAGATTATTCATAATGTTTTTCACAACTGGCACGTCCCGGGCGACGACACGCTGCCGAAGGATATGGCCGAGATGAGGCAGACGTGTATTGATACGAATCCGGATTTCGAGTTCAAGGTAGGCTTCTTTTGTCCGTTGCTGCGGGTGATTGGGCGTGGGCTTGACCTCTAGAGTGTGTGCTGACTGGCGCTCTGCTCTAGCTCTGGACCGAAAAGATGTCGCGCGATTTCATCGAGGAGGAATACCCCTGGTTTCTGCGCACCTACGACGGGTACCGCTACCCAGTGCAGCGCGTCGATGCTGTCCGCTATTTCATCATGCAGCACTACGGCGGCATCTACATGGACCTCGACAACGTACGTGCCAAGCATCCTCCCCTTTGCTTTCCCCGCTGCGTTGCATCACCCGCTAACACATTCTCCCCAGGGCTGCAAAACCGACCTCACACCCCTCCTCTACTACCCCCTCTGGACAACCGACGGCGGCCGCGGCGCCCTCAGCAACAACATCCTCGGCTCGCGCCCGAACCACCCCTTCTGGCACCGCCTCACCCTCTCGCTCATCCCCTACGACTGGAAGTGGCCGCTGCCCTTCGTGACCATCATGTATGCCAGCGGCCAATGGTTCCTGACCGCCATGTGGGAGGAATACCATGCCCTGCTGCCCCGGCCCGTTGCCGGGGATGCTGCGAAGAATGCCGCGCCGGGCCATGAACACCGTCTGTACCGCGTCATGATGGATATGGCGGAGGGCGCGGACCCGTGGGTGTTTTTCTCGCATCAGGATGGTGGCGGCGGGACGTGGAATAACTGGGACAATACACTATTCGCGGGGATTGGTGACCACCTGCTGCTGTTCTTTGTTGTGTTGTTTGCCGGGCTGGGGTTGTTGACGTGGGTTAGTGTGCGGTGTGTGCGCAGGTATCGCAAGAAGAAGGGGTACACGAGGTTGAGCAATCGCTCGAGCAGCAGCGTGGCGTAGGGCACTGCGCTGCCTGTGGTGCCTTTGGGGCCGTTTGTTTCTCGTCACCATGATAAGGACGGGAAGATCTGGCTGCCTGTCCGCGTTGGGCGTTGGGAGGCGTACGGCGATGAGACGGATCCTGAGATGGGGTTTACCGGTCACTTTCCATGTCTACATGATTGAGACCCCAATTTCGAGTTTGGGCTGCACACTCTGCTTTCCGAGTTACGGGGACGGCGTTCACGCGACGGATTATAGTTTTCAAACATTGAGGATACCCACATTTTCACTCATATCGGATACAACTCGGATACAATTCGGCTGGGAACCGCTGCTGGGGATGTCTTGCCGGGGATACAACGAAGCATGATTACAACATTTTTAATGAAGAGGGCAATACAGGATAGGCTATACTTGGTAGCACCAACGAATAACGTTACGAGACAACGTTACGAGCATGGCCATGAATAGCAGTGGAAAATAGTGAAAACCAAAACGTTGTATTCTATCGAAATGGAAATGAAAGAAACTCAACAACCCAGCCCAACCCAACAACTCCTCGCTGCGTTCGGTCCAAACCGGCTCGGACCGTCTCGATCCTCCCCTCTCGTTCCCCTTCCATCGTGGGTGTAAGTAATAATAATCTACCCCTTCCAAGGCCTCGGCCCCGGCGGCGTATAACTATCAAAAGGCACATAAATATTAAAATGCAACCCCTTATCATCATACTTATACCCCTTATTAAAATCAAACCCCTGATCCGGCTTCTTCCCCCCGTCCCCGGTAACCTCCACCTGCGCACAACCCGGATACAACTCTGCGCCCCGTCCCGGATGCGCCGGATCATTCCCCGCAAAATCCGCCTGATGCAGCGCCACAATCTCCTGCCGCACCAAATACCTCCCCGCCGCCAACGCGCTCGGCAACGTCACCTCCACATTCCCATTATTCGCAATCAACTTCTCTGTCGCCCACTTGCCCCCCTCAAACCCATCCTCCGCGATCTTCGTCCAGATCCCGCCTTGCCCGTCCCCCGTGGTGTAGGGAGCAACATAGGTCAGCAAAGCGCCCTTGTGGGACGGGTCGAGCGGGTAATCGTTCGGATCGTCCGGGTTGTAGTGCCACCAGCGCATGGTGAGCTTGTCACCGGCGGCGGCTTTGACGAAGGAGGGGGCCGGCTTGCCGCCGTTGGTGTTGCAGATTATGTTGGGGCTGGTGAGGTCCCGGATCGGGTCGTTGGTGGCGGGGGCCCGGATGTATTTGTCGGCGCCTTTGCCTTGGTCTTGGCCGGCGATGGAGAGGGAGATGAGGGTTGCGTGGGCGGTGACGAGGGTGGGGCCGACCGCGAGGAGGGATAGGAGGGTGTGGAGGGGGAGTTGCATGGTGGCTGTCTTTTTCTTTGGCTGCTTGTAAGTTTGGATTGGTGATGGATTGAATCAAAGTAGTGAAAGTAGAAAGAGTTGCCCAAGTTGACAAATCGCTACAGAGATGGAATGCCCACTCGTGAGCGGTGAAACGGTCGATCTGTGGTGAGCTGGAGATGGAACGAGACTCAGGGGTAAGCAATATGGAGTCGATTAGAGATCTTATATGTCGTGTCCTTACATACCTCGACAGATCCAAGGATTGAGGGATGGGATCAACCAAACAGACGGACCGGACGTGACCAGATCAAGAAGCCCGGCCGTCTGCAAACTCAACCCATCCTAGGGAAACAAATATCTGCCCGAAACAAACATCTGCCCGTTTCTGGTCTTCCTCCACTGCTTCCTTCCTAAAATCCTAACGTTGAGGCTGTCATATGATGGATAGGCTATACAGAAGCCGACCAGGCGGCCACCTCGACACCCCCGTCCTTCGGACCTGCGCCGCCGTAACGTAGGACCAGCCTTCGGATGTGTCATACCATGGCCATTGGACGAAGGTGGCAGCGTGGCACAAGGCGGGAGATCGACATGAGCTCCGATGTTTGGGCTCGGGGAAAAGTGGGGCTGGCCGGCCGGCCGGAGACCGGGCGTGGGGCCTGAGCAAGCGAGATAATTGGTGGGAAGCTTAGAAGTGGAGCCCCGGATTGGGGCCGGTCCGGGGCTGGATCCGGGTTTGGTCGGCCGCGCCTCAAACATGGGTAAAACATGGGCCTGGAATCCGTGGGTTTGTGGCGGAATAGCGAGAATTGGGAAGAGTGGCTGGATTTCATTGGGTCGAATGTCATCGCAAGATTGGGATAGGTTCAGAAACGGGACTCGCGGTGGCCAACAAAAGCGGCAGACCAAGTCCCTGGATAGCTTACTTTCCTACAAAAGTGAAAAAAGAAAAGAAGAAACCGAAAAAAAGTAAAGAAGACAAAAAAGAATAAATCTAGAGAGTGACAAAAGACAAAAAAGAGTAAATCAATCCAAGCTTTGATCCAATGTTAATGGATTGGACTTGAGCTAATTATTTGTTTCAGTGTGCCGCTCTTTTTGGCCACAGCGAGCGGGATCACGGAATGAGCCCAATGACAAACTATACCATGCTGTTACTGTCCAAAAGAGAGAGACACGGCCGACTGCAAATTATAGACCACATCTTCAAAAGTCATGAAAAACCTAGAAATGCAAGTTGTTTGCTCGACCGATAATTAGGCCCCATTCACCCAAAGAGTTACAGAAATTTCTCCGCGACTTTGACCGTCGACCGGTGAGTTTTCCCATTCTGCCGCAACCAGTGAATGCCCAAGGCCGTCATGACCACCATCAGCGCCCACCGATCACCTAGTTCGCCCGTCTTCCCGGCCCCTTTCAGCTCCAGTGTAAACAGATGCGTGAAGGAGAACAGGCTGTTGAACCTCAGCTCCGCGAGCACCTCTTCATCTTCGTTCTCTATGTCTAGCGCAGGGGGTTGGGTCGAAGAAGACGGCTGGCTTGACAATAACGACGCTGAATGGGAACCAGCCCAGTAAAGCCGATACTGACTCCCCTTCTCTGTCGTGGCTTCCCCCTTCTCCCTCAACTTCCGCCACTCAAACTCCTCTCTCCCAACCTTCTTCTCGCCCGTCTCAATCTCAAAACTGAAAACTACCCCCTCGTCTTTCCTTACTGTAGCCTGCAAAATCTCATCTACCTTATTCCCCGGATTCTTCTCCCAATCCGCCGGCGGCAACAAAACCGACGTCCGCGGATCAAACAACGACACAAGCAACGGAAGCCGAAACACCTCCCCCACAGCAGCGAGGATCGGATCCTGGAACCGTGTCCCGTTGCGCAGGTAGAAGCCGCGGCCGAAATGCAGGGGGCCCCGCGGGGTGTAGCCGAAGTGGACTTCGACCAGGTAGAGCATGTTGTTGGGGTCCGCGCCGCAGAGTTTGTGGGTGGTTAGGGCTTGGAGGAGGCCGTTGGTGAGGTTGCTGTGGAGGGTTATGAGGGAGGGGAAGGGGCGGTAGCCGGTGAAGGGGGCTGTGGAGGGGTCGCGGAGGAGGGGGGGTGTTTGGGGGGGTTGGTTTGCGTCTGCCATGTTGTAGTAATTACTGGTAATTATCAAGATGTTGAAGTTCCCGGTAGTACTAAAGCTCTCTGGGAGTCTGAGCTTACAAGCAAGTATTAGTTTATAGCTGGGTATTTCAAGTAGGAATCGGAACAGAAAAGAACAACAAAAAAAAGAAAAAAAGAAAACGCTCATAAATGACACGAGAAGAAACCGGGCACCAAACATTCCTCCCTCAACGCGAAGCAGCGAGCCTCGCTTGCGCAAAGAACGAGTGCATCCCTAATTAAGCTCAAGGTCAGCTGGATTCGCTGCTGTTGGCTGCCATTGTTGGTCACTCGACTCATTCGCTCGTCGCCAGTCATCGCGAGTGAGGCAATGCTCGTATTTAGCCAATACACAGTATTGTTACACAGCGCACCAACAAAGACCGCCCGGGAAATGGGAATCGCTACCGAGAGCCGGGCCTGGTGACCTCGATGGCTGGGTCCCACCGAAACCAGAGTACCAACGCAGAACCAACAGGCCGAGATTCATGCAGCAAACCTGCGAGCACCCGTTTAGGAAACGCCGATTGAAAAATAGCTCAGCTATGCAACAGAGAAACCCCAAGGAATAAACCGGAACTCGGCATCGCTATTCAGGCGGGCGCGTGACTGCTGCTTCTGTGATATCATTATGCAGTGAGCTATGAACAGCGCCAGCATGAGGTCACGATAATTCCTCGTGTTGCTCCGCTAACTGAGCAAGAATTATATGAGCTCTTTTCGGGTGAAAGCGTGTCCAAGTTTGGTGCGAATAAACTCGGGCAATAGTGTCCGGCCGTATTTCTATTCGTTATGCCAAGCTCGAAGGGTGAAACTCTTTTCATTTCTACCCCTTTGGCTATATTTATGGTTTCTGACAGCTGCCCGAAGGAAGGCCTGGCCATAATAGTAGAAATGAACCCAACACTACACCGTTTTGACTCCAAAAAACCAACTTGCGGAGTGGTGTTGTGTGATGATTACTTGGAGAAATTACTGCATAAACAGCGTAAAATTGTATTCTTTTAAAACTCTTATTATAATAATATATCATCAAAAGACCCTGTTTTAATTAATTACGCCCCCCCCCATCCGGATTGATATACCGCACCGTAATATCCGTCCTCGTCATAATCCCCTCAAACCTCTCCTCCATCTGCAAAATCACCTCCTCGCTATTCGCATCCGATGGCACTTCACCACCTCCATCTTCCTGTCGTCGGCGGTGCTGTTCCATCCACGGAAACACCGGCAACGGGCCCGAACTCCTGCTGCTGCTACTCCCACCATTGCTAATATCACCACCAACACGGTTCCGGCTGTGGTCACTTAGGTGTGATCGTGGCGGTGGCCGGACGCTTGTTATGCTCGTGATGACCCGGTGGTTCGGGCAGGGTGATTTGAGGATCGGGATGTCGATTTCTTTTAGGCCGAGCTCGAGGTCTGGGAGGCGGGGAGTGCTTCTGCCGTCGTTCTTCTCGTGGTCACCGCTATTATTATTGTTGTTGTTGCCGTTACTGTAATCATCGTCGTCATCGTCGATTGTGGTGGGCTCGTCATTGAAGGTGCTAAGTTCGTGGTCCTCGCTATGGCTAATAGCTCCTGCGGTGGAGGAGGAGGGTTGTTTTCGGTGCCGGCGCCCGTTCCTATCATTGCTGCCGATGGTCGCGGTACCAAAGGGGTTGTGCCGGTGGCCGTGGGTGTGGGTGTGGGAATTGTCGGAGGTCGAGTTGAGACGGAGGATGCGGCCTACAAGGGGTCGGAGGCAGGACGCGCAGGCGGCGATGATGCCGAGGTTGAGTTGGAGGCTGGATGGAGGATAAGTGTTAGTTGGGTACTTAAGGGAGGTAAATAAGGGGTTGTGGTTAAGGTCGGGAGGCGGACGTACTTTTCCCAGAGGTGAACCCAGTAGTGGTAGACCTGGTCCGGGTCTCCGCCGGTAATGAGCATAAAGACGGCTTTGAGAATGCCCATTAGGACGGCCCTGTGAGATGTTAGTATGGGCCTGGAGGAGAAAGTTGGAAGTGGTGGTCCGCCTTACAGATATCCTAGGTTGAGAATGGCAATGACATAAATGCGCACTCGACGCTTCATCCTGAGGCGCCAGATGACCGGAACAGGAAGAGCTCCCAGGACGACGTCGGTAAAGATGTTACAGGCTGGTTGATGAAGGTTAACGCGATGTCGAAAAAAGTGAAAGAAAATAGAAAGATGGCTCACCAATATTCCAGTACGTCAAATCGACAAACAGCCCAAAGTCATGACACCGCGGGTCAAACGGATTCATCCACTGAAAGTCCCACCAGCCCGAGTACGGCGTACAGTAGACAAACAACCATGTGATCCCCTGAATGGAGTACGCCACTACAAACGCTACGAGCATGTCAGCCCAAGGTCCATCTCACATCAACTTGGACTCTCTTAGAGAAACTCACCAATAACGGCATACAAGGACCACCGGTACCACTTAATCTCCTGGTTTAGCCGCAGCAGCGTGACAGCCACCGAGACCCTCAACAACCCCAACGCGAAGCCGTCCGAGAAGACTGCCTTCCAGAAGCCGATGTGCTCGAAGTGGATGCGGTCTTCAACTGGTACCACGTACCCGTGTCGTCCTAGGCCGTAGGGTACTTGTAGCACGAGGCAGATCCAGGACATTAGTGCCAGTGCCTGTGAACGGAAAACGATGTTAGACGTTTTGTTTCATAGTGATATCATGGATCACCACCCTTCATTTTGATAACTTCAAACCCCCCTTACACATAACCAAACACAACGACAAAAATCGTCACTCAGGATAGGGAGAACGTACCGCAGCAGCAATAATCAACCCATCGTCCACCCCAAACGCCCGCACCATAAACACACGCGCATACAGCCGCAGCGCGACCAGAGCAAGCGCTAGAAAGTGGAAGGCACCGACAACCCCGACGATGGTGTCTGCTTTGCTGGCGTTGACATACTCGGGCGGAAGAGTCGAAGGGTCGGGCGGGACAGGCGGGCCTGTTATCATGTCGTTTTTTTGGTTTTCGTTTCTTAATGAATAGGTAAGTGTGAGATATCGGGGTGAGGTATGAAGCAGCCCGCGGTCGTGGTTGGTTGGTCGGTCGATGGAAAGCAGAAGGGCGATGGGTTGATATGAGCCTCCTTCGGGGGGCGAACTAGACAGAACAAACAGCTATCCCAGCATCAGGAACAACCATCCATCCATCTAGACCGTTGGAATAAGTCGTGCCAACCTAGCAGCACAAGCAACGGCTCCGCTCGGTCCGGTCCCGAAGAGAAAAAAAAAGACTCCCTTATTCGCCCGGCCTGGCAAACATCTTCAGTTCAGGTTCCAGGTTGTCGAAGCTCGGAGGACAAGCTAGCAAAGCGCGGGGCGGCAAATAGGACTCGAAAGAAAGCAGGAGAACGTTCGCCTCCTTCTCTCAAAAACTGGAGCCCATCCCTTTAAGGAGAAACGAAAGAAACACCACCAGAAAACCGGAGCTGAGGACATCGGATGGAGCTAGGAAGTGTATTCCACGGAGCAAGTCGGGGGTGGGGCCGGGGATGGTAGTTAAGAAGCAGAAGAGATCTGAGCAACGGCTGGGCAGACTGGGATACCGTGGACTTGTAACCCGTCTGGATGGTTCAGAATGGTGGGGGAGGCGAGAAAGGGATCGCCGTTCCGTAGCACACAGTGAGGGAGGGAGGTTGTGTCACGGGAAGTTCCATTTTCTGCATTTCACGAGAATCGACGGGTTTATGCGGGGGAACCTTAGGTAGATCTACTAGTGCAATTCGAGCTTCCGTCTGTTCTGCGTGCGCGTGAGACAAAATGTATGACCTCGAAGTGCAAGTTCCCACGGTGTATTTCCTTCCCCAGACCAACCCGATTACACTACAGGGTACAGACAAGATTCCCCCCACGAAAACCGGTTGGTCAGACCAGTTGATGAAATCACGAATTCCACACCAACATTACAATTTTCTGTCAAACATTCTCTAAATGTTTGCTGAGTCTGAGCGCGGGGAGGTGGGGTTCAATCAACTGACAGCGTTGTGTGTGGGATGGGAATCGGGATACCCCAGCGAGAAGTACTCGGATGATGCTCGAGTCGCGTTCTCGCACTATTACACGTTGGGCAACAACTTGGGACGGGCCGAGGGAGGAAAAAGTTTGCTCGCCTTCGTGGTGTTTGTTGGCGGATGGAATCTCCGAGACAGAAAACAATGCCATTGAACGAGTGAAAGGGGCGAAGGAAGAGAAAAACACTTTGCGGCGTCATTGGGCTGGTCTTGGTCTTGCGAAACGGCACATTTGGTGTGATGATGTTGGATGGCTTGGCGTGGGTTTCGTCACACTTTTGCACGAGGGGTGACGGGCCCTTCAGCTCGGCAAACTGTCGATCTGTACTTTTTGGAAGACTCGGCTTCGAGATGGTAACTATGGCTTTGATGAGAAAATCTCCGAGTCCAGTGCCGAAGAAACCCGGTAGTTGGTCGATAACCTTGCTTAGATCGAGATGGAGATCGTGCATGGCGTTATTTGATGCACTTTGTTTGCTAACGTTAACTTATTATCCCACCTCGTCCTCTGGCCAAAAAAAAGCGGCAGACTAAAACCGAATAGCCAAGTCTAATCTAGGAACATTCAATCAAATCGAAGCAAATTTTGATCGATTTACTCTGTTTCGTCCCTTTTCACTTTTTTTATGGATTCTTTTTTGTCTTCTTTCACTTTTATATTTATTCTTTTCAGACAAGTAAGTTATCTAGGGACTTGGCCTGCCTTGCCATACGTGCCTACCGCTTTTTCTGGCCACAGCGAGCCCACATACATAGGTATACATGTGCTGCGACAGGGGAAAAACGTACAAAATAAAGTAATTACCTAGTGTAGAAACGCATGCGAGATGCAGGTCCGCTCCCACCATCCATCGGGCCGTCCTCGATTCTCTGTCGCGCTGCCTTCAGGGGAAAGGGGAAAACCCGGTCACCGAGAAAGCCACACATGGCACCGTTACACGAGCGTGACAATGCACTGTGTATGCTGCATATAACGCGAGACAGCAGGCTTTTCGTTCTCTTGGGTTGTTGCACCGCAGGAAAGGGGTTTCTCCGACACGCCTGATGCTGTCTCAGCTGGTTTATTTTTGGGTTGCCTTACCGGTGTGACCTGTTTTCTTCACTGCTCTTCTATCCTGACTTTTGGCCCTCAGCCTATTCTTGTATTACCCTTAAGGCGTGGAATATTGTGATACGAATGGTGGGTCGTTGTGATGGTCGCCAGTTCCGAGTGGTATGGTTGGTTCAAAGTGGAGTTTCGGAACGGTTCGAGTACTGTTAACGGGCTGATTAGGTCTGGTGATGATTACACAACATCCAATGAATCTCGTACAGGTTCTCGTTCTCTGAAGAGTGGTTCTAGGAAGAGTGGCTAATGAACATACAATCTTGAGCTGCTCGATGACCCACAGCCCCCTGGTATTCCCATTATACATCCTCTAATCATATCCATCCATCCGTCGCTGCGTATTCTCGATTCGCTCTAGTAAACCCTCGAATCCGGGCTCTCCCTTTTCGAGATCGTCAAGCCATTCCTGTATGCGCCCGGTCGTGAATCCGTCGTCGGAGCAAGCGAGGGCGAAACTGAAATCCATCTGTCGCTTGCTTGACTCGAAGATGGCCACCCACTCTGGCTGTAGCGTCTTCATTTCGGCGAGGAAGGCGCGCCGGAGCTGGGTCAGCTCGTAGTCCTGAAGGTGCTCCCAGAAGAGCTCATTCGCCTTTCCCTCCTCATCATGTTGATACTTAGCCATGACTGGCTCGATGTCGCGGTGCTTCCCCTCTAAGAGAGGAGGGAAATCGCAGGCGGACCAAAGCGGTACAACCGAAATGCCTTCCCAGTCGAGGACGGCTGTCAGATTGCCGACGTCATCGACGAGAATATTCCCCCCCGTGAGATCGTCATGATGAATCATGGTCCGCTCGAGTTCCGTTTCGGCGCTGAGATCGGGTGGAGGGAAGAAGTTGTCTAGCTGTAGCCGGAGGCGTGTGATAATATCCAAGGTGTTTTGAAGATCTTCGAGGTCGTCTTCGTCCACGCTTTCGTTCTCATCCTCCTTCCCATCGTCGTCCTCATTCTCGTTCTCGTTTTCATCTTCCTTGTTGCTCCCGTCACCCTCGGTGGGATTGCTTACACCCTTCCTTTCGCCCGGCTGGCCATCGTTGTTATCATCGCCGTCATTGCCTGGCCCTTTTGTCTCTGGAGTTGTTTTTGTGATGCGGCTCAGCTGCTCGCGGCAAGATAACTCGGCCATGGAGAGCCGAGCCAGAAGCCACTCCCTGCTCGATCGGAAAGGACCACGGGGGACCTGGGCATGAATGCGTGTACTGTACATAAATTCTCCGGAAACAATGCGCCGGACGCAGAAGGGGCCTTGATCTTTGACTGAGATGCTGCTCATGCTCGTGCTGCTGGCAGGGACGGGACCTATATCCTCTGAGTAGAGGTTGCCAATTCCCCGAAATTGGTGGTTGAAGGTCTCCGCGCAGAACGCGGCCAACTGCCGAACAATCGCCTCCTTGGCGGGAAACGAGACGTCTCTCCATCGATCCCGTAGTGAATTACCAGCCATCTGGGACATGACGATCCATTCAAACCCGACGGCGCTGGCCCTGTCCGCCTGGTACGAGAGCACTTCCGGCACCGGCAGACTCGTGTTGTCGCGCGCCCATCTCAACGTGGCGACCTCGCTGAGGGTTTTCCACCTGGGGTGCACCGGAAGTGCCACACGGGCGATGACTTCCTGTTGCGTTTCCGGAAATGAGACGACGTACACCTTGTTGAATCCGCCCTGGGCTAGAAATTCGATGGTAGAGCCGACAGCTCCCAAGTCCAGGGAGGACGCGGTCGTCTGTCGAACGGCCTCGGCATCCGGTTCGACCGCCCATCGAGGCTCCAGACCCCAAATTCCATTCTGCACCCACTTCAGGCCAGATGTGTCGAGTTCCGGGCCAGCACACGGGTTATCCTCCAACATCGTGGATCAAAGTATTCTGAAAGATTGAATTGAGTAGGTCGAGTTGAAATTGAGAAATTCCCGGTCTCACTGTTAATTAGACGTTGATAATTAGCTGGACACACAAAAAATAGTTCGTTCTAAGGCGTTGATCGTCGATGAGGGTGGGCGAGGAAGAATAAGGTGATGAAAAGGATGATTTTGAAAAGCAGGCTGTTGGGTTTGTTGGCTTGCTGTATTAATCTGCTGACTTTGTTTGAGGTAGCCCAACACCTTTGTTCAATGTTTAAGCGCTTTGGTCATGGAGTCCACAGTGCCACACGGAGTCACGTTTACCTATCATTCTCGTATTACTATTTTTCTTCTTGTTTTCATTCTCCTCCTCCGTTTTTCCATTACTACTGTATATCCTAATGGCACCTTAGCATAGTTATTCAGTTGCAGCACAGGTAAGTAAAAATCTGTCGTCCTTTCATACCTCGTAGTGCGAAGGGATGACTAAGATGCCGGAGAATTGTAATTTAATGCCGAATTTCCTCGGCGTCCACACAGTGTGCACTGTGTTATCTGCATCTCGCAAACTGCACGGAACAGCTGTTGGCGCTTGTGTCGCACCTGCTCCCTGCATCCAACAAGCCAACCAAGGCATGTCAACGGATGTTTGCTGCGATTTGATTTCCGATTGAGCGGGCCAAAACGGCAGCTAACGCTGGTATCTCAGCTAGCAGTGACGACCAACGGCGACGCCTTTGCTGTCGACTCTCACTCCGGTACTCCCGTGGCCACGCTTCCAGTCCTGATGGGTCGGTCTCGACTACCTCAGGGGACCTTGCTGCATGTGTAGAAACCGAGACGTCGGCATGGATGCTTGTAATCTGGATAATCGACAGGCGATGCCGATAGCTAACCCCGCGTGTAAAGTGTTTTCCACATGGCACATGTGGGAGGGGAAAACACAAACCGGGAGGCTGGTTGGCATGGGTGATGAAGAGGGGTTTGAGGTTTCAACAACTTAAATTTCATTGTATTTTGCTCCCCCTCCCTGTCATAATTATTTACTCGGAGTTTTCCTACCATATTTTGTTACTTATGACACACTGAGTTGCGTGTCTTGTGTCTCGGTCTGAGTAACACAACACCTGTGACGGTGTCACCTCACAACGATCAGTTTTTCTGGTATGCCCGTGTTGCTTGCGGGGGAAACATAGCTGCCTTCACCAGTAACCCGATCCCAACGAAGACCCGCCACATCATGCGCATCAGTGTCGCCCTCGGCTTGTTCGCCGTCACGGTGACCGCTAGCCCAACAAAGTTTGGCCGCGGCGAATGCGCCGAGACGATTGAACGCGATGTAGCCGTGATCGGGGGCGGTGCTTCCGGCGCACACGCTGCTGTGTGGTTACGTGATGCCGGGTATAGTGTAGTTGTCGTTGAAAGGGCCGCTCAACTTGTACGTTATCCCATGGCCTCATCGTATCTGACGGCGGAGTACTTACTCACCTCTCTCTAGGGCGGACACACCAACTTCTACACAGACCCGGCTTCCGGGACCTCCATCAATGTCGGGGTCCAGGGTTGGGTAGAGTACAACTCCGCCTTCGACTTCCCCCACCGCATGAACGTATCCACCAGTGGTGCTATGTCTTTCACTCCCAACACAGTCCAGTACATCGACTACGAAACAGGACACCCCGTCGCCGGCTACACGGCCCCAGACCAAGCCGACATGAACGCTGCTCTGCAGCGGTATCTCGACGTACTCGAGCAGTATCAGGACCTCGTCCTCCCAGGCTTCTTCAACTTTCCCTCTGATCCCGCGTCAATCCCAGAAGACCTACTGATCCCGTTTGGCGAGTTTGCGGAAAAGCACAACCTGTCGGCCGCCCTTCCCCAGATCTGGGATGCCACAGCCCAGGGCCTCGGCGATACCATGCACGTCCCGACGCTTTGGGTCGTCCAAGCCTGCGGTGCGCCCTTCGTGCGTGCCCTGCTCGGCACCGCGGCCTCCGCCGTTCCAGAATCAGGCCGGCTGTACGACTTATACGACAGCGTCGCTGCCTTTCTCGGGTCCGACGTGCTCTACTCCAGCACTGTTATCTCCACCACCCGCTCCGACGACGGCGGTGACGACGACACCGCACATCCCATCTCCTTAAAAGTCCTCAGCGCCACCACCAATAAACACACCCGTATCCACGCCCGCCGCCTCCTCCTCTCCATGGAACCCACCCCAGCCAACATCAGCCCCTTCGACCTCGACGACTCCGAAACCGCCATCCTCGCCCGCTTCAACTACTCCACCGTCTACGCCGGCGTCCTACGCCACCCATCCTTACAAACCCTCAATGCCTACACCAACCGCTCCCCAGAACCGGGATCCCTCAACTACACTGTCTTCCCAGTCGCGCCACAAGTGGGACGCATCGAATACGTCGGCGGGACTGAGGACATATTCGCGCTTACGGCGGTTGGAACGGCGGAGGATACCGCGGAGGGGATGAAGCGGCGTGTTAACGAGGCGGTTGAGGCGATGATTGAGGCTGGGACGTTACCCCCACCCTCAGACGGTAGTGACGACAGAAAGCGGACGGTTGAGGTGGATTTCGAGTTATTCGCTGACCACGGGCACATGCACTCGCGGGTGTCGGCGGAGGAACTGCGCGCGGGATTTATCACGGATCTGTACTCGTTGCAGGGCCGGCGGAATACCTTTTGGACTGGGGCTGCGTTTTCGGCGGGGTTTTCGACTGTGGTGTGGGAGTTTAACAAGGTGTTGCTGCCGAAGGTGATTGAGGGGTTGTGAAGAGTAGGCGGACTTTATGCTTTTGTCTATGGCCACTGAAGGTATTACAAAGTTATTAGTTATTGGAAATCAATTTTCTGTTGCGGCTTGTTTATTATCCATGTTTGAACGACAACTGCCGAGAGTCTGGCTCCCTTGCTCGTCCACAATGACAACCACATTGATAAAGGATACGGAGTGAGCCCCAAGTCAGCAGCCGTTCTCCATCACAGATACCGGAACAATCCCGCAGAAACGGAGAGGTCTGAACAGCTCAAGTTTAGCCCACCTGAGGAGGGTAAAACAAGGATGTCTTATCCGCGGAATTCAACATAGCTGGATTGATCATTTTCATTGGTCCAGACTTTTACTTGCATAACTAGTGTTCGATGTTCAGGTAATCGGGTTCGGGAGGATTATATTTATTGTTAGGATCTCTGGCCATCAGCTAGGGGCTCCGCGACCAAGCTTCGACTTCAGCAAACCGTAGCACTATGAACTCTGTCTTGAACATTGTGCGTGCAGCAGCTTCTTGGCCAGCCTAGAAACACTTGGAAACGAACTTTCTTTTGGCTGTAGTGAAATCAGCTTCAATAATTAGAAGGCACAACACTCCGGCATAATGGCGACAAAGTCTTATTCGGCGGTCCTCTCGCCCGTGGACCAATACATGCCCAGGATGAGCACCCCCATGGTCCTAGTCTTCGAGACGCCCGACCCCGAGCGCGCGATCAATAACCTCACGATCGGCCTGAGGCGGATGAACCGACACCTGTCATATCTCCGGGGTCGAGTGTTTGAGATTGCCCATGGCAGACTGGAGCTGCGATGGACCGTCTACGACGAGCCCGTCCTGCCGAAACTCATGCCAGCCGAGCTGGTTACCAGGTTTTCTGCCGTGACCTTCCAACAACTCAAAGACCAACGAGCGCCGCCTCACTATTTTCCCGCGTCGATATCGCCAGCCCCGGTATTTGGAGATCTCAAAACGGCGGGCATGCCTGCCTTCGCGGTTAACTACGCTCCCTTGGCTGCGGGAGGCTTGGTGGTGTGTTGTTCCTTTCACAAGAACGTGGTGGATTGCACTGGTGCAGTCCAGATACTTCGCCTTTGGGCGGCCTTCACCTCCTCGCCGCTCCTTGACAAGACGAGAGCCGCTCCGGACCCAGATGAGCCGTTTCGCCGGGGCTTGATTTTGCGTTTAGCCATGCACCGCCCCGTCCCAAACGACGAAAAGGCCATATCGACCGAAGAGATTCTAGCTCGCCATCCAGAGATCGCCCTTGCGCCATCTCTGGCGCCAGAAGAGCACCCTTTCGCCAAAGAGGTGCCAGTTGCTGGCATCAGCACTATTTTCACTCTCGATGTGGAGAAACTGGAGAAGACTAGGGTGGCGCTACGACCTACGAATGGCGTGGCGGCGCAGGCATCGGTTGATACCGTTGTCTTCGCCATCCTCTGGTCCTGTATCACCCGGGTCCGGGCCACGCGGGGCCGAGCCGAGGGCGGTAAGACAGCCGCAGCAGATTCAACAACAGCTGCTGAACCGAAACTCAGCATTTCAGTGGACATGCGTGCCCATCTCGACTCAACGTGCTTCCCTCCCTGGGGGCCTCGGCCCTTCTTGGGAAACGTCACCAAGTACAACTTGACCCAGGTTCCGTTAGCAAAACTGGAGTCAGCCGCTGCCGGACATGCCAATGGGGAACTCAGTGCCCTCGATGAAACCGTTGCCGCTATTACTAGCAGCCTCGCCGCTGAGAACCGCGAAAGCATCGTTGACATTGCCAGGCTCGTGGAGCAAGCGCCGAACGCGAGTGTCTTACGGCCTGGGAAGTCCTTCGGCGGCCTAGATTTGTCGGTCTCGAGCTGGGCCAACATGGGTGACCCAATTTATACCTGGGATTGGGTCGGTGTCGGCAAGGTTGAGTTTGTGAGATTGGTGGACAACGAATGGGATGGGGTCTTGACCGTGATGCCGAGGAAATGGGAGAAGGCCGAGACTGGAGCGGAGCCGGGTGTGATTGAGGTTTGTGTTTCATTGCGTAAGGATGATATGGAGACCCTAAGGAAGGACGAAGCCTTGAGTAGTTATTTTGTTGAAGGATTAGGGACGGCTTGAACGACTTGCAGTAGTGTTTTTAAATAAGCTCTCTCCTTACAATGACTTTGACAACGGGTGGAACCTGGACCAGTTTCCTGGTTAAGAATCCATCCATCATCCCTCTGAGCTAGACGCCTTGGGCTCGGGACATGTTCGCGCCTTCCGTTCTGACCGAGCTGCCGGCGATACCCACAAAACAAGCTAGATCAGGTAGATAGCAACTTCCGTGGCGAAGAGAGGATATGGGAGATATGGAAGGAACATTGTACAACTTGATGGGGCCGTCCATCTAGATTGCTAATTAGTTCGTTCCAGCCCGCGTAACCCTTCAACCCGGTTGCCCAACGTTAACATGCACCGGGATCTTTCCGGCAAGTGCCACTCTTGATGACACGGAAGGAGACACACCCAATTGTGAGGGGTCTCTGGTGGAACCCTATCGAGCAGTAAGCGCCGCTGTCCGGTATAGACAGACGGTTCAGACTGGGACTTTCCGGCCTTCAGCTCCATCTCGTTCCTGGTGTGCCCACCTGCGTTGTAAGGCGTAGATTTGGCTCTCGACGCTATGGAGGTATAATATCGATTAGGGACTTGTATTAGATCCACCCCTTAATGTCGGTGGCTGGATTTGGGACGGGCACAACATCGCATGGGTATACGTTATGGATTGATGAAATGTGATATGTTCTATAATTTGGCTCCTTTAACAGGAAGTTCCCACTCAAGCTCAAGGCCAACTTAAGGCCCGAGGGAAATAATCGACTGCCGCTCATTTCATCATATCATTTCCAAACGTGGTCTTTATATTTTATCATCATAACAATTCGTGAGCGGGGAATCATTTGCCGTTCAGCAGGCGAAAAAGGTAAAGAAAATGAAGGAGAGAAAAGAAGAGAAGAATGGAAGAAAAGAAAGGGAGCGCCACCGTGTGAAATGAAATGAAAACGCCTAACGATCCGTTATTGCCGCCACCGACGGGGGTTAGATGTCCTACCGAAACCCCCTTTCACCCGACCATGAACAAGTAGCCACCTGATTTTATCCAACCACATCTTCGACATGTAATCCTACCTCATCATTCACTGTTCTTAGAATTCACCATCACCACCCCCACCCAACACACCCGCTGCCCAGAGCCCAACCAGCCCCCACCAACTGACCTTCCACCCGCGCCAGAGCCCATCCATGCCCTGGCCGCGGCGGTAAACCGTCTCAGAGACAGAAGCAGGCGGCGTTGCACTGCCTGACCTTCCTTTCCTCGGCGTCTTGCTAGCCGTGGTAGGCTTGGTAATAGCGTGCGAGCCTTCGTCGTTGACGATCCGGTACATGGTTCCAAACACACCGTTGAACCGGCCCACGGGCACGATCGTCTCCAAACCACCCTCCGGAGCGGGCGGGGGAGGATGATGCTCGCCGACCGCGACGACTGCGCCAGCGTTCGCCCTCCTCGCGCGTGCGGCCCGCGCGGCAGCTGCGCTGTTTCCTTCGAGCGCCGAGACGTATGGCTCGGAGCTGAGAACGGCCACCTGACCGCGGCGGAGCACAGTCTCGAGAGGCAGCTTCAGTAGCAGGGCAACTGTGGACGAGCAGAACTTGGCGACGGAGAAGGCGGTTGGGGCTAGTTCACGGTCGATCATGAACCGGGTACGGAGGACGAGGGGGGTGGAGAGGGTTAGGAGGGGGTGGATAAGAGAGTGGAGGACTGTGGGGACGATGAGGGAGGAATGGCAAAGGTACGAGGGCAGGGAGCGCATGGTGGAGAGGGTGCGGCGGGTTGCGGAGTGGGTGGACGTTATGACCAAGCTGGGACGAGATGTTAGTTTAGCCAGGCAGGGGGCAGGCAAGGGAGACATCATCAGACAGAGCTATCTTACCGGGTGCGGACGAGGTCAAGGGGGGAGAGGACCAAACTGGTCACCACGGCCGCAGTGGCAGCCACGAAAAGGGAGGCCCAGGGGTACGGTGAGGCGATGTCCACCAAACGATCAAGGTCGTGACGCACGCCCAAGTCCGGGACGTTGAACAAGGCGCTGAGAAGACTCCGCGACCAGTTCTCCAGAAGGGACTGCAGCACCGAGTAGATGAAGGTCGCATTGGTCCCCTTCCACACACCCCAGGCCCCTTCTTTGTTCCAAAGCTGGGCGATCACCTCTAATACTGAGTCGGGCGTCCGAATGGCTAGGTGGTGGGGTGATAAGGGTTTGCCAGCGGGATGTGCTGCTTGGGGTGTCTCGCGTTGTTCACGCCAGGGGTTCTTAGACCGAGGCATGGCAGATCCGGGTGCCCCTGGTTCGTGAGATGTGAAGAAAGATGCCTCGTCGTCGAGATCCGAGTCCGAGTCGTTTTGTGTGGACTGAGCCCAATCGGTTATCAGTATGAATCACTCTGCTTTTCATGGCGGGGTGAACGAGGAGGGGCCTTACCTCATCGAACATGTGTATCCTTTGGTTTGCCTTCCGTTGCCGAGCTTCCTCTGCTGCCTCTGCCGCGGCCTCCAGACCCCCGAGGTCGTCTTGGGCCCTCACTTGCATGATGGTCTTGGCGACCTCGAAGGGCTGCGCCATGAGAACGGACGAGTATTTCCATAGTAGCTCGTCGAGAACCTCCTTGACGGTCTGCACTACGGACGGGGAAGGGTCGGCAATGTAGTCCTTGTAGTCAAGGTCAGAGAAGATATCCCGCGCCTTCGAGGCATATCGGTCGCTAGAGTTGACGACGTTGGGTTGGGCAAAGGCGCGGGGCCCTGGAGTGGGCACGGCTTCAGCGGGTTCGCCGATGGAAGGTGGGATGTAGTAAGGTCTTAGGGGGTTGACCCCGTCGTGATGATGATTCGCCATGTTATATGTCGTCACCGTGGAGGCGCAAGACCATGGCACGGGGGAGAAGGCGTCGTGTAGGTCGAATATTCCTGCCCTCGTGAGGTCGTGTGTGAGAGCTTCGGGTTGTGTGGGACTTTGTCAATGACGATTTTTAGGTAGCTGCATGCGCATGGCGGGACAATGGGGCTGGGCTTGGCGATTTGGCGGCCCGAAGCTTATCGATAAATGCACTACCTGGCTATTGCATATCGGGGTCGCGATAACAACCCAAGCTGAGAGCCAAAAGCAAGAACCACTCAGAGCTCAGCAAATTTTCTTAGACGGAGGTAACGGAGCTCAATCGGCTGGACCGAGACCCCGGCCATTTCAGTGTATCGGTCCCGCGAAGTCCCTGGGATAACCCGCAACCCTCAAACTATATTTCCCGGTGGTTGAGTACCTCGCAGGCGTAGTGGGGGATTTTGCTGGTCCCTGTATTGCTTCGAACGTCCTTCCCTTGGCCTGCTTCTAGGACCATTCGTTTTATTTTTCGAGCCGATCCCTAAAACAACCCCCCACCTCCCAGTACAACTTCAAGATGTCGACCCCGCGAGTGCTTTCCAAAGCTCTTCCGACTCTTAAATGCGTTCCCCAACGATCCGCCGGGCCACTTGCGCGATATGCCCGATCCTACAGCAAGCCGAGCTTCGTAACAGCTTCTCCCGTCTCCCACAGAGAAACCCCTCCTCCAATGCGCAAATCCCTCTGGCGCGGCGCTTCCCCACAAACACGAAACTTCTCCGTAACAACAGCTGTTAGCCACGGTCACGTCCACCCCCCAAAGCCCGGCGAAGAGTAAGGGTTTCCCCAACTTACCACTACCCCGCCATGACCACCCCGCGCCCAGGAGTAACCCCCGCTAACATAACCCTCCCGCAGGCTCTGGGTAACATTCATCGACAAAGAAGGCCTCGAAACCAAGATCGCCGTATCCGCAGGTGACAACCTGCTAGACATTGCGCAGGCCAACGATCTCGAGATGGAGGGCGCATGCGGCGGTTCCTGCGCCTGCTCTACCTGTCATGTCATCGTGCTAGACCAGGACTACTACGACCGCATGCCAGAGCCGGACGATGACGAGAACGACATGTTGGACCTGGCATTTGGCTTGCAGGAGACGAGTAGGCTGGGGTGCCAGGTGGTGATGAAGCCGGAGCTGGATGGGTTGCGGGTGAAGTTGCCGTCGATGACGAGGAATTTGCAGTCGAGTGACTTTAAGTGAAGGGGAGGCAGGGGCAGGAATTAAACAAAGGTTAATTTCCCCTCTGTGACTTGGCGTTTTGCTGAGGGAGGGTATGGGAAACGTAGGACGTGGGAGGTGGAAAAGGGCGCAACGATCCCATGCGACAAACAAAGGAGGCCAAGGCCAATGTATGGAGGGAATATGCTTCAAAATGTGGCAGACGAAGATATGCCACCGTTTCGAAAAGACTCACGCATCCGGCAGATGCATATATACATGTACGATAGCACAACCTGTTGCCCTTTACCGGGGATGTACATAGGAACACAACCAAACCAGAGACTCACTCTGCTCTGCTGCCCAAGGCCTTGAAATCCTTCTTCGCCCAGCATACCTATCACGCTTCCTCTAAACCACCCTTCTTCAACCCCCCACCGCCGCTCGCAATCAAGTCCAAAAACCCCTTCCGACTCATCTCCGTAACCTTCTCCCCCTTCCTCTGCGTCCCCACAATCCCCTCCTTCCTCGCCGCCCTCTCGGCTTCCGTCGCCTTCACCTGCGCCACCCGCACCGCATTAAACAACTTCACCACACCCCTCTGCGCAACCTTCCTCAACCTCTTCTCGCCCGCCATAATCTCCGCCGTCGTCACCGGCGCCCCGCCAGCCGTCCCATCCGCAGCATCCGCCACCTCCTCAATCTCCCCCGTCGCGATATTCAGCGTGCGCGTGGTGCTAGCGACCAACACGTCGCGCACGCGACCCTTTTCCAGCGCAAGGCGCTTCTGCTCGCGCAAGCGCCGGCGGGCTTTGGCTTCGAGGGCTGCGTCGACGGCTTGGCGCGATTGTTCGGCGGCTGCTGCGCTGCGGGCCACGATGGGGTCGGCGCGGCGGGAGGTGGGGAGTTTGGAGGAGAGCATCTTGGAGATGGAGGTGGCGAAGGCGGCCGGGTCGTTGCGTTTGGACTTGGTGTTGCGGTTGGGGTGGGTGCCGCCGGAGGAGGAGGTGTGGCTTGCGGCGTCGGAGAGGTCAGAGTATTCGTCGTCGTCGTCGCCCTCGTCCTCGTCTTCGCCGTCATTCTCTTTTTCGGAATCGGCGTCATCATCGTTGTTGTTTTCGTCGTCTCCGGATGACGCGGGAGCGTCTTTTGCGACGAAAAGTTTTTTAGGTTCGGTTTTCGGTTTGTGTTTCGATTGGAGCTTGTTGCGCTTTGGTGTCGATTCTGTTTCGGATTGGGAATCGGAATCGGAGTTGGATTCTTGTGATGATGCGCCGTCATCAACCTCAACATTCTCGAGGTCCTCGTCATCAGAGTCAAGCAAATTGGCCGGTACCGCCGCGCCCGCGTCGCTGTCGTCTTCGGACTCGTCTGAGCTGCTGTGGTACGCGGCAATCTGCCTTTGTTTTTTGGTAGGTCGTGGGGCCCGGCTTTTGGGGCCGTCGCTGAAGGAGCGCTTCTTTACCGATGGTCCCGGCATGATGTATGATGCGCTATGGGGTCAGGGAAAAGGTGCGAGAGTGGTGGTGAGCAGTGGAACGCATTACTAGAACTTCAATGGATCTCATGATGCAAGGCCAATGATGCAGCTTTCCCGAAATTTTTGGCGGTGGCAGGCGGCAGTTTTGTTGCCCCACTCCCTTAGCTTCGTGCATTCATTAACCCTAACCCTTCCTTTGCTCTGCTTCCTTTACCAGCCTACATAATACATACTACTCATCCACCACCGCCAATGAGTTACCAGCATTATTTAAATTACCTCCGTAACGACTTAGGAAGTGGTGCATTTATAAAGAGCCCTCAGTTTGGAACCGCACTCCCCGACCTTTTACACTGTATCACATAAGTCAGAAAGACTGCCTTCAATATAACCCTAACCCCGCCATACACCCCCTGATTCCCACAACGTCCACAAGTTCCGCAGCCTGTACGACGAGGACTTAGCCTCGGGGTTAGGAAAGGCCACCAGTCAGGTAGGGCAGGTACATACCTTATGGCGGCAACCATATCACGGGTGGCAGGCAAAGGCGGGGGGACATACCAGACAGGGGATATAGGGTAAGGAGGAGGGCAATAATTGTAGCTTAGGTAGTTAGGTAGTCACTCCCCAGGAAAAAAAACACTAGTTGGTCCTAATTATATTTTATTTTTGAGCTTTTCAACTATTCTGGTGCTGGAGAATGGAAGATATAGAAGACGTAATTGACGACGGGGAAATCAGCGAGTGATATGGCAGGGTTGGGGTTATGTATCGGGTCCGGGACGTACTCGTGTGATGCGGTGTAAAAAGCCAACGGGTACGGTCCTAAAATGCAGGCTCTTCCTAAAAGGCAGAGACCTCAATCTTGAAAACCCCCAAGGGGGGGTCCTGCGGGTGTCTCCAGTTGATTTACGGCCGTCCTCCTGCTCCAGCGCAGCCGTGTTAATTATTGGTTCAATTTGGGCCATGCGTAACGGGGCTTGTCCAAGGTACCGAGGAATAGTCCTGAGGAAGGGCGCCTTTTCCCCTGTTTTCTTGCTTGATTACACGCAGAACTGAACTTGTTTGAAGACGCTCGGATATGGCGTTGCCCGGTTCCCGTCCGCGAACATTGTATGGTACTGGTCGCCCATCACCAAGGTTTCTAGGGTCCTGTTATGCCGCGTTCTGAATGCTCTCCTGAGTTCCCGGGGGTTTCCGCCCCATTCCCGGTGATCCAGCCAACGGCGGTACGAGCGAGCAGTCCATTCCCACGGGTAAACCACGTCCGTATAAAACCGATTGAGCGCGTTCGGTCCCTTGGCTAGCTGGTTGAGCGGTGTCAGGATGGCCAAAATCGATTTGTGCATCATATCGGCTTCCTCCTCCGTAATAATATCGTGGTCGTCAGACCCATAGTAATAATCGCTATATTCTGCATCCACGAACCCCAAGGTCAAACCCGGCCCATTGATTTTGCCCCTTAGCCAGTCGACCGTTTCGCACCAGTCCTGCATGGCCGGGGAATCCGGCGTTGGCCAACTGCGCTCAAGGCGGAGCGGAAAGGATATCTCCAGGGATCGGAGGTAGGCGATGCAGTGGGACGGAATGATGTCGCGGAAGAAGATGGAGACACCGAATCGGTCATACGGATAAGTAACATTCACTGGTACGTTTCGGTTCTCTCCAAAACGGGCTCGTGGAGGATTTCTATGCGAGTATTCTGCCTCGCAAGAAGGCGAGAGGTCGTGGATAACGAAGCGGTTACCAGAATAGAAGACGAGTTGTGCATCCCGACACAGCGTTCGGCAGACCAAGAACAGCGCCGGCCTAGGCTCTGCCCAGCAGACGCACCGCGATGAGTACGCGCCATGGCGGCGGGCACAAAAGCAGCCTGCGGGCGACCCGGACGGGATGTCTTGGTCCGAAGTCGTGCGAAATGTACAGCGGCCCAGATCCGGGCATTGGGGGTAATACAAGCACCGCCCGTCGGCAGTATAGCACTTCTTCTGGCTGTAAAGAGTTCCCCACGAGTACTGGTGGTCCTTTCTGCTCCACCAGACCTCCTTGCTCGGGGTGACCAAGTCGGTGTATTCCAAAACCCGCAACCGGAGCTCGCGTGGGAGTGTGACGAATGTTATCTTTCCAGCGGGCGGCGTGAGATATGGACGCCGAATTCCACACAGTTGTAGGCTTGTATCATGAGCCATCCGAGACAATCCGGCGTCAGGTTCCTTGCTAAGTCTGATCTCGCAGCCTTTGAGTACTGGCAGAACGGAGAGAGACGTCAACAGCAGGTTGGCTAGGTCAACGGCGTCGGTATGTTTCGGGTTGATGTCGCAGACAAAGCTGAGCTTGAGGCGAGCAGGGGTGATGTGAGGCGCGATATGTTGGACAGCGGCGCGCCACTTCTCGGGCACAATCCGGGCTTCGGTTTCCGGGTCTTCTTTCGCCTCGTGGCTTACGGGCATGATCATCGGGTCATAGATGTCGCTATTCCACCGGCGTATATTCTCAAGCATCACCCGGTCGCTCTCATTGGTATATACATCGTCCTCATCCTCCTCTCCATTCTCGCTCCCCCTCGCAACCGTCAAGAAGGGGCGTTGGTGTCGGCGGTAATGACTTCCATAATGTAGCTTCTCTTCACAGAAAGCCCCACAACAGTCATCGAAATCGGTCGCCTTCAGCAATCGCTGGTGGCAAGACGCTTGGTTAAGAACAACCCTGAGTGCCGTCAAGGACGACAGTGCCAATGGTGAGAGCGCATAAAGCGGTGTAAAGGATCGAGCGTCGGCAAAATGGAGGACGAAGAGGTTAGCCGAATACAGAAGCGTGGCCACCTCGGCGTAGACCAAGCGACAGGTAAGGAGCAGGCCGCGGAATGAAGCAGGCCATTGGTCGAGGCAGTAATAGGGCTGCAGTCGCTGAGCCGGCCCATGAAGATCATGAGTGTGTGGGATACCAGGCTTCGATGCAACACCCACAAGGCGGTAAACCTCTTCCCGGATGGGTGGGGGGAGCCGTAGAAACGGGGGTTGCAGCGTGTTGGAGCTTGCTAGGTCCTGATCCATCGTTGTGGTGTTAACGGGTCGTAGTTGGGCTGTGGGTGGACGGTAGGTAGGTATGGACCTTTGGGGATTTTGGTTGTGTAAGTTGTGTTGGTAAATCTCAACACTCCAACATGAATTTATACTAATTTGTTCATAGGAGTTCCCCGCTACTGCTACCTGGCACGTGTTGGTTCATCAACAAAGAACCAACAAAGAGCCAAGTCAGCGATGGTTGATTGGTGCCAAATTGTTCAACCCAGTATTCGATCCAAAGCCGATGTATTTCGCTGCGTGATAAACCGGGCCTTCCTTACCTATACAGTGAAGCCATGTGCCTTTCTTCGAGGTTTCTTCCAGTACTCCAGTGCCAAGTTTGCCCAAAATAAAGCTTGAATCAAGATTGGCAATGTGGTCAGTCATAAGAGTGACAACGGGATTTAGAAGGAGTCGACGCTGGACACGACAATACCTTATATCTACCTAATGGTAGAGCCAATGTCAATATTACTACTGATTCAGTTCTTCACTCGTTAACTAAACCGGGATATATCTCAACGGTAATTACGAAAACTTTACTAAGAAAATGTCATAGCAACGAAGGGTCCTACCTGCTGCTTCAATGGACAATCGTCTGTTGCAACAGTTATAAGCCCGGTTCGTGCAGTGGTAAGCATCCACACTTCCTCTGTACAGACCCTGCTCTGGCACTTTGTGAAGGCTTAAGTTCGAATCACGCTTCGTTCAACCCAGATGTTAAAGGTGCATGAGCTAAGAGCATCGTTAAACAAACACTTGCCACACGTTAGCGTGTATAAACATCCTTACTGAGGGGAAGAAAACGAATGCTAATTATGGAGGCTCAGAACGAACCACCAGCTGGGTCCTGCTTTATGCTGCAATGACGATTGTCTTTTGTAAAAGAAAACGTAACCTCCATCCTCATTACTGTTTTTGCCAGCTTGATTTAGTCTTCAAGTTTACACTAAGACGGATGGTCAAAGAGGTCTGGAAAATAAGACTTATTCCAGTGGAGACATAAAACTGCAAAGTGACGACAAGCTTTGAGGGAGACCCCGGCAATCTTTGGTTCTTCTAGTCAAGTGCCGTTACTGTCCATAGCGGGATCGCCGTCTGGAATCGAAAGGTTTAAATTAAGTCACTTTACCCAGATATCCTTGGCGACTTGCAACATCTCCTAGATGCGCTGTTGGGAACGGATAATTAGATCTCGCTGCATAAAATATTGGGGTACAGAATTGGTAACTTTGGTGGATAATTACCAGCACACGGTTAATGTTTAATCTTCCAAGAGGCTCCTGTACGGTATAAACGGGAGCATACTCGCGCTGCACTTGTTTCCCATCATCCCCGTCCCTTCCCTTGACTCATCCATTATCAGTTATCACCGCGCCGCCATGCGTAGCCTCTCGTTCCCATTCTCATTCGCGCTGTTGGTGGCTGGAATTGCCTTAGCCCAAACCCCAGCTGGGTTCGTCCCGGAGGTCGCAGACAAACTCGAGATTGTGTTTGGAACAAAAACCGTGGAAACACCGGGCGCAAGCCTTGAGAAGACAGGTAATTCTGGCTTGAGTCACGACCTGAATACCCTGCCCCCAATGCTCGTTGCGGAAGCCTAAGACGCCATCACTAGACACGGCGAACCAACCCACGATTGGGACCAGCGATGCGCCCCTGACGGGTCCGTCGTATCTGTGGATGATGATAGGTATTACATGCTCGCCTACCAGTAACTCCTATAGTCAGCAGAACGAGTACTAACATTGACAGATATCGACGTGTACGTCCCGAGTCAAGTTTCGATTCCGAACTCTCACTATTACACCCTGCCATCAAATCCTTTGACCACACCTTTTAAAACAGCATGATGTTTAATTAACTCTCTCTTCCCCTCTAAGACCAACCAACTTCCAAAACCCCTCCACCGGAGGCCGCCAAACCAACCTACACTCCCTCCTCACCGGCTTCACCCCCTCTACCACAAACCCCGAGGAAGGAGGTATCTACACCCTCACTCCTCCCTCCTCTTCTTCAGACGGATCTGCCGTCGTCCCCTACGTCGGCCCCGCTCCTCCGGCCGAGAACCCGCCGTACCCACATCGGTATGTGAGCTTGCTGTATGAGACCGAGGACGGGTTTATGGTACAGCGCGAGCAGGTGGGACAGACGTTGGGGTTTGATCTGTCGTTGTTTGTGGAGAAGGTTGGGTTGGGGACGCCTGTGAGGGCGGGGTATTTTAATGTGACTGGGTGATGGGGGTTGGTGAATTTGAAAGGTAAATTAAGCAAATTGGTACCTCGTGGCTGCCTTGGGGCTTGGAAGGGGGACTGGTGGGGTTAGAAAATTTGAATCAAACTAGAAACCTGGAAATTTTCCCAGCCCATAAAATCCTTGAACAACGCCTCTGTTCAGCGCACGCGCCAGATCTCAGCAATTGCGACGAAATTCTGTTAAGATTCGCACCATGATCTGCGACTATTTATTGCCAGTTCCTCGTTCAAACCTCGATTTTGAAACTTCCACCCCTCCAACCACAAATACCACTCCCACACTTAATTAGGTTACCTTCAAACCCTCATCCAAGACATCTCAAATTTGAGATTCAGACATCCAGCCCACAACAAAGACAATCTTTTGTTGAATTCATTCAAATGCTGATCGAGAGGTATAAGACGAATCGCTTGGCAGATTACTAACTAAAGGTAATTAGGTAACGTTAGTCCGAGACCAAAACATAACACCGCCAACACGATGTCGGTTTTAATCAAGGGATCGGAAGCCGTCCCCGACCCCGACCAATGTATCGAGGTCATTCAATTCGACGGCAAGCCAAGCATTGGCTACGCCGAATGGAAGTTCACAATCCTCCGTTATCTCGACTATTCCGGCTTCCGAGGCTTTATCGACGGCACGGCCTCACTCGGCACGCAAGCCACGGAGGACGAAAAGCTGGAGATTATGCGCAACAAAATCACTGCCTACACGGTCCTTTGCGACTCCTTGCGCAAGTGGCTCGAAAGCGTTGACGTAGAATCGCCCGATCTGCCCGATCGAGACGACTTCTTGGAAATTCGGTTCGACAACACGTACAACGCGAAGCGGCTGTGGGATATGGTGGAAAACTATTGCCGCGGTTACTAGTCTCCAGGGTTTCTGAGCTGCTTTAGGGCCAGTTGATTTCGGCGGCCGGATGGGAGCGGTGGGTTTCTGGTTCGGAGTTGGTTTAGGCCCAAAGCAGGAAGGACAGGCGTTAGAGAGTAGAAACCTAAGTGGGCAAATGTTGATTACCTACTGAATTATGGAACGTTGGGGGTGAATACCTCGTTGCCAGTGAGAAAGGGCTTGCGTTGAGTTCTCAACTTTTTTTTTCCTCCTCTTTTTTTATCCTCGTCTTCTTTTCTTTCTCTTCTTTTTTTCTGCCTTTTTTTTTCGAGGTTTACCAGGGATCAATCTTCCTAGACCCTTTACCACATTGTCATTCATTACACCTCGCGTTGTTTTCTCCTTCGCCCCAATACAGCACACCAATCCGAGGATTTTCTTTCTAGCTTCGAAAGGCTACAAGCTTGAAAAGACCACAGGCGGAGGCCGTTGGGTTGGGACGCCCGTGAGGGCGGGGTATTTTGATGTGACTGGGTGATAAAAGGGGGTGGTGTATAGTTGAAAGGTACGTTATGTATATTGGTATATTATACCTAGTCGTTGCCTTAGAGGTTAAGAAAGGAAGCATGGTGATGCTGCGACTGCGATTTAGGGAACGTGAATCGACTTGGAAGCTGGAGACCTCTTCCACCCTAAAAGTGCAAGAAGACCGGGTATGTTAGGCACATACGACAGGCCCCGGAAGTTCCGAACGGATTCTGCTCTGGGAGGCATTCGTTAGGGCCTGGCCGGGAACTATATATATACCACCATGTCGAGAGCCGGAACCGCAAGAAATTTTTCTTTGGCAGAGAAATCAACCCCACGATTTGCAATTATCTCCTGCCAGATCAACGTTGGCCCCTCCATTTCGAAACTCCCACCACACGCTGAAATTGAGAGCCAAAAATCTACATCTTCCACAACAAACAGGCGATCGTCTCTGGTGAGTCCACTCAGATATTGATCGAAAAGTACGAGACAAATTCTTTGACAAACTGCTAACTAGAAGTGTCTAGAACCAAAATACAACACCGCCAAAAGTTGGCCCAAAATAATGTCGTTCTCAGACAGCGAGACGTCGGGCGCCGTCCGCAAGGCTGACGAGTGCACCGTGGTCAACAACTTCGACGGCGAGAGGGGCTACGACTACCACGAGTGGAAGTTTACAATCCTCCGCTGTCTCGACTACGACGGCCTTCGAGGTTTTATCGATGGCACGGCTTCACTCAGCCCCGAAGCTACCGAGCATGAAAAGTTGGAGTTTATGCGCAAGAAAATCAGCGCCTACACGACCCTTCGCAACTCCGTCAGTGGCTGGCTCGCAACGGTGGCCGCCAATGGGTCCTATCGGGACAGGCTCTTGCAGGCTCGGTTCGACAACACCTACGACGCCAAACGGCTGTGGGATGTGGTCCATGAGTGCTGTGACGAGGACGTTTTCAACTAATCAGCAGCGTCCCCGAGCTCTCTGAACGGCGGTTGATCTCGGTGGATGGATTGGGTGGAAGAGACACTCAACAACCTAAGGGCGGGACTTGATAATGGAACGTTAGGGATGGGTGGTCGGCCCTGGATAAATGGGCGGAAACGGCTTTTTAGCTTCAAGTTCGGATCTCTTTTCCGCGACGTTTGCAAGACGTCAACCTTCCTAGACCCTTTAACACATTTTCAATGATTACACGTCACACTACTCCATCCCTTGCCGAATGTTGCCGAGTTAAACCATATCAAGCCGACTGATGATTTCTTCTTTGCTTTTAAAATTTGGCATTGAAATCAGGCATCATATCGAGATCACGACAAACCTTTGGGCTCAATGGCGGGGCCAACGCACTAATTGGGTAAATCCGCGACCCTCTCTCCCCTTCTCCCAAGCCTCCATCAGGAAGGCTTTCAGGGCATTCAGGCCAGCCTTAACAGGCCGGAAGCCATGATTTGGACCCGACAGCAGAGTGTGGCCACCCGCGGCTCCTTTGACCGATAGTCTCGAATAAAAGGTATGCAGGCATAGGCGGTTCTCTTTGAGGACACTCACTGTTACCTCGACGCACGTGAAATCAATCCAGGAAATAATTAGTTTGACGCCGACCAACTGTAAAAGCCACGGTTACGCCTCGTTTGAAACCTTCCCATAGCACGCCGCCAACACAATCATTAAGCGCACCACAATAATACAACTGACAAGCAAGCAAGACGAGTGGAAAACTATGTGTGAGTTTAGCAAATGCACGGTCCCACTTGAAGTGCATTCTCTACCTATGTATTACACTACACCTCAACCCTTGCTACCTCGTGGAATAACTTCTAACGATCAAATGCAAGAGAAACCACAGTTCTGGGCCAAGCTTCTTATGAACTATTTTATGCCCTCAATTTGTTTCAAAATGCCATTGCCAAACAAATTTGTTCGGCGGCCACGGTTGCCGACCGGGTCTCGGATCACCGGCCGATCACCGAACGCCGGACGCCCGGGTTTCAAACAGGGAACCCCACATTTTCCGGCCGCCAAGCCGGCCGCCGGGGTTTGCGACCCGGATCGGCCAATATCGAGTTTTTAGACGTCCCAGCGAAAGCAGGCATAAGTTCGCGCTCCGCGGTTACACGGCAACTGCCCCTCCTCAATTCTCCCCACGGATGAAACCTTGGCTCTATCAGACGCCTTGGCCCTTTAGGCCCCCGACTTTCTGAAAATATCAGACGTCGTCAGCAGAAGTGTATTTGGGTGGCAGGATCCGTGTTTGCATTGAGGATGATTATGTTTCCAGCGACTCTTGCGTTTCTCGGGATTTGGATGGAATTCGAGTCGGTGTTTTATTTTCTCCAAACATCCTCGCCCCTTGGAATTCCCGTCCTCATTCCCAAGGTGTAGCTCTGGGCCCAGAATGAATACCCGGAGACCCGCCGCCGGCGCCGGCGCGGGAGTGCGAACCGTCCAAAAGGGGCAAGCATACGCGCATTTGGCTTCGCCACGACAAGCGCAGACACGGGGAAATTTGACTTCTCCAAGACAAGCGCAGACACGCGGAAATTTGACCTCTCCCCGACAAGCGCAGAAATATGCGCATTTAGCCTCTCCACGGCAAGCAGAAACTTCGACCACGAGAACAACCAGACGAGTCGTTGCAGGCCAGAATGGCCAACCGATGGAGGTCCTAGGTAAGTCTACCACTTCCTCGGGATGGATCATTGATCATCAATAACTGACAAAACACCTAGAAACCGAACAACGCACTACCAAAAGAACCATGTGGACCCGCGTCTTCTCCGGAGGCGACAAGACCGCGACCAAAAAACCCTCCCAACCAGGCAAATACAAATTCTGGCAACGCACCGGTAACAAAAACACCAACACCCACGCCTCCAAAACAGGCACCAACAGCGCCGGCTTCAACCTGCGCTACTACCGCGAGCGCTTCGCCGAACTGCCCCGGCAGACACAGTTCGACCTGTACATGGCCGGCATGGCGCCGCTGATGACCTACCTCGAGCACCGGCGCTTTAAGTCGCGCAACGCGGGGATGCGTGTGTTGAAAGCGTACCGGCCGGTGCCGGTTATGTATGCCGCGCAGGAAGCGCCGAGCGGGTTTGCGGCGCCGCCGAAAAATTTAAGGCTGGAGGCGAAGATTGCGAAGGAGAGGGATGCCGCGAGGGCGGTGAGGAGGAATGGGAAGGCTACGGCGGCTGCTGCTGCTGCTGCTTCTGCTTCTGTTGCTACTGCTGCTGCTACTGCTACTCATAATAGCACTTCTACGGCTGCCGCAGGTACTACTGTGGGCGCGACGGGGGCGAATGCGGCTGCGAAGAGACGGAAGGTAGTAAAGAAGAAGGAAGAGCAAGAAGACTCTGACGAGGATGCGCTCCCCGCTTTTCCGACGCCGGTAATGTACCAGCAGGAGATGAAGAGGCAGACCCGGGTAGCAAAGGGGAAACAACAATTACGACAGCAACAACCGCAGCAAAAACAGAGAACAAGACAACAGCAAACACCAGAAGAACTTCTACGAGCGAGACAACGAGCAAGGGAATACCAAAGCTCTTACACAACGGCCGACCGCACCACCACAGCCACCACAGCCACCACAGCCACCACAACCGCCCAACGTCAACGTGAACAACAACTGCTCCAACGCGAACCTCTACAACAACAACAACAACCACGTCCGCTCCAACGCCAGGGCAACACAGCCTACGCCAAACCCATCACAAACAGCGCGACGACAGCCGAAACAACCGCAACACCAACACGCCGGACAGCAGGGGTAACACGCACCGCAGCGACGGGTAAAACTCACCAGACGCTGCAGACGGCCCAGACATATCCTACTCGGGCTGTGCATCGAACCGAGACGATGGATGGTTATCCGCAGACTCGGGAGCAGGGTCATGCTCAGGCTCATACTCATGCTCAGGCTCATACGCAGGGTCAGGCCCATACGCAGAGCCAGGGCCAAGTACAGAGTCCAAGGGTTCCTAGGGCAGCGAATGTAACGAGGAGGGCGCAGGGGACGCGGGTGGCTGATTCAGGGGTTGGGTCGTCAGGGCGGGTATGAGGGGCGAGGGCTATCAAGGATGGATGTTAACATCGTGTTGGCTGAGGTACATTATAGGGCCATGTTTGGTGGTATGTATGGGGACGGGTCTATAATTGCTATTTATGCTGTGATATGACGTGACGATGTAATGAGTCTTATGATTTTGTATTAGTCCTGTTGAAACAGCTTGTTAGATTCAATGTTAAGGTAATTTTCCTGCCGCATAATACTTGAGAAGCCGACATCGAAGACTGCATTGGTGTTGTTCGGTTTTGGACGTCGAACCGCTGTTGAGAGTTAGGCGGTACCCTGGCATGTATATGTTGCTTCGGCGGGGCGTATTCAAGCTATCAATTGGTACCAGTGTAATCAGCCACTGTTTCTCGGCATTGCACACTGGATTCATATTCCCATCGTCGCTTCGGAAACTACCATTTTCATCACTAGTTGTTAAATAGGGGTTATTCGGCATCCAACGCAAGTTTTAAGATTTATTTTGTCCCCAATTCGCGGTTCTGGCCGTAATTAGTCGACGTCTTGAAATCCCTGAAACGAATTGCTTAGCCGGATGCTGAATTTCATGACGTTGAGCAAGGATCCCCACTCCCAAGATCGTCAACAGCGACAGTAAAGTCCTAGTCAATTAATTATACGAGAAAATGATACCGGAAAATGATGACATAAAACATTCCGCGACCCGACGCGACCAGGAAAGTTACAGATATCAGATGCGTCACAGAAATAGCAGCAAACGAAGCCAAAAACTCCCTGTGATGAGAAGTCGCCGGCCCGGTGGCCCAGCCCCCGTCAGCCAATGGTGTGACTTGTGCCAAGAATGGAACGCCGATCGGCAAGATTCGCGGGACAAGCTCGGGCCAATCAGCTGCCTGCAACGTGCAGAAAGTGCCCCGATCGCAAAGCTGATCGAGTCGATCCAGAAGCTGGCTCCGCAAGCTCTGTGCGCTCGGCTTTCAGCTCCAACAAACAAACCTGGGACATTTTTTTGACGTCATCCCCACTCCCTCGTCCTCCTTCCCCCGACAACTTTTGCAGCTGAGCGACGGCTGTGAACGACCTGGAATTTTCTTGTCCGACATCAATTGTTAGTGGAACAGTTTCATCCGGTATTTGGCGACCGATAGTTATCCTGGGTATTTCTTTGCGGTGTCCCCCGTCTTCCATATTCTTGGCGTTTTCCGATTGAGATCGGCGATTGACCACGCTCGGCTCACGACGCCTGAGCCAAGATTGTTCGCCCCGCCTAAGAAACCGGGACAACGCTGGTTAGCGCGAAGAGAAAGAGAACGGAGAAAAAACAACTAAAAAAATCAATTGATCAAAACATTGATTGAATCGGCCCTGCACGCTCGACGGCGATTTGTGAATCGCGATAGCGACGAAACAGAATCTCGAAATGGCCAACTACGGCGGCGGCGACGCCGCAAACTATTACAACCAGCAACAGCCTCCTCCTCCGCCCAACGCGTACTACCAGGGCCAACCTCCGCAGCAGCAGTATCAGCAGCAGCCGCAGCAGGGCGGCTATGCCCCCCCGTCGTATCCCCCGCCAGACCAGAAGGGCGAGCCACCGTCGTATGAGGAGACGTTCAAGATTGCGAAGCCCAAGTGGAATGATTTGTGGGCGGGAGTGTTGTTTCTGTTGACGGTCGCGGGGTTTGCGGCGGTGTCGGCTATTTCGATCAATGGCTATGGTGAGTGATGTATCTTCGAGTCTGGTAGTCCTCGTCGGAGAGAGCGGCGGACACACAGGGAGAGGGAGTGAGCTAACAAGACAGCTTCCACCCGTCGCGAGAACTCCGGCGGCATCAACGGCCAGCTCAACTCATTCGGCCTGACGACACACACCATCTACCTCTTCCTCTGGGTGCTGATCACCGCCATCGTGCTGAGCTACTCATACATGTGGCTCGCACGCAAGTTCACCAAGCAATTCATCTGGATCACCGGCATCCTCAACTGCCTACTCGGATTCGCAACCGCCATCTACATGCTCACCCGCCGCTACTACTCCGGCGGCATCGTGTTCCTGATCTTCGCCGTCTTCATGGTCATCTGCTTCATCAGCTGGCGCAAGCGCATCCCCTTCAGCGTGCTGATGCTGCAAACCTCCATGCACGTCGCCAAGAAGCACGGGCACGTCTACCTCGTCAGCGCCATCGGCGGCCTGCTCGGCGCGGCCTTCGCGGCGTGGTATTCCGTTACGCTGGTCAGCGTGTACGTCAAGTACGAGCCGAGCGAGAACAACCCGGCGTGTCGGACGGGTGCGGGCGGATGTGGGTCTGGCAAGGTCATCGGGTTGATTGTGTTCATCACGTTTGCGGCGTACTGGATCTCGGAGTGGCTCAAGAACACGCTGCATACGACGATTGCGGGGGTGTATGGGTCGTGGTACTTTAACTCGCGGAATTACCCGACGAAGGTTACGCGCGGCGCGCTGAAGCGGGCGTTGACGTACAGCTTTGGGAGTATTAGTTTGGGCAGTCTGGTGGTGGCGATTATCAATTTCCTGCGGCAGCTGGCCTCGACCGCGCAGTCGCAGGCGTCGGCACAGGGAGATATTGTGGGCACGATCATGTTCTGCATTGTCGGGTGTCTGATTGGGATTCTGGACTGGGCGGTACAGTTCCTGAACCGGTATGCCTTTGCGCATATTGCGCTGTACGGCAAGGCGTACATTCCCGCGGCCAAGGACACTTGGAAGTGAGTTCCTCCCCCCTCTTCCCAACCAACCTTCCCAACGATACACGATACAGCAACGCTAACAGTAAACAGAATGATCAAAGACCGCGGCATCGACGCCCTAATCAACGAATGCCTGATCGGCCCCGTCCTCGGCATGGGCGGCACCTTTGTGGGGTACGCCTGCGCGCTGCTAGCCTACGTGTACCTGGTGTTCACAGACCCGGCGTACAACAAGTCGGGCGGGTTCACCCCCGTGGTTGTGGCTTTCGCGTTCTTGATCGGCCTGCAGATCTGCAATGTTTTCACGACGCCGATCAGCAGCGGGATTGATGCGATTTTCGTGGCGGCTGCGTGGGACCCGGAGGTGATGATTCGCGATCATCCGGATTTGTATCATCGCATGGTGCAGGTTTATCCGCATGTGCAGCAGGCTATTCATGCGTAGGCGAGGGGGCTGAGGCGAGCGAGGTGAGCGAGGTGAGGGATATCGCGTCAGTGTGGAGGAAGTTTTGAGTGTAAGGGCCGGAATGTGTTTTGGTACGGGAGGTATGTCTAAAGGACGTGGTATGCGAGGTTGGAAAGGAGAGTGAAATTGGGAAATTGAGATAATGACTGGAAGTAATTACAATATAGCGTACCCATAATTGGTTATTCACTACCCTTCCACCTGTACCGCTGCCGTGTCCACTTCAACCGTCCCCGACTGACCAACACCGTGACCCTCTTTTTTTCCCACGTCTTGTCCCTCAACCTCCTGTTGCTTGTTGTCTTGTTTCTCTTCATCGTCCTTCTCATCGCCCTCCTGCCCCTTATTTCCCTCTTCTTCCTTACCTACTTCCTCAACACTCCCTATCACCCCCTTTTCGGCCTCCCCTTTCAGATCCTCCTGCACACGTTCCCCCTTCCCACTCTCAACATCGACATCCACCATATGAACAGGCGTCTTAACCCCCACCAAAGCCGCTTTCACACCCTTCTCCCCCCCAAGCCCATGAATCAAGGCCCGGTGACTGACACAGTAAGCGCAGGCTTTCAGAGCAATGAGGTCCCAGAGGGATTTGGTAGCGCGAAAGTCGCGGGCGAGAAGGAGGTGGGTGGCTGTTGTCCAGAGGAGTTTTGTCAGTTCCTGTGTTAGTGTGGAAGTGTTGTCAGTGTCGGGGTTAGGGTTGGCTGTTTCGGCGGATGTTGTTGTTGAGGTCGAGATATCAGGGTTAGGGTCAACCGTCTCCTTCCCTTGTTCTTTCCCTGCATCCGTCCCTTCTTCCTTCTCTTCTTCCTTCAGTCCCTCCTTCTCTCCCGTCCACTCCCCCAATACCACTCTCAACACCTTCACCACTTCCCCACCCAGCACCTCCTCCGCAACCTCCCAACTCCCAAAGTTAATCGCCCCATCAAACTCCTGATACCGCAGCAGGGCATGCACAAACGATTTCTCGGTCGGTTTCTGCTTTTTCATGCGCAAGGGCTGGGGGACAATGCTTCTATCCCTGAGGCGGTGCAAGATTGGGACGGCGCTGTAGTCAACAGCGTCGTTAACAGCATCGTGACCGGCGTAGTTCCCGCTGACAGAAGTGGAGATGGCGGCGGGTGGTGATCGGGGCGGTCGGGGAGGAGGTGGAAGGGCCCGTCTGTCCTCGTCGTCTTTGTCGTTGATGTTGATGCCAGACTTGGCCATGCGGTTGGATTTGATTTGGTAGCTGCTGTATCTACGGCTGGCTTTGCGATGGCTTTTGCTGGTAGGTCGGCGTGCCTCAACGCCGTCGAGTTCGTATTTGGGCTCACCTGCGCCTTCGTCTTCGGGTCCGGGTCCGGGTTCAACAACCCGGCTGTGATAGATGGAGGAGCGGTCGGCGTAAAAATCGAGGGTTTCGTACGGGAAGGCTTCCTCTGGGCATGGCGGGGACAAGGCTGGTGTTGAAGAGTCGCCTGTGATAGGGGGGTCGTCGGCGTCACGGCCATACTGGATGCATGCGACCTCGAAGATTTCAGGTTCTCCGAACCCCCGGGTTACGGCCGAGGTGTAGGAGTCACCTGGGATAGGGGGGTCGTCGGCGTCGCGGGCTACGGGGGAGGAGGAGAGCGGGTTGCTTCCTCTCTGTGCTGTCTGCGTTGCCTCCTCCGCCTCCTCTGCTTGCTCCGTCGGCTTTGTGTTTGTTAGGCAGAGTGGTTTCTTCTTCTTTCTGGGCATGGAATGAGATGGATGGCGGAAAGCATCAGGTCCCATGGGGACTATGGGCGGGGCAGCACTGCCTGGCCCGCGGTAGGATGTTTCTGCCGGTGGACCATTTAGCTCGGTGAGCTGAGCGGGTGTGAGTTCGATGGTATCAGTCCATTCCCCGGGAGTGAAAGTCGGGAAATAGGGGGTAGATCCCGTGTCGGGCATCACTTCCGCCGGCTTGTACGCCTGGGCCGCCTCAGCGCCTCGCTCGACCAAGCCGAACCGTTTCCGCAGGCGCTCTCGCTCTTGCTTTGGTTCTCCATCTCGATCTCGCTCTCGCTCCGAACGACGGGCTCGCTTCTTGACCCACTCAAAGTTCTCATCAGCCGCCGTGCTGCCACGCTCCAAATGGTTATACACCGCTTCCAGCTTCTCAGCATCCCTCGACTGCGGGGGAGGCGGACTAAGCCCAGGCGGCACATCGGCAGTAGCATTCCACCCCTCGTCTGCCGGCCGCGACTCTCGGTTCATGCTCAGCCGGGGTGGTCCACTATCCCTAGACTGGAGTATCGAAGGCGCGCTGAAATTTGCCGACGGCCTTGAGGGCGGCACATAAGTGGCATCGATCGGGGCTCCACGGGGGGGTGGGGCAACCCCTAGGAAACCACCACGCATGTTCCGCCGCGGCTCTGCAGAAAGGTTGGGACGAACAACTAGGGAGTCGACGATATCCCCCGCGCGACGTCGTGATTGGTCCAACATGTAATTGCCCGACATCGACTCCAACTCAACCGGTTCCAGCGCAGCCACATGTTGCCGAGCTGGCTCCGGCCCTCGAGGCTGCAGCAGATCCTCCCCTGGGCCCGGCTTGACCTCGATGATGCCATTAGCCAGGAGGTCCTTCTCCGACATGGGAAAGGGCACAGCCGGCGGCGGACAGGGTTCCTCCGCCAGGAAAAAACTAGTCCATTTCGACACAAGCGACCACTTGCAAGCAATCTTTTCCGCCTCACGGCGCACCAGACTAGTCTCTTCCCAGGTACCTGGGTACGGACGGTGCGGACCAAGGTGGATGGAGCTAGTGCCGCGCTCGAGGTCATCTAGCATGGCACGGGCGGCGAGTTTATGGAGCGTGGTGTCTGGTTTGGGGAGGACGGTGACGGGGATGGGGAAGATGGTATGCTGGCCGTCGGCTTCGAGTTCGAGGTGGACTGTTTCGAGAGTTTTGGAGCCGGTGGACGGGGGGAGGTGGAAGTAGATGCGGTTGTGGTCGAAGGGACTGAGGGCGGAGACGTCGGCGGGGGAGCGTTTGGCGTCGACGAGGGTGGAGTGAATGATTTTGTCACCCTCCCTCACCCCAAAAACAACCCTCACCGGCCCCAAATGCCGACTCACCAACGCCGCCTTCGTCATCCCGACCACCCTCTCCTCCCACCCCTCGGCCGCTATCCCCTCCGGCACAACTTCCGCATATCCCCCGCCGGCCTTGGCCAACCCATCCACCAACGCATGTGACACCCGGTTCCCAATCCCTAGCGCAAACACCCTGACCCTCCCGCCCGATCTGTCCCGCGCTTTCCGCACTAACTCGATGGTTTGATCGAGTCTCCAGGTCTGCCCGTCTGTAAGGATGATCACGTCAACTATTTTCTTCCCCTTCTTTTCTTTCCCATCACCCCCCTCATCATCGTGGTGGGATTCCTCCTCCTCCTCCATAATCGGCCCCAACATAGCCTCCAGCGCATGGAACAACTCCGTCCCGCCCATATCCGCCTGAAACCTCGGACTCTGCACCCAGTTAAGGGCGTTTTTCAAATTCTCCTGGGTATACGCAACCGAGGATGGCTGCCAGGAACTGTAGGACGTGCCGAAGCACCAGATGTTGAAGACTCGGTTGAGGGGGATGCCTTTGAGGAAGTAGTGCAGGGCCGATTGGAGGGCGGGGATTTTCCGGCGCATGGACCCGGAACGGTCGGCCAGGAGGAGGATTTCATGGGTACCGGCAGGGTGACTAGGTGTTGCTGCTTCTGCTGTTGTAGAAATGGGCAGAGGCGTGGCGGTTAGGCTTTTTGCCGGGAGGGTGAGCATGAGGGTTTTGTGGTTTGCCAAAGTGGGGTGGTGTTCGAGCCAGGCTTGGGGGCGTTGGGTTTCGTTGTCTGCTTGTTCTTCTACATCACCCGAGGTACTGGTACTACTGGTGATATCCAGCACAAAGTCCCTCTCCAACAACACCGGCCCATCAGCCAGCACCACCGACGCCGTTTCCACTTTACTCTCAATCGTCTGCCCGGCCAGATCAGCGAAACTCTGCGCGGTTTGTGAACCACGCTGCCGAGTGACGGTGATGGCGTGGGAGGACGGGCTAGTAATGGTGGTGATGCGCCCGGCCTCGATGATCTCTACGTTGAGGGTCAGACCCTCAGGCACGTTGGTCGATGCGGCGGCTATGTCGGCGTCCTTGGGCGCTGGGCCGTAGCGTGGCGCGATGGAGGTCGGCAAGGTGAGCGTGGTGATGGTGGTTTGGCTGTCGTCGGCGGTGAAGCGGTGTTTGAGCACGGTGATGTAGGTCAGTTGGACTTGAACCTTGGTCTGCGCTGGCAGGTTGCCCAGCGTCGTCGTAAAGATCTCCGGCGTGGCCTGCTCCAACAAACCAGCCGCGGTATCCTGCGTGCGGATATGCTTTCGAAACGCCTGTCTCGCGTCGTCTTTCGGCTTCACCGCGCCCCGGATGATCTTGCTGTTACCGATGCGGCAGGTGAATTCGGTTACCGTGCATCCATTAGGCAGTGGGAAAGTGAAGGCGGCCTCTTTGATCGGCGCGCTGGCATCGTTCCAGAAGAGCTGGGTCACGGCGACTTTGGCGGTGTCCTGCACGATCGAGACGTCGGCTGTGACCGACCGTGGGGGGAGCACGTTACGGCCGGGCTCTTGGACGGTGAACTGCGGGAGGGGGGTTGGAGGATGGCGGATGAGGGTTTTTGGTTTGGCGCTGCCGTAGCTGGCATCGAATTGGGCGTAGGGACCGGGACCGGACCCGGGAATCTGGGTGTGGAGAGCGATGTGGGCGTGGACATCGTGGCCGTAGGACTCGTTCTGGTGCAGTTCGTGTTGGAGTTCGGCGGGGAGTGGCTCGTCGGGATCCCAGAAGATGCCCGCTGCGTAGATGCTATTCCAGGGGGACATATTTAAGCGTTAGTGGGATAAATTGGGGAAAGAAATGAAAAAGGAACTGGCAAAAGAACCGGCAAAAAATGATGAAGCAAATAATAAGTGGGAGATTGAAAAGGCGAAAGAAATCAAAAGCGTGGGATTTCACTGAGTTACAATCTGGAACCCCCTCATTCACTACGAGTATGTTCGAGTACGAATTAATAAGGCTCTCACTACGTTTAAGCGAGGCGCTGTGCCGCTCAACGTTTAGTGTCTGTCCTCCCCTCTGGCTGGGCAAGCACTGCCGCATTCAGGGCCAATCACCAGCATTTATCCCGTGGCTGTGCAGCAGATCCGGCCGGCACTCCTCTAGGCAGACTGAGACGAGAAGTAAGAGGCAAACCCAGATTGTGTGACGATGACGAGTCTACTGAGGCGTACTTTTTACCTTTAGTGTTCCTCTATCCGTAGAGAGAGATCTTGGCCTGCACATTTCACCCCTGAATCTCAATACCACCTCATACCCCGGCCCAACACACAGCTCAACACAACTCAACCTTGAACTCCACTCGCCAAACTAATAGATCAATAACTCCACCAAAATCAACACAATACTCCCCCCAATACTCCCCTAACAAGTCCCCCGCATGGCCTCCCCCATCTCCTTCGGTGATGCAGTCGCCATCGCCAAAATTGCCTACCGCATCGCCCACGCCTTCACACAAGGCAGCAAGTCCGCCCCAGCCGAGTTCCGCGAGGTTGAGAACCAGCTCTACTCTCTCAGCACTGCCCTTTCTGCCCTGCAAGATGTGGCCCGTCAGACTTCTTCTTCCTCTTCTTCTTCTCAGGACAACAAAAACAACAACAATAATAACAAAAACGCTATTACGGACGGTACTACTCCTACTGGGAGTAGTAGTACTGACACAACACCCATTGACCCGTCCCTTGCAGTAATCCTGGAGAACTGCGCCGAGACATTAAAGCACCTGGAGAAGATTGTCGAGAAATATGGTGTGGTGGCTCCAAAGGGAAAGAGTTGTAACAACAGTGACGGGAGTGCCAAGTCGAGATTCCAGAAGTGGAGTGGTGAACTAGTGAAAAACTACCGCAAGATTGCCTGGACGACCGAGGCTGGAGACCTGGCGGCGTTGAGGAGCCAGTTGTTGGTGCATACTAATAGTTTGAATTTGGTACTGGGGACTATATTGAGGTGAGTAATTATTCATTTACTTTGTTGATCGTTTATGAGAGTAGTACTGAGAGAAGAAAACCAGTTCCCGAACTACACGTATCGAGGACAACCTCAAAGAAAACTCGGCCATGCTCCACGACATTCACGTCTGGTGGGCGCAAAATCTCAAAGATGCCACTGTCAAAGGGTCTGCTTCGCCAGACCCAGCTTCGGAAACAGCAGAAGTAGAGGAAGAGTCGAGTGCTGTCTTCTTCGAAGTCCATGGGACTTCACAGCTCCTTTGCCCCCGGGCTAGGGTCCACGACGAGTGGAAAGAGCCTGGGGTTACACAGCTGTTTGTGTGTGCTTGTCGGTCAGAGCGGCATCAAGGGGTGGAGGATCTTGCTTGTGAGTACATACTCCCCTTTTGTTCGTTTGCCTGTGTGCTGATACCGAGGTAGTATCCTCCCTCTCTTTCCCCATCCGACGGCCAGGCGAGATATCCTCATGGACGCTGTTCAAAGTGCTAGACAAGCGAACCAGTCAAATGGTCCCGGTGGAGATTAGGAATGTGAAAGTGGCTGGTAGGAATTCTTTCACTGAATTTGAGTAACGACGGGGTACAGGACTGACTGATGCTAGACATTGCCCTCTTCGAAGAATCCTTCATCCAGCCCCTGACCGACGCCAGAGCGCGCGTGATGCTGCAACAGGGGGTCAGCAACCAGCTTGCGCACTTGTTCGCCGACGCAGCTTATATCCACGCTATCAACCTCCACAGGTTTGTCTACCCTGGTTTCCCAGCTACCGCTCGCCCCCAAAATACTGTTTTACGGAGCTAAGTTCGTCCGCCCGTGTAGCGACCTCACCGGTCTCGGAAAGTCCGTCGACGCTGTCACTTTCTGCGTCAACCACCGCAAGCTGCGTAAAGACAATGTTGAGGGCCTACAACTGCTGAGTTACCGGCAGCTGAGCCACCAAGATAGTCTGCGGGTGAGTAGTTCCGCTGTTGACCATGCCGAGCTGACGATATTTTACGGCGGGGATGCGGCGGATATCACGAGGAGTGTTGTCCATGGTAGGTCTGCCCCTGTGTGTAATATCTGACGTCACGCTTGTTAGGTAGGTAAGTTAGACCGAGCTGGCTAACAGGTAAACTAGTAACGGCAGATACGACCCTGGATATCGAAAGCAACGACGTCGTCGCCATCCGCCAGGTTGCTTGTTTTGGATATAACGGGGAGCAAGAGGTTAGCCACCTCGAGAAAGTGGATATCCTGCTGCAGATGACCAGCCCAGAAGGTAACGCCCCCTAGGAACCGCTGATTGATCATTACATATCTTTGTGTGCTAAGTAAAGAAACAGTCACACGACGACTACACGCCAAACTCGAAGACATGCGCGTCGAGCTGTTTGTCGCCCACTTACAAACGCCAGGGCCGGACGAGATTGTCGTGTTGCATCTGTATGTACAAATCCACCTCTTCACTTTACCCTGAATGGCGAAAGCCCCCCTTACTAACCCCCAAAAGACAAGCAACAGAAGTCCAATGCGAAGTCGCCGTCATCCCCGACGCCGACATCATCATCACCCGCACCCGCGACGGCCAGCACCGCCTCATCGTCACCAGCCGCAATCGGTGTACCGTCCTCGCTCAAATCCGTAAGCCCTATTTGTCCCCCTCACCCTTTTACCCCTGACCTGACCTATAGAGAATACCCATCCATGACTCCATGTGTGAATCAACGGCACTTCAAAGCTACCCATTGCTGACCATGATCAATGAATTAGTACCAACAACCTTCTTCACCTCCCCCTCCCACACCCCCACCTTCGTAGCGCCCACCTGGCTTATCCAACTCGAAGGTGCCAAACGCAAGGTGTATCACTACCCGGAGGGGTTCCGGTTTTTGAGCTTTCATAGCAGTAGCGGTACGTACAATATCCCAGTCAAACGATCATCCAACCCTTGTGTGTTTTCGAGGAAGACAGATTCAAAACTGACTTGCCGATTTGTTGATCAGCGGAGAAAATGTTTGAGCTTGGGCGGACGGCGGTGCTGCAGGGTGTGGAGGCTGAGATGGAGGGGGGTTTGCCGATTCGGCAGAAGTGAAGGGGTTTTGTTTGATAGGGGTGGGTAGAGAGGTGTGGAAGGGTGAGTTGGAGTTGGGTTTATGCCAGAAGGGAGGTGTGTAATATGGTAATGGATGTGTCACTCGGAGTTGGGTTTGTATAGACGCGGTATCAAGAACTGTGACTTACTAATGTCTGCTTGAGCCGGGTGTTACTTACTGCTCACGATATATTCCTTACGCGCTCATGTGGTGGCACAGGATTGGAAACAGGGATTTGGGGACGTAGATGTGGCATTGATACATTCTGCGTTGCACGGTGTGAGAGCACTTCAGTATAAACTCAACCTCACGTGGATTCAACACTACCTAAGACTTCAGCCTATTTCGGCCCCGTCTTACCCGTCGGGATACAGAACAACACCAGCCTCTTCCCCTTCGGCCCCTCCTCACCCTCCTTCCAGTCACCCAACCCCTTATCCACGCGGTAATAACCTCTCCGCTCCAGCTGAATAATATCATCCTTCTTGAGCTGCGCCGCCGCCTCATCACACCACGCATCCTCCAGCGTCTCCGTCACCGGCGTCAAGTAGTCCTCTAGCGTGTCCTCCTCCTGCAGGATATCTTTAGTAATGAGGTAGTCAAAGTCCCATAGCTCGGCAGGCACCAGAGTCTGGCCCTGCGTCGCGAGCCACGTGACCTTCTTCTCCGTCTTCTTGACGTCGCCTTGCAGGTTGAGCTCGGCGCTGAGGGTCGGGATCGGGTCGCCAGCCGCAATCTGCTTGACGAAGGCGTTGCCCCAGGCCATGAGGGTGATTTCCTCGCCGTCCTTGAAGCTCTTGGCGTCGGCTTGGTCGAGGAGGAGCTCGGAGGCGAAGACGACCTTCTTCGTGCCGACGTCTTTGTTCTTCGGGTGGCGGGGGCGGTCGGTCGAGAAGGGCTCGGCGGGGGCTTCGGCCCCGGTGATGGTGACCTTGACGGCGTCCTTTTGCAGGATGGCGGTGTGGCGCGGCGCGATGGGGTCGATCTCCTTCTTGTTGCTGGCCCAGAAGTTGGTCCAGTCCATGGTCACCACGTTGCGGCTGGGGCCTTGCTTGAGGATAAAGTCTCGCAGCGCGGGGATGGTCATGCCGCGGCGGCGGACACCGCGGATCGTCGGCATGCGCGGGTCGTCCCAGCCCCAGACCTTGCCGGTGTCAACCAGTTTGGCCAACTTACGCTTCGACAGGAATGTGCGGATGAAGTTCATGCGGGCGAAATCCCACATGTACACTTGACGCAGCTTGAGCGTGTCGAGGAACCACTGGTACTGGGGGTTCCGGTCGGTGTACTCGGTGGACCTCAACGCGTGCGTGACCCCCTCGTGGCTGTCGACCACGGGGCATGCGAAATCGTACATCGGGTACATCTTCCACTTGGTGCCGGTGCGGTGGTGGGGGGTCTCGACGTTGCAGCGGTAGATAACAGGGTCTCTCAGGGCCTTGTTCGGGTTGTCGACCGACAACTTGGCGCGCATGCAGTGTTGAAGACCCTCCGGCGAACCTTGCTTCATCTCCTCAAAAATGCGCAGGTTCTCCTCGACGCTCCGGTCGCGGCGCTTCGAGGCGATGCCCTTGAACCGCTCGTCACGCATAGTCTCCTGGTCGGTGTCGTCTGCGTAAGCGTGGCCCTCCGAGATCAGCCGCACGCACATGTCGTACAGGTAGTCGAAGTAGTCGGAGGTGTACGAGAGCGCGTCGGGCTTGATACCCATGAGGGCTAGGTCCTCGATAATGGCATCTTGGTACTCCTGCTTCTCCTTGGACGGGTTGGTGTCGTCGAGGCGGAGGCGTAGCTGTCCCTTGTATGCTTGGTGGGCAAAGTAGTCGCTCAGAAGCGCCGCCTTGGCGTGTCCAATGTGCAGATAGCCCCTATTCTCCATCAGTTGACTGCCCGTATTCAGGACGTCCACATTAGCTTAGGGTGTACTTACGAGGGCTCGGGCAAGAATCTAGTCACCACGCCCTTGTCAGCATTCTGTAGGGCAAGAGCGTAGCTCGCACCGGCCTTGCTAGCCGCAGCCACCTTGGCCTTTGCAGCAGCATCCTTGGCCTTGATATCGGCCTGGATCTCGGGGTGGTTTTCCTCAATGAACCGGTACCACCGGGCGAGGTTTACCAAGCTACCACGACCGATGAACGACACGGCAGCACGGTTGCCACGGAGCGTCTGCCAGATTTTGGTGTCGATATCTCCCAGGATGAATCCGTCGAGGTAGGTACGCAGAATCAGGTGCTTGTCCAGAGCCTGCAGGCGGGGTTCGATTTGGCGGAAATCTCCCGTGAGTTGGCCCTCAAGGGCTGTGAGCTCGTCAACCTTCATATTGAAGTCCTTGGTGAATCAATCGGTTTTCAATGAAGCAGAAACAGAGTTTACCACGTCCCGTTCCAATCTCGTCTCGAGTCACGAAACTTTTGGAGGGGCAGCGGGGCACCCATGCTCGGCCATGGCGGGGTCACCGTTTTCTGCCAGGCGGTGAGAGCCCTGGTCGAAATTTCAAACCCCTGCTCCAAAGTGCCAAGCAATTAAGCCCACAGCCAGAAGCAAAGCTCGGACCCCAATTTTTTCTGAAGCCAAGGGACATTGAATATCGACTTCGCGACAATTGCGGCAACGCCCCGGGGTCCGGCGTCCACACCACCATGATGGCTTCCTTTCACCAATGTCTTGCCTCCATGACGAGGCTTAGCCTCAGAGCCCCCGCGCGGCCAACCGCGGCCCCGACAATACCGATGTTCCTCATGCCCGCAGCGGCGACTCCCGCCGTGCGCTACGCTACTGTCAACATGAAAAAGAAGGTTGTGAAGAAGAAGAAGACATACAAGACTTTCCGGAGCTACGATCTCACGAGGATGGATCAGTACTCTCTCTGCGAAGCCATGCGGTATGGTTGGATTTATGTCAATGGTTTTCCGGAAACCTCCCGACTGGTTATGCTAACTCTAAAACCCCCAGATACATCCGCGCCGCTGAGGTTGGCCAGCCGCCAAATTCCGTCAAATACGAACTCGCAGTCAAGCTCAAAACCAACAAGAGCGGCCCCGTGATCAAGAACCAGATCCGCCTCCCCTTCCCCGTTAAAAACGACAGCCGTATCGGCGTGCTCTGCGCCGACGACAGCCCGCTGGTGGCCGAAGCATTGGAGCTTGGTGCCGTGGTCGCCGGCGGGGAGACCCTTCTCGAAGACATCCGAAACAACAAAATCCCATTCAACAAATTTGTCTGCCACGCAGACATGGCGGACGCGCTCAACAAGGCCAGGGTCGCCAGGATCCTGGGTCCCAAGGGCCTGATGCCAAACATAAAAAACAAAACTATCACGAAGGATATCAAGAGCACCATGCAGGATATGGCTGGTGCCGAGGAGTACAGGGAGCGGAGGGGTGTGGTGCGGATCGCGATTGGGCAGCTTGGTTTTACGCCTCATATGCTGTCGGAGAATATCAAGACGCTCATGTCGGCGTTGAAGGTGGATATCAGCAATATCGAGGACAGTTACCTGAAGGCGCTAGACGAGGTGGTGCTGAGCTCGACACATGGGCCCGGGTTCAGCTTGAACAGCTTACTGCAACCGACTGATGGGTCTGTGAAACCAGAAGACCTGGTTTCCCCAATGTAAAGCGGTTATGTCTGTATTATAGATGTATATATGTACGTTGCACGGGTTCACTGTGGTTTCATGTGAGGGGCTTTAAAGCGCGTTCATGTGTGGGTATCTCAAATTAAGCGGCCGTTTACTCGGCCATGTCTCAACCGCATTCCTCTACTTTTCCTTCAACACCTTGACGGCATCGGCCTGTGCGTTCAGGGTTCGGTACACCGCAAGATACTTCAAGACTCGCCCCTGCCCCTTTGGCCCGGCTTTCCGCGACTCCTTCAACGCCGTACTGAGGTCCAACAAGACGGTGTTGCGACAGCGCCGCAACCTTTCCTCTGTCTTCCTCACGAATGGAAGGTCTCGCCCAAGGCGGTCCGCCAATTTCTTGGCCAGCACGTATTCGTTCGCCAGAGCAGCCAGCTTCTTCGGGCTACTACTGACAAACCCAGCCCCTTCTTCCCCCCCATCCCCATCCTCATCCTCACTATCCAACGAATCCAAATCACTCCCCCAATCCTCTTCCTCCGTATCATCATCCTCCTCCCCCTTCCCCAACCGCTCCCCATTCGCCACTCCACCTTTCCCCGGCTTCTTCCCCCCCGCCGATAAACTCCCAACCTCCAACCTCCCCTCCAACCCGCCCACCCGCTCCTCCAACTCCAACATCCTCCTCCCCATCTCCACCGCCCCCTTCACCCCCGCCAACTCCCCATTCACCCTCCCCACTTCCACCCTCCTCTCCCTCACCCTTGCCTGCACCTCCTCCACCGCCCTCCTAAACCCCAACAACGCAACCCTCACATCCTCCACCTTATCCTCCCCGCCCTGCAATTCATCCCCCAGTCCCAAAAACGCCGTGTAATTCGCGTTGACCAATTCCAACAACTCGGCGCTGATGGCTGCGCTGCGGTCGCGCAGTTCGGACCGCAGGTCCTCGAGTGTTTGGTGCCGTGCCGCGGGCCCGCCGGTGTGCAGCGCTGAGAGGTAGGCGGCGGCGTCGAAGGTGGGCGCGAGGAAGTCGGCGCGGGAGAGAGCGGCGGGGAAGGGGAGGAGACTGCCGTCGTCGGAGTCCGAGTCAGAGTCAGAGTCGGATGGGGCACGGTTGCCGCCGTTGGTGTTGGATCTGTGGGAGGGGAGTTCGTAGGTTTGGGAGCTGTAGGAGTAGGAGGAGGGTGGGCGGGAGGATGGAGAGGGGAGGCCGAGTTGGGCCATGTTTGTGGGGGATGTCGTCAAGCTGAAGGAGGTCGAGTATTTTCCTGCAGTTACTCGGCTTACTCGGTTGTTGTAGGCCCGGTTATCCCCCCGACCGGTATTACTGTTTTGGTGAATGTGTCGCGAGTTTATGGGCAACTTCGGAAATCATTGAAAGTGGTGAACATTTCCTGGAGCTTCAAGCCAGGTATTGCTTGGCGGGTTGGTCCGTGCGCTGAAGCCGCCAAACCGCGACGCTCGATCCCATTGGGCCTCCCCAACGACTGCTTGTTCTTCTCAGGTCTGATTGAAGGGGTTAGCCAACTGGGCAGCCCGTAGATAGATCAGCAAAAGATAGATGCGACGCTACGAGACTCAACATATTTCGGATATCGACGGTGCTCCGACCGTAACGCCCTTGCTAAGCCGAACAAGGGCTCATAACTGAGCACATTAACAAACAGGGCCATGCTTGACAAGGTCAAGTCTTGGTTCCATGACACATGCCAAACCAAATGCCCTTTGCAAACTCAAAATCTCCGACATCGCTGCTGTTAAGTGTTGTCCACGGAGCCATTCAAGAACTTCCCCACGGCGAAGCCTTGAATTGTACGACTTCGCCTAGCCAGCCATCGCATTCCTGTTGAAGCTCGCAGGCGCTTTCGCGGACCTCGGGTACACACCCGGAGATACCCTGACGAGAGTGCAGAATCGGGTCCACTCAGACTGCGCTTATCCTGTTTCAGCCTAGTGGATAAAAATTATCTTATCAATCAGTGCTTTCGATCAGCATCTCGTCCCTTCCCCCTTGCCGAATCGCAGGCCCCAGTCGAATGTGCGCTTCGGGGACTCATCCGCCCTCGCTGCCGGAACTCACTTGATCCGCCGGTCCTCGGTCAGGCCATTTCTCGAAGTTTTCATCCGTTTCCACTTCCATGACGACAACCATCACACTCGGCATCATCACGCTTGACATATCGCTTCTTCCAATCCGCCAATTTCCAACTTGCGTTCAACTCCAAGGTTTCAATTGCGGTAGTTACCAAACACTCAAAAAACACCCGATCCCAACTTTCAACGCCCGGCCGAGTTCTTCTTGCGGTCGTCTAGGACTGCAAGTGCGGGGTTGACTTTAACTACCCATTTAACTTAACATTTGCATCCACGATCAACACCTGTCTTAGAGCCACCACAAAGAACAACGGTATATTCGCGGCTTATTTTCACCATACTAAAATTCAACCGCGGTCTTTGTTGCGTCGGCCGTCAAATCACTAAATTTTCGATTGCCGAGGTGCCTTTGCCAACACCGGTGGAATTTGCGATATTTTGTCTTTATTTTCGTCTCACTTTACCATTGGTTTTGTTTCTGAAGATACTCAAAATGGCCGCAGTCACCGCGGCCAGTCAAAACTCGGCGCTCGACTCCGGCAAGGCAGATGCAGCCCCGTTGCGAACGCTGTCCATCACAACCACACGGAGCCACGAAGTTTCGAGTTCCGGCTCTAGCCCCGCTTCAGCCACATCGCCTTCATTCGCCCCCACTCCGACTTCTTCAACCTCAGCTGTGCCGACAATTGCCATTCGTCCGAATGCATCCGCGAACCCTTCCTCCGGCAACTCCTCCGCCATGAACAGCAGACCCGGCTCATCCGCCGTGTCAACGGCCGCAATGTCACTGCCAAAAACCATGTGCATGACCACCAAAGAATGGGTCATCCCGCCACGGCCGAAGCCCGGCCGGAAACCGGCCACCGACACGCCCCCGACAAAGCGCAAAGCCCAGAACAGGGCCGCGCAAAGGGCATTCCGGGAGCGCAGGGCGGCCCGTGTCGGCGAGTTGGAGGAGCAGATCGAAGAGGACAAGGCCAGCCATGATCGGACCGTTCGGGAATTGCAGGAACGAATCAGCGACCTCGAGGTTGAGTCACAGACCCTTCGTTCACGATGCCACTGGCTGGAGTCAATGTTGGAAAAGGAGCGACAGGGACGTGGCAGCACGGCGAGCAACTGGGACAGTCAACAGCAGGATCTGGAAACCCCAACACCACGGCCTCAACCTCCAGCGCCGACTCCTCTCGATACCGCAACACGCCACATGCCCGTCGCCGGGCCGAGACCCGTGGCTCAGCCTCTGTCCATCTCCCAAATTGTTTCCCCCACGGATGAACCGTCCCTTGGGGACCTTACCTGCGGTAGCTGCCAGCCTGCCAGTGGATCGTGCGCGTGCGCAGATGAAGTCATGCAAAACGCGGAGCTTACTTTGGGATGCGGCAAGTGCTCGGTGGGCACGGCATGCGAGTGTTTGGAGGAAACCTTGAAGGCACCGATTTCGGGCTCGGATTTGAAGCGGCCGCCGAGCGCACCCCCGTCCACGTTACCAGAAGACAAGCGACAACGTTCCGACCCCGATATCATCATGGAAACGGATTTCACGGCCATGTTTGCTTCGCAAACCAATAGAGACGCCGCACCATCTCATTTCCAACCCCCTATGGCCTCCATTGAACCTCGCGATGCCTGTGGCTTCTGCAAGGATGGCACGTATTGCGTGTGTGCGGATGCCATGATGTCGCCCGCCTCACTGCCAGCACCGGCCGGCGAGGTCACGGGCAACAACACCCAAACCCGCACTCCGCCACCATCCGACAACGATGTCACTCCTATCACACTAGCTTCTATCGCCCCCACGCCAATGGAAGTCACGGCCACCGGCGCCATCAAGCTCCCCAGGCTCCGCTCGCTCCAGCAACGCCAACAGAAGCCCAACATCCCCCGACCACCAGCCGCCCAACCTAACAGCGGCTGCGGTCCCAACGGCCCGGGTACTTGCGCGCAATGCATAGCAGATCCGAAATCCGGCCTCTTCTGCCGCTCTCTCGCGGCAAACTTCCAAAAGAACAATCCCGGCGCTGCCGGTTCAGCAGGTGGGTGTTGCGGCAATGGTGGGCCAGGGGGATGCTGCAAGTCTACCTCCACCCCCTCCGCACCACCTACGTCTCTACGACCCACACAGCAACAACCCGTCACCCTCCCATCCATAATCCCCGGCCCCAACTCCGAGCCCGCCGCCCCAGGCCTCGGCCTCAGTCTCTCCTGTGCCGACGCCTACAAGACCCTGTCCAGCCACCGCTTCTTCGACGAAGCGGCGGATGATATCGGGTCCTGGCTGCCCAAGCTGCGGGCGCTACCTATACCGCGGCCGTCGCATCCTCATGCGCTTGGTAGCAGGGCAACGGGGTTGAATGCGCCGGGGCGCGCTGGGTGTGGGAATGGGGAGCGGCTGGCGCCGATTGAGGTGGAGGCTGCGAGTATTATGAGCGTGTTGAAGGACTTTGATGTGCGGTTTGGGAGGGGGGAGTAAGGGATATGAAGTCGAGATGGGGGTAGTTCATCCTGTTTCATCTACGCTGGTGTACATATTGGGTCGGTTGCTTCATTTGGGTGTAGACATCTCTCAAATGCGAGGAGATAAGACGGCTCCAGCGGGGAGCGCGGGAACCAGGAAGCAACCCTGGGAGAGCAACCCTACTCAACCAGGAAGATCAAGAAAGGAAAGGAGGGGTTGCACCCGGGGAACCATCCCAACCGCCCCGGTGCAGGACGGGAAAGTCATGTGCTTTGACATCCATCCACCCACCCCAGCAGCAGAACAAGTTCGAAAAGAGAACACAAAACAGTGACAATTAAAAAGAAACCCGCATGGCCCGCCTCATAACCCTGAAAATGTATCGCAGCAAGTGTGAGGAGGAGGGAGGACTGGTTCGTTTCTTTGGTTGTGCGCTCACCAAAACCTCATGCGGCCCCTCCTGCGGCCGGACCAACAAGCTAGCTATCTTTTTTCTTCCCACCTGTTCCCTGTCCCGTTCCATGTTTCCAATTCTAATGTAGTGTATCATGATCTCATCCTGGATGGACATCGAAGACTGGGTCTTATCGCAGTTGGCGCCGGGAAAAGGGCAGAGAAGAAAAAAAAAAACAGGAAAAAGAACACCATTCCCGGTATCACTTTGCATAACACATCGCATCACGCGGGTTGGGGATTTTGTGACGGGTTGGGTCGGCCCGGGCTTGCCTTTGAGATGAAATGAAGTGAGGTGAGGTGAGATAAGATGAAAGTTGAGGCGAACGAGAGAATTTGTTGGTTGGGGGGGGGTGTAATTAGTTCGGGAGATGTCCATTCTCATTCATGTACATACATATGGATGTTAGTTAGTCTGAGTTTGGCGGGGTTGAGCCGTGGTGAGAATTAAGAGAGGGGAAGTGAGGGGGTTGTGCAAATAATTAGTTTATTTAATGATGTGCATAAATTTGGTGGGTGACGTTTTCGAAAAGTCTAGGGAATTGAGAATGGAAAAATAGGAATTAGTTATTGAATTGGGTTGGGATGTGTAACGTTTTCTAACAGTTTCTGCCACTTCTTAATTACGATGTGTGTTTTTTGTTATTAAAAGGAGAGTGGGCTCTTGTTCAGGTATTTTGTATTCTTGTATTTTGGTCGGACCCAGACGCCAATGGAAAAAAGATAGAATACACTGAGGATCGATAAAACAAAATAACTTCAGAACTAAAACTAAAAAGAGGGGTGCACTAAAAATGGTTTCTGCCGCAAAATCCCTCGATCCTGCAGGTCAATGAATGCAGGCATAGATTACAGATTATGCTAAGCACTTTGGGGTCACATCTCCATGTATTGCAACGTTCTTAGTTTAGTTGACGATGGGCAAAGCCTTGCATGGTTTGTCATGCCACACGGGCACTCCTTTTTTCTGATCCCCCGGGGCTCATGTCGCACATCGTCGCATAGGGCAGCAGATGAGATGGTCTCGGAAAGCCCGAGGGCCCCAAAACCGCCACCATTGTGATTGTGCTGTGTGGTTCTTCTGATAGGCATGACTGCGCGTATGACTTACCTGGCAGCGTCACAGCGTCCCTGAGAACAATGTGGCTTTTTGAATTGGGTCTCGGGTCAAGGGACAAAGCCGACCGCAGCCCTGCTGATTGACGCTGTACCTACTTCGTACCTTCGTAGATTTGCTGAAAAGGGGTTCCATGACGATCACGAGTGACGTGGTCGGCTGGGTTGGCTTGTCCCTAGCTTGCGAGCGCTCAACACAAGCGCTTTGCCTCCCTTGCTGTCCGTCTGTTCACTCTACAGTGGCTGACCGGTCAAGGCTTTGCGCGGTGCGGTGGGACGTGAGAGTTATCCCGAATGCGAAGTCATGATAGGCGCCGCTCGCCAGGACGGCATCGGGAAGCGACAGCCAATGGAAAGCAGCAGGGCGCTTGATTCAGAAGCTCCGGGTCCGAGTCTTGATGCGCGGGGTGGAAGGAAGGGGGAACAAGTTCGAGGAGTGAGGGAGGGGGGAAGTTGGGTGTCCCGGACCGATCCTTTCGTGCTTCTCCGGCATGCTAACCGGGCGAGCCAGGGCAACATCGGGGGGGAGGGTCAGAGAAAATCGCGCCTGCAAGATCTCGGCCGTTGCGATTCGACGGGTTCAATACCACGGTTGCACCGCACCCTTCCCTTCTTCAGCTTACTTGCTTTGAGGAATCGATCAGTTCTGAGTGGGACCAGATCACGGCACTCAGGGTCCCACATCCGTGGTCAACTCCGGCTTGCTTGTGGCTCTGTGCCTTGTCCCACCTGACCCGGTTGCGGCAGGAAGCGGTAAGTCAGAAGAGACGCAGTCAGCGACATGGGCGTCATGGGTGATGGCGACAGACCTCGGCTGGGGCTCGGGCGAGCAAGCGAGCCAGAGAGCGAGGAAAGAAGCGTGGGGAAGAAGAGACCAAGCACCGTCCCTGACATTGTGAGGAACTGGACAACTGGAGAAGAGAGGGCAAAGGTGTCTCCCATGCTTCCTTCTTGCTCATGGAGACGCCGGCGTCCTGCCGGCAAGAGGCGAACGGGAGAGGCAAGGTCTGGCTGGCGGAACTTGATTGGTCGAGAGGTCGCTGCGTTGGCATACCGGGCTGCCGGGGGGGTCGTTCGGTCGACGGGGTCGACGACGCAGGCGGGTTCCGTCCTTGTGGTTTTGGGTCGTGGACGGCGCAGATTGGACGGCTGGCGGCGTGTCGGCTCTGAAAAATGGGTCTCCGAGCAGAGAGAAGGCGGGGTGATCTGCAAGGCCAGCGCAGCGGGGCTGTGGCCTGGAAGTGACTTCCTGTTCCTTGCCCCTCCTTGTTAAACATTGGCGGGTTTAACCTTTTTGCGGGCGCCTGCTCCTGACCGACAAGACACCACTGAAGGCCTCGTATGAGAAGGCCGCGGACGAAACGTACCACTTCGCGGTTTCGTTACTTGGTGACTTTACAGCGAGGAGTGGTCGTTTCGTGGTAAATCAGGTCTTGGCCTTGACACTTTAGGCGCTGCGCGAAGTCTTTGGTCCTTTTTTTTTTTTCGGTTTTGTTTCTGGGCCGGTTGAAGTGGTGAGCTGGCGATTTGGTAGGCTGCTTCGGCTTGGGCCGTGAGCGACTCGGTTACTTTGTTTCCTTTGTCCGAAGTACCTTGCCCCCCTTGCTGATGGATGGTTGGGTGGATGGAAGGATGGATGGGTGGACGGCGAGAAATCGCCGAGGCCTGAAGCAGGTGATCAAGGCCCGTCGCGCGTCGTAGAAAAGCAGGACATCAGACGCGTGGGACGCCGAAACAAGCTGAATAGCTCAGATTTCGACGTGTGTGGCTTGAGTCACCGAGCCGAGGGTCGCGTCGGGCTTCCATCGGGCCTTCGAAAAACGAAGGCGACCAAGTTCCAAGATTACAAGCACGGGACCGGGCCGCAGCTATGCACACCCGAATGAGAGGGAAAAAAAATGAGGGCTCGATGTTCGTGCGAGGGAGCAGATGCACAGCGCTGCGGTGCTGCGGCTCGCCGGCCAGCTCACAGGTCACTGGCCCGCTATTTGCCAGGCTGGAGAGGGAGGATGGGAGGGGCACCGAAGATGTAGACAACTACTGGTGGGAGACTCAGTGGAAGACCAGAAACGCGATGCGGGACGAAGCAGAATGTGAGAGGAAACAGGGATTAGGCGTGGCAGATGAACAGCCCAGTGGCTTGTCCCACCCCAGTTGCAGCCGAGTGCATGGGCCAATTCGGCCACCAAGAGCGTCCCTATCAGGCTTAGCGTCCGCTTGGCCTGGGCGGGCGGCTGGCTGTCCCTTACCCCACGCTTCGAGGTTCAAATGGTGGACATCAACACGGAGCAAGGCAGGAAGCTCCTGCTGTGCTTGCACTCGCGTTCGCACTTCCTTGCACCTTCTTGCATTCAGACGAAGCTGTGGGAAAACAAGTTTCTCTCTCCCTCTCTTCTTTCTCCTTTGCTGACGCAAATCTGTATTTTTTTCGTGTCTCCCGCTCAAGAGGCAGCCTGCAACGTCATCTGGTACCTTGGTCAGATATTAGACGACCCTGAAGACTCTCGCTGCTCCTTTTTCCGACGATACAATGTCACCGCGGGACGCCTGAACCTAGCTCTTGGGTCGCAAGCCGGCCGAAGCCAAAACCAAACTTTTTCCCCATCGCAGTTCCAATTCTCAAGCGCGCACTGTCCGTCCATCCCAACGCTCCGTACCAACAAACAACCAACATTAGACGACGACAAAGTACATAACACCATCACCGTCCGATCTGCTCCCGTAGCACCGAACCTCCTATCACTACCTATACCATCCGTCTGGTAGCATATGGGCGACCTCAGTCGCCACCTCGACTCCCCTCATGGGCCCATTATGATATCCATGCAGCGTTCCCTCTCGTCGCCAGTCGCCATTCAACCGTCGCCGCGTATGTTGGGACGATCACTCATCGCCAGAGGCCAGCCTTCCATAGGGTAGTCGCAATGCTGACTTGTTCCGTTCCAATCACAGCCCGCTCGGCCCCGGCCTCGCGATCGCCGACCCCGTCCCCTTCCGACAACAACCATGTCGAGATCTCCCGCCCACGTCGGCTCCGCTCCCGGAGTCCGACTCGCTCCGCCAAAGAATCGATGAACGGTACTAGCCGCCGCAACAACGATGACCTGTCCCGGCGACCATCCGTCCTCCACATTCCAAGCTCGGTCTCCGCCCGCAGCAAGCCCATTATTGACCAACCGAGCGCCCCCCCGGCCGCGCCGGCACCGAACGATTCATCCGACAGCCTCGAGGGTAACGGGTTTCCTTCGTCCCTGGCGGATGACAAGCATGGCAACATGAGATTTTTGCGGCCACTGCTGACCGATGTGTCACTGTACACAAACCCCAATCTCGGCCCGGAGGCCGAGGGCACGAGCCTGGGTGAGCTGGCGCATCTTGTGCGACTCTCAAAGTACCAGGAGCGCAAGCGCGCAAACACAAGGATCCGCCTCCAGCGGAATTTGGTATCCACTGCCCTGTCTGCCCGGTTAATGAGATGCGGTGAGATGGCCCATCGCAACCTAGTGGACGGCTTCCGCGGCGACAACAAGAAGACTTTTGGTGCCTTGTACAACGCCGTCATCGATGTTCGGAGGAGTTGCGACGAGACACGACGTTATGCCGTGCTGGAGCTGGACATGGAGCTGAACCAGAGCACCGGGCTGACTTCGTCCGAAAGTTTGGACACCCCGACTGGATCCCTGAACGGGGCAACCCCATCTCCGGACGCCGTGACCCCCTTTTTGAATGACGTTTCCCCGTCTTCCCGAGAGACGATTTTAAGGTTCCTCAACCAGATCAGGACAAACCCTGATTATTTGGCTACCCGCATTGCATCGCTCAAGAACTCGGAACTCACAGCTCTCACGAGCTTTCATCAGAACCTCGAGGCGATTGAGTCCGTGCTCCCTTACCACGGTGGTCGGTCGTCCGGCCGCAGTGTATCGGGGAGTTCTGTGCTCCCTGGGTCTAGCAGCAATGCCGGGAGCGGAGCAACCAAGGAGCGCAGCGCGATCGAGCGGCTGCTATCCTTCCAACGCCATGATCCCATTTCGGCCCTGATCTACACCTGCTTTGCTAACTCTGCGGGCCCTGACAGCGCCGAGGACAAGCGCCGGACCGTGGCGTGGGCCAACGCCTGCGCACGCCTCATCTCTACTCCGTCGACCGGCAGCGAGCAAACCGTCATTTCGGTCCTCAATGTCTGGGTCTCGATGCGTGACTGGGCTGGTAAGTCCAACATGGAGTGGTACCTCATGAAGATCTTGGAAGACGGAGCGTTCCTCCTGGACCGTGCCGAGGACCAGCACGGAACCCGCTTCAACATGTCGGATTGGTCGTCCAAGGACCAGATTGCTGCCGAGGAGTTCTACACCAAAGCCGTGGAGGAATTGTTCGAGGTCATCGACGACGAGGATGCCACCGGTATCCCAGAAGGCCTGCTGGAGCTGGGAAATGAGCTCCTCAAGCGCCTCGACAAGAGAGTCGCCGAGACGACCCGACGTTGGCTCATCGCGAAATACATGTTCACCGTTTGGCTGCTCGGCGTTGTTATCCACCCGGAGGCATACGGCATGATGGCCGAGTACCATATCACCGAGTACGGACGGCAAAAGATCCTCAAGACCGTCGCCATGCACGCGCAGAAATACGTCGTGGATATGCTGCAGAGCATGACCCCCGTGTCCACGCCGACTAAGATCAAGGGCCATATCGAGAGCATTTACAGCCGCTTCAAGGACCCATCCAAGTTTCGAAAAAAGCCCAGGCTCCTCCCCGTGCGGTCCATTACCTCGCTCCGGGAAACAGCTGAGGTCCGGCCCTATTTGGTCATCAGCCCCGCCGACCTTGCCACGCTGGTCAACGCCCTTTTTCCCGAACGCAGACCCCGATCTGCCCACTCCAGCGGATTCCGTTCCGGTGCGCCCTCCGTTTCCGGATTCTCTGCCATTTCACAGCCCATGTCTATCCGGACTGCGCCGAGCACCTTTGACACCATGTCCGTCTTGAGTACCAGTGCCGAGTCTTCGTTCAGCGACGCCACAACATCTCGGGAACCCCTTTTGGATGAGGAAAGCCCACACCGGCATTCCCCATCCGCACCGGAGCCGCCGAAACCCAACAACTACGAGGAGGACGGGTACCATCTCCGGTTGGCCATTCATGAGATGACACAGGTTTTGGGCCAGGAAGTTGTGCACGGGTCATGCCACCCGTGCGCCGAGCGATGGTCTGTGTTGTTCATCTCGCCCGACGGGAACAGGCTCTCTACCCACATGACTTTTGATCCGGACGAGGAAGTCGGGGAAGAGAACTCTTCGGACACTAGTGACACAGAGGGCGAGGACACTGACGAGGGACGCCCCGAGCTGAGCAAGGATTACCACCAGCTGCGGGATTCTATTCTGAAGTTAGTGCAGGACTATGAGATCCCCCAGAGCCTGGAAAACGATGGTGCCCAGCAGCAAACATTCAGCAACCGAGCCTCTACTCTGAAGAAATACCGGAACAAGAACCGGATCATTACCACCATGGGAAGCCGGAACCCCTACCGCCAACGGGCGGCTAGCATCGCGAGCAGTATGGCTGAAAGCCCCCCGAAAAGCCTGAAAGGAAAAGAGACCGACCAGGCCGCGGACAACTCATCGCCGCTTATCACTATGTTGTCCGCAGCCTGCTCACAGTCCCGCGCGCAGTCAGATTTTGTTAACGCGCACCTTTACTGGAGGACCCTCCAGCAGCTCAATGCCCTGAGCTCGGAGTCACTGCGTCGCGAGGGGTTTTCCGCACTTCTCAACATCTTTTCACGTGGCCCTAAGGATTCCATCCGCCGCTCAGCAGCCGCCATCGAAGAATATGACGCGTGGTTGGTCTGGCTCAAGCAAAGCCAGGAGCGGGCCGAAAGCCAAATTGAGAGCATGATGCGCCGGCTGCGGTCGCTACGCGACAAGATGTGGTATGTCACGGATGTGCGAAACTCGGCCGCATATGAAGACTCGCGCAACGTCGCGGCAGCACTTAAAACCATGGGAACGCCTCGGAGATGGGCGTCATTCCAGCGCGTCAAAAACCACATGCAACGTGGGCCTGCCTCCAACTACCTCTTCCGGACCGAATCCCAGATCCTGGAACTCTTGGCAGCACCGGAGGATCAAGGCGGCCCCAACAAGCTCCGTGACGAACAAGCCGAGAAGACGGGCCGCTGGCTCCAGCAGTCAGGGGTGGAGAACTTTTGCCAGGGCGAGGAACGCATCCATCGCTTCTGCTGTGAGCTGGACAACTGCGTCAGCAAACTCGTCGGTGACAGCATCCAGGACGGGCCGGTGTTGTGGTCCAGTGAGCTCTTTGCCCGAGACCGACGGGCTTTCGAAACGACAAGCAAGACCACACGCGGGAGAGACCAGGACAACCAGTCCGTGTGGGACGATTCAATCAGTGTCATCAGCGACCCTGACCGCCGGTACGTGTCGGTCAGCCGTCCGGCTTCCATTAACAGCCGGGATTTGAGATCCCTCTCCGGCAACAACATGAGCACAATGTCTTTTGAGTCGAGCCGCTTCAGCTACTCTCGCGCCAGCACAGCTATGTCCGAAGTCCTGGACGGGTCCGAATACTTTGGCGCTTCGTCTCCGGTCCACCAGATTGACCCCAACGCAACCTTCTGGTCACCCTTCCAACACCGGGCCACCTCTCCCAGCGCCACGTCCCGAGCGCATTCCCCGACTACCAGCCTGACGAACCTATCAAGCACCTTCTTCCCGCCGCACCAACAGCAGCCCCCAGCTCAAGCCCATTCATCCACCAGCCGGCCCGGCACCTCTGTCTCATCCAACGAAACGGTGTACCAGCAGCGCCAATCCGATGAGAAAACCCGCTTCCTTGCCGAGCTGCGGCAGACCCTGACCAGCCTCCTCCTCTCCGACCTAGGGAACCTTGTTTTTGCCCGCGGATCAGAAACGGACGCGTGGTTCGAAGGCCTGGGCCAGGAGTGCATCGACCGCCGAGAGGCAATCCAGCGGCGTGCGCGTAAAGCGCAAGCCAAGGATAAGCGCAGGTCTGCCAAGTCCGGTTTGAAGCAGCGATTCCTCGAGCAGAACCGCAGCTTTGGCGATGTTCGCGCAACTCTAGTCCATCAAGATGGATTGAGCGACAAGGCGCTTTCCGACACCCAGAGTCTCGGCCCAGAAGGGGCTGGCGGTAGTCAGCGTGGGAGCCAACGCGGGAGCCAACGCGGCAGTGTCTACGGCGGCAGCATCCACGGCAACGAGAGCTCGGGGACTAATGACACCATCTCGGCCCGGAGGCACAATCAGGAATCCCGGAGAGAGTCCTTGCCCGACTTCCCTTTCACCAAGGCCTACCAGAGGCTCCTCAAAATGTTCTGCGTTCATCCGAACCCACAAGTCAAACTCAACGCGCTCTGCGAACTGGAACATCTCATCGCGGCCTCACTCAGCTCGGGTTCTCGGCGTGCCCGCCTAGCTTGGGCACGATCTGATATGGGCTCGGCATCCTCTGCGACGGACGAGCATGGCACTGGCGGCACAAGTCGTCCCCAGCCCCTGGAAGAGACCATCGACAATGTCAAGGAACGCCGCTCCCAAACACTGATGCAAGCACCCAACTTTGGTACCGGCGCTCAGACCGGCCGGACTCCAGGTGGCAGTGGCAATGCCGAGACTCGCTCCATCGCTTCTGTTTTGCCTGCCAACAGCGACGCAGTCGCCAACATTCTTCAGGCTCTCTTCCGTGACCCGGCCCTGCGCCCGAAGACGCTTTTCCGCGACCTGCAATTCATCTCGGCGTTTTGTCCCCCGACCGTGCTCGACAAGACGGAGAAGGGCAAAGCATTCTGGGACGCCGGCATTGCCGCTTTGAGCCTCAAGCAGGAAGTCTGCCGTACTATGATCGAAGTTGCCGATGAGATTGTCAAGAACGAGGCACAGTCCCGTACAGCAGCAGCCATGGCCGCCGCAGCGAGTATCGCGAACAACAACGGACCGGGCAGCACCGCGTCTGACTCTACCGTTAACACGCCCACCACTGAACACCCGCCTGGGTCTATCCCACCGCTCTCACCACCGCCTCCATCCCCTCCCTCGCCGTTGCCGTTGTCCAGACATGCCCTTGCGGACGCCGCCACGATGTGGGCCCTCACCGCGAGGGAAGGAGATCCCACAGCCCAGCGCGAGCTGGCCCTCTTTTCAATGACTTATCCCGAGTTGGCGCCGCGGACGTCGTTGCCTTTGTCTAAGCCCCGGGAGGTGTTCAAGCCAGCCGTCATGGAGAAGTATGGCAGTAGCGGTGGGTCGAGGTATCACCAACATATGCAAAGTGACAATGGTGGGTTGGGATCTGGAGGAGTTGGCGGTTCTGGGATTGGAGGCGGTAGTGGTGTCGATGGGGGTGGGGGTGGAGGAAAGGAGGATGTGAAGAGTGATCCTGCGCTGATGTGTCTCGCTATCCATTGGATGGAGGCGGCGGAGCGTGGGGGGGATGAGTTGGCGCGGGCTTTCATGGCGCAGGAGGTTGGAGCGGGATTGAGGGGTTGATGGATGGATGATTTATGGCGGTGGTGATGATGGATGACTTTGGGAGGGAATGCACGCATGCTGGGCTTGCTTGGAGGGGATGTGGAAGCGAGGATTTTGCATCATATTCCTGGATCTTGGATTCTTCCCCCTTTGGCTGGATCCGCCTTTTTTCTTTTCTTTTTTTTCTCCTCATTCCTTTCCCTTTTTTCGGCTATGATGATACCTGATGCATTTTTCTTCTTCGCGATACCTAAGTCATGACCCATTGTTTTCGTCTCTTGCCTGGATTGGCCCGGCTGGATAGAAAATAGTTGCCTGTGCCTCATCTTTATGGATGCTGGATGTTTTTTTTTCTAGGACGGAGAGAGAAAGAAAGAGATGGACGGTGGAGGAAGATGGGTTGGTTACGCTCAGGTATACACGATTGGGGCTCGCTCATAGACTTTTTGAAACGGGATTTCTGGATAGATACCATACCCTAGCATTCTTGTTGTTGCTGATGTTTTGATGTTTCGAATGCATACAAACTATTTATTTTTTGGGGTGAAACTGTTTACAGATCTTGTTCAGCGGGCGATTGTGACGAGGGATGTTTACGACAGGAACAATTTTGCAAAGTGGTGGCTAAACGTCTTGAAATTATATTTCAGGGATTTGGTGCATTCCTGGGGTTGGACGAGTTGGCAGTCGCGCTATGAATACCTACCAGAACCGACGCGTCAAGAAACGCGTCAACGACGAATGTGATGGTGAAGCGAGTAAAATACGAGTTACATGGAGAGCAATTAGTATTGGAGAAAGCCCACACTCAATATTCACTTGTTCTCCCACAAAATTCCTTCTCCATGTCGCGACAATAGCAGCGATCACAGCGAAAAGAAAAGTTGTTTGGGTTGATAGCAAAAATTCCGACCGGAACGGCCCCGAAGGACAATTCAGAGTGACGGACTCCGCGATGTGCAATGCAGGTCTATCGTCCTGGTACTCCTGCTTCATGATCCAGGTGCACCCAATCAAGGTAAGTATGAAGAAGAGAAAAGGAAAAGAAAGGAGCAAGAAGGTGGTCGGCAGGAGATTAATTTATACTTGGGGCTGGATGGTCTGTGCACGTCCGCAACATGCAGTTGCTGGGCTGGTGGATATTCTGGTGCTGGCTGCTTAGGTAATCTATCACCCCTCCATGCGAAGTTGACGGGCCGGGGCGGTCTGCGCGGCAGAAAGTGTGCCCCGCAGTTTGAGTCACTCTTTTCGCGGCAGATTGACCAGGGTTCAGGGCCGAGCCATGGCAAAAGTTCACCAACCGAACGGTGGGCAATGGTTTGGTGTTGACAAGTTTCTCAAGCACTTGTAGACCCAATTCCCCTCAAAGGGCTTGAATACCCCTCCCCACTGTCGAGCAAGGTTCATTGCCAAAATGCCGACCATCAACGTCGACAAGTACGCTCTTTTCGAGGAGCTAGGTGAACAGTAAGATCAATTACCCCGCCATGACCCTGACGCATGTTCCATACATATCAAGATGCCACGGCCGTGTCTAACGCGTCCTATTACTCTAGGTTCACCGAGGACAGCTTCCAAAAACTATGCTTCGATTTCGGCATTGAACTTGACGGGGATACCGAAAATGACCCGTCACGCCCCAAGGATCAGGTCCCCGAGCTGGCCATCGAGATCCCCGCCAACCGATACGACATGCTGTGCTTCGAGGGTAGGTTATTTTGGGGACTGGTGGGATTTTCAAGGAAAGACTGCGTGTGCTAAGACAATGTGGATCATAGGCATTGCGCTACACCTGAACATTTTTAGGGGCAAGCAGCCAACACCAAATTGGAGGCTCGCTGATATCCCGGAGGACAAGCTGCAGACCCTCACCATCTCGGACAGCACGGCGCAGGTCCGCCCGTACGCGGCTGCTGCTATTCTTCGGAACATCAAGTTCACGCAAGCGTCCTACGACTCCTTCATCAGCCTTCAGGACAAGCTGCATCAAAACCTGGCGAGACAGCGTACCCTGGTCGCGTGAGTGTGGTTCCCGATTTGATGTTGTTGTGTTGATCGGAAACCACATGTGTGCTAACGCTCCTCCTGGCCGGCAGCATTGGTACGCACGACCTCGATACCATGAAGGGCCCGTTCACCTTTGAGGGGTTGCCACCAAAAGACATCAACTTTGTCCCCCTGAACCAGACCACGGAGATCAACGGCACGGAATTGATGGAGTTCTACGAGGCGGACAGGCATCTGGGCAAATACCTCCACATTATCCGCGACAAGCCGGTATACCCCGTGATTCTCGACGCCGACCGGAATGTGTGCTCGTTGCCGCCTATCATTAACAGCGAACGAACCAAGATCTCGCTTGGGACGCAGAATGTCTTCATCGAGATGACGGCGACGGATCAGACGAAGCTCGATATTGTCTGCAACATTATGGTGACAATGTTCTCCAAGTACTGTGCCGAGCCCTTCGTGATCGAGCCAGTCAAGATTATTTCTGAACACAACAACGTTTCTCGCCTAACGCCGAGCTTGACGACCCGGATGATGGAAGTGGAGGTCGACTACCTGAACCAGCTTTGTGGCCTCACGGAATCGGTTGAGTCGATAGGCAAGCTTCTGACCAAGATGGCGTATACCACGGAGCCGTCAACAGACCCGAAGAAGGTTAAGGTGTTTGTTCCGCCAACAAGAGCGGATGTGCTACACCCTTGCGATGTGGTGAGTGCAATCGCCTCCTTTGCTGTGTTCTTTGGCACTCGCTAATAATTTTTAGATGGAAGATGTCGCCATTGGCTACGGCTTCAACGACCTGCCCCGGTCTTCCCCAAACAGGTCCGTAACAGTCGGTAAGCCGCTGATGATCAACAAACTCAGCGATATTGTGCGCCACGAATCCGCCATGGCTGGCTGGGCCGAAGTCATGCCCCTCATCCTCTGCTCACACGAAGAGAACTTTGAATGGCTCAACCGCAAGGATGACGGGAAAACGGCAGTCCGCTTGGCAAACCCAAAGACAGTCGAGTACCAAATCGCGCGGACATCACTCCTCCCCGGGTTGCTCAAGACCCTCAGCGAGAACAAGGCGCTACGCCTGCCACTCCAGATCTTCGAGTCCTCGGACGTCGTCTTCAAGGATGAGTCGGTCGAGCGCCGGGCGCGGAACGAGCGTCGTTGGGCAGCGGCATACTACGGCAAGACGAGCGGTTTCGAGATCGTACATGGCCTATTGGACCGCGTCATGACGATGCTACGGGTCGCCTTTGTCACGCATGAGGAAGGACTCGAGGGAAAGAGCATCGACTTCAAGGTCTCGGAGAACCCGAGCGAGAAGGACGGGTACTTCATCAAGGAGATTGATGAGCCTACTTTCTTCAACGGGCGCGCCGCGGCCATCTGGGTGCGGCTTGGCGGGAAGCTGCAGCGGATTGGCGAACTGGGTGTGTTGCACCCGACGGTGCTCGACAAGTTTGATCTGAGGTAAGCAGTGTGCTCCGCGTTTGGAATATCATTTCTCTCTTTCTCTAAACACATCCGTCGTGTATTGGTATGCTGACAAGTTCATTTGACAGGTACCCGGTGAGCACGTTGGAAATTAACCTTGAAGTCTTCCTCTGAGGTGTGTCCTACCTGTCATCCTGCTGTCTAGATTTGGGTTTAATAGCGTGGGACACGGATAAGAGTAAAACAAAACAAAATAGAAAGAGGAATCCATCCTCCCTGATCTTGACATGTTATTGTTGTGAATATCTCATGAGCGGCTCCATACGCGATCTTACGCACTGGAGGAGCTGATATGCTACTGCCGGGTCTATTTTCTTTTCTTTATCTCCCAAGGAAAAGAAACTACACTTCGCTGTCAGCGCGAGGTTTCATCCATCGGCCTCATATGATTCTGCAAAAATTCCCATGATGCGGTGAAGGTTTTTTTGTGAGCTTGTCTACTTTGGTATTTGTGGGTGTGATATTGAGATTAACTAAAACACAACGTGGTCATGTACTCAAAAGCCAAGAGAAAGATCATGACGGAAATATGTAATCATCATGACTTCAATGGACAATAGGATGGATAATCAACGAGATGGAAGACATGAGTGACGCTAGACGTGTTAGGTAAAACAAATGGATTCCACACACCATTCATCTAAGTTGGGATACATGAGAACCTGGAAATGGTGCGATATTTTGGAGAGGGGAAACTTAACCTTTTTCTAATGTAAGCTTATCAACTCATCACCACGACGGGTTGTTCTCGGCGCTGACTACCACATTTGGCCAACTGGCAACTATGATTCCGCATCATGTCTAGTAGCTTATTGTAATTACTTGTTGTGTATGACAAGCGTTCACCACATAAACTACCCTGGTGTTGTGAACGGAGGCACAACTGTGTAATTGACTGAATTAACTGAGAGCAGATAGGAATATCTCGGAGGCTCGGATAATCCATCATGACCGGAGAAGGCCAGCGGGGACTGGACTCTACACGATTACTGTAGGGATTGCTTGGTCAATATCAGGTTGTTGCTATGCCCTATTACCTGCCACAGCTAATTAGATTATGGTTTTCAGTACTATGTAAGTTGTTAGAATATTATGTCGGGTTAGGGTTGTTATTGCCATCAAAACACTGCACAATGTGATCTTACATGGGCGACGACGACAACGTTAAACAAAGCATTTTGAAGTTAATATATTTTGCTTCGCGGCTTCAAGTCTCCTCAGACCTCTCCGATACGCAGGACGCGTGTCCTATGATAGACCACCCTCTGCATTCCCAAATCGGGACCATCACATGTCCTAACTCCGGAGTTCTGACAACCACGCACCCTTCCCGGGGCTTCCTTTTCCTCCCATCTGACAAAACATCCCCGTCTCGTCTCGCCGTCCAATCAAAAACCCTTCCTGGCCGCATGCGACGGACTCTTATTCAGGGGTGTCCAGTCTGCTGGGACGATTGCGGCACCGAACACGCACTAACTCGGAGGGGGCACCACGAGCGAAAGTTCGCGGATCTGGCACTTGGCGAGTCTATCTTGTATCACCCACACTGGGCACTCCGAACGGGTGCAGCCGCACCAGCCCCAAACGAGCAACAAGGCAGAAGTGGCACCCCAAAAAAAACTTTGCCAAGGCAGGATCCGCCCGTTGAAGTTTAATTCTTGTTAACGTTATTCAGCATGGGTGAACGCAACGGACATAAGGCTCAAAAGTCTCCGGCAAACGCCGTGCAGGTCTGGACAAGTTGAAGACGCCCCAAAAAATGATGCAACATCTCCTCTTGGTTTTGTTGATGTTTGGAGAACGGCTTCAAGTCAGCTGACATTACTGTGGGCATATCTCAAGCGCTCAATTATCAGAGCGTCGTCTAAACTCCACAACGAGGAGTTTCTGTAGTGTAGTCCCGTAACAACATGCCAAGTGAATCACTCTGACGACAACGTGAGACAAAGAATGGAAAACAAGAAGCACCACTGAACGGGCGTCTCCCGTTGGCTCTCACCATTCGCCCCTTCCACATGAATCATCTCATCTCACAATCCCAACCCTCGGACGAATGCAAATCTCAAATGTATCCGAGCACACCTCGCATGACCCCTGCAATTTCCTGATGCTGACTGTTTCTGGAACTCTTGGGACCGAAAGCAACCAATCATCAGTCGTGCCAATTCGTCCATGCATCCTTCTCGTCGGTTTTTCGTCTCTGCATTTCGAAACCTCGAGTCTCCGTCGTCCGAGACGAAGCCCAAAGTCCGACAGGAAGAAGGCAAAGGAGAACAGAAAAGAACATCGCGTCGGAGAGATCGACGCCCCGGGCGCGATTCCACATATTGCACCATGTCAGGCAACAACCCCATCTCTGCCCAATTGAACGCGCCATCAATTTCTTATCGCCGACGAGCCACAGAGCCCCATCTCGCAATCAGATGGGACGATCCAGGGAAATAGATCCTGGATTTTTCGCTCCGTTTCCCGAACCCTCTCGGAGACTAACGACCCCTTCCCTTCTTCCCTTTCCTTTCGTTTTTGTCATCCAGTCTAGACACCGGGGCGGTTCATTTTGTCGCTAGTACGTATGGCACCATCTGAGGGGATTCTCTTCCCTTTTCTTCTTTTCCTTTGCGAATTGGTAATTCCCAAAATCCACCCACAGCATAAGTCGCCGAGCAGTATCCGTATGAGCTTGTGTTCGTCCGTCCCAAGTCCAAGATCCAGTCAGCAGCACAGGGCTGAGAAATCCCAATTCTCACTCTTTCGACCGGGGTATGTGGAGCATGCGCGATGGGGGCAAGGAGGAAAAAATACCAGAGGGAATACGCTGTTAGGCTTTCCTTGTCTCACCTCAGCATAACGTCGCACGCTAAACGGGAAAAGGGAAAAGGAAAGCGAAAGTTTAACGTATCGATGCCGTACCTGCTACCAGTAACGGTCGGAGGATGCATTCACAGCCGGCTCTAATCTCCGTGTGGCATTGCTGCAAGAAACATGTGGGCGTGAGAGAGACGGGAGTGGGTAGCTGGGTACTCCCATCTCACAAGGTTCTCATCCCGAATGATCCCACGCGGCGTGGCTCCCCTGCCTCCGCTGCTCGTTCAGCAAACGGCATTTGACGCCCTACGCGGTGCCCGGTCGGTTAGTCAGTCCGTCCGTCCATCAGTCACTCGGTTGCTCAGATCCGAGATCTGTCGTGCGCTCGGGCGATGCATGCATGTATATAAGCCAGCCCGGTGCGCAACACCCTGTGCTCTGTCCTGGCTTGCATGTCTTATATCTCTCTCCATCCAAACCCCTCCACCCCCTCTATCTGAGCTCTTGCTTTGCGGGTTTTGCTGCTTCCTGCGTCACCTACCATTGACGACTTGCGTGTGTCATTACCGTCCAGTCCACGGGTGCTTGACCATTTCCATTCACCCCACGCTGAACCCCCTTTTCGCGTTTACACTATACATTTGCATCATTACCGGTACATAGCCCCAGCACTCGATTGTTTTTGACAACCAGCATGCCATCGCCCACCACACCCGTGGCGGCCGCCCCGGCCGCCCGGTCGTCCGAAACGACGCTGGCCACCGACGCTGGCGAGCGGCCGACCACTGCCGAGAACCCTACCGTCGCGGCCGCTGCTACGACTCCGACGAAGACAACCGCGGTGGGCACCGGCGTCCCCACGCTGAGCCCACCCAAGCCGGCGCACGACGGGGAATACCTCAGCGGCGAGTCGACGCGTGCCGCGTCACCGACGGGGGACGACGAGACTACGGCCACGAAGGAGAAGGTTGTGGAGACTAGTGAGAAGGCGGCCTCGGCGAAGGATGTTGAGGCTGGTGCTGTCAAAGAAAGCGGGGACGAGGGAGAGGAAATCGAATACCCGACCGGCTTGGCGTTCACGTTTATCATTGTGGCGCTGGTGTTGAGTATCTTCTTGGTGTCGCTTGATATGGTATGTCCTCGCCAACCCTAACCCTGGCCTCCCCCTTTACACCAAGTTGACATGGTACTGACAACACCAGACCATCGTGGCCACGGCCATTCCCCGTATTACCGACGAGTTCAAGGGCCTCGAAGACGTCGCCTGGTACGGCTCGGCTTTCTTCATGACCGTCGGCGGGTTCCAGTCGACGTGGGGCAAAGTGTTCAAGTACTTCCCTCTCAAGATCTCCTTCCTCATCTCCATCTTCATCTTCGAAGTTGGCAGCTTGATCTGCGGTGTCGCGCCCAACTCGACCGCCCTCATTGTGGGTCGCGCTATCGCTGGTGTTGGTGCTGCGGGTATCGGCTCCGGCGCCTACACCATCATTGCCTTCACCGCTCCGCCGAAGAAGCGCCCGGTGTTCACCGGTATCGTCGGTACCGCTTACGGTATCGCGGCCGTCATCGGTCCCCTCATCGGCGGTGCTTTCGCGGACCACGTCACCTGGCGTTGGTGCTTCTACATCAACCTGCCCATCGGCGGTATCTCGGCGTTCATCATCCTGTTCTTCTTCACTGCGCCCAAGGGCGCCAAGCCTGTTGACGCGACGCTGCGCGAGAAGCTCCTGCAGATGGACTTGGTCGGCACGGCGCTGGTGATGGGCGGTGTCATCTCTTACATCCTGGCTCTGCAGTATGGTGGTCAGACGCTGCCGTGGAACGACAAGACGGTGATTGGGCTGCTGGTCGGGTTCGTGGTGATCTTCATCGTGTTCGGGTTCTGGGAGGTGTACAACGGCGAGCGGTCCATGATCGTCCCGCGCCTGTTCCGTCAACGCGACATCTGGGTCAACTCGATCTTCATCTTCCTTTTTGCCGGCGCGTACTTCATCGTCATCTACTACCTGCCCATCTACTTCCAGAGCATCGACAACTCGAGCCCGACGGATTCTGGCGTGCGCAACCTGCCCCTGATTCTCTCGGTCACGGTCGCGACCATTGTGGCTGGCGTTGGGATCTCGGCCACGGGCATTGCCGCGCCCGTCGCAGTCGGCAGTGCAGCCATCGCGACGGTGGCCTCTGGGCTGTTGTACACTCTGGATATCGGCACTGATACTGGCAAGTGGATTGGGTACCAGATCCTCGGCGGGTTTGCCTGGGGCCTGGCGTTCCAGGTGCCAATTATCGTTGCCCAGGCCACGGCCAAGCCGGACGATATCTCTTCTGTCACTGCTATCATCCTCTGTAAGTCACTTACCCTATCTCCACACCCATCTGTCCTCCTTCATACTAACGTCCAACCCTGTAGTCTTCCAAACCGTCGGCGGCGCCTTCATGGTCTCAGCCGCGCAATCCTCCTTCGTCAACACCATGGTCCTGCGCCTGCCCACCTCGGCCCCCGGTGTCAACCCCTTGGTTGTCCTCGGCACGGGTGCCACGCAAATCCGCCAGGTCTTCCCCGCCGAGGTCGTCCCTGGCATCCTGGTGGCCTACATGGCGGGTATCAAGGTGGCGTTTGCGATTGCGCTGGGCGCGGTCGGTGTGGCGTTTGTGGTGAGCTTGTTTAGCAACTTCAAGAGGCTCAGTCCGGAGACACTGAAGATGGGTGGTGCTGCTGCGTAAGGAATTTACCTACCTAGGTACTCGGGGGATTAGAGGGGATAAGGCGTAATAATAATGGGATGAAAAGGGGTTGGGTTGGTTGTGGGGAGGGCACTTTGTTTTGCTTTGGGCACGGGACTGGCTTAGATCATACATGGCTCGGGGCGAATGGGCGTGGAGGTGGAATGTCTTGGATGTGTTGGTTTGTGTTGGTTGGATACCCGGTGTGGAGGATGAGCATTGCGCGTGGTTTGCATTTGTTTCTGTTTTTTCTTGGACATAATTAGACTCCTCTCACATACAACATACCTATACTTCACAATCGTTCAAGGAAAGTGACGCCGGTAATGAACCCCGAATATCCTGTTTGACGCTAGTTATTCACGTATTTCGATCTGAACTTGACGGGAACCGGCCCGACGAGCGGACGTACCTCATCCCATAGTTCATAGCGCTGCGGGACATGTCAAAGCGTCCGTCATGCGGGTTGCGCTGAGCGGGCCGTTGACATAAGGGTCTACGTTCTATCATATCTGAGCGTTCTATAATATATGAGCGTACCAGTCGTATTTCCGCGGGATTTTTTAACAGTCCGTAATAGCGATATGTACAGTAATCTACTGTAACGGACATTCAATGGGGAGGCCACTGGCCACAAATGGATATTCCCGCAGTAGCTTTGACAGCATTACCGCCGTCTCGTAGCCGTAGTGGCTCATATACGACTATCAAAGAAACTGAATAACCCCCACAATATCAAGCATTGATGAATCTGTACGCGAGTGTTGTGACGTCTATCCGAGCAATACCTTCCCTTATCAAAATCCTCTTTTTGACGCGTCTGAGCCTTCGCCATGACCACTTTTACCTCTTTGTCGAAACCTATAAATCCCCCTCCCTTCTCCCACCTCAGCTCCCCCAGATTTCCTTTCTCTGTCATATCAATCATATCCTCAGAAGTGGAAAGTTGGTATCGCATGGCCTGTTGTCTAACGCTCTGAGGGTTAGCCCTCAACGTCACTTTCATTATTTTTTACATTCGTTAACACTGCAAGCCCTTCCACTTCAATACCCCTTTAATCTTATCCCACTCCCCTCTACTTCAACCTAATAGTACTCCTTCAAAATGCCCGGCTGGCGCTTTGCTTTCGCCCTCTCTCGGAAGGCCGTCAAAAGTGCCACCCCCCCAGGCACTGTCGTCCTCATCGGTACATCCCCTTTACTCCTTCACCCCCTTTCCCCCACACTAACCAACTAACCCACCCCCAGAACACAAACCAATCCGAGGCAACCACAACACCAACAACAACGGAAACGGTAACACCAGCAACGGTAACAACAGCCACTTCGAAGAGCAAGTCGTCAAAGTCCCAACGCCAACACCCGACCCAGCCGACCCGCTGAACTGGCCGACCTGGCGCAAGGCAGCATGCATGATCAGCGTGGCGTGGTATGCGTTTGTGTGCAACTACATCTCGGCGTCGATTGCGCCGGCGCTGCCGTTGTGGAACCATGCGTTCCCTGGGGATCGGAGGAGGGAGGAGGAGTTGATGCGGTTTGTTGCTGTGAGTTTTCTGTCTTTCTTTTCTTTTGGTGGGTTGTTTGTGATGGGGAAAAGGGGGAAGTGCTAACTAACGGGGAATAGTTTAATGTGTTGGTGCTGGGGTTGGGGAATATTATCTGGGTACCGCTGGCTAATATCTATGGACGGCGGTTGATTCTTATTTTGTCGACTACTCTGTTGAGCGCGGCGACTACGTTTGGGGTGTTTCAAACTGGGTACATGGCGACGCTGTTGATTCGGATCTTCCAGGGGCTGGGCAGTTCGGCTTCGGAGACGGTCACGCCGGCGATTGTGGGCGATTTGTTTTTTGTGCATGAGCGCGGTGGGTGGATGGTATGTATCATGCCCATGAGATTCTCATAACACCAGTGCTGACAAACAACCAGGCATTCTACAGCGCCTCCCTAGCCACCGGTTCCGTCGTCGGCGGTATCACAGGCGGGTACATCGCCGCCGAGCTCGGCTGGACACGACAGTTCTACGTCGGCATGGCCATATCCGGCATTGCCTCTCTAGCCGTCATGTTCCTCGTCCCTGAGACCATGTTCGACCGGAGCCAGTTCATGCTGCCCATCGAGCTGCAGTTGCCGAGAGTCCGGGTGTCACGGTACTTTGGCCCTGTGCACGGTGTTGGGGGGGGAACCAGCGGCAGCAGTAGCAATGGCCATCGTGTAGGGGCCAACACTACTACTAACGGGGAAGGCACGACGCAGACTGCCCGGGAAGGTGTCCGTGTTGTGACGCAGGATGATGCTATCGTGGCTGCTCCCGAAGGTAGAGGCAGCAGCAGGCGCGACCGCCGGAATGGTGGGGCGCGCAGCAGTAGCGGACTGCAGCGCAATCAAAATGGACACTTGAGCAGCGGCGGTCGCAACAGTGGACATCGGCACAGCGGCGTGCGGGTATGGTCGTCCGCACCTAGACAGAGTCTGATGACGTTGCCGTCGATCGCACATTCCCGGTTTACCCGTCGGATGACCAATGGGTCGTTGTTGCCTGAAGAGATGCAGACGTGGTATGAGGAAGCGACGGATGACGGGGAGGAGCAGGGGCAGAACGAGGAGGAGGACTTTGAGGAGGACGAGGAACTTAGGCGGGCATCGACTAGGGTAGTTGCGGGCAGTGATGTGGATAGCGATGAAAGTGTGGAGGAGATTGGCCGCGGGAATGCGACTAGGAGTCCAAGGAGGAATGGTATTTTGATTGAAAACCGCGGAATTCCTCGCGCTCACCCTCACAGAAATAGTGACGGGAACGGTAACGACAACGGCGAAGGAAGCAGCAGTCGGAATAACAACGGCAACCGCAGACAGTTCGCCACCGACTACGAAATGATCGCCGCCGGACCCGAATACTACCATAAAGGCCCCAACAACGGCATCTCGGGGGCCAGGGCCAGGAGCGGCCTTCATCGACCTTTTCCCGGTGGCTGGAACCACAACTTTTCCCGGCCTGGTCCCTACCGCCAATACCAACCCCCCCTGGCGAGGTCCCGGTCACCCACCATCCGGGCCTCGCAGTGGCTCATGAACCCCCGACGCGCGCCGAATCCCCCATCGCCCCCTCCGCCCCCGGTCCCTCCTCTACCGCTGGTAGAGTCGCCAGCACCGGGACCGGGGCCAGGGGGAATCGCATCAACGGCGGCACCATCCGCGTACCCCCCCTTCTCGTTCCTCCGCTCTCTCCGGCTGTCCCCCTACCGCGGCCACGTCTTCCATCACTTTTGCAAGCCCTGGTCCGCCCTGCGTCTGCCCGCCACTTGGATCATCATGCTCCAATATGGTGGTCTGGTGGGCAGCGTAGCAGTCATCTCCACGGTCGGCCCACAAGTGCTTTCCCGCCCGCCTTATCGCTGGGGCGAACACGCCGGCCTGCTGTTCGTCGGAGCGCTGGCGGGGATTGTGCTGGGTGGGCTGTGGACGGGGCTGGTGGCGGACTGGATGGTGAAGTGGCGGGCGAGGAGCCAGGAGAGCGGGTTTGCTGAGCCCGAGGCTCGGGTTGGGGTGGTGGTGCCTGCACTGGTAGTTGCTACCTGTGGGTTGTTGGTGTTTGGGGCGTGCGCGCAGTCTCCGGGGGAGAATGCGCTGGGGTGGGTTGGGTTGGAAGTGGCCTTTGGGATGGTTTCGTTCGCGTTGGCGCAGGTTCCGTCGATTTGGTTCGGTTACGTGAGTTTCTTTCTTTGATGCTTTTCTTTTTCCCGTTGTTGGTTCGGTTCTCCAACTAACACGCCGCAGCTCATCGACGCGTACGACCAGTTAGCCAGCGATTGCTTCGTCATGATTTGCGTCTTTCGCGGTGCCATCCCGTTCGCATGGACCCTTGTAGCCGCCCAGTGGATCGAGAAAGCCGGCTACCTCGTTCCATTCGGTGGCTTCGCCGGGATTATGGCTGTCTTCTCTATGCTCATAATCCCGGTGGTCTGCGGCGGGAAGCGCATGCGAATTGCCACGGCACGGTTCGTTGTCGCGAACCAGTAACGGGCAATCAAGAAGCGTGGGCGTGACGAAGTTAACTGGACTGGGAGCTGGCTCGGAGATTGGATTGTCCCTGAGGGTCTCAACATGGGGCGGAAGAGTTAAGTCGGAAGATGAGCGGTCGGGGAAACGCTCAACATGAGGCGGGAGATTAACTCGGAAGTTGAGTTATCGCCGGAGGTTTCAAAATTTGAGCCGGAACAGAGCAGGCGAGGACTTTTTAGCTTTCATTGGGCATTTTCAGGAGTTTTGCATTTTGTTTCTAGTCCAAGCAAGCATCCCGGTGTTAATGAGTAAATACCAAGTCAAAGTCAAGGTTCTCCATCGCATCCATCGGTGTCGTTTGGTCAACCCCCGTCCGCAGTCCAGCCATGTACTCCGGAGTTTGCCATGGCCATGGTATGGACGAGTATGTATATGTGTCCTCACCAAAGAAAGGCTGTTCGGTGAGCGCCGGGTCGTAGCTGTCGAGGTACTGTAACGTCGTTGAGAACGGCTCTAGCGAAGCATCTCCAGCCTGGGCAGTGTGAATATTTGTCCCGTCGACCTGACAACCTGGTAAAGAAGAACCTCCAGGGTCTATCCCCTTATCCTCATGAATGCCCTCATGAACACCAATCTCTCCGCCGATCCCGTTCTTCTCATCATCTATCACAAACTCTGCGTTCTCCACCAGGGCCAATACCTCACCCTCTAGTCCCAACCCCCCTTTCCACTCCCCCATCTGTCTGCCTTCTCGTCGGAAATGTTCCGCCACATGCTCACACCGCCGTGCCCAATCTAGAAACTCCTCCCCGCAGAACCCACATCGCGATTTCACTCTCTTCATTACTGACTTCCACTCTTTTAGGATCCGGGCCATATCTGCCGCTGTAGTCGCTGCTGAGCCCTGGCCTGTTCTTGGGCCGGCGTCTAACTCTGTCACGCCGTGGCATGCGCGGAGGTGTTGGCGGAGGTGGTCTTTGCGGAAGAAGGTGCGTGCCGAGGGGGGTTTGGAGAGACATTCGGCAGTGTTGTGCGTGGCGAGGTGGGTTGCGGTTGGGGAGGGGGTGTGGCAGAGGGCGCAGAGGGACTTGGCGGTGCTGTTAGGCTTGCGGTGATCGGAGTTGGGGTGATATATTGGTCCTGTGGCGAGACAGGTCCATTTTTCGAGGGGGAGGTGGAGGGTTGATTCGTGTCGGGTCCAGTCGTAGCGGGTTTTGAAGGTTTCGGGGCAGAAGGTGCATTGGTAGGGGCGGGTTGTTGTTGGGTTGTTGTTGTTTTTCTGGGACGGGGCTTTTCTCCCCCGTGCGCGCCGTCGACGTCCATGCTGTCGACGTAGAGTCCACCCCCCTGGGAAATGAGACGTATCCCCGGAAGTCGCTGCTGACCCGGATGAGCTTAGTGATGATAGCTGTGACACACTTCCTGATGAACCGGACCTGGGTGCCCCCGTCCCCGAACCGGAGAGGATGGACCCGGCTTCCCAGGAGGTTGAGCCAAAACACGAGTTGGCCTCTTCTTCCTCGGCTCTCCCTCCGAGTAGCGCATCAAACATGGCTTGGCGGTCGACGAGGTAAGAGGAGCTCGGGTAGGTCGCGTTTTCGGCTGCTATGGTGATGTCTACTAGCGATGCGGGTTCTTGCTCGGGGGGTGTGTGCCGCCAGCGGTCTAGGGGTGTCATGGCGTCCCATGTGTAGGTCTGAGTGTCGGTTGCTGGGGTGGTTGCCGAAGGCAAAGGTGTGGTAGGGTTTGGGAGAGAGGCGGAGACCGTAGTGGTAGGAGCTGGGGGTTGTAGGTGGGTGGCTTTGCGCCGGCGGGCGTTGATGAACCAGAAGGAGATTTGCCGGACGGTGAGACCTGTGCGGGTCGCGAGGTCGCTTTTTTCCTCCTCCGTGGGGTAAGGGTGGTCCGGGTGGGAGAAAAACCATTGATTGAGGATGCGAGTGGACCATTTGGCGTGACGGGAGAACTTTTGGCGGGTGTGTCGAGCATTGGGCTCGTGACCCGTTGAAAAGGACGGGCTAGCTGTTGATGCCATCTTGAGAGTGTGAAACACTGAAACGGGATATTGGCGAATTCGGCCGGATCTGCCGGAGGAGATAATGTAATCGGAGTATGCGGGCGATAAGGTTATGACATAAAAGCCCCCGAAAACAAAACCGTTGTGTCCCCGTCCTTGGTCGTGCGACCACGAGTTGACGAGTTGAAAAACGGATTGGGATGAGGAGAAAAGGCGCGACGACAGCTTAGACCCACATTACCTGCCATTCAACGCCCTACCAGCCAAGTGCCAAGACCTGTCACTTTTCCTTTCTGAGGTACTCCGCTGCCTCAGTTTGCCCGCTTCAAGGGTGAGAGATGATGTGTTTCAAACGGTGTGAGCCGCGAGAGGTCCGTAGCTAGCTTTATTCAAGAACATATATACTCCATCGGCAATCCGCCCACTTCTTTTTTCCTGTCGAGGCCGTGGTATGGACAGCACGCGACTTACACGGGACTTGCCCGATTAGGAAGGTGGGCATCATCCGGAAGAGCGACGGACTTACGCACGAGGAAACACAAGCCCCGACCAACACTTCTGCCTTGCAGTTGACCAGCGCCTGTATTTCAGCCGGCCACGCTATTATCCATGAGGAGATAACTTTTGAATGTTGCCCCCGAGTTTGAAAAATACTACCACGCCAAGTTGTGGGCATCGAGTCAAGGACGCCGAATCTATTCACAAGGGCCACAGGATCTCGTACGATCCGCGGAGTGTTAATCAGACGCAAATTATTGTACTTCATGGGAGTTTAGATCACATAAATATGTGAGGTAAATTGTGAACAGCCATACCATATCAATATAGGTCATGATTCCGTACATAGTAATCATAATAGTCCGCGGCCTTCAGCAGGCTGGAAATCTGTGCCAATCCTGTGTCGATAATTGGATATCAACATCAGGAAGAACGCAGATCGACTCTCTTTGTCTCAACGGAATCTCACACCGTCTTCAGCGGATAGAAACCAACCGTGGGCAAGGACACTAAAAAGCCCGTTCCAAATTCAGCTGTTTCAAAACATGACGTCGGGCAGAAACCAAGTGTCTTCATTCCCTTTTTTGAACATGTTTCGTCGGGAGAGTTTTGGCAAAGCCACCGATTCAACTAACGTTCAGGCTGTTCCTTGCTTAAATTTGAGACAGAATGTCCCATATTTCAACCCCGGTCCCCGCCTTGAACCCTACACCGACGCCTATTTTTGAGCCATAAACAACATGGAAATCTTAAACACCCGCCGGGTATCTCAAAACTTGTCCCCGAAGACCCTGACTCTCATCATCAACCGTGAAGTTTCGGTCTCACGACTCGGAATGAACTTCCCACCGCTTGGATGAATCCACATCAAACCCATCTTTTGACGTTTTCTGTTTCTCGATAACTTTTCCAAAGGTTTCGGCGGTGTGGTTTCTCAAAAGGGGGACAGAATGGCGGTCAAAATGGAGATAAAGTTCACCACATCCTCCAAATCTCATCGCATTGCAGTTTTGCACAACAGTAGCGCAAACTTCGACCATCGCCCCAAGTTCCTCGCCTATCGCCCCGACCAAAAGCCCACAGATCAACCATCACCATGCGCTTTTCCGCCCTTCTCATCGCCGCCATGGCTGCCATCGGCGTTCAAGCAACCTGCGTTGTAAGACCCAACCCCTCGGTGTTGACCCTACCCTTCTGACGGTCAACTTCTTTATCTTCCTTCCCTTCACTAAGCCCCGAAGATTGTAAGACTGATTAATTAACTCTCCCAGGCTTACGCCAACAACGGCAAGAAATGCACTTTCTACAACCCTGTTCTCATCCATGAGTGCCGCCGTGGCCACCGTGAGATTCTCTGCTGCAGCAGTGTGCATTGCGAGTGTGAGTGAAAAGTTGTATTGTTGTGTACTTTATCATGAAGCTGGCTGTTGCTGATGATGTCGTCGCGCACAGAAATTTGGATCTTTTCCGCGGAGGTGAAGACAGACTGGGGAGCAAGGGGGCCGGGTTCGAGATAATGGAAGGAGACATCCACATGTGGTTTTGAAACCGGGGTGTCCTGTCGGTTTTGTGTCCAGGTTACTGGCAAGATGTTTTAGTTATGTCGGGATGAATGAAACATGGCACAGTCTGATATCGCAGGTCGATTTATGAAAGGCAATGTGCATAGTTAATCACTTGACCTGTAATGAACCAGGGTGAAAGTTCAGCTTCCAAGTCCACATCTGCGGTTTGCGTTGTGAAGGCTTCATAGCAATAGCAGTGAGTCTAGATGCAGAAATTACCCATGGATACCCGCGTAGGTAGGACCCAAATGCAACCCAGAACCCATGTGGGTACCCATATGGGTTTGGATTCATATGGGTTGGGTCTCGAGATCATGATCTAGAAATATGGGCAAGGTTCGGGCTGTAATTATTATATGGGTTTAGCCTCGGCAGGGAACTACTCATCATTAGTGTCACCGAATTACAATTGACGCCCATCGTTGTAAGGATAATGTGTAGAGCCCTACACGGAGTAACGATCTGAGTAATTAATCATCTCATTAGCCGAATCAACACCCAACCCCATAAAGGTGTCCAATCTAACCCAAACCCAAATCAATTCTACCTATACCTCCTAACGTACCTTATAAGCGAGCCGAACATATAAGCGGGTCGAACATTCCTTGGCAC